CTCAGTGCCAGCTACCTCATGTGACTGTGAGAGGTGTTTCTCCTCCGCCAAACATACAGTCACGTGTGATCGCAATTCACTATCGCCGGCTGTAATTGAGGCCTGCCAGCTACAAAAGAACTGGCTGAGGAGAGAGATCGTCCCAAGTTACCTCAGAGAGCTTACTTCGTATACACAGGGCAAGGAGCAGGGACCTAACGATAACAACGACGACGATAGAGCTCCGGAGGACTCCAACCCAGAGGCTCAACTCACTCCTATTTCCTAATTAGGAAATTTTACGCTGTAATTACGCCGTCGGGCTCCAATTTTATCACTACGGTTCAAGTCCCGTACCGTCGCGGTCTCTCCACCGTAGCGTCCGTACCGTAATTACTAGCAACCGTAACGTAACCGTAACCACCTCTCACGGTCCGTAATACCGACTGTTGGAAGCGCTGCCATGGATTCTTATGGCTCCGGGTGTTACAATGCAACGAGGGCGCGGAAATCACGTTCCAACTCTCGTGTAGGATTGCGACCCCACTCTTCTGGAGGTTGGCGGTCTAGCTCTTTTGCGGAATCACATCGCAACTCGTATGCGGGATTAAGTGCCAACCCTTTTGCGGGACCACGTAGTACCTCTATCTTAGGATCGCGTCGCAGCGGATCACAGCTTTCCAACTCCTTCGCGAGATCAGGGCGTAACTCTCTGGCGGGTAGCGATCGTGGTCTGCTGCTTGCTCCTCCGGAAGTCTTCGGGCACATGGACAATATCATTACTTATTGGGGCCCCTATACTACTCTCGCAGGGGTTGTAGCATCTCCATTCTACGCACGTGTCGAGATCCCGGTAAACCCTCGTCACTTTGAGCAATGGCGCAACGACGTCTTTCCGCATCCCAGCTTGTACCACGAAATGCTCCCAGAGGTGCTATCAAAGGCTACCTTCACGCTCTATGCCGTACTGCCAGTTCCGGTACGCTATCTCGCGCAGTTGTCGAGTCTCCACTTAGAGTACCTTGCTAGATCTCTGTATGACCATCAGTACGAGGAAGGCAAGAACACTCTCAAGGATGATGCTTCTGGTGACAACTACGCAGAGCGACTGAAGCGAACCTACACGACCCTTGGCCGGATCAGTCTGGTTTATGGAAACCCGTCTTAATGAACGCGCGGATGATGGCCTAACTCCCCAGAACATGTCTGATGCGATTGAGGATATGCTCACCGCTTTCGAGAACGACCTGGAGCGCATCGAGCGGAGCGGAGTACGTGGAAGGGCCAGATCGGCCGCGTCTCCTCATTCCATCCCACCTCTAATCTTCGCTCGTACAAGGCGCCGGTCGCAATCTCCTGCTTTCATCATTCAGTCCGGCAGTATAGGTCACCCTATTCCACCTCCACCTCCTTCGCGTCCCATAAGCCGTTCGCACTCCCCAGGTTTTCATTGTCAATCCGGCAACACGGGTGCCCCTCTTGATCCCAGAACGCGTGGCAAAGGCTTTCGCGCTTTTTTTCAGGGAGATCGAGCTTGCCACTCCGCTGAAGACAACAATTCCGCACGCGCGCAAGCATCATCTAGTCCCCAGAGTTTACCGTCAACGCCAGGCCTTCTCACCATGACTATCTCTCCCGAGGATATGAGCACCCTCTACCACGTTATTCAATCTGGGCAACTGACTGAAGCAGCGCTTCGTGCTATCCAGAGTATCGTTGCAAACAACCCATCTCCTCTGAAGATAGGGACTTGCCTTAATGAGGATGGGCAATTGACAGAGGCGGCGATTCATGCCATCGAAAATACTGATGGAGAAAAACCATCTCGTCCTGTGTCTCCGAAGTCTAGGGTCGCCCCTTAGATGACTCGTCCTCTCCTCTTGGGACTGGTCCCGGGTACGACACAACATGGGACATATGCCGCTGAATTGAACGAAAACGTTGTCGGATTGGCACCTGCCAACAAAGGTAAAAATCTGGGATGGCCCGACAAGACGCCCGCATGGGGACCCAATCCCCTTTTTGATTAGGCGCAGATAGCGTCAATAGTTGCTGTGGTAGTTCTACTTTTTTGGCATTGCGACCAGTCCATGGTTTCCTGGTTCTACATCGATAGTGTGTATTCAGTGGTACCTATTCCAGATAGAACGTTTAGCGTGGGCTAATCAGCGACCACGCTAATTATAGGTTAGGCAACCTCTCGCTCCACCTTTCTACACAGTTCGCTTCATCTGGTATGCCTCTCAAATTTGATTGATTGGGTACCGGCAAATGACTGATCCCGTGTTGTTAGATAATAGGACCATATCCTGGTGCAACTCATGAACTCCACACGAGTTTCTTAACACGGAAGATTGCGCATTCGAGCCCTGCCTATATCGTCCATGCAACCCGCCGGTAGAGTTTGCACCTCAATGGTAACCCAAATCCATCAAATGCTGCTCGATCGCACGAGCAGTGAAACATGAAGGAGTGGACTCTGTTCTGGTTGTTCATCCGTGCAAGCACATCAACAGATATATCGCATTTGTCATCCGCATGGACTCAGAAAGAGTAAACAAAATATTCCAGAGGCTCTATAGATACGTGACAAACATTTCCACACCGTTTCTAAAAGCCACGTGCGCCGGATACGAAGCGTTGGGGTCCGCAGAGCACGCGGTAGCTAATCTCAGCCTGCTTCACTCCACTTTTAGACGGACTTAAATGTGTTTTCAGTCTAGCCTGCTCTTACATGTTTTCTCACCGGAAGGCTGAGTCCCAAAGGGACTGAGGGAATCATTTCCGCCTTAATGCATGTTGCTTACAACCATGGAGGCCCTTCGGGTAACAGCGCACGGCCTCAGCCTTGCGTGACGACCAGGCTAGAAAGGAGGCGTGCCGCTGTTCATACTGTATTTGGATATATATCTAGGACTATATGAGAGTGCTTATCTTCTTGGCTGAGAAAAGAGTCAAACAGCTTTCGTCATTCCTTTTCTTTCTATCAAAGTGCTTTCTTCTTTTCAAATCTGGACAAAATTCTAAACATGGGTGTATTCCTTTCCAGTCTTAGCACTTGTGCAGCCAAAGATCCAGAAGGTTCAAGCTTTCAGTGCGGCCTACCGGATACGTTCGAGTCCGATGGAGATATTGCTGGGCTTGGAGTACGTAAAGGCGGTCCACTTCTCGTCGTTCATTACTAACGTTCAACCCTGAAGGTTTTCATCGCCTTTGCTGTCGCAGTCATTACTTCACTCTTTGCTTCTGTATACGTCCTAGTTATTGAAGGGTTCGAGTACTTTTCCAAGCGAGATTTGTACGTATAACGCGGATCTATTGCGCCCTGACTAATATAACGACAGACACAGATATTATCACAAACTGAGGATGCTCGCAGACGAATATCTGATCAGCCTCAGCGACGCTCAAGCCGTCACCTCTCTCGCTCTACTTGTCACAGCAAACTTCTACGTCGGTTGCACCATATCGGCCTACCACTACGACCTCGTTTGTAGCCTAGTACTCATGTCTAGTGCTGCTCATATCGGATCCTTGGCCGTCATGCACAAGTACTTCGACGTCGACAAATGTCAGGGCTGGCAACGTGTCTGGCAGTGGGTCCGATTCTCGCTTCGCGTCTTCATGGTCATTGCTTCATTCGTACTGTCAAACTACCTTTTCCGTCACCGTCTCGAATCAAAAATATTCCCTTCGTTTAAACCAGCCAGCGACGATATCACCACCAACAACAGAACCCATAGCACAGGCCTGGTTTTACCAGCCGTCTGCTTCATCGACCATCCAGGCCAATCGAACGCCGTTGTTTACAATAATTTTACTGCTTCACCAAATTGGACCAGAAATTATACGACACACGCTTCATCCAATCACTCAGCATCCAATGGTAACTCTAACACTTCAACGTTTGCTGTCATGCCCGCTTTCGCGACCTTTAATAGTAACGACGATTTGAGTAGCGACGGAGATTTGAAGGCTTTCTATTGCCTGATCGGTGCTTGCGCCGTGGCAGCTCTCACAAGTTTCCTCCTGGTTCTATTCAAGAAACAGGGCACTTGTGGGCACAGCTTACTCTGTCGCCATCATTTTGCGTACCTTTTACGTTGGGGTTGCTTCTTCACAACATATATAATCGCCCTCAGTTCCTGGAATAGATTCACGAAACTACAGAACTGGATGATAGGTTCTGGTTGGTTTGAGGGAAGTGACACCGGTGAAAGGAGTATTGATAGCTTCGGCCAGTTGATGCCGTTGATACTGCTGGCCCTCCCAGTCTTAGCATTGATCGAAGCACTTGCAGGTAAGTCTTGCTCCTTTAGCTGCATCCATGCAATGGGATTTGCTTCCACTTTGCGCGTTATCGATGCTAACTTGGCTTCTGCTCCTAGAGAAAAGTGACCCGCCCCAAAAAGGAGATGCCAATTGGATCGGACTACAAGACAAACGGAACCCTGACGGTTTCGGGGCGTAATGATGATTAGCAAGTGGCACCTCTTCTGTTCAACCGGTTCCGTAGTAAGCAGAGAGCTAGACTCGATTCTCAATTTGTCTTTCGCCGTTTCTTGCGGGGTTCCTCGCGCAGATTAGAGGCGTTCTGAAATGGTAAAATGTAAATTGTGGCTACCTGCGGAATTCAATGAGTAGGCCAGAGGGAAAAAAAAATAAGATAGATGTTCGCACAGTCCATATATCAGGGCAGAAACTGGAGATTATGGTGATGTCAAGCTAATATCGCATTAACATTATTGGCAATGATGATACTCCACGGCAAAGCCATTGCGGAGTGGAAAGTCTCCGAGACACCCATTGTGGTAGCCTCTCGCTTCGTAGTCTTATAAGCGCTTATGTGCATTGATCAACACGCTTTGATCTATTCAGAAGTACACCTGGTACACCTCGGAGACTTTGTTTGTGTCCGAAATGTCGCCGCACAACCACCACAGTACTCCCCTATTGCCGCAGCAGGCCACGGAATCGGCAGCATACCCATCGCAAAATGTATATATAACACTGGTCCACACTACCAAGCGGTGTCAGATCAAAACCGCGACTACCATCACCATGTCCACCCACTTCTCCCCTTACGTCTCCGCCCTTCAAACCTTCTACGACAATGTCGGAAAATCTTACAACTCCATGACCAAATTCGTGCACGCCGGCGGACCCGAACGCATCGTCGACGCCGCAGGCCCCGCCATCAAGCCTGGCGCTTCAGTGCTGGATCTCGCCACAGGCACGGGGAAAGTGGCTTTGGTGGCGGCCGCGAAAGTCGGTGAAAAAGGCCGCGTCCTGGGCATCGACATCTCGGACGAGTTTCTGAAGCTCGCGAAGAAAACCGCGGACGAGGCGGGGATGGGCGATAGAGTCGAGTTTCTGCAGCGGGATGTGGGGGCCTTGGATATGCCGGTGGAGTATGGCAGGAGGTGGGCGGATGCGGTGACGTGTGGGAGTGCGATTGCGATGTTTGCTGAGCCCGGGAAGCTGTTGGATACGCTGGCCCGCGACGTCATGAAGCCCGGCGGCGTCTTCGTGGCGGATATGTGGGCGATGCACCTCCCAGCGAAAATATTCCTTGACGTTGCTGTCCCACGGGGTTTCGAGGCACCGTTTGATGCATTATGGATGGCTGATACGGAAACAGCGTTTCAGAGGCTTTTCGAGGGGACACAATTTAATCTGGTGAAGTTAGAGAAAATGGGGGAGAGCATGGCGAGGTGGGAAGCAGGGAGTGAGGAGAAGATGGAGGCACTGTGGAAGAACCTGGCCGAGGATCAGACATGGCTGAGTTTTGGGTTGGAGAGGTTGGATGCGGGCAGGGTGGAGGAGATCAAAAGGGCGTGGGTGAAAGAGATCGAGGCGTGTAGGAATGATGAGGGTGTTGTGGTAAAGGAGATGAAGCAGTGGATTGCTGTTGCTGTTGTGAAGGAGTAGTGGATATGGTTTATCCGGCATGGTACATGCCGAGAGGGGAATGACTCGAGCATCATATTAGACCCATCTTCTCATTCTTCTGTGCTGTCCTTCCTGCGTTTGCGTCCAACTCCACAGCAGGGTCCTGGTTTGGTGGCATCTCAACCCTGTGCTGTGTGGTGTATAGTTCGTTTCCGTATTGCGCAGGCAACTCCTTCTGATCACTGACCATAACGGCATTGGGCCTACCTAGGACAGTCTGGCCTCTAGCGAACGAGTTCTCTGCTTGTAGCTCTTGCAGCTTATGATCGAACTCGCGCTGTTGCTGGCGGTACCGTAAGAGGAGCCATAGAATAATTCCCAGTGCGATAGGAATTAGGAGTACGGGTACAACTATCGCTGCGATGGGTTTGCTGGATCTGGTTGATGTGTCTGCTGTTGATGATGTAGTCGGTGCCGAAGGCGTCAAAGTGACGAAGACAGTCGTAGGTACCTGTGTAACCTGAGCGATGGGATCTTGCTGGACTACAGGTGAATTAGTATCTCGGTAGCAGCGTCTGCATGACTATACTTACATCTGGTCAACTCGGTACTCTTCGAGCAGTAGCTATTGAACGCTTCCAAAGCGCTGTTGACATTTCTTACAACAGCTCCTGTAGGAGTCGGTGCAGGAGTGACAGTAGCTCTCGCTCTGACGCGATGAGCTGGTAGTTTCGCGGCAGCATGTCCCGCCGTGAATGCTGCCTCGGTCGCTGCGCTCCTACACTGGTCTTCAACGGCGGTGGAGATGATCGTTGCGAACTGGCTGCTTGAATCGATGCAAAAGCATGCGAACGATGTCAACTGCGTATCATCTCCGCACCCGGAGGCTTGAGCGCGCACAATCGCACTGATGCGGTCTTGTGCACATGACGCTAGCTTCGTGTAGATGGGTATCTGGTCGATGTAGATGTGAGTCTTCACAGCAGCCGCTGCATAATGTACACCGCCGATCAGACAAGCAAAAAGGATGAGGAGCTGCATGGAACTGCGACCGAGACGAAGCGGTCGTGGAGCATCAAGGTTGGGGGTGAAGGTGATTTGGAAAAGTTCACGGAAGAAAGGAGAGGTGTTCCATGTCGTATGCCAATGGTGTTACCTTCAAGATGGCCCCAACCTTGTAACACCGCCTATTCAGGGTCAAGTGCCGAAACCTGGTCCAGAATAGGTCAACATTATGGCGGCGGATACAGTAAATAAGCGCCGCAGTGGTGTATTGCGGGTCGCCTGATTAGCGTAGATCCCAACGTTGTGACCCAATGGGGCAATAATGGCGCAGGGACACTCACACCCGGACACGGCCTGCATACGTTGCTGCCACCAGACTATCGGACTTCAGCGAGGGCATTTCTGTGTACCATCATATTCAGGGATATCCTAGCTCTTTTCGCGTATTCAGGGTTTGTAATTCGCTGGCGAGGGTGCACTATGTCGTATATAACATTGGCTGGTGAGCAAGACTGCAAATCGACATTATTGTAGAAAAGGTCCATTTTATTAGTCCACTCGTCCTGCTCGGCAGATATTCTGTCCTAGGATATGATAGTAGTATTGAAACCAGTCGGCGGCCCGGCGCGCAGCCTCGCTTTGGACCGGTAGGCCTCAGAGTCCCAAGCTTATGCCGGCCTCGGAGTCCAACAATCCTGCTACTGGACGTACCAGGGTACCTAAATTAGCCAGGAGTCGAGCCCACTCACCTTGTGGGTGGCATAAACGCCAAAACGCTGCTAGGGCCGCGATAGCGTTGGGGGTAGTCAGCAGCATGGTGGCCAGGTCCAAGGGCTGGTCTCTTATCATACCGCACATGAGCGGTTGTAGGGGGAGTGAAGTGCTGTAAACAGGATCACAGCACTTTCCCCCCGCTTATTGCTGCTGGTCGGGTGGAAATGGTGGCCGAAATATTGACGTCCAATCTTATTTGGCTACTAACAGTAACCTCCTGCGGGTTGAACTAAAAAGCTGCAAGCCAGAACTAGTCAATGGCGAATTTCCGTATTGATTTATAGTACCAAAGTCCCGATATTTGGATTCCAACGCTCGTCGAAGGATGCCAATATTTCAGGAATTTTTCGCAGGGAAGATCTCGAGGTAAGGTTCGAAAAGTCGGGACCGGGTTGCAGCCTGCTTTTGCACGTTCTGTGCCGCTGATCGGGAATGCAATCAGGGCGAAATTTGGCGGAGGAGGCGGCGTTGTTCGGTCCAGAGCGATAGATTAGACACATATACTTGCCATACTGAAGGCATACAGTTCGTGTGTCTTGGTCTTGACAAAACGCAAGTCGGAGTTCAGCACGGCTTGAGAACCTTGACAAGTGAGAGTTGAGAAGGCAACGGCCTGGGCTCACTCCTGATGGATTAGTCCTCCGAGACGAGATTATAACCAGTGAAAGTGAGAGTGTTAATGACGCACCTAGTTTGGAGGTCGGATTGACCCGGGAGGTGTGATATTGATACGACGATCAACGTGGACGTGTAGATTTCTAGCAAGCATACTACCGCCCTTAAGCGGGGAATCATATGCCGTTCCCACTTCCTACGCACCCATTCAATAGAATGGACACGATGGGGCAATGACATCCTGGGTGGACTATGCGGGCGGTGAAAGCGGGGAATCCGGGAGATGCTGACGCTGAGGTTGGAGTACGGGGGAGCACGGAAGACCAGCACCGAACTGTCTTCAATGTTTCGCGATGCAAGAGGAAGGAGAAGTGATTGGGATTAGCGAACATGCTCCTACGGCAATCCGTAGCCTCTAATTCTTACTCCCCTCTTTCTTTCCAGCAAGCTTCTCCACACTCTCGTTCCACCCCTGATACACACTCTTGCCCTCTTCAATATTGACCACCTTCCCATTCTCCACAAACACTTCCTCCCACCCAATAGACAGCTCTGCCCGTTCCTGATCGCAAATGTCCGCCTCATCAGCCATCAGTTGCTGGAAATCCGGATCCCCAAGTAAGCCCCCGAGCTGCTCCATCGATCGGACATAGAACACGATTTCAAAGTCGTGGTCATCGACGGTCCAACCGGGTGGCTTATTGGCTGCGAAAGGGCCTTCTGTGAGGAGTGCGCGGAGCGCAGTTGGCTTGAAGGACTGTATGATGGTGGTGAGTAAGAAGGTACAAGTTGGTGGTGGGGTTGAGGTGGTGTACCTGGCGGACGCCGAGGAAGCCGTGGCGGGCTTGTATGGGGGCGGCCTTTGGGGCGTGGTCACTGGTTGCGAAGGCGTGGAAGGCTTCTTCTGATACAGAGGGGGATTTGTAGCGCCGGGAGGTGAATTTGAGAAGGGTTTCTTTTTGGGGCGCCATTGGCTTTCGGGGGAAGTCTAGATTGTTATTGTAGACGGTGTTTTTGAGGATATTTGCTAGTCGGCGTTCAAGCACAGAGGTGCCCTAGCCGATTTATGTGACGTTATCGCCCTTGCGGGAGTCTCTTACCTCATAAGATCCAGGCTTACGTGTGCGTAGAAGTATTCCGTATAAGCACGTCGGCGCGAGTTGGAGCATGCTATACGAGACGCGGCGACCAGCCCCCAAAGGGGAAAACTATGTTCCTAACAACATGTTCAAATCCTGCTCAAGGACTGGCTTCAACGAATGATCATCCGGCACCCACAGCTTGGTCGCAAACTTTCAGACAAAGTGGTTAGCTCTTGCAGAACTAGAGACGACTAGGGCTTACGAGATATAAGATGCGAGCGGCAAGGCCTTCACCTATGCGCTAGTGGGGAGTACCCTCAGGTGTACCTTTTCTTACACGTGCATCCTCAAAAATATCCTGGGAATTACTGTCTTAATCAACAAGGAGTTCCATCCAGTTGCAATCACATGTTGTAGTTTAACGCGCGTACCGTTCGAGACGGTGCGTCTTCATTAAGTATTAAGGGTACGTATCTTTTACGTATCTCTGCCTTTCCTCCTTTTGGCCCTGAGTTCGCATGCCATATATACAATGCGTTTAGAACAACTCCTCGTTACCGAATCTCTCTTTATACATACCCAGCGCCATAATCGGGAAGATGAACTTATAGTTCGGATACGAAATCATGCTGTCTTCGTTAGCTCTGCATTCGCTCCGGCGACCGCAAAAAGACTTACCAAGACTTGTTGAACACCCCCTCAATCGCCTCCTGCAGCCACTCCCCATTCTTCTGCTGCCGCCTAACCACCATTTCCAGCGCCTTCCGCAACGGCTCTTTGTCAGGAAACTCCGCGTGGCACATGGCAATGACGACCCACGCCGTCTGCACAACCTGCGACTGGGCGTGATTACACCAGACCCCCGTCTCGCAGCTACGATACGTTTCTCCCCACCCGCCGTCCTCCATCTGCCGGTCGAGAAAGAACTGGCACGCGCGCCGCACGCGCTCTGAATTAGCGTACGTCTCGCCGCCGCACGCCAGAGACTCCATCGCGAACATGCCCGCGTACGTGAAGCAGATGCCCCACGCGCCGTACCAGCTGCCGTCTTCCTGCTGCGCCGCGCGGATGTAGTTGACGGCGCGGGCCTTGAACGCCGCGATCTCGGCGGCGCGGTAGGACGAGTCGTACTTCTGAAACATGTGCAGCGCGGTGATGACGGCGGTCGTGCACTCGGTGTAGTCGTACTCGATCATGATGCGGCCGAAGACCTCGGCGGCGTTGAGCCACTCGAGGTACTCGGAGCCGCGGGTGGGTTCGTAGGAGGCGCAGCCGCCGCTTTTGTTCTGCATGGTGAGGAGAATGTCGACGGCGTCACGGAGACGATTGTCAGGTATCAGGGATTGAAATTCTGGTAGAGTTTGGAGGATCAGGACTGCTTTGAGGCCCTCAGAAGTGCAGTCCGAGACCGTGTAGCCTTGTCGGCGGTTCGAGAATCCCCATGCGCCTTTCCGCGACTGGCGGTAGGTTTGATGTTGGTCGCGGCATTCTTCGGGACATTGCTGATCCTCGAGGAACTCTAGAGCGCGATGGAGCATATCGTGATACTGAGGGTCTTGCACGAGACCGCAGTGTTTGACGGCTTGAACCGTGAACGCTGTGTCCCAATTCTGCACGCCATTCGTGCCGTTCATAAGCATGCCCTCGTCCTTCATCCATAGGAACTCCGGCAGAGTCTCCAAATGTCTTCGGAAGGGCACTGATTCCGGTCCATGCCGTATGTACGATACGAGAGTGTTCAAAGGCCCGTTGACGGGACCCAGATTGGCAAAATCGGAGTTGGCGTCCTCACGTTGTATGATCCACCATACATGTTCTTCGGCCTTCTTCTTCAGCGAGGCGGGTCGTAGGTAGGGGAACCAGATGTAAACCAGGAACCAGAAGAGAATGCGCAAGGCGAGGGACTTGGGGTGGTAGTTGTCCGTGGGTGAGATGTCGTTGCGGTGGCGGATGAAGGTAATGGACTCGTAAGGCTGAACCAGTATTTCGGATCGGAGTGATTTCGTAAGATCGTTAAGGGGGTATGACCATCGCTGGGAGTAAATGTAACCCATGGGGAGGAAGACGGTTCGCATGTGCACCCACCACTTCCAGGGGTGGATTGGCACCCAATTGGGCAGCAGCCTGCTTCTATTAGCTTTACTGCTGCAGCAGCAGTATAAGGAGTAGGGGATGACGTACCACAGCTCAGGCGGCACCGGATTGACGACATCCCAATCCAGCACCCCCAGCACCGCCAACCAGAACTTCGCCCAATGCGGCGCCCTCAGCGCTCCGCCTAGCTTCCAGAGAGTAGCCCTAGCCTTCTGCATCCGTAGGTCCTCCGCGTCCACGCCTAATAACCTTAACGCAACGTAGTTCATCGCCGTGCCGAACACGCTGCTCTCGCCCTCGATGTGCAAACCCCACCCCCCATCCTCAGGATGCGCCCTCGCAAACAGATATCTCTTCATCTCTGCCTTGTGATGCCACGGTATCGGCGTCTCGGTGACGTACCAAGTGACTATGAGCCCAGGGAGGAGGAACATGGGACCGCCGTATTCGCACGCCCAGTTTCCAACCGGCTGCTGCAGCTCTTTGTAAAACGCGAGGCCATTGTGTATAGCCTGGAGTGGCGTCTTCGCAGGTGGGAGGTCAGGGAGTTCCTGTTTCAATGCACATATCAGTACCAAGCCTCAATTGTGCAGGTGATATGCAGGTACCACCGACGGGGCGTACCGTATCCATGCCCAAATACCACTTGTCCGCGGTGCTCTGCGGCCACGCCTTGGCTTCCTCATCGCTCTCCAGATACTGCCATGTTTGAGTGCCGCGATCGTTTTTCATCCGCCATCTCGTGTGGTCCGTCCCCTCGACTTCTCCCCCCATTTGCGCTGCACTTTTTATCGCCCCATTGCTTTTCGCATGGCCGTTCGCGTGGCCGTTCGCGTGTCCCATGATATCCCAATTGTTATTGCGGAAGATTGGGTAGCTGCCTACTGCCGGTTCATGCCCTAGAACGAGCGTCGTGCAGAGGTTCTGGTTTTATTCTGCCCAGAGAGATGCTGGTTCGAGTTTGCCAAGGAATCCGAAATTCCGAAAGGAGGTTCCGAAGGGGGCAAGTGTCCGCGTCGCGCATCAACCAGCCCGCGTGCCGAGGATTCCGAGGGCTCCACATGTGATCGACGACGGTGGCGACCCTCGTATGGATCGTATACAGCATTGTGGAGAACTCGGTGCGCATGGGTCATCGCGAAAGAACTCGCCCTCACCTCCGGCATTGCGCCTCAAAAGCTTCGACATATTGACCGATGATTCAACCTGGCACGCGCACCTCGTTGTGATTTGACATGTTCCATAAAAACCTGAGGTAATGCTCCGACCTGCAATTACGTATATACATGCAGCGAGCGACATCCCATGCAAAAGTCCAACTGATTAGAGAAATGCTATGCCTGCGAGCCAAGCGAGAGTACCTTGAGGAATATTCCAGACGCCGTGCATATGTTCATACATGACCCAGCACACCCCCTCACTATATCCCCAGTCCTACGTTCCCGATGGGTATCATTAAGTTTGACAAAGCCAAGTCTAATCGCTCAGGTCAGGATTAGCAATAAAAAGCCTGGTGCCGCTCATGGTCGTAGTGCGCTCGTCCACACTGCCTCTCCGATGGAGATCGGAAGTGTTCTTTTCAGGGTCTGCCTTGGGCAATCCTTGTGGCATCTGGCCAACGCTGCCAAAATTTCTCTCTTCGCTGCTCCCACTGCCCCCGCTTAGACCCGTCTTAGTATGCTCAAAGTAGTCGTTCTGGCCGTAGTTGGGCACTGGCGTTTCTTCCTCGGGAAGGTCTGCCATCTCGCCAGGCGAAGAATTCTGCCCGTTTGGCGGGGTCGAGTTTGACGATATGCGTCCGCTGGCATAGCCAACGCGGCGACCGGAGCCGAGAGAGCTGCGGCCGGAGCCAGTGCGGTGGTGGTAGGGCCCTGCGCCCTGTCCTATCGAGTTGTTGTCCTCGCTGTCACCCTCATCTACTTCGGATGCACTCAAGCGCATGGGGACCCCAGAGCCAGTCGTAGCAATGGGCGCGTAGAGCGAGGCCTTGGGTACGCCGTGGTGACGAACCTTGGAGCGCACTCCAGCGGCGACGCCTGAGCTGCCTGAGGAATTGCGGAGGGATGCGTGGTGACCCCCACCAGCGACCTCCATAACGGCGCGCATCTGTGTCTGATGTCAGCGTGGCTCAATGACTACGGCGCGGCTCTGAATCCATACCTTTGCCTGGCGCTGCTGCGCAACCACGCGCGGGTCGTCGTACTGCGCTCGGTCGCACCAGACCGTGGCTTTTTGCTTGCGCATCAGAGCCACATAGCTGGACGGCGAGTTGCCGGAGCGCGTCGACGAGGAGCGGCGGAGTGCCCCGCTATTTGTGCGGCCGGGCGTGCCGGTCGTGGAAGAGGTCGAGGAGGTGGGTGTCCGGCGGAGGCCTCCCGAGTACATCTGCTGCGGGTACTGCTGCGAGTTCATGGTGCTGGCGGTCGGCGACGGAGCAACGGGAAACACGCCTGAGGACGTGGTGCGCGTGCGCGAGTGTCCTGATTGTGCGTCGAAAGGGGGGACCGGTGGCCGCACCGAGATGCCAGGATTTGCAATGGGTTTGCGCCGGACAGGCAAAGGCTGTGTGGAGGGGGCCATTGTCGCCATTTCTCAGGCTGCTTGTCACTCGCTTGCTGCTAGCCCAGTGCCGCCTGTGAAACGACGATCGGGGCCTGACGTCAAGAAGACAGATGTTTCAAACGAGCCAACCGAAAACCAAAACTGCTGGCCGCGCAGTGAAGCGGGCGCACCGGGAAGAAGAATGATATACCAACACAGGTGCGCAGTTCGCGGGGGTCAGGCGCCAAGGCTAGTTCCGCCGCATGCAGGAGGGAGAGCTTCCCACGAGCCGTTTTCGGGAATTGCGAGTGGCGTGACGAGGATCTGTGATGCTGAGGAAGCGCCTAGTCAGATGCTGGCTTGCAGAGCAGATTTCTCTGTTTTCTTCGCTGCGATTCTGCGGGCGGGGCGGACCTGAGCCTCAGGAAGCGGCGGCGCCTTCACCTTTTGAGGGCGACTAGCTGCACATCCATCAGCCAGTGAATCGAGCTGACAAGACAACCGGCGTCCCGTACGCGAAAACGTGGGCGCGACTGCGTACTCGTACTCACAATCGGAACCTCTCAACCCGAGATCCGCTAACGCACCTGCTAGCCAAGCCCAGTGTGGCTATCGCAAGCGACGGGAGCGCGGAAGAGAAGGTGTCTGGTGGATGTGTCTGTATATGTCCAAGTACGCGACCAGAGGTGCCCAATTGAGCAGAGCAGTTTCGCAACGAGCAGCACAGCGCGAACGATGGGGGAGCGGCACAAATAGCGCTCAACAAGAGCAAGCGGGATGAGTTCTGACCTGTGCACCTTCGACGATCGCAAAACTATCATCAACTAGGCGCCGCCGCTAGGTACAAGTACACTCTCCCTCCATGACGACATTGGCATATCCTGTGTCGTTCGCGGGCGGTTTCAGACAAGGTCTCTACATGACCTATCCCTGCCTATATCGTGCCATATCGCGATCGCAACTTGGATCTCTTCGAACTTGGAAAACCTGAATTGCGCGGCGCAAGGCTATGACAGCGCGGAGGCTTCCCCGACAGCACCTGCACCGCCGGCGACAATCGCAGGGGATAGGACCTTGGACATGCCCCGGTCGGATGAGAGCACCCAAGTGAATGATCGTTGGCTAATCATATGCGTTGAACAAGCGGCGTGGGCAAGCGGCGGCCCTATCACCTCAGCCGTGCACCACCGACCAGGAGTCACGGGCCCATGCAACGTCCATCAGATCACAGCGGCCTTGCGACCTACCTTTCGCGTACCTCAGCCGCGCTCGACGACCGAAGCAGCGCGCCCGATCGACTACTTGGTGTTGCGACGTTGCTTTGCGAGCATAGTACCCTTGCTATACAAGATTCGCGCCTTCAACCGTGGAGCACATGCATCATACGACTTCACACTGCGATGCGAACCACTCGGATACCAACCGACGCAGCCTGCAGCTAGCCTGGGTACGTACGAGCGCTCTGCTTCCCCACGTTGCACTTGCGCTCCCGCCAGGCTGGTCTCTGGCGTTCGGGGAGCGAGCACCCGCCATGTCGCTGTTGCATATATCGCGCTGCATCTAGACCCCGAGACGAGATCCGCCGGCTGTATTCACCTTTAGCATTTTTCGAGAGCATTTCAAGGTCATCGAGATGTGGTGTTGCGAAAACGCCACAGGGTCCTCCTCCCGCTTGCACGCTCGAGTGCGCGCTGATCGTTGCCTGCTCTGTCCGTTTGTGCGAACATGCTGTTTCCCCACCGACCCCACGCTACCAAACGACTACCCGTAGTTCATCTGTTAGCAGTCCGTTGGCGAATGCTCTTTAGCCGGACCAGGAGCCGTAGAGTGGTCCGATTTGTACTTGAAAGCTGGAGCAAGGTTGCGCGCTTGTTTGACGTTTTCCGTGCATTGTCTGGGGTTTGCGGAGAACAGGTGGATATCATATGCAGACTAGCACAGCTCAGAAGCAAGTATGCCCCGCTCCGAGCCTCCAACATCGGTAGGACGCGTGGTTCGTCGGTACTTGTCGTCGTATGCTGTCGAGTAGCACGCAGGTCTGCGAACAAAAAAATGCAGGGCCCATTCCAAATCTCAGATCAGGTAACACCAGCAATACGGTGGAGAGCCGATGTCCCGCACCGCGCACATGTCGTATCACCCTTGAGAGTTTCACGCATCTTGTCTGAGCAACTGGTGAATGGTCTTCACTAAGACGACCGGTCGTGCTGAACGCGCGTGCCACCAAGTCGTACATGCGTCCGGCGGCCCGCGACGCGTCTGATATTTTTGCGCTTGCGAACACACTTGGTAGCGTACGGGGGTTAGTGCAGTCTCCTCATCTGAGAGGCGTAAGTAAGTACTTGAAGTTCGTTGAATTTCGATCGAGTGCGGAGCAAGGCTGATACTAGCCTCATAGAGCGTTCCAGGTCCTACGCTAAAGACACCTAGTAGATACCAGGAATTAGACGATACTTAGTCTGCTTCTTGAACTTGTCCCAGTCCTCCCCGTATCTCTTCTCACAATATCTGAAGCTAGTATTAGTGTAACTCCAAAGATCGAGTTGGACCTCACTTACTCGTTGAGGACGGGCACACCGCGCCTGGCGAAGTCGACGAAGAAAAACGTCCCAACAATAGCGCCCATAATCCAGCCTCCTCCAGTCAGAGCGTACGCGCCTCTCCAGATGGTGTAGCCTCCGTAGTTGATGTGCCTTGCAAAGCTCCACAAGCCCCCGGTATATGGCTTGCCCTTGTTCTTGGTATCCATCTTGAATCGCTTCCTCTGTACTTCAGAGATGAACTCTGTGAGAAGACCTGTCACGTATAGCGCGCCACCCACCAGGAGTGCTGGCTGGGGGAAATCGGATTCGAGCGATGCAGAAGTCGCACGGATGATGAAGGCGTATGAGTTGATGCTGTTAAATACGGTGTTGAAAACGGAGATCGCGATGGCGTTGCTGACGTTCATGGGTTCTCCTGACACAGCAACTGCCCATATGCCCTGCTTCACAGCGCTTCCAACAGCCATACCCAGCAGTACAAGCCGATATGGGGATAGGCCAAGTCCATCGAGGGCGCTTATGCCGGTGCTCGAAGGAATGCCGGGTGGCAGCGTGCGCAATCCGATCTGGTGCAGAAGTCCTGTTCCTGCACCCTGCAATATGGAGTATTGTATGAATGGGTCGATCGCCCGCGCAAGCACAAACACGAGCTTCCCAACGGGGGTTGGTGTGTAGTCGCCCCGGGAGATGAGGTCCTTCTTTTTACTTTCTTCTGATCGCGGGTCGTTCGCGCGGGCCTCATCGTACCCTTTGGTGTTGGGTATGAGATTACTCGGCATTGTGAGGACGATTCGAGCGATACTGCTACCGAATCACTTGGTGGCTCACGGTACAATTGCGGCGGACGATATGCGCGATGGAGTGTCAATAAGGTGCGGGCGTCCTCAAGGTGGCTGTCCGGCAGGGATCGTACGAGAGATGAAGCAGTAATGAGATCTACCAGCCGTCGAGAGTCGTGCGTGCGCGCTTGTCCTTATACCAGAGAGGTGGCACTGTATCATGTCCGCCCTACTTCTCTCTTGAGAGCTCATACGCTAGCGCATCCTCTCCATTGGAGCTTGACGTAACCAGTCGCATCGAAACGCCGATGTCCGACTGTTGTCGTCCGACATTATGACTAATAAAGGTGAAGACTTCGGCCTTCTGAAAGACCGATGAGATTGTTAGTTTTTAAACATGACGAAAGCTGCAACTGTAACATGCGGAGACTGGTGATTAGGCGAATCTCAGAGGTCATCTCAGTTCCATAGGTAATAGGGGTCGGTCTCCAACGAAAGAGCAGGTGCATTCGAATTGGACGCACCAGCATAGCTATATGAAATACAAATCGGATTTATCGTGCAAAGAACTGTTCAATTCATCGAGGCCACTATCAGACTGCTGTTGGGGGTCAAAGGCCGGGGGTGCCTCACCAGTCCCAGATAATGTGAGCCGCCCGATTCGGTTTAGTATGATATAATAAGAAGCGCGTGCTCAGCTGATGTCGTGCATTAGCGCCCACGCGACTTCTCTTGGTCACACACAAAGTGGGCAGCCTTCCACTTATACTCAAAGCGACAACAATCCCCTTCGATCCATTGTCATTGCGTCTATCTATATCTCCGAGTAATAGTACAGCCGGCGCCTTAAGGGCAGAGTGTGTGGGTACGTGGCAACAAGGCGCAATCAGCGAACGCGTCCTTTCACTCGACTCGCGGGATTTGTGTTCTTAGCGAATTGTGCACCCCGCACCACTTTGAGTCCTCATCGCTCCACCCGGTCAACCTCGGGGTCTCATTCTGTCCACTTAATGCCGACCAACTCATTTCTCGCACCTTTACGAATTTTATTCGTATATTTAGATTCAATTCCATGCACACCCATCAAATCCCATGGTCCTTGCATTCGGCGACGTGTGCAACCTTCTGGAAGGAGCAGAGAAGATCGCAAGTCGTCACTCGCGATGTGCCCCGGATGAGGAAGAACTACGTATCCGACAACATGTGACAAGATGGTTCGAACAACATCGGGCAGACCTAGGTAGGTGTCCTGTAGCTGCGCAACGCGAAAATTGATATTGTTCTGATGGCGATTAGATGATGTCGAGACTCCAGCGGCTGCTGTACTTTCAGCTATATTTCCCCATCGGCGAAAGGACAGGGTTTATGGCCTGCAACCGCCGTCACTCTCCAAAAAGATCACACAACTACTAAATCTGAATCACGGGCAAAAGGTTCTTTTCGGTGGCTGGTCAACCGGTGCTTATGGTGATCTAGGACGATATACTGAATTAGCATTCAAGCCATGGGATGGTGCGTTGCTCTTGGCCGCAGGATATTAATCGCGTGCTTACAAGACATCACCTCTAGGCACATTTGCAGCCAGGATCAAGCGTGCAATTCCGATGGAGAAGGTGGACAACCTACTCACCCAGCTGGCGGCGAGATACCGATTCTCTGACCCAGGTATCAAACAGCAGCGTGACTGGCATATGAGCACGGACACTGAGCTGACGTACATTCTCAGACGGCTCGAGTCGTGGGAGGCGAAGTGGTTCGTCAGACTGCTTCTGCGAGAGTATCCTACGATTTCTCTCGATGAAACGCATGTGTTTCGGCAGTACCACTTTCTTTTGCCTGAACTTTTGAAGTTCCAGAATGAGTTTGACGCTGCCTTTCAGTTACTCCGAGGGGAATTGAGTTGCTATCCGCCGAGACCAGAGCTATCTGTAGAGAACAAGATGCGATTGGAGGCTTCGCGGCTTCTCAAACCAACCGTAGGTGTCAAGGTTGCGCGTCCGCCTTTTCACAAGGCCTGGTCATTCAAGCACTGTTACCAACTTGTTGGAAAGCGGGCTTGGGCCGCCGAAGTGAAGTACGATGGAGAATACTGTGAGTGTGCCATTGGTAGCAGTCTGCCTGCTAGCTGACCGTCTGCAGGTGAAATCCATGTCAATCTAGACGCCACAGGAAACGACATTCGGATCTTTTCAAAGAATGGTAAAGACGCCACGATGGACCGAGAGGCTCTGCACAGCACTATACGCGATGCGTTACGGATAGGAGAGCCCGACTGCAGCGTTCAACGAAACTGTATTGTCTTAGCGGAAATGGTACTATACAGCGACAAGGAGCAAAAAGTCCTATCGTTCTCAAAGATCCGGAAGCACATCAAACGATCAGGATCATTTCTCGGAACACTTCAAGATTCGCCTCCTCACGAATGGGAACACCTCATGCTCGTCTTCTTCGACGTGCTTGTGATCGATGATGAGCCCGTCATGCGTCAATGTCTTCAAAAACGACGCCAAGTTTTGCGCAAGCTCGTCAGGATTACTCCCGGTCGCTCTCTACGTTCCCAGTGGACTCTCTTAGATTTCAATAGCGAGCACGGAACCACCGATCTTAAACAGGCCTTCGCACGATCACTCGTCGAAAAGCAAGAAGGGCTGATACTGAAGCCATTAAGTACACCGTATTTTCCACTCCACTCAGCCGAAGGCGTGTATTGGCCAGGATACTTCATCAAGCTCAAGCGGGACTATCTGGGTGATATGGGAGGTCAACGAGACCTGGGCGATTTTGCCATTATTGGGGCATGTTTTGACCCTCAGAGCGCACCCAAGACGGATGTAAGGCCTCTTTATTGGACTCATTTCCACATCGGATGTGTCACGAATAAGCTGGAGATACAGCGCTCTCGGGCGAAACCCAAGTTCCAAGTAGTCGGTTGTCTTAGTCTCGATAAGCAGATACCAAAGAGCGACCTGAAGTACCTCAACCAGTTCGGCCGATTCCAACAGATAGACCTAGGTTCCAGCCGATCGATAGACGCGTGAGTCAACATCGACGGACCTTTAAAACCACACTGGCTGATTATACCCTTCCAGGTTCGACATCAAACATGGTAAAGGTTTCGAGCATCGCATGACAGTAGCCTTCGGGAGTCCTTTTGTAGCCGAGATCCTTGGAAGTGGCTTCGAAAAGGCCCAGAACGAGACTTTTGAAATGCTCCGTCATCCACGGATAAAGAAGATACACCACGACCGAACTTGGGAGGATGCAGTATCGATGGATGACTTACACCGCATGGCAAAGGAGAAATGGAAGGTTCCAGATGCTGAAGAATTGGACGGGCATGCAAGAGACGTCGCTCTCCTCGCGAAGAAATACCTTAACGAGAAGAACGGGTCACAGGGCACTGCTTCGGAATGCGCAACGACCCAGGAAACGACCCAACGCAGCGAAGCTTCTACGGTTCGGACATCAGCATCCGCTTCAAAGGACGCTGTCGTTCAAGAGTCTCAGCAAGCCTCAGCACATACATGCACTACGATTGCATCATCGCAATGCTCAGGAAGCACACAGGGAAATGGAGGACGCGCCTCACGGGAGCTGCGCAGCATACTTGTGCGCGAGGATACCTCCGACAGTCTTCAGAGACAAGAAACTGGCGCCGTATATCCTACACCGCACACATGTTCCGTAGTGTCGGCAACGTCGAAACGCAGCTTCGACAGCAACGTCATCATCAGCCCACCGTCAGGCAAGCGGAGAAAGACTCGAAGCCCGCTGGCAGACGCTCGTGGGAACAGGACTCTTGGCTCGTTTAATTTTGATTCCCAGACGAAGGTTATTCATATTTTTGCGGAAGAAGGCCTGAAGGTGCAGGTTCACACCGGGTCGCCCGCAGAAGAGTAGATGGTCATCCTTGGATACCCGATAATGCAAATGCGCTTCAAAGCTACACCGCTATCTTCTCCGCTCGCTCCACTAAACCGATTGATGCGTTCGTCTGTCTTTCTGACGCAGTAGCACTCGCGGCCATGATCACTGTCTTCAAATGGGTGAAATTATTGCAGCTATGTCTGTGAGAGATGATACACAAGACTACTCAAGTCCTCCGCTCCACCCCATCCTTCACGCAAACTCATCAGCCCCACCCTCCCACTCCCGGAAGACCTCTACAGGGAACAAATCCGCAATCCTCTGATACCCTGCGGGGTTAGGATGTAAATAGTCACCGCTGTCATACGCATCGGCCAACTGACTCGGAATCTTCGGATCCGCAAGCATCTTGTCAAAGTCCACAACGGCGTCGAAGGTCCCGCTCTCCCTGATGAACTTGTTCACCTTCTGGCGCGTCTTTTCCCGCTCGGCGTTGCTGTACGGCTGCCCGGTGAAGTTGGCGGGTGCGCTGAACGGCGTGATGGTGGCTGCGAAGACGGGGATGCCGAATGCGTGCATGCGGGTGACCATCTGTGCGTACGCTTGCGTCAGGCCTTCGTACACTGCATTCTGGGCCGCGGGCGTGACGTCCGCAGTCCCGATGTCGTTGACGCCCTCAAACACCATGGCGTACTTGACGCCGGGATGGCTGAGCACATCCCTCTCCACCCTGCCCAACGCGTTCGGCCCCAGCCCGTCCGCCAACACGCGGTTCCCGCCAGCCGCCATGTTCGCAATCCCAATTTTCGCTGTCCTCGAATTCTTCTGCAGCCGCGCAAGCAGCAGATCGGGCCATCTGTTGTTCTTGTCCGTAGTGCTGCCGCGGCCGTCGGTGATGGAGTCGCCAATTATAGCCAGTGTGCCCGTGGAAGGCGGGACCCAGGCCTCCACCGCGGAGACGAAGTACCAGTGCGCCGCAGATTGCGTGGCCGCGTTCGATATATCCAGTGCAGGCGCAGAGACAGCGTCGCCGAACTGCCAGAATGACGTCGTGCGGCTGCCGGGGTGCGAGGTGATGCTGTTCGTCGTCTGGCCTGTGGCGAGGTAGATGGAGACGGTGAGCATGCTTTGGGGTTTGATCTCAAAATTTAGAGGGTCCGACACAGCGAGTGCGCCGTTGGGTATCGAGATAGAGGATTTGCCCGAGAAGGTTACTTTTTGGAGGGTGGAAGGTACGATTTGGTGGACGCCTGCGCTGCCGTTCACGGGCAGGGCGATGGTCACCGCGGTGATGGGCAGGTTGGTCACGCCGAACACGTTGGAGATCTTGAGGCGGATTTGCGAGGCGCCAACGGTCATGTGCAGGGTTTCGCGGAGAGTGGAATTGACGAACACGGCGCCGGTTTGGTTCTGGGGATGTTAGTGGGGGCGTGATGCAGGCACTGGGCGGCGTACGAATGGAGCTGGCGGGAGATTTGCTGGCTCTGTGAGCTGCGGCATGGACGCCCAGGTATCAATCCAGTGCCCGTTTGGAGGGTTTGGTCGAACGGCACGTTTCGCGTGCTTTCCGCCAGAGAAATCATTGCTGTGCGCTGACACTACTGGGAGCAAAGCCGCAGCCAAAGCGACCAAGACCTGAAGAGCATGCATCTTGACCAAACTCACTACCGCTTGAGAGTCCGCAGAGAAGAAGAAGTCTACACATGCTGGGAGCTCGACCTTTAATACCTCCCGGCGCTACGGGAGAAGTCATGGCGAGGTAGCGGAATATCGACAGGGCTAACGAAGTCATGGGCGTCGATGCGGGAGGAGCCAATCCCGAGACGGTTCCTGGCGGGCGCTCCATGCGGGGATCGACTAGATTACGGATAAATTGCGCGTAGACGTCGAACGCGCCGTAGACCCGGAACCCAGCAATTTAACCATCGGTCCAGTGATGGACGCTATGATATCAGACCTTCGAAAAAGAAGTATCGCCGCAGTATAGGCATCGGGCCGGCGCGAGATGCGAATAAATACCACCAATGGCTGCGTTAGTACATGTGTACGAGTCGTTGCGCAGCGAGATGAAATAAAAAACTTGCGGAGGAACCATCACGAGCAAGAGCATCAAGTGGAAAAAGTAACTCAAATTATTGGTATCGCCGCATTGAACCGAACCTTCAAGCAGTTAGAAAGTGTCCATGAAGTCAGTGTACAGTGCACACCTGCTCAACGCCGGGCCGGCTCGAATGATCCGATCCGTACACGTAGTGCGCGAGGAGCGGAAAGTAGATGCAGAGCAGTGATGCGAGGCCGAGTCGTGGCTCCAACCTTGGTGCGCAGAAGGCTTCCCAGCTCGCCGGACCTGCGCAAGCATTCAGTCGTCCTGTCAACTGGGTCTGCCTGCGGAGGAAGCCGCATCATCATTCGTGCAACATGTGTTCATCGTAAGTCTTGATCTCATCTCGTTTCCCGGCCTCAAAAGTCGTCATCGTCACTCTTCTTCTTGCGCCTGCTGGACGCTTTTTTCTTCTTGCCGCCGTCCACGTCCATGGCGTCCTCGCTCTTGTCTGCGGCTGCAGGCGCGTCGGCGACCTTGGCCACGATGTCGCTGAGGAAGTCGAACTGCGGGTCGTTGGCGATGGCTTGCTTGAGGTGGACGGCGCCGACGCGCTTGGAGTTGCGCGCCTTGGCCTCGGCGGCGGACTTGGTGACGAGGGAGACCATGAAGAGCTCGAGTGCTTTTGCTGCCGGGGGTCAGTTTGTGCGCACTGCAAAGCGTTCCGCAGAATCAAGGGCGCGGGGTCTGAAACGCATTCTGGGGCGGGGCAATGCGTGCCGCAGCGGAGGGACAGCGCGAGGGAAGGGACACGCACAAACAACAACAGGCGTGACCTGCGCGACCTTGCCAACGTCGTCGTCGGCCTGCATGATGCGCTTTATCCGCGCGACGGGAAAGTGCACCGTGATGTTGACGTCTGGGGACGCTTGGGGGGCGCCATTGTCCTCCCGCTTCACGCCCTTGCCCCGCGGCGTGTCCATCTGGGCGACGGGCGCGTCCTGGCCGGGCACGTAGTCTGCATCTTGCATGCCCTCCTCCTTGCGCACGCCCCGCGGCATGGGGATCGCGTCAGACAAAGGCAGGGCCTTGGCCTGGAGGGTCGGGCTGGAGAGGGGCGGCGAGTAGGGCAGCGAGTGCGAGATGGAGCCGCGGTAGCCCTGGTGCTGCGGGTGGACGGGCTCGTCGTCGTTGGAGCAGTGGCTGGTGGAGAGGTCTGGCGATTGGGGCGCCCACATGTCCGACATTCGCGTTCTTTATGGCAGGCCTTGCGGGATGCCAGCAGGGGTGCGCCGTTGCGATTGGGGCGAGAAGCGAGGCACGGCGAGTGGATGCGAGCAGCGGGTGGAGCTCACAGCACAGTAGCGCCGTGCTGCGACGCGGGCACTGGATGCGGGCTTTTATGTTCCTTTCTAGTCCTTGCGAGCGCAGTGCCAAGGCCCCAGCGCCCCCTCGACGAACAATGCAATGCGGCTGCCTGCTGCTGCTCTCTACTCCACCGCTCGCGCCCGCCCACCACCGCGACTTGGGTCGCCGGCGGGCTCGCGGAGCGTCGCAGGCTGGGTGATGATAAGAGCACTCCGAGACGCGCGCGCACCTCTGAACCGGTGCTGCGCGCTGCCCGTCCTCCCGCACGCGTCGCCCTTCGATGACGAAGCCCGCCCGCCGCCAGGCTGTGCCGTGGTTCTGTCACGACTGGCGCCCGCGCAGGACTCGCGCAGACGTCGCTGACGGTGAATTACTTGATCTAATCTGACAGCCTGCGCGCGAGGAAGTTGCTTTCATGGCTCGTTGCCCGGCGGGGCCGCCACTTCCCCCCTCGGTCGCGACGTCCGGCGGCCATGTTGTCAAGGACACGATGCAGAAGAGCGGCGGAATGTCCGGAGCGTCGCCATCAGGCTGCGCTGCCTGCGAGAGCTCCTCGAGGGGTATAGTGCTCTCGGTCGCTAGAAATAATCGCCCAGATACGAATACATACTGTACAACCCGACTACCTCAGGTATCCTTTACGATGCTGCCGTCCTCTTTCCTGCCCGCCCGCCCCGGCCCCTCTCGTAACCACGTCTCTGCGAATCCGGCCTTGGGATCCTCGTCGACGAGGCCTCGAGACCGCCGCACGTCGAGCACGGCGTTGCGCACCCGCCTAGTGCATTCTTTACGCAGCGCGACTACCTCTTGCGAGTATTTGAGCGTGTCGTTGAGGACCCCGACCTCGAGCTTCCCGCTCCTCGCCTCTTCCCGCGCATGTATCTGCTTCCAGCGCGCGCGCAGATCTCCAAATACCTTCTCGCCGTCCAAGACGTCGCCAAAGGTGATGCTGATGTTCTTGCCCGGTCGCGGGAGGAAGCGCGGGAATGTGCGCTCCTCGCTCATCGCCTCTTGCGGTCCGTCAATCCACATCGGCACGACGTCCGGCATGGGATCGCTCTCCAGTATCAATCGCGACACGCCCCATTTGAAGTAGCGCATTGTCCTGTCCGGGTGCTGATGTATCATGCCTTCTGGGAAGATGTGAACCCAAGCATGGCGGCGTGTGAGGTATGCGGACGGCGAAGGAAACGTGTCGGTGCCGTTCGTCGAGAACGTGAGGTGACCGCCGCTGAACGGGTCAGAGACGTCTGGGCTGCGGAACTTTTTGGACGGCTTCCCCAAGTGGTCGCTTGCGTTGAGGAACGGCCCACGGCAGAGCAGGCGTATCGCTTGCGTTATGGTGGGCTGGAAGAGGCCGCCGAAGTCTGAATGCACGGAGCGATGCGTAGGAAGGACTTGGCCCAGTGTGAAGAAAGTCGAGAGACCCCTACGCCGTCAGCATGTCGCAAAGGTCAGCGAGGAGGAACTCACTTGTTTGTAAAGCATAAGTCGTAGCTGCCCAAGCCCCAGCGCATGTTGTCAGGGCTGAACAGGTAAGACAGCGGCATGACACCCCATACCATCGGGTCGTCAAGTCTATGGAATGACGTATGAGTTTCGATTCTTGCAAACTCGACAGCGAACGTACGTACACAGAGACATGGTTCGATACTACGTGTGTCAATTGTATCCTACAGAGTCGCTTCGTGGTCGCATACCCGTAATCAGCCCTCGTTCCCTTCCCTCAACATCCTCGCGCGCCTCGAGCAGCTTCATAAAATTGTCCAGCCCGTGCGTCTCCGTCTTGCTCATGGCCAAAAAGCCGCGGCAGAGCAAGCCCACGGCGCCCATGACGAAGGCGGAGCCGGCCCTCCATGGCGCGCTCGGGGCAGCGGGCTGCTCTTCGGGGTCGGGTCGCATCGCAGGTGTGGTGAGGTGAGAGTGCGCAAGAAGGCCATGAGCGGAACATGGCAATGTTTTCTCGGAACGGGCAACTAGCGCGCCACGTGTGGCTGGCGCGTCGTCGGAGAGGCCCTGACACTTTCCTGGCGTGCCGCACCCCAGACTACAGGCGACCAAACTCGAGATTCACATCATCACCTGACGACTGGAGTGCAGGCAATCGCACCTCCCCTTCTACTATCTGTCGCTACGGCCCCATTCCAGCCTCGGCCCAAACACGTGCTCCTCCCTTCACCTGCACACCTCCCAAACCACCCATCACCGCCGCCATCATGCCGCCCCCAAAAACAATCTTCACCTCCCACGAGCGCAATAACATGAAAGCAACCTGGGGCTCCCAAGCCGCCCGCCTCTCCCGCGACTCCTTCCTTCCCTTCGGCAGCTGCCAGCTATGTCTTCTCCCCGCCGTCGACCCCGTCTGCTGCCCGTCAGGTGATCTTTTCTGTCGCGAATGTGCGATGACCAACCTACTCGCGCAGCGCAAGGAAATCAAACGACTGGAGAAAGCAGCGGAGCGACGGAAAGAAGAAGAGGAGGACCAGCGGGCACGCGAGGATGAAGAAGCGAGGCTGCGTGCGGTAGCGGAGTTTGAGGCTGTGCAGATGGGGTTGAAGGTCAAGCATGGCGCTGGGTCGAGGGTTGTGGGCCGGGAAGGCGGGAAGATTGTTGTGGAGAAGGAGGAAGAGGGTGCTGCGCGTGGGACGAAGAGGAAGTTTGAGATTGATGAGGAGGAGCTGAAGCGGATTGCCCTTGAGGAGCGCAGCCGCGCGAAGCTAGCGCTCGACGAGGAGAAGAAGGCGGCGAAGGGGCATTTACCCAGCTTTTGGGTCCCGGGCGAGACGCCGGATCAGAATTACAGGAGCATGGAGGTCGCGAAGCGAAATCCGACCTGTCCGTCGGGCGATCCGGAGCATCCCCATGCGCTGTCGCTCAAGACGCTGGTGTCGGCTAACTTCAACATGGAGAAGTCGCCTGAGACGGGGAAGTCGACATTCACGTGTCCGAGTTGTCGCAAGGCGCTGTCGAACGCATCGAAAGCTGTGATTGCGATACCGTGCGGTCATGTGCTGTGCAAGCCTTGTGTGGACAACTTTTTAAGACCAGAGCACAGGCATCATCGAGATGCACACGATGATGGACCGGAGCCAGAGACTGTGCATTGCTATGTCTGCGATGCAGATTTGACCAGTGTGCCGGAGACGAAGTCCAAGGAGAAGGAGGGAAAGAAGAGCAAAAAGGATAAGGTGAAAGGACTGAAGCCAGGGCTAGTCGGGATACGTAGCGAAGGCACGGGGTTTGCCGGTGGTGGAAAGGCAATGGTCAAGAAAGATGGCGTGGCTTTCCAGGTTTGAGAGATATGTTTGTCGTGCAGGCCGTGGAGTTGCGTAAGATGAATTAGGAGAAGGCATCAACAGCAGAGTAATGGTCTTTTGCATGTCACAACCGGATCAGGTTTCGCGGGATAGAGATACTAGGCATGATCATCATGATCCCCACACGCCATTGCAACATGTGTCGAACAAAGCTACCTAAATTTCGCAGGTGCCTCCCCGCCAAGATTTGACAGCTTTTAGACATAGACGTGTGAGATAGTTCCCCAATCGTGATCTCTTTTAGTCGCATCAGTGAGGCAAAAGCAGTGCGAGGGAGAAACGAGTCCGTTGAGGATGGTTGTATACCTTACTCTCCCAACTTTTCTTTGTCCGCGGCCGCCGAAGGAGGCCAGTATCCATCACCCCTCGCAGGTGCTGGATTATCATCACGGTCCCCTAGTCAAATTTCAAGAATGAATTACCATACGTCGCCGATGTGCGAGCGAGCCGCTCCACTAGATATATTCGATCGGAGCCTAGCTTTTTCTAAGAGCGGTTGCCACTATCTGGAGACATATAAGGTGATGTCGGACGCTTCTGGTCTTCCTAGAGAAGCCGGGTGAGGAATTAAGAGGGAGATGAGCGTGATCACATACCCTGCTACCGTGAGAGACCCTCGTTTCTCATAGGATTTAGTGAGGTCGATTGGGCTCCTTTGGAAGGTTTGTCTTCGAATTCCTTGTGAGTCCATAGCCATGTTGATTTTAGAACAGAGTTTTCTTCGGTAACACGCGCATGATCTTCTCTTTCAAGCTATTCGGCAAGCCCACCCATGTCGTTACGCATCCTCGCCACGTATCTATCATCCATGGCAATCCCGATACCTTCGAAATCACTAGCGTTCTAAAGGCTGCTTTGGTTGCTCTAGGTGCTTCAAGTGAGGCTTCTGAACTTTTTTGGAGCCCGAGAATGCAATCAGGCGTATCAAGCAAAGGTATCATTCCTCTGTCGCATGGTTTCCAGATCCGTCAGACTTCGGGGAATAATTGAAGTTCTAGCACAACATATTTGTATATTTCTAACGAGGCAGACTTCACCAGGAGCCATTGTTGAAACTAAGGAGGCCAACCTGGGATATATCGCTGGGTTTTCTCATGTCCGCGTGGCCTCAACGTGTGGGTACATGGTCCTCCTTTGCTCCTAAGGATGCTGAAGTACCCCGGGTTTTAGTTTCAATGGCCTTCACCGCCGGTCTATCACTCCTACTTGGAAAGCTCTGCCTGCTAACATTGCTCTACCGATTCTTTGGACACATTGACCGTGTCCGGTATCACCTCTTCATTACGGTGGCTTTATTCTTTCCTCTGCTAGCTTCGTGTATCCTCTTTCCAATCATGGCCTCACCACCTCGAGGTAAGCCTCGGGGAACGGAAAATTACGTAACTAAGGAAGGATCCATTGATCTTTTGTGGCGTCCTTATACCGAAAGGCCAGCTGCCAGGCTTCTGGATCTTCATGTACCGGGTATCACCACTCACGTATATCGTCGTAGGCCTCCTCACTGTCGGCATATCAAATAGGGCATTCGAGTGTTTGGAAAGCGAGCTCGTCATTCTAAACAATCCGAAGCTGATGGCGTGCCAAGAATATCTGACAATTTACCTTGAATTAGTAGGAGGTAGATTCTTGAATCCAGATGCGAGGACTGGCTGCAAGGTCTGCCCAGTGTAAACGGGTGAAGAGTACTTGAAAATGATGAATATCAGTTGGGCTTATCGATGGCAGTATCTCGGATACATTTGGTGTTCGTTCTGTTCAACATTGCAATGACCTTTTTGGCGTATTGGGCCTTTAGAGTGCGGAAGTTGCGAATTATCCAAAGTAAGGGCAGGGATCCATAGTCACAGGCCAATTTCTATACATGTTCCCAGCCCAGCCATCCACTGAGTACTAGGAAACTTTGAACAACACATCAAGACTGAATTTACAGGTTCATACAACCAATTCATTTCATCCATGGCATTGAACACCTGGCATATTCTCTTCGACCAAGGCCACCGACCAGCGTCGCCGTTCTATCACATGCCGTCCTGATAAGACTCAAACCCCTTAGCATGCACCAAAGTCACCTTCCATAGCCCATTCAGCCCAAACATACCCCTACTTACTTCTCCTCATCGTCCATCTTGAAGATCATCCTCGAGTTTGGCGTGGTGGGGGACTCAGCCGGCGTTGTCATCTTCGAACTCAGGGGCCTATTCTTCTCCGGCGACTCGCTAGCCCTGACATTCAGGAACGGATTTGGTAGCGGCGTGCTGATAGTGAGGCCCCGGCGATTGCGGCTTCGAGGGGTCTTAGGGCGGCCGACTGGGACACTGAAACCCGTTTTGGCAGGGGCAGCAGTGTTGAGGTTGGTGTTGCTGTGAGGCCAACCTGCGGGGAAGGATGCTTTAAGCTTGGAGGCGGAGGCGGAGGCGGACTGAGGGATAGCGATGGCGGGGGTGGCGGGAGTAGAATCGCCGCCTTTGGTGGTGGTGTCCTGCGGCGGGGAAGGCGGAAGGGGGATTGCAGATGGAGTCGTGGGACCTGGGTCGCGCTTGGTGGTCGAGGTGGACTTGTCAGAGGAGTGAGCAATATGAGCTGTAGAAGAACACATTGTGGTGGTGTATTCTTGGAGATGTTCGTGATCGAGTTGTAGATTGGTGCTCGAGGTAGTTCGACTGCCTTAATTTGTGTCAGTGTGATACTGGCAATTTGAACTATATAACTACCTGGTATGCAGCCGTTTGTAGCGTATCGAGTGACTGGATCTGGCGTTATCTGCTTGCGCAGTCTGCTTGCACGATTGACGCAAGGGTGAGTCGTCGCTGGTGTCTCGGTGTCGAGGGAATTATGCGATTCTTTTGACTGCGAAGCTTTGGGTGCTTTCGGAAACTGCTTTGAATGAATTAGCACGACCCACGATCGACTACGCGAGGACTCTAAGTAAGGGGGAGGCGCTTGAAGCTCTTTCAGTATGTAGTTGAAAAGAGGCAAAATAGGACCGACCCAAAATGGAAAGATATCTGAGGGCGCGCATGCCCCCAGGCACCAGCACGCCATTGGCGAGTGAATAACAACACCAGCAAACGGAACACTGCAGTGTTGCCTATGGTGATATGGCTTCAACGATAAGATGGCTCAAGGTAAGAAGTTTCGCATGCTCGTCACGTGTGACATTGTTCACTCTGGACGCTATCGCTGATCTATTCAGGCGTTCAGATCACGCGGGCGGTGTGGCTGATACCAGTTTTGTGCTGATCACGATGTGTGAACACTCAGTAGCAGCTCGAAGCAGTATCATATGTGGAACTCAGCTTGCAAAGAGAGCTGGGACGTGTCGCTAGACCAAAGTAAAGACGTGTAGCAGATGCAGGTCGCATGTTGCATTGATTTCCACTCATAGTGTCCGCTAGACTATAGGGATGAGTATCCTAACGTTATGATCGCAAATGTGTATTATGATATCCGTACACAGGCACTGATTTCGTCTTAGCATCCGCTGTTTCCAGCATGATCCACTGCCTGACAGCCAAACCAGTTCCATCTTCCCCCATGATTCGTCTTTTCGTATTCGCCCCCGAAGCTCATGTTGCCATCGTTCGTAGACCATACATGTTCTACCAGACGCATTTGTCATATTGTCATCGCTCTGCAGATCCGTACCCAAACCACCAGTTCAAGGATCAGCAATCGTCGGAGCCTGGAAAGCCGGTTCCTCCCCTTTCTCTGCGTTCTTCTCCGTATCCCTGTGCGCCTCGCGCACCACAGGCGCGAGCCGTAGCGGCGTGACCGGCAGGAAAAACTTCTGTCCCTGATCCTCTTTCGCAGCCACTTCATCCTTAGTCGTAGCAGAAGCCCTAGCGCGGCTCTCACAAGCGCACTTCATGACCGGTGAAGCCGCGTTGTCGGCGATATAAGCGCAGGTGTGAGGAGCCACGCGCTCTTGCTCTTCCTTCGAACCCGGCGTCAGGCGCAAGAAAGGGCCCCAGCCGTTGTCGCCGAAGTCGAGGTTGGGGCGGGTGGCGCCACCGAGGTCGTGGCCGGAAGCGGGTTGGCGGGCTGCGGAGGGACAGACTTGGGCTGGTGCCGAGGCCATGTTTACTGTGGTACGTGAGGTGCGTAGGTGGTGATTTGTGTTTTGTGAGTGAGGTGGAAAGTGCGAGGTGTCGTGCCGTGGGTTACGCAGATGTGAGCAGGTGAGTGAGTGGCGTGTTCAATTTAGTCGCAAGGCGGAGCTCACAGTTGAACTTCGAGCGGGCGCCTGGTGGATCTCAAGATCGCGGTGTGAGTGTCCTGGGCGTTGGTTGGGGAGCTGATGAACCTCGGGTCACGAGCGAGATGGGTCACAGTGTAATGGTGGTGAGTGAATGCGAGGTGGTACGCCAAATGGAAAGTCGGATTTCATTTACCTAACGGCGTGGAAGCTTGCCCATAGAGTAGAGCAGCACGTGGCTCTAGCACTGGATAATGCTCGCTCTAATTCGTCCGCTGCCGATTGAAAGAGCAAGAGCGTCCAAAGCCGCCTGACCAAGAACTTGCCAACAGACCCCCATAATGGACGTCTAGGGGGGATATGCTAAGCGTGACAAATTGTTCAGCACGTCAGTTGGAGATGTACAATTGGCGCACGAGCAAGCACCTTGATAGAAGCACATTGAAGAGTGGACAGATATACTGAATCGGATATCTACGCTCGCTCACTCAAAAGATTGTCCACCTACTCATGAGCTGCCAATACCCTTGAGATGCTCCTCGTGCAACTTCTTCTGCTTCTCCCATTCCTTCCGCAGCTTCTTTCCCTTGCTCTTCGGCACATCAACGCCTTCCTTGTCCTTCGTCGGCACACCATCGTCATCCCACGCGCTATACTCATCTGTCTTGAACATGTCCTTGGGGTTGATCCTCGCCTGCTCCGCTAATTTGGCTTTCTTCTCCGCCTCTTCACGCTCGCGCTTCTGCTTAGCCTCAGCCTTCTGCTGGGCGATAGCTTCTTTCTGTTCACGTTCTGCCCGCAGCTCGGCATCCACAGGGCGCACCATCGCCGGTGCGTTGGTTCTGTCTTCAAGGTACACGCCTGCGTTCCACAGGTGCGTGTCCCGGAGCTCGTCGCACAGGTCGAGGTAGGCTTTTGCCTCCGCCTTTTGCTGCGAGAGGAGTATCAGGTCTTCTTGAAATTTCGAGAGGAGCTCGGCCCAGGGAACAGCTGCAGCGTCCTGTTGCTTGCTTGGCTTGTCCTTCGAGACGAGTGAATCTATTCTCAGAGGCTCCTTCGCAATAGCACGCTGTCGAACTTCATCACGCAACCGAGATGCGGCATAGATATAATCCTTGCCCTCTTCGGGAATGTCGACCCCTGCCCACCCAATACCGCCATCATCCGGCGACGCTTTGCCGTCCAGGCCGAAGATCCTTACCATCCTCGTTACATATTGGCCCAGCTGTCTGCTAACATCATCGCTGAGTCCCGCTTTGTCGGCCGTGTTCCATGCTTCGACCAAGCCGCGAATCGCGCGAAGGGCGGTCGGGGTGTCAAATGAGTCCGCTAAGGCCTCATTAACTTTCAGCTTGGCCGTAGCCAACGCTTCAAGCACTCTTGCATCTTCTGTTCCAGTCGAATTCGTGTTTGGATGCATCTCGAGATCTTTGATGCGCATGAAAAAGCTCGAGACGTAGCTCTCAAATCCAGCCGCAGCTCTCTTCATATCGTCTTCTATTTGAACCCCCGAGTGCCAACCTGGGCTCAGTCAGTCTGCGTCTCACACAAGAGTAGTGACAGTGCTTCGCTTGTTCAGCCAAGCCAAGCCAAGCGGAAAGTCGTTCTGATGTCCTAAGTAGGCACACAGCAGACATCCTCGTGCTTAGCAGAATCACCCGGTCTCAGTTCTTACCTCCCATCAAGAATATAATTCGAAGGCTTCTTGGGGTAAACTCGCCATTAGATAAGGCTTCTCTAATGGTGATGAAGTTCCTGCCAAAAGACGATCCGTTAGCAAGGCTCTGTTATTATTGTAGACCGTTGCTTTGAGTCTGTACTACTCTTGCAACTAGGGTTCTTCTCACTTTAAGCTCTTCGCTTAATATTGTCAGCGTGATTCGGTAGAGGAGCAGATACCCCGTGTACATCTCCATCAAGCGAAAAAGACTAGAAATCTTTCCTTCTGCAAGAAGAGCACGTCCACGTTGTACTGGGTAGTTTACTTACACATCTTCGAACCTGCGATGCTTAGATGTCCCATGTGCAGAAAGTACTAAAGGAGGTCAGCAGTGATACATGATGTGCTGGACTTGATTAGACTTGCATTGATCCACTGTTTCCCGGTTGACCAATAGGCTTCGCTCTGCGCAAGCTCGTTGTCGTGATGAGGGAAGCAGAGGTCAATTCCGCCGCTGTGAATGTCAATCTGTTTGCCCAGCGTCTCTGAGGCCATCACCGAGCACTCTATACTCGAAGTCAGCTGAATTACAGATAGCAGTTTGCTACGGGTAATAACCTACCAATGTGCCAACCTGGCCTTCCCTGCATGAAGGAGGACTCCCAAGCTGGCTCGCCTACTCGACTGGCTTTCCAAAGTGCGAAATCTCCCTCTGAGCGCTTGCCAGATTTAGTAGACAGAGAGCCCTCGCCGTCTGCAATGAGACTGCTGTCATGTTTGTTCCATGGTTCAAGCCTCGCGTAATGATTGCCCTCGACCTTCTCGAACGCGGCGATGTCGAAGTACACCCCAGTGTCAGTCGCATAACCGAAGCCCTTCCGCACGATCTCTTCGGTGAACGAAACTACCTGCGGAACGTATTCAGAGACTCTTGTTGTCACGTCTGGCGGAAGGACGTTCAAAGCCTCCATGTCTTCGTCGAACAGGATTTCGTATTTCTTGGCAAGGGCACTGAAAATTTCGTGGTCGCTGCTAGAGATGGAGGTGCCGTACAGAGAGTCCAGATAAGGCATCAGCACATCGGAGGCGTTGTCGTAAAAGTTGGCGGCGTCCTCGTCTGAACCTTTGGTTGGTGAGAGCAATGCGGTGGCTGCCTTAGCCAGGGTTTGAATGTGCATCTTGATTTTGGCTTCCTTATCACCAGGGGGATTAATGCCGTCGAGGGACTTGCCGGCAAGTACTGAGGCATACTTCTCCGCGGACTCAGAACTGAAGTCTTCAGGTTTCAATTCGGGAGTGAGCAGAGGCAGCTTCTCCGCCGCGTACGCATGGAACGCTTTGAGGGTGGTGGCGAGGGCATCGGCCGTGACTTGAGGATGTTGGGATCGAAATTCAGACAAAAGGTGTTGCTGCCTTGCGCGAAGAATGATCTTATCATCAATGTCGGTCACATTTTGCACGTATTGCACTTGGAAACCAAAATAGTCCTTCATGATTCTCCGAAGAATGTCATTCGAGACATAGTTCCTTGCATGACCCAGATGGCTGTAGTCGTAGGTTGTCGGGCCGCAGCTGTACCAGGTCACCCTCTTGCCTTCAGGGTCGATAGGCCGAAACGGCGTTTTGGTCTTGGTGAGGGAATTGTAGACCACGAGCTTAGAGGGCGCGCCGGGATGCGGCTCCTGCCAGGGAGGTTGCTGTGCCATTGTGCTACGGAGTCGAAGGGGTGTGGTGAATCGAAATGCTGTGAACGTAATTCGTGAAAAGCGGCTGACTGAAGAATGCAGGAGCATTCAGGAGAGAACAAAGGTAAGAAGAGAGAGGGGAAAGGCCGAAAGGCAGACGCCAGAAAAGGGCAGTGACCCTGAGCCTGTGGCGGTGCGCGATGACAGTACCGCAGATGGACAGGTGTGAGTCAGGTCAGGTGACGTAGAGTCCCGATTTGGGCTTGGTTGTTGGACGTCAACAGTCCGCCCAGATACCGCAAGTCCTTCTCTGGGTTTCCGTCGAAGGATGGTCAGGCCGAGCGAGAGCGGACGCGCGAATGGGTGAAGGAAAGGCGAAGGTGGGTTGTGGGATATTGCACGAAAGCGACAGCGTGAGGGTGAGGTGCCAGATCGCTCCTAGCGCGCGGACCACGCAATCTGATCCTTGCGCCCCCACAGGCCGCTGCCCCGCCCAATTTTTTCGTGATCGCGTCGAGCTGCTTGACCGCGTCCAGGTGCGCCTACGATCATCATGGCGCCTGCCGTCTCGCCCTTCCTCGATCCCGGCACAAGCTCCTCCGCCAACAGCCTCGGCATCCTCCAGCTGAAGCGCGACCACCTTATTCCCACCGTCCTCTCCGATGCATCGTCGACCGAATACGCCGAGGGAAATGTGGTGAACACCCGCTTCGGCAGCTTCACTCACAACAGTCTTATCGACAAGCCTTGGGGCACACAGATCCTCGCCTCGGTCGTGGATACGGGCTCGCGCGGCGGCAGATCGAAGAAGAGGAAGCGCGAAGCCAATGGCGAGGGCCCTGCGGCAGAGGATGCTGCTGGCAGCGAAGAGCCTGTCAGAGGCATTGTGAAGGCTGCGACAACTGCGAGCAGTGGATTTGCGCATCTTGTACCGCCCACGCCAGAGACATGGACGCTGTGTCTACCCCACAGGACGCAAGTCGTCTACACGCCCGACTATAGCTTCATCATTCAGAAGACCCGCCTGCGACCGGGGGACCACATCATTGAGGCGGGCGCTGGTAGTGGCAGCTTCACTCACGCGGTGGCAAGGACAGTGTTCAACGGCTACTCTGGGCTGGAAGCACCAGAGGAGGACAAGGACGGACAAGAAGCAAACGGGACAACCTCACGCAAGAGAAAGAGACGGCAGCAGCGCCACGGCCATGTCTACAGCTTCGAATACCACAAGCCCCGCGCCGAGCAGCTGAGAGAAGAGCTCGTCTCTCACGGCCTCGACCCCCTCGTCACAGTCACCAACCGCGACGTCTACGCCGACGGCTTCTGCGTCGACACTGAAGACGAGAATGCACCCAACGCCGACGTAATATTCCTCGACTTGCCAGCACCTTGGCTCGCGCTGAAGCATCTCACGCGCTCGCCTCCTCCCCCGGCAGTCGTCAAATCCATCGCTTCAGACCCATCCACGCCCACTGCCGAGCCGACCACATCCACATCCACACCCCAAGCACCGAAACCCTTCCGCTCGCCGCTCAACCCCAAGACCACCACCAGGCTATGCACCTTCTCTCCGTGCATCGAGCAAGTTCAAAAGACCGTCGCCGCCATGCGCTCCTACGGCTGGCTCGACATCGAGATGTTCACCATGGAGCATAAGCGCCTCGAAGTGCGCCGCGAGCGCGTCGGGCTCGCCGAGGAAGGCCTCCGCGGCGCGAACCCCTCCCCCGCGACCGTCCAGGAAGCCGTCCAGCGCCTGCGCGACGTCGAAGACCGCGCCAAAGTGTTCCACGGCCTGCAGAAGGAGAAGCAGGAGCAGGTGATGCGGCGTGCCGAGGCGAAGAAGCGCGGGGAGAAGGCGCCTGCTGCAGAGAGTGAGGCCGACGGCCAGAAGAAGAAGACCGAGGGGTTGCCGCCAAGCAAGCACGATCGGTTGGAGCGCGCGAAGAAAGAGTCCGAGAGCAGGGCGCTGTTCAAGGAGGGCAGGCTCGTGTGTCGGACCGAGCCTGAGATCAAGACTCACACGAGTTATCTGGTGTTTGCGGTGCTGCCCGTTCAATGGACGGCAGAAGACGAGGAGAAGGCGAGGAGGAAATGGGAGTGAACAGATAACAAACGGACATGTTCGCTGCACGCGTTCGCGGCTTAACCTGCGATAGAATACAATTCCCCACGATACCCCCGAGCCAATTCCACTCCTTCGCCTGCATGCCGCCACCGTCCCCTTCCCATTCGCTTTCAAATCCTCTCCTGAACTGTCGATTCGCTCGAATGGCGAAAACACTTGTTCATTGGGTGCGGCTACTGGCACCCAAGCGGCGCTATCGAGCGCACGTGCACGCCGTTCAAGTACCCAGGTACCTATTCATAGACCTCGGCGCCGATCCCTCGGCAACACCGCGAACGCACAACCGCATCGTGACATTGACACTGACAGACGATGGTGAAACGAAGCAGGGTCCATGCGATTATTGTTTGGACTATCGAAGGGTGGTCGAAGTGAAGGTGAACTATCGAATTGACGGTAGATCTCCATGATACGGTACTGTGCTACTGCTACTTGAGCCTGACTCGTGTGTTCTACCCAACTTCGTCTCCAAATGCTGCCATGCTGGATGGCGAGCGCTGGTGTAAGATCCGAGCTTTGCTAATTTCCAAGCTGTTGCCAACCGCGCTTCCAGTGCACGTATCCCATCCTACACAACGCGTGATTGCCCAGGTAAAGACTGGACCATCAGAGATGCCAAGGCCTTTCCTCCACCTCCCTTCCCTCTTCAACCCCACACCGCGTCCTTCGCCCTCTTGCTCCCATCCCTCAGTGGCGGCGTAGAAATGACATGCGTCCACGTCTCCTCACCATCCACAAACAGCCTGTACTTGAGCAGACTCTGCTCGCTTGTCTCAGGCGCCGTGATCTCCACCGCACCAAACTTGCTGTTCCCATCCGGCAGATACTTGATGCACACGTCGCCGTCGTCGATCTCGCTGTACGTGCGGAAGGGGAGGTAGAACATGGACAGCGGGCTCGTGCTGAACTCGTGCACCGTCGCGCTAACGGGCCAGTCCGAGTCCTTGGGCGGTGGGAACGATGTCGCGGCGAACTCGTGGCGGTCGCCGCTGAGAATAACGACGCCAACGTCATGTGTGGATGAGAGTGACCACGCGGCTTCGAGGATTTGGCGCCGCTCGACGAGGTACCCGCCCCAAGTATCTTCGGACCCAAATTGCCAGTTTCTCGTGAACGGGACCCCTGTAACAATGATCTTCCAGTGGACGCCCCGTGGGGGCGGCGTGGCGATCCACGAAAGCAGGTCAGAGAGTTGCGTTGCACCGAGCATGGTCTTGACGGGGTCGTTGGGGTCGGAGTTCTCAGGGCTGCGGTAGGCGCGGGTGTCAACGAGGAAGAAGTCCGCGGGGCCTTGAACGAAGCTGAAGTACGTGTGGCCGTGTCTGTGGGCAGGGGGGTTGGCGGCTGCGTGGTAATGCTGGAAGGCATCATAAGCAGGCACGGCGAGGCCGGTCATGTTACCGTTCCAATCATTCTGGATTTCATGGTCGTCTATGACGTGAATCCATGGGAGGTCCTCACTGACGGAGGGCCAATCGGGGGAGGAGTAGACTTGTCTGTATTCGCGGCGGTAGTACTCTGCGTCTCTTCCTCGCTGGAGCGGGACGTCAGCATAGATGAAGTCTCCCAGGAATAGCATGAAGTATGGTTTCAGCTCGGGGATCCAACGGGCCAGATGCTTGAATCCAGGGAAGTGCAGAGGATGTTGGAAAGGCGAATATGGCACGCCTGCAGATACAGTGAGATTTCTTGTTCATGTGACCCACTCCTTGGTGGACTTACGTGGTTTGATGCAGCTTGAGTGGAGGAAAGTGTACTTGTCGTCTCTGAAAGCGGACAGGTGTCCTGGCCGTGGCGGTGTGGTGAAGGTTCCTGTGGTGTTCCCACTGGACGTCTCGATCACGTACTCGTAGGGGGTGTTCGGGCGTAGGTCTACACACCGGTAAGCAGTAAGAATGGGATGTGAAGGGTCTATTCTGGGAAACCTCACGATCGATCTTGATGTTGGTAGTGAAGTCGGAGTCGCCCGTAAGCCAGTACTCGGGCTGGCTTGACCGGAGCGTGCTCTGCATCCATGACCGCTCGTACTCGTCGATCGACCTGTAGAGCACCTTTACGTCATATGCATACGGCTCTCGTATAAGGATGTTGGCATAGTTGTCAGAAACATAGCCTATGCGGCCAAAGCTCGCGTGATGGTGTGGATGGAAGATTTGTGCACGATAAATGACGTCTGCTATCATGGCCAGCAGAGCCACGTTGATGCCGAACGTGGCCCAGCTCCAGAAGATGGATGACGGGCTCGGTCTGCCCGTGAGCAAGGTCCGTAAGATCTTTGGCTGGCGCTCTTCATACTGGATTTCCTCCTGGACGTCCAGCTCTTGCAGGGGTCCGTCGTCTGCGCCCTCGAGCAGCTCCACGCGCTCAGAGGACTCGGAGTCACTTGTGTCAACCGCCTCTTTTACAATTATGTTCAGCTCGTCGGATATAATCTTGAATGGCGCAGTATCCTGGAGGCTTATGAAGAAGGATGGGATGTAGACCAGGGCCAGCGCGGTAGCGAGGGGCGGTACAATCTGTCATTCCTGTGGTTAGAATACGAGGTGCGCTCTACGGGAGTGTAGACTGACAGATGTAGGTATCTACGGTAATCAATAGTCAGTTTCCGCTTAGACAATACATTGGACGGGGGGGAGTGGAGTCAGGCAGGCGGACAGACCCGGAGTCAGTCGCGATTCGGGCTACTCACCCATCGAAGAAAGATGTATGCGCTCAGGCGCAGGGCTAGCGAGCTCACAAGCGCAATCACGTCGCTCAGCGAGGCCATTGTTACTGCTACGATGTATGCTCTCGCATCGCGCAGCGTGCGTGGTGTCCTGCTGCAAGACGCGCCGCGTGAATTCTCCAGTGACGTATCGCTGACCGACGCCGTCCAGACTGGCGGCCGAGAAGCCATCGCTGGTTGCGGTCTAGCGCGCCCAATTTAGCAGCGACGCAGGTCCGAGCGCCCCCAATAGCCTAGTCCTTTCACACTAACACTGAATCCTCACCTTCTCTCGACCTTCTTGTGGCGGTGCGCAATGACTGGCTCTTCTCGTATTTGCTTCCAAGCTCAACGGCCCAACTACCGCTCCAGGTCGACCCACCCATCCCGCACTGACTTGCAGGCGTTTTCAATGAACCATGTTTCAGGCATTGCCTTTGTGGCCTACGCGTTGTCATTATGGCATTTTTTCTGGGAATGGCACCGAGAGTTTTGGTTTGTATAAATGGTTCACGATGGGGCCCGAGACGGTGGAGACGCCAGATCGACGACCGCTTTCTCTACCACTACGACACTGAATAGAAGAACAGCCTGTTGCCAATTCATCCAGATATTCATGTTTCAATACTGCTCAGAATTTCTCCTTCAATCTCTCAGGATACTCCCACACACTAATCAGCCGATAAACCATCTCACTCTGCACCTGTTCCTGCGTTGAAACATCCGCAATGGGAATAATGCAGAGTAGCTTTCCCCCACCACCCAAATGTCCAAACTGCGGGCAGCCCAAGGACGCGAACCACTCCTGCTCAACCAGCGGTGGAACACCGTCCAGCGGATATTCCAGCTAAACGGTTGCTGAATGACCACTGCCAAACCGCCGCAACAAGGTTGCATTGACGACATCACCACAGCCAACATGGATCCATGAACACTAACAGTCGTTCTTTGACGGGTATGACGCCTAAACAGAAAGATACGGGCCTCTAGGCTGATCGCCTTGCGGTAAACTCTAAACCCTCCTCGCCATACACCATGAGAAAGCTCCCCGGCCCCCACACCCGTGCCGCATCCGCCAACAGATACGCGTGTCAAAGGAACTACCAAGGAACCATCTAAGGAACCATGCTGCGGGACGACGCGCGGAAGCCTGGAGATCTAGGCAGCAGCAGCCTGCAGCCGCTCCAACCGCGAATTTCCCTGCTCGGAGCCTGCACCTGAGGGCCAAATGAGGACGCAGTAAACCAAATAAGCTAAAGATCCTTCCAAGACTTTGGTAAAGTGTACGTCGGAGCCAGCTTGGTGGGAGTCACAAGGCTGACGTACGGCAGATCCTACTCGGGGCCCGGCCACAGGTCACGCTAAGTCGTGGCTATGGGGCTGAGTGCATCGTCGACATCACTACACATTGAGATCTGAGTGATAGTATGGTGTCACGAAGTTGCTGCGAGCAGGTTTTGTTTGTGATTGATTGTGATTGGTGGAGGACTAATTGGACATGTGTTTCCTTGGTTACTATATTTGTTTTGTTTTGTCGACGCATTCTTTTTAGAATTTGTTGTCTGTTTGCTCCTGTTCTCTCTTTTCGTCGCTCCTTGATCTAACATTGTGTCTTGGCTTTCTTTTAATAATGTTCAAGACATTTGCTCTAGTAGGCGATGTCTATGCGACGTTCACACTCTCATGCCATCTGTCGTTTCAATAGTAACACACTTCAGCAGGACCGTTGCCTCTATATGACTCCCTTCTATTCCTTCGTGTGCCGCAATGGCCCATTCATACAGCACTTCGATCCCCAACCCGCTCCACCCACCTTGGTGCACACGAACTCAAAAAGCAGTTTAAATGGTTCCTCGATTGACTATCAAACCCTCTCCCTAATCCTCCACCCAGTGATACACACCCTCCCCGCCAAAATCGTACAACTACCCACCAACATCATCGTCCCCGCCCACACCTGCGCCGCAAGATAATCTCCACCGCTCCTCTGAATCAACGCCCCCGCGATCGGCGGCCCACACAAACTCGCCCACCCAACCACACTCAACCCCATCCCATTCCTCGTCCCCACCTTACTCATGTCTTTTGTCAAATTCGCCATCACCGCGGGGAACAAGCCCTGGAATCCCGCGCTGAAGAAGCCATACAGGATTGTAAACGCGTACAGCGAGGCCTTTGTCTTGACGGCCGCCCAGCAGTACATGAGCAGCGAGGTGATGAAGGTCAGCGGGATGAGCGTGTTGTACGGCCCCAGCCAGCGGTTCGCGATGTACCCCGGGATGAGGCGGCCGGGGAGCCCCATCCCGTTGAGAATGAGGATGAGGTTGATGGATGTGCCGTAGGAGACGCCGATGACGTTGACGGCGTACGCGGAGATGTAGTAGAACGCGAAGTACACGCCCAGGCACACGAGGAACAGCCCGATGGCGTAGAGCGTGTATGGCGCCTCGCGGAAGGCGCTGAGTTCGAACAGGGGACCGCTTTTGCGGGGTGGGAGGCGCGGCCGGAGGAGCGAGGTATATACTGCGCCGACGGCGAGCATTATGAAGCCCATTACGCGGACCGTCCATTGGAAGCCGAGCTGCGGGAGGAGCTGGCGGGCGATGGTGGGATAGAGAAGGCCACCGATGGCGGAACCGCAGGCCATGACGGCGAGGGCAGCGCTGCGATTGCGCGCAAAATAGGTAGTTACCAAAGACATGGAGGGCGCGAATTGGCAGCCATTGCCGATGCCGTTCATGAGGCCCTGCGCAAGGAAGAACTGCCAGTAGGTATGGCAGAGGCTGGTGAGGAAGATGCCGAGCGCAGAGAGGAGCATGCCGGGAACGACGACCCAGTGGAAGAACCCGGCGTCGAGGGCGCGGCCCGTGAACATGCCTGGGCTGAGTTAGCGTTTTGCGTTTCTACACAGTAAGAGGTGGTGTCGATTGGGTGATCATTTTGCAACGCGAATGACCGTTCATCCTAGAGAATCGTATGCCATTGCACGTCTCCAGACTTCTCAGCTTTTGTTATCAAGCGAAACTTACCCAGTCCAAAATGCCCCAGCATCTGCATTGACCCTATCCAGCTCACTGCACTCGGCTCCATCCCCAACTCCGTCGTGTAATAACTTTGGAACACCCCAAAAGTTGCAGTCATGCCCCACGTATTCGTGATAACCAGCATGCCTGCAAACACCTGCAGCCACGCCTTGACGCCTCCTTCTGGTGGCGGACCCGGATCAACAACCGACGCATTTGAGCGTGCGGTTATCGTCTTCGTGATTTGTTTCAGAGCATTTGGTTTCGTCGATATAGCGCGAGAGCGATGCGTCTGTATCCGCTCAATCCCCTCCTCTCCGAGTTTTTCCTGTGGTGGTGAGAAGGACGCTGTGGGTTGTCTTATTGAAGTTTCGGTGATATCGGCTTTCTCGCCGACATTATGACTGGAAAATTGATGTGCTTCCTCGCCTTTCTCCGTTGCGTACTGGGCGCTTTTCTCCACGTCCAATATCTCTTTATTAGCCATTATGACTTATGCACTGAGCATGCATTTATCACGGAACTGCCTGTAGAAAGGTGTTCCGAACCCAGAGCGTTCACGACAAACGAATGTAGCAAAGCACAGCAATCTCAAATCCCATTTCCCCCGCGCGCCGGGCACCCCAGATACTTAACCTTACCCACACCGACAACCGGCGAGACAAGTTGCCTCCACTTGCGTGCATGAAGTATCATGCTATTCAACGCCGTCATTGGTTGAAGTGCTGGGAATAATGGAGTTGGGGTTCTCCGTCGGGTGCGCTTATGGTTGAGCTAGCCGATTAAGCGTTGAGCTGCGGTGGGAAGGCCGCGGATAAGAGCGTCACGTTGCGATTATAAAGCAACATCTTTCATGAGGTATGGATGATGGAAGGCTCGATGCATGGCTTCATTTTTGGGGCTTATATCGCATCGTATACATTTGGTGTTGATTGGTAGTTATTTGCAAGCCGTGGGCATTTATAAGCAAGCGATGGCGATATCGAGGACGTTGGTAAGGATGCATGGTACGTCGCGAAAGCCTTGGGAAGGATTCCGCGGCCGTGTTTGAGCTGATAGACATTCGCTGTGTGTGCTTGAGCAGGAGCTATGACGCTGCGCATCAATATGCTTACACAGTCGCAGTTCAACTTGATGTATTTGGGCTTAAGCGAACTGGCTGTCCGATTGAATCTCTCCATACTGAAGACTTCGCCAGGTACGAAAAATAAGACTACGGGGTCTCGCATTTGTGATTGGTATCAGACAGCGATGTGCAAAACATGTCGAAGATCATCGCGTGATTCGAAGTCTTTGCATGTGTTCCAAAGCTGTTGTCCGGCTTATGAGATATTGATCCATGTCCAAATCTCAGCTCGTCCACTAAGGTTCTGTTTCCTTTGCGCGTACAACTTCGTGGTAAGCCGGCGGAACATCGCCGCTGCTGTCTGGTCTTCGCACCACAGGTTGAACCTGTTGTAGTGGAACACTTTGCGGCGTCCGAGCTCTAGGCTGTGGTGTTCCGGGCTGTGTATCCATTGCAGAGTCGTAAGGGTTCTTCCTGCCAGTCCTCCTTGTCCACAGCCAGATGATCACTCCCATAATTATGGATGCAGCGGCGAGCACGCCGACCACAACGCCAACAATGAGATTAGGATCTCTCGAGGTCTCCTCCTGCCTGAGTGCTCCTACAGAGGCTTCAGGGGGTGGTGAGGGAACCGCGTACGATGGTCGTGGTACCATGACACCAGTCGGATTAGACTTGTTGAAAACTTTTCTCTGTAAGGTTTCTTGTTCCTGAACGAGGAACGGGACCGAATAGTCATCGAAGTGGAAGGACCCAGGTTCACTTGGAAGACTGAAGATACAGAGACCGCATGTCTCATTGGGAAGGGTCGAGTACTGGTCAAGTTCCGGTAGGTCTAGAGATAGGCCCCCAGGTCCTTCTCTCTTGCTGTAATACTGTACATTGCTGGTTTCGGTATCTATTCATGTCAGGGCCAAAGGTAGTATTAAGACGCGGTTTTAGCGCCGGGGTGTGTACGAACAATTAGAGCATGCGTTCTCGATGCTCCCATGCTCACGCCCTGTCTTGCATAGAACACAATTCATTCCGTAGACTCTGAGTTCACGGTCTTTGAAACCCCCCTCGATAGTATCTCCCACGCTAACGACTGCGTCTTCGCCACCCCAGCCCTCGTTCTTGAATCCCAAATCAACACGTTCTTCTAGAGTTAGGTTCTGCACTGCTGCGAGTAGCAACGAGATGACGCCGTTGTCGTCTTCAGTGCCATTGTGGGCCCGAGCATATTGGACATAGAAGTCGTTCACGAAAGTGGCGTTGAGCGCTGGTGGGAAGACCCACGAGGTCCCGTTCGATGTCATCTCGTTGCCCGGCGCATCCGGCTGATCCTTTTTGTCGTGCGAGTTGTTGGCGACTGTAGTCGTCGCAGTAGCATCGTTTGTTAGCTGGCCATGTCGCGTGCGACGAGCGATGCTTGCGCGCGCCGGAGCAGCACCGTTGAGGTATTTTAACTAAAGAGGGGAAGCGAAGAACTGTATGATGCCCTCGTATCCGTATTAATGAAATGGTCGAGAACAATGGGGATTCACATCCCGGTCTCGCTTATCATCCAGCTTCTATTTTGGGCGAGTATAACGGCGAGAGAAAAGCAAACTTGGCTAGAGGAGGGCTAGCGGGAAACGGTGGGGGCGGCAGGGCCAAATGAACCTTCGCCTGGCAGAGAATTCGATAATGGCGCTCGATCAAGCGCCTCGGCGAGGCGCTGGTACTTGCTGAAGGGACGCGGCGCGCTGAAAGCCAAAAGCTCGTCCGCCAAAAGGAAAGGCTTCGCTCACATTGGCACACGTTCACTGACTCGTCCTGGGCCCACGAAGACGAAGCGTGACCTTTTAGCGCACGAAGTTGTCTTGGCTGGCGTGTCGTGGTGACTGCTGGACTGTGGAGGTTGCGCCAAGGTGCTGCGATAGGTCGATGTGCCGCAGCGAGTTCGTGGTGTAGGGCTGTCCACGGGTCTAGCGGCATCGAATGCAAAGTCCAACAGGCAAGACCTAGCGGGCCTGTGAACGGTCAAGCCGAGCCGAGACACACGGGAACGAGGCTGATGTGCTCCTTCGGATTGAAGCCCAAGCGCGCCTCACTCGGCACTATCAGTTATCAGTGCTATGTGGCGCACAGGAGAGGAGTCGAAGGATTGCAGATCATGTGGAATTGCAGTCAGAGACGAGATGTACACCTTGTTGAGACCAGACTTCGCAAGCACTTGAAGATGATGGGGAAGTTCGTGCACGTGCCAGCGCGCTAGAATCGATCGCGTCCGAAGTACCCTTGCGGGATCAACAAACAAACACAATTCTTATCGCGCATCTTCTGCCCACCAAGTTCCCTTCGCACGCGCAACGCTGCGTACTATGCAGCATGGCGCGAACGCACTCTTCCTACACAGCGAGCCCTACGCGATGGCGATCGCCCCAACACAGCCCCCGGCGCGACACTTCGGAAGGCGGGTCGCAGTACGAGATGGACCTCGACGCACTCGGCCTCAACTCGACGTTTGAATCCACCGAACTAGACGACAAGCACCAGCCGAAGGTGGATGTCGTAGAGACCAGCGACATCGAAGGACCGGAGGACTTCACAATGAACATGACTTATTGGATGACGACCGAACTTCCGCTGGCACAGCAGATCCGGTCGCGAAAGGAGACCAAAACGAATACTACTGTGAGACAAGATCAGGTGCAGACCGAAGGTGCCAATGCTGCAGACGGAAGTCCCAACGACAGCGAGTCTGACGCAGAGCCGCGTCCAGCGTCGACGGCAACACGTGTCAACGGCACCGCGAAGAGCCGCTCAAGCAGCAAAGCGCCTTCGGAAGCGTCCATGGAGAATGAAGAGAAGGTCAGAAGCTACCTCAGCGCGCTTCCGGATTCGGATCTTGGAGGCAATGTGCTCACATCCACGCCGCTCCGCATTCCTAAGCAGAATATGCTCCAAGTTCCAGCCCCCTCCCCCTCAAGAGCGCGGTCGCTCCAACCGACGGTCGAGGACTACGATACCCCGCGAAAACCGACCCAAGAAACAGTCATACACCACGCCCCAGAACGAACCGCCGAGCTTGAGCGAAAGTCGCTGCATCGGCAAGTCGAAGAGCTTCGATCGCGTCTGCAAGAGCAAGAGCATGCTTCCAAGGCGCGCATCACCGAACTTGAGACCTTGCTCTCCTACACACGTTCGGATCTGGAAGATGCGCGAACCGGGTCATACAAGCAAAAAGCCCAGATCGAACAACTACAGGAAGACAACAGTCGGCTCCGGCGAGAGGCGGACGAGGCTCATGCGTCGTTCAATAGCCAGCTGAAGGCGCAAGAAGACGAGCTCAACGGGAAGATGAGGGACTTCGGCGAGGAGCTGCGGCGGCAGAACAATGCCACCCTTCAGAGCCAACGAGAAGACTTCGAACAGCAACTGCGGACTTTAGAGGAAGCGAAGCGCACTGTGGATACCGACGTAGCCTCCAGTGGGGAAGTCCTTTCGCTTGTGAAAGATGAGCTGAGCCAGCTCAGAGAGTCGCATGAGCGGGAATTGCGTGAGCTTCAAGACTCGCACGAACAAGAACTGCAAGATTTGAAAAAGGCTGACCATTCGATCGAACAAGGCGAAACATTAATTCAAACCACCGAGGTAGTTGAGTTGCAACAAAAGTTTGCTGCTCTGCAAAAGCGTGCGAATGCCCTGCAAACCGACCTCGAAAAAGCTGCAGCAGACGCTCAGTCAGCCCGTGAAGAAGCGCTTTCAAGCCGTGCACTTCATGCATCTTCCGAAGGAGCTGTACAGGCACATAAGATGCGCGCATCAGAGCTCCAGTCTCGTGTTGACCATTTGGAAACGGCGGTAGCGTCCGCGCAAGAAAAGCTCGCACACAAGGACCAGCAGCTTGAGGAGAAGCGTGAACTTGAGTCCCAGATCCGGTCGTTGCGCCGAGAGCTAGAGGAGGCTCAAAACAAGCAGCTAGCCACGGAGACCGATTCGCTTGACGCTCACCTGGAGTCGCGCCTTCTGTCCGTGCGCAACCAGCTCGAATCTGCTCGCAATGATGTCAAAGCGAAGAACCAGGAGGTCTTGAAGCAGTTTGAAGAACACGAGCGGCTCGAACAGCGACTAAACACGGCGCAGGGTCGTATCGAGAGTCTCGAGGCCACAGCTTCATCACTTCGCCAACAACTTGCTGAAGCACATCGTGGTAATGCCAAAGCCCGTACCGATACTGAGCAGCTTGAGGGCTTGTTGGAGGATGCAAGTGAACGTCTCCAGGATGCGCGGGCTGAAGCAGATCGTCGTGTTGCCGATGTCGAGAAGAGGCTCAGCAAGCTCAGAGACGCCAAAGCCGAGGTGGAGAGCAGGTTAAGCCAGCTGCAGTCAGAGCATGACGACCTGAAAGACGACATGGAGGCACGGATGGAAGGCGTACGCGACAATGCTGAAGATGCGATTCGCAAGGCAGGAGCTCTGCTCGAACAGGAACGCGCAGAGAAGAGGCGGGCTACGAAAGAGCTTAAGAAGACGAGTCAACAGCTGGAGCAGCTTCGTGCTGAGGCCGCGCGTAAGGAAGAAAAGGACTACGCATCAGAAGAGGAAAGCTCGGTGCTATCTTCTATGCACGACGATCCCAAGGACGCTGAGATCGAAAACCTTCGCCTTCTCGTCCGCAAACAAGCTGCAAGTCTCAAAACCCTGAAGTCAGAGACGTCATCTCTCCGCAAAGAGACCACACGCCTCAAAAGCCTGGGAACCACATCACAAATCGAGACCATCGCCGACTTCCAATCTCAGATCGATACTCTCCGCCACGAGAACGAAAGGCTCAAGACGGACGCAGAGTCCCGCGAGCAAGACTTCGTGGCGATTAATAAAGCCATGGACGAGCGACTCGCGGCGGTGCTTAGCAAGGCTGTGAAAGAGCGCGCGAAAACGGTGGTCAACAAGCGGGACGGGCAGTGGGCAGAGAAGATGCAGGGAGAGCGGGAGTTCATGGGTAAGGTGTTGATGCGGGAGTGGGGGCGGCAGGAGGTGGGGATTGCGTCAGAGGGCGAGAGGCAGGGATATCGGTACAAGTACGTTCAGAGGTCATAAATGGGTTCTGCATAAATCTTGTAAAGGCGTTGTCTGGTCCTGGCGTTGGTAATAGCTGGTCGGGTTGACGATATAACGACATGACGAACTCCTAACTGTGCTGGGTGACCGCGCGGCGTCCATATCATAATCATGATCATGACCCATTCGCCGGTTCCGTTCCCTCTATCCATGTATTTCATCCATACGCCTTGCATGCATCTCCAGTAACGCCGCATCATTGCTTTTCCACCATGCCGTCCTCCCACTCAAAGCAGCCCCTTCCTCGCAAGCTCAATCTTCCGCAGCGTCTCGCCCTCTTTGTACCCCCCTTTGCTCGCACACACCGCAACGCCCTCTCCCAGCTCGACTTTATCCTCGACGCTTTCCCATGCGCAGGGACAGTGGTGCGGGAAGTGCACACACGAAAGGGTGCCCGGGCAGAGGTACTTGTCGCAGTGTGCTTGGGGTGCGTCAGCAACAGTGGTATAACGTACGTATAATTTGAATTGAAGAGGAGAGGGATGTTTACCGTTCTCATACTGCGCCTGGTACCAGCTCGCATCGCTGCGGACGTTCTGCTGCTGGTGGTGGTGTTGCTGCTGCTGCTGGCCGCCGAACATCTGGTCGAAGAAGCCGAACTGTGCGGACGCAGTCTGGATGAGCAGACTCGTGAGGAGGAGGACGAGAACTCGGAGCTCCATGGTGGGCGGTCTGTATGGCGACGCGAGGGGTGTCGGCCGGGTACTAATATGTAGATGTGTACTGGAGTTGATGCTGTCGTGGAGCTTAGACTGTCACGTGCGGTTATATGGGCCGTTGCCTGAGATGGGCGGGCGCCAAGAGTTCGGGAAAGCGGAGCTAGGATTTTTTGCGATTGAGGAAAGTTGAGCTTGTGCCCGCAACGACGACACACGCACACGCACCCACCCGACACCCGCACACGTTCAAGTACTTCCACCAAGTAAGCGCTTTATCCTCATGCCTTCCCGATTGAAGAGAAAAGGAGCTAGAAGAGGAAGGAGAAGGAGAGACCAACGAGAAGAAGGTGAAGCTAATTCGCACTACCAGGATGCATCTCATGTACACACTCGACGCCCAGGGCAAGCGCGTCTACACGCTGAAGAAGGTCGTCGACGGCCGCATTGCCAACTCGGCGCACCCCGCGCGCTTCTCCCCCGACGACACGTACTCGAGGCACCGCGTGACGATCAAGAAGAGGCACAACCTGCTGCCGTTCCAGGCTGGCGGCGCTGCGAGTACGTTTTTTCGAGCCAGGCAAGCAAGGGACTACACACTAATGATTCTGCAGAGAAGAAGATTGCCGAGAGGTATTAGGATGCGCTGGTTGAGACGGGCGAGTGAGCGGTCCGAGAGCTTTTCTTAGGGATACCACGACGGGCGTTTATGGAGTTGCAAAAGGAGGCATCAAGGCCATGTTTGATAAGCTATGGAATGTCGCAAAGGCATGTTCTGAAGTCGCAATGGATGCATATCTACACTGTCCACCTGTCTAACAAGGTCGTGATGGCTTGCAAGTCTATGCGCAAACGTGAACTCGCGTGTACGTGTTGCCAATTTCGGACCGCTCGACGTAAGGATTCCGGACTGATTGCAGATCCTGGCCTCTAGAAAGATGGTAGATGACCTGGAGCAAATACGCCGATCGACGCCCACGGTGTCCCCATAGCAGCATGTAGCAATATGGGATAGGATGAGAGCCTCGTCGTTTGGAATGGAACTGCGCTCCAAGTTGTACGAACACGGAGAATTATCTAGTTGGTGGAGTGCTGCGGACTCGTACCCACGGTTGTGGGAGCGCTGCGGTTTCGCACCGTGAAGAATGAGGACCAGAACACTGCACAGGTAGTATTCCTGTACGCCGAAGATCAGTGGTAATTCACCAGGGCACACTCCTGGCAGCAGTATCCGTGTGCTGCCTCAAAGTTTGCAGCTGTTATGCACTAGCAATTGAGTCTTGTGCTGCAGTATCCAAAGTGTGTAGACGCTGTGCGACGTCAATGGCCATCACCGTCGATTCCATAACAGTACAGTGCGAGCGTTGTACTCCTTAGTCCCGCTCCATGATTTTGATGACAGAACGTAATCACGGAAGTAAAGCCTTCATGCACTATCCGCCGCTGCCGTGGAACAAAGAGTCGATCGGTCGGACGTGCTATACAAAGGTGCATCATCGCGAGAATGCCTTGGTGTTGCTGTGAATGACCAAAAGACAGGCTTGTGGATTGGTTCGAGCTCGTTTGCCCTCGTGCTCGCCAGCCTTGATCCATCCGGATCTTATGCCGAGCCGTACACGAACAGAGGCGCGTTGATGAGCTGGCGGTGCCAAGCGCTTCGACGTGGTGGTGATGGGTAGTCCACCCCACCTTGCTGCAATGTCCTGCGTGCATAGTGCAAGCTTAATTGATTGCTCTGCATCCAGCTCCATAGTGCGTGGGGGTGTGGCATGCTCGGGTCTGTTAAGAGCGGCATGCCACCATCGTCATGGAGCCGCGAGCATCCTCGGAATCATCAGACCCGCACGGAGAATAGCGGTGGTCTAGGTAAGCTTGCCGCGGCACTGCGGGCAGCCGTGACAATCTGGGGAAGCTGCGGTACGTCATGTCTCGTGAGCCAGTGAAGACGGCGTGCGCGCACTGGGGGCACGAGACGGCGCGTGGGTGGTTCTGCGGGGTAAGTAAGCCACCTGGACATGGCCGTCGTCACAGGCGGACATATCCGACTACCCTTGCCTTCTCGTCGTCGACATCGCGCCTCGGAAGGGCTTCTCGCGAGCGTCGTCGTCCTCGATTTCTGCGCCGCGTGGGCGTAGTCCGGAAGCAGGTGTTGGCCGTGGGGACAGGCGGTTAGCTGCGCAATGAAGCGGGACGGAGGTGCAGCGACAGGCCCTGGAGCACCCATGGCCCTGTACCTTCAACCCTCAGCGCTGGGAAGCTGTGAAGCTGTGGTGCGTGGGGGACGTTTCAGATGTTTCCTCGAGCAAAGAGCCAGTATCGCTTGTCCATACTGTGTATGCTGCGCGGACGGGTCCGGTATCTAGTATGCTTGCGGAACACCGTAAGGTACAGATCCGGCATCAGCCCTATGGCCTCCCGGAGTGTCAAGGACAAGGGCACGCCAGTAAATGGGGACAGCATCTTGGAGCTTGGTGGCTCTCGTCAGGTACCTTCAGGCACATGCTCTCGCCATGTCGGGAGTGAGGTCACCGTCGAGGTGCGCAGGTGGGCGCGACTGGGGCCGCACGGGCGCTTTTGCAGCTGCATCGCTTTGTGAAGGATGCGAGGTGCGTGACCCACGAACAAAGACCCTCGGCCGCATCGTGAACGCTAGCCAGCGTGCAGAACCCCTCTCGCCATGCCTGTGCCGTCGTCGGGGCCGCATCGTCGTCCGTATCAGATGACGCCGTTCCAGCAAAGGGGCGCGCTGTGGAGCAGAATTTTCGGCGATGTCGGTCGATGCCCTGAGTCAACCATTGCCAGAGCCTATCTCCAACATGTACTGCTAGCTCCACCTTAGCACGATGAAGTGTTGATAAACCGCTACGGGCCCGTACGTCAGCCCTTCCTTGATCTAGCTGCCCGCACCCTAGCCGTGGATTGCATCGTTTGCACACCTCTACAGACGTCAGCATCCGCTGCACGCGCAGATAGCCTTCGTCTTGACGCCATTCGCCCGCCCGTTTCCGCAACAATACATTGTCAACCCCACGCTCGCACGGCACGGGAAAACGAGATCAGGGTCCGTTGCGGCTGCGTACGCAAACAACCCTAGCAACCTGGCCAATTGCGGCATCCCGACCTGCGTCTGCATCTTTGCAACCTATCCCGAAAATACATCGGTAGCAGCCCAGCTCTCTACGGCGGCTCCTGCGGCCAAACTTTTGTGGACCTATCGTCGTGACACTCTGCTCCACGTCCTAGATTGCCACTACACTGCTCCATTAAAAGGCAACGGTAACGGCACCCGCCCATTGCCGTCCTGACGTTACACCTTTCCCCCGAGAAGAATCTTCCAAAACCAATAGCTGGGAATGAACTTCAAAAAGAGTACCTACCGCTGGCCCGTTGGACAAGGTCCGTGAACCGTGAAAAGCAACACCGTCTTCGAGTCGCGCTAACCTTCACAGAGCACATCAACCGCTAAGGATCGTACCTGTGCTCGATTTCCCCGCATTCTGAGGTTTACTGCCATCTTGCCTATCACGACCTCGGATTGAGGCATATTGCTTCTTTTGGTAAGCAAGTCAGATACGCTTGCTTATTCCTGTGTTCCATCAGGCTTCTCGAGCCTCGTCAGCCCTGCCAGCCCCAGATCTGTTGCATTGCAGCACGGCACCTGCAGCCACTGTTCCCCACGAGCACAAGACTGTTCGTCATCGGGCCCGCTATTCTTATCTTCGTGTGTTGCACGTAATGGAGTCCTCCATGACTCTGCTGAGTGCGCACATACAATTTTTGGTATGTTCCCTTCCGTCACTGATCATGTGGTCCAACGCATTGCGCATTGGTCGTTTTCGTGTCTTGTACCTGCCTGATTGTGGTTGGTCCTCCTCCCGCGCGCGGCGTTCCGTAGGACTCTTTTTGTATCCGTCGTCCGACTAGAACTTGCTCTGCCCAGGAACGACTTACTAACACCATGCTCGCTTTCAAGGATACTCAGTTGGCACTCATCCACATCCCATTGCCTCTCTACTCGAGCTTCCTCCAAAGCATCCTTCAGCTCCTCCTTCCCAATGAGTCCCGGAACGAACACTCGGCCTTCAACGGCAATGGAGCCGTGCAGCCTCCTCCTGCGTGGCCATATGAACATCCGTTTGTCAATATCTCTGTGACGCCAAGTGAGTGTTCGGTGGTCTGCTCCAGGAAGCTTGCAAACGACATCTTCGTCCCAGCACTCAATCTACTCGATCCAAAATCAAGAGATCGGGTTTCCATCACTTCAGAAGACTATGTGGTCATGCAAGTCGATGGCGAGGGTCTGGACGCAGGCCAACGAGTGCTCGAATTGACCAGCCCACTTGCCTTGGCTGGCATGTAAGTTTACCATTCTTCTCATGGATGATATCAAGACTGACCGAACCAAGTTCCATCTTCTTCATCACGACATACTTCTCGGACTACATACTGGTGCCGATACGCTACAGGTCTCAGGTCGTACATGCGCTAGAAGAACGAGGATTCATCTTCGAAGACCAAACGTCTTCCTACGTCAACCCGAGCCATCACAGCCGACAGCACTCTTCACCTCAATCTTTCGAGGTCCGGCCGCCGGGCACCCCTCCACCAGCGACGGTATCGGAGCTGCAGACACGAACGTTTGCCACCCTCAAGCGCCGCAACATCATCCCGACCGTGGACTCATGCTTACGTCTGGTACAATGTGCCGGGCGCAGAGATAGCGCCAACAGCATAAATGAAGGTCGTAATCGCAGCAGCATGACCAGCGCTGCCGATGACGCACTCCACCTAGGCCTTGTAAAGTGCCTCATCTCACCGCCATATCCCAAATTTCTATCTTTGACGCTCACCGACACGGAGCCCGCGTCGCTACTACTCGACCACTCGCTCCTCCCCAACTTTGCCTCGGACATTTTGCTTGGGTCAAAAGACGACTTCCTTATTCCCATAACACTCGACCTCCGCGACCTCCCCATGGAGAGCACTGGTATTATCTGCGGCGTCGCCGGGCGTCTCGTTGGGGGCACTGCGGGCCAGTTGGAGAGCGCGGTCGAGATGAGCTACCTGAGTACGGCACGCGCGGGCACCGTCATGGTAGCTGAAGACGAGCTGAAGCGCGCATTGGGGGCTCTGCGCGGCGCGGAGAACGGATCCTCCACGCCTGACTAGCCAAGTCTTGCGTGGGAGTTGAATACGATCGGTCTCTCTCACCTTAGCAAGTCATCTGCTCCCAATGCCCGCTTACGGACAGATGGCTTCACACCGATCAGCCAAGGCCGTTGGATCAGAGTGGGGTGCATGAGTCGTTTGTTTCTACGTTCCATCGACGATGTGGTGCCGCTCGCGCATACCTGCGGCTTTTCATCTGCGGAAGTAGCCGCGTACGCGGCATGTTGCAATTGCATGTCCCTCACCACGCTACGCTTCGGCTGCTGCCACACGACACCCCACCGCCGAAAATCGCTCGTCCCGATATCCCGCACACCGAAATAACCTGGACAGCTAATTTTTTCCTTGCCGCTTAGGCCCCGTTTATGTACGACACAATTTCATGCATGAGCAAAGTTTCTTCTTCGGTTGTGAGTTACTGTTCTGGGACGCAGCCCCGGTGCGACTAGTGGCACTCCCGCCCACCGCGCGGTTCGCCGCTATCTTGAAGTAATCGCCTTTGTCACGGCTGTGTGCGGCCATGGGCACAAAATTGTTTTCGGTCATGGCATCCATCTGTGCGAGATTTGGCCTGGGTGCGCTACACATGATTTTCCCCTCTTGTACAACAGCGAGGCGTCTGGTGGTTGCGACACGCATATGAGCCGTGGCAGAGTCTCCGTTAAGTGAGCCAGTATAGCTGCACTTCTACGTGTCTATAAAAACTTCACTCTGTGCTTGCATGAAGTAATTTGTCTTCTAGCATTGCCATCTTCTCTGTACCTCTACCCCAGCCCCTCTGCCCTCTTCTTGAGCCTCCTTCCCATCTCTCGCATTCCCACCCTCTTCACCCGCCCCACTTGCACCCAGTACGCCCACCAAAACAGCCCAATAATCAGCGGCACGCTCACCACCCAGAACACCCAGAACAAACTCTTGCCCGGTAGAAAATTATCGCTCATGCTGAGCAGGCTCGATGTGAAGCCCAGGGGCACGAAGACGAGTGCCACAGAAGACAGTCGGATGGTGAGGTCAGCTTTGAGGACCGAGTGCTGCGCTTCGAGGAGAGAGAAGGCGCCCATGACGACCGGGAGGAGTGACTGGATGCGCTGCTGCGTGAGGCGGAGGGAGGTCAGGAGAGGCGCAAAGTCGGTATGCGCAAGGGCTGCGGCGGCAGAGGGACTTGTATAACGTCCCCGTTTGATGGCCACACCACTGCCACTGCCACTGCCTTCCTTCCCCTCATCCTCCCCAAAACTCACGGCCGAGTCGTGGCCGATAGTCCTGCCCACGCTGTCTCCCGCACCAGGCACACACAGCCCTTCGATGTTCCACCGCATCTGCTCCAGGTAGAAGTACACCCTCCGCCGCCACGAATTCACGTCGCTCAGCAGCGTCCGCAGCGCGCGGACCTCGTTGACAATGGTCTCGGCGCGCGGGTGCGCGTCCATCTGCTCGAACTTCAGCATCCCCTTTTCCAGGTCACTGACCACGCTGACCAGGTACTCGAGCTGCAGGTTCCAGTGGGATGCCGTGATGCGGTGGGCGAAGATGAATGCGTTGCGGGGGTCCAGAAGCGCGGCCGCGAGGTCTGCGCGCGACGCGTGCTGCCAGTAGTACGCGATGTCGTCGAGGATGCTGGCGTGCGCTGCGGCGCCCGGCTTCCCCCGTGGTGGAGGCGGCCATGCGGAGAAGTCGAGGTAGCCGTCTAGATACGGCGTGTTGCTGCACGTTGTGGTGCTCCATTTTGCCGCGTCGAGCTCGCTCCATCGCCGCAGCCCAAACGCGTTGGACGCGCCTGGGTCGACGAGGATGATGGCCTCCCAGGGGGCGGTGGCGTTGGTGCTGGGGCGCCACCACACGCTCATATTTCTGCGTATCAGACCCGTCGCCCGCTCGCAGTGGTGGTCTACTGTCGTCACGAGACGCGCGACGTTGTCCCGTGTCCGGATCTCGTATTCTTCCCTCCGGGGCGCATGTCGATCGAACGTCCGGATCTCGTGGTACACAAACGTGGTGAAGGTTGCTATGGATTGCAGTGAAGGGAGGCGCCGCATGGTGTGGTACCCCTCGAGGAAATTTTGCGTCCGGTCGAGGTCCAGCTTCAGATATTCTGCGAAGAAGCGCGGGTCGATGTCAAAGTGGTTTCCCAGTAACGATATCCAAGGAAGTGAAATGTCCTCCGCGAGGTAGAGACGGCCTTTGCATGTTGGTGGTTTGTCAGTGCTCCAGTACGCGTCCAGTTGGGGATGTTTGTAGATTTCAAGCTCGGCGATGGTTTTGTCTCCGAATTCGAGAATCTTCATGCGTGAGGAGTGCTCAGGTAGAATGGGGAGGGTGTTAAGTAGCTTCAAGCTGGGGTGTTGGTGGCATAATCTATAGATGTTTTGCAGGTAGGAGGCGTCGGCGCCCTTCCAGCTGTCTAAGGGTGACATGCTGACCTGCGCTGAGATGAGCTCACAGAGCACACATGTTTCGAAGGCTGTTAGTGTCGTTCGGTTCGATTAGATTTGAAGGCTCGAGGTTGTGGTCGTGACTGCAATGACGCACCAGGCCCAGACGTTGTGGTCTGTGGCCAATGAACGGAGCGGGATCGTACTCCAAGGTTACTCAACGCGGCGGCATGTGCGGGAGCACCCGCCCTTTCGAGTTTCAAAAAAGACGTTGTAGTTCGATGATACAATGGGACCCAGTATGATGTTATGCTCATGTTACTGCTAGTACGATAACATCGCCCACTTTCGCCACTCACTGCCTCCTCAACGCCGGCGGGCCAGTGCCGTTGAACCCACAACCGGGATGGCCCTCACAAGTACTAAGCGTGTGGATATACCGAATCTTCCCTTTCTCCACCCTGAAAGCATGACTATCAGGCGACGGCTTAGGGTCGTCGCGGTCCAGGCCCGGAAACCCAATGTATATCACCACCACGCCATTCACTTCATCGACTACATATCTCCTGTCGACTACTGTGATGGTACTCGGAAGCCCCAAATCACATGTATTTCCTGTAAGATTCCGTCCGCCCGTGTACGCACCACCCTCCAGTCTAGCACAAGGTGTTCCCCAGGGCACAGTCGCATTTGCATTTGCAAAACGATTGAAATACGCGTCACCCGCTGCCTGGATGACTTTGCGGCTGTCCCGCTGATCTTGGGGTATCTCGCTCCAGTCTTCTTGGTCGTCCCAATACTTTAAGCACATCAGTGAGCTATTCCTGAATTTCAGCTGCACAGACCCACCTTATATCCCGTCGCGTTGAAAGCCCAGTCTCCCTGATCAGTCACCAGTGTTTCAATCTTAGTCAAGTACAGCCCGTCGCCCTCGAACCTGGTGCCGATGACATACGGATGCACAGGATCCATGACGAGGTATTGCGTGAAGGCCGTGCATAGGACGTCGTCGTAGAAACTGCGGTGGCTCGTGATATTCAATGGTCTACTGAGGATGCCGGCGTTGATGGAGAGCGGCTTGAATTGCTCCGTATAGTTCAGGTCTGGGGCGACCGAGGGGATCAACCATGGCTCGCCGAGGGTTTGGGCGGCGAGATAGGCGGCGGTCATGTCGTTGAGGAAAGTGCGATCACATGGTGTGTCGGAGGCGTGTGTGATAGTTGCGAGAGCTAAAGAGAGAAGTGTACTTAGCATTGTGTGATTTCGTATACTCGCAAGGTTTTGGTGTTGGGATAAGCGGGTTATTGCAAGTAGGTAGGTTGAAGTTCTTCGCGTCAACACCGAATGCCCTCAGCAATGTTGTGAGTATTGACAAAGACAACCACACTACGCAATCATCGACGTGCGCGCCGCCGCAAGACAGAAAAACTTACCCCAAGCATGGTATGTTTAGATGAGACCATTCGTTGTACTGATTTTCATTGGTCCATACCATAAGTACTGCTGCACTCCACACTCGGCTATAGCGATCAATATGCTTGGCCTTTACCCGAAGCACATTGCTTGACGGGGCATGCTCTCACTTCCAGTATATGAAAACCTAATCATCTATCCCATACTAACGGATCCGAAGTTCCACCTCTTTGAGCTTGTCATCCTAAGACATATCAAAGACCTGCCGTCCATCCACCCTTGGAGGTATGTGGGGCCGATGAACACATAGTAACTCTCGATCTTCCGTAGAATGACTGGCACCCTGCATCCAAACAAAACGCAAACCCCGTAATTCTTTCTTATCGTGGCCCTTCCCAAGCCCACGTATCTATTCTTGGTAAGATATATCCGTTGGCACCGAGCACGTTGCGTGAAGGTGGAGATACGTTCACCCTTCTCCAAAGGCCAATTCTCTTGGTGGAAAGGTTGCTCGTGGAAGATGAAGCCTGTGGGTACTGTGATCTTATCAATGACTGCTGAGAACATCGCAAAAAAGGGGGTACGCATTAAATATTGTATTTGCAACTGGACTCACCTTTCGCCCTTATCCTGACGTTTGTCTTCAGTGGTGGCTGCCCTGCTCGCAAGGATTGCGCCACCATTGTATAGCGATCCTTTTGCAGTTTCTGAATGTTCTGCTTCTTGGACATGAAACCCACTGTGTGTGGTCTCTCCTCAGGGCCGATGCCCAGTCTAAAAGCTTGCCGCATGATGTCTACTTGGCTCTCGTGGAACGAAGATACGAATCTGTCGAAGCTATCTATAAAATATCTAATGGTATCAATCACGAAGGCTTTGGTAACGAGTACCGTGTCATTGTTCTGGAAGTTAAAGTCTGGACGTAGATGTTTTGCGACGACGTCCTTCAGGTCGGCAGGCCTTTGCCAGATAGAGATCGTTCCATGAGGCGCTTTGTTCTTATCGGATAATTCTGATCTAGTTCATAGTACGTCTAAATTCTCGCTCCAGTCAGGACATAAGCTGGGTAGGTCGCCGAGGAGCTACGCCGAGATCCGACTTGCTGCATCTAACATGAGATCTAAGCCATCGTACTTGGTTACGACCAACTTGAACGCCTTCATGTAGACCCCATAAATGGGGAGGCTGTAGTCGAGTCTGCCATAGCGCAACACTAGAGAGAGTCCAGCCAAACCAAAGACCTTGTCTCTGAGGTCGGTTGCCCTCATCAACCTTCCGTCTTTGAGAAGAGCGAGGTTCATTCTGAACTCATCCGTGATTCTTACCGATCGTTTGTGCGATACAATGTAGCGAGTTCATTCCAAAACTCTTTTCTCAAGCCCCCAATACGATGCTCCTAGGGTGTCTTTGTACGCATCTATCACGCCGTACACACAGTAGAGCTTCACTAATGGAAATAATGTTTCCCTAAAAGGGAAGATGACTCTGCTCTCCTTAGGTATCTCTTGCTGGATCCACACCCCATTCTAATAAGGCCTTGCGAACAAAATTGCCAATTCCTTCCACACCATTCTTCCGCCAGCCACTGCAAAGGTCTCTTTTACGTTGGGTAACACGTGCTTCCTCTCGTCACGATCCTAGATATCACTGGTCTCGAACATACCAATAAGGTTTTGAAGATTCTAGGATTGCTGATTGTCGACTTCCAGCTGTACCAAGGCTAGTCTGTCGTCCTCCAACATCCTCCAGTGTATTTGATAGACATGGAACATGTTTTATACTTGATGATGTTTCTCCTCAATATCTTTCTGGTTGATGCAAATAGCATCGATCCAAATTTTCATGTGCTTCTCTCGACCGCGCACTCCGACGAGAGCGTGATAGAGATTTTCTCTAACCGTGAGGATTCTGTCTGCATGGACCCTCAGCGCATAGCGAGGAGTCGTATCCCCCCACACGTAGCTTAAGGAATTGAACTCGGGCTTTGCATCCATGTCCACGGTGCTGAAATATCCACAGATTTGCGCACTGTCGCAGCCCGGTTGCAGTTCAAACACACGGATTTGGTGCTTATCAAAGCTGAGCGGGCTATACACATAGGGTTGAAGCTCTTGCATCTCTGTCTCCCATCTCCGAGATCGTTTGAGGGACTTGATCGGGGTTTTTTTTTTTTTTTTTTTTTTCAATTCGCGCTGTTTAGTTGTTCTTTGATTGAGCCAGATGCTCTACGGTGTTGTCTTGTAGATGTTTGGTATGATTTGTTTCAACAGAAAATAGGGCGAGATGTTCAGTGGCCCTTCGTATCATTGCACGAAATGTGAGCTGCATGATGGCTTCGAATTATCGACGTCCCGCGATGCACATTCGGTTGAGGGGCGCGACTTCAGCTGAATTTGTGGAATTAGCTTCCTCCTGGTCAAGCGGCTTGACCAGAAAAGGCCGCCCCGAACTTAGAACATTTACACGCGCAGGCCGCAGAATATATCGCTGTTTTGTGTATTTAAGTGAAATGATGGATTCCTTCATGTCTGGTGGAACAGACTAGGGCAGGAACATTTCGAAAGGGTAAATTTCAGATGTGATAACTGCATGGGTGAGCATGCTGCAGGATGATGGGTGACGTCAGCAGCACATATCTGCCGTCTGCGATCTATCGCCTATGGTCAAGTTATCCCAAGTGCAGCCCGGTCACGATTCTGTTTATGCTCCATCATGATCATGGTTTCCTATGTAGCGGTCACACGGATAGTGGCGGGGATAGTTTGTTCTTCAATGGGTGAGTTAGGGCCGACGAAAGTGCATACTGGTATGACGTCTGGGGCCTAGCGTCACTTTTGCACATTCGCCGGACTTTACAGGGTGTCACAAGTGGTACCTACGTTCACTTCTCCGCGCTTGACGTTCGGCGTTAACAATTGTAGTATGATGAAGAGGCGCGACTGAGAGGTATAAAGTTTCAGTCCCCGTAGAAGTATTGCAACATCTCCAATCACATAAAGATTACACGATGACCTCTATAGCAAAGACCGTAGTACTCATCACCGGCGGTAATTGCACTTACACTCACTAAATTTTTTTGCGCACGTACTGACAGATTCTTAGCAAACAGCGGCATCGGTTTCGAGCTCGCCGCCCAACTCCTCCAGAAAGGAACGTATCACGTACTGGTCGGTTCACGATCCACTCGGAAGGGCGCACTCGCTCTCAAAGACCTTCAATCGCGCAACTACCCCGGAACTGTCGAGCTACTACCCCTCGACGTTACTGATGACAATACGATCAGTGACGTAGCTTCTACAGTGGAAAGTCAACATGGGAAGCTTGACATTCTTGTCAACAACGCTGCCGTTGCCATACCCCCGGGAAATGATCGCGAACAACTCCGTCTTGCATTTGACACTAACGCAACCGGGCCGTGGGTGTTGACCAAAACTCTCTTGCCGCTACTTCAGAAGTCAACCAGTGCACGCATCATCAATATCTCCTCTGGTGTAGGAAGCATTGGAAGAAAGCTGGATCCCGCGAATCCTATGCACAAATTGTCGGCGGTCCAGTACCGGGCAAGTAAGGCGGCCCTGAACATGGTCACTGCATGTCAGTATGTCGAATATGGCGCACTTGGCATCAAGGTGGCCCTGTATGACCCTGGTTTTACAGTGAGCAATTTGAGCGAGAATAACAGGGCGGAGAAGGGCGCAAGAAGTGCAGAGAAGACTGTACAGAGTCTGATGGAGGTGGTCGAGGGGAAGAGAGATGCTGAGGCGCCAGCCTTCCTCCACAATACCGGTGCCTACGAATGGTGAGGGGGTGCACGAAGAGCTTTAAAATAATACTATCAATGGGCGGAGACGGAGCATGTAGGGCTGATCTGGAGCGGTTGCAATCTGCCGTCCAAACTTTGTGACGTGAATCTAGTAGATGACTGCGATCCTTCCACACGCACAGGACTGACCATACTACCTAAAGTGAAGATCTGTCCACTCGAATCCAGGCAGCGCCAGGGCCTCTCCGCTCATCAAACCATGCACGTATGCATCGCCAATGATCCTGTACTCGTCTTTGCCATCGACACGTCTGGCCAAGAATGGACACCGTGAGCCCGAAAACACGCAGAGAACATCGCCCACCTGTGCATGAGGTGATGTCCATCCAACATATCCCTTTTCACTCTGCATGTATCGCGAAGACGTGATGCCCGTCGCGTATCGAATGTACCTCATCTGCTCTTTCTGAACTTCTCCTTCCTCTGACAGCCCCACCCGTCCGATGGCATAGTCGCTCAGTCGCGGATCAAGGTAGTATGAACCGTAGCCAATAGCAGCGCGACCGTTTCCTTGTAAGTCAGGCAGCTGGACGGTATCACAGATGAGTGTACGCCAAAGAGCCTCGGCCGGCGCTTCGTCAGTGGGATAATCGCATTGTTCCATCACTTCTGCACAGGCTGCGTACCAAGGTTGGAAGCCTGTTGGTCCTTCCTTCGCGTGGTCTTCGTAATTGAGAATTTTGGAGACAGTGTCGACAACATAGCCGCGTACTAGGAGAGCGTCGTTGTCGTCAGCACTGATACGTACAGCAGCTGCTGAACCACCATGTGCTTGGTGGCTCTGGGAGTGATGTGTATATCCGCCCTGGATCGTCGTAATGAAAGCGTAGTCGGGTACCCACGAGGGTGCTGCCTCCACCGAGCCAAGGAAGGATACGAGTGCGAGGTCGGAAAAGGGGTCGGAGTTCTCTTGCTCGTAGAGCATACGTGTTGCCGACTCATACACAGTTCCTACAGGTGCAGAATAATCGACAATGATCTTTTCCGCTTCATGCTCCTCGATAAGTCCCATGATGGCGTATATCTTGTCCCGAGGGTCCATACAGCGTAGTCCGAGGCTATCACGGAGAAGGTAGCTCAAACGTTCAGCGTGGCCGTTGGCAAAGTCGTCGCGGATATTGTACATGTGCTGCACGTGCGTGCATTCTCGATAGATTGGCATTCCACCGTACGCTTCGTAATTTGAGCAGATGGCCAGCGCGACCGCAGCGATGGCGGACCAAGATGCGCTGTGCATGGCCCAGTGAATCTGCGGTCTTGCTGCAACAACTAGCTCTTGCAAAATCCACATGCGCGAGAACCAGGAGCGCGTGAAGAACTCCTGGAGTGCGGTGACGGTATCTGCATTGCGTTTTGACTCGCGTTCGACAAGGGCTCGGACATCCGCGTCTGGTCCGCGGGCTGGTGTCTTGTCTCTCAACACCTCATCAACGGCTGCAAATATGTTACTCGCAAGATCGTCGTGCTCCAAGTTAGGGCCAAGCCATATCAAGACATGGCTCGCATACATGTACACCTTCTTCATCAGCTTTACCTGCGAACTGCGCTCCGGGATATCATCCTGATTGATACTGATTGCGTCAGCCCAAAGGATCCTTTGTCGCGTAGCATGACGATAGCGCTTCAAAGCGTGATAGATGTTGTTGCGAACAGGAAATATATGACCGTCCAGAAGAATCTGCTTGCTGGGTGCATCGGTGCCCCAAGTATAGCTAATAGCTTCAAAGTCCGGTCTATCGCTCAGCCGAGCGTGCACAAGGCTGCAACGTAGATCTTCGTCCTGGTTTCCGGGTTCAACTACTAAAAGTCTAATCTCGTCCTCGTCGACCAATCCCTGATACTTGTAAGCGGACAATATTCCCACCATTTTGCAGAATAATCGAAAGCGAAGATGACCCTCCAGTATGTCAAGGTAGAGCAAGCTCGTTTATAGGGAGGAAATAGGCAGCGAGCACCGGGGTACTGCTGATTATGGGGCCATTTCTGGCTCGTTGGACAAATATGCCCGCGAGCATGCTGGGCTTGTCTCAGCCTTGTCGTAGTGTGACCGGATTGGGATCAAGGAGAATGTGGCGCCCACCATTACACGCGGCAGGATCGAATGTGCTGAGTGGTGAGAGTAAATGAGGAACGCGACTTACCACTTCTTGTGACATGCTACCTATGCCTACCTACGGAAGGCTGCGCCGGTATACACTGTGTTTGAGATATTGAAGTTCGGCGGCTCCGTTTGCGGACCAATCTGGCATGTACCAAAGGGGTACGTTGGTACAATGAAGCGAGCGAGGGGAAGGCGACGAATTGACTTTCGAAGGATTCATGAAGTGGCTAAGGACTGCCACAAGTTCCTTTTATGGAAGATGCTCGCTTAGTCACTTGAGTGGCGCAGTCGAAAGGCTGCCTGAGGCGTGAACATATGTTCGCAAAGCCCAGCAACCATGTTGAGAACGGGGTCATGGTGATTTGACCAACACTTGACCATTCCATTTTTCGGGATGCGTGGTCGGTTGTTTCTTAGCAAATTACGCTTTGGTATAAATTCGTACTGTCGATGAGTTCTAGACAACTTGAAATAGATATGACAATGTGAGATACGGACCAGTGATGTAAAGTGCAGAGCAGAAGCTGTGAAACAGAGGTTGCAGATCGAAACCGGTATCATATCCTGGTCTAGCGGACCGCGGCGCGCTGGGACCCGAAAAGACGCGATCAACGCGCACTGTCAAAAGAATTCCTATTTCCCTACAAATCCACCGTCTACAATCAGTGTCACTCCGTTTGTAAAGTCACTCGCCGCACTGGCCAAATAGATCGCTGCGCCAACAAGATCTTCTGGCATGCCCCAACGCGCAGCCGGCACACGCTGCATCAAATATCGGGTATACTCTTCATCTCTTGCATACACCTCAGTCATGTTTGTCCTCATGAATCTACGATACGATCAATGTTTGCTTTCCAACCAAACTTGACTCTACTCACCCGGGCGCAATCGCATTAACGTTGATACCTCTACCTGCCCATTCGTTACTGAAACTCTTTGTCATCTGCACCACAGCTCCTTTCGTCATCCCATATACGCTCGTGTTGATGTTCGCCTGGAATGCCGTTACAGAAGCAATGTTAATGATCTTTCCTTTCCGTCCCAGCCCAAGGACCTTTCGCCCAAATTCTTGCATGCTGACATACACTGCACGCTGATTCACCGCCATAAGGAAGTCGATCTCCTCGTCTGTTGCATTTTCGCATTGATTACGGGCCATCACACCAGCAACGTTGACGAGGATGTCCGGAACGATGCCTTCAGCCCACATCCGGGCGTAGCATTCACGAATTGATTGAGATGAAGCCAGGTCGCAGTTAAAAGATGTAATTTCGCGCTCCGTCGGTGCAAGGAGATCGTGCAGGGCGTTAGAGTTGGGGTCATTGGGTGCCTGCCTGTGTCAGCGCGTGCGAGAAGCAAGCGCAAGGAAGTGGTTCTCGTGTACCTCAATAAAAACGATGTTAGCACCGGCTTTTGCGAGCGCAAGAGCGATAGCCGATCCCAATCCGCCAGTTGCACCAGTTATGATGGCATTCCTTCCTTGCAGGCCAAACAGATTCGTTAGAAAAGATACATCCATAGTTACGAGCCACGAATCCCTATATGGTCCTGTCGTAAGAGTAGGTAAATATTAGATGTCAAATCTAGATAGTTGCCGTGTGGTATGACACGGCAGGTGAGCTGATGTGAGGCACTTCCCCTCATCGGATATGCGATGGAGGCTTCTCCGGATTGCACCTCATCCACACATCGGGATATTGGAAGCGTCTGCAGACCCCAGCTTGATGTTCGACATGGGATAGCTAGCAAGCATCTTGCGTCCATGATGAGTGTGAAACGCTTTTGATGCACCGTCAGCATTGGGAAGCGACTACACTCTCTGAGCCGATGACGTATGGTCACGTGAAAGTGTATCAGCCCTCTAGGGCTGGAGCGGAAGGCTGGTCGGTTTCTAACCCTTCCCCGCAACGCAACGCGCAACCCGCCTGTACATCAGCATCAGGCCTAAAGTCTGCAGTCGTTACAGTGCAGCGTTCTCTTCCTCGGTGGACTTGGTGGGGACGCAGCCCACAACCGCGGCAGAGAATCGCGCAGGCGCACAGCATGTGTCACGACTGATTGAACTGGTGCAGCGATGCAAGCTTCGTTAATAAAATGCGTTTACAATGCCCCATAATCAAATGGCCACATATCGCGCGTAGTTAGTCCGCTGATGTCGCATCGTAGTGAGGTATGTCTTAGTCGCCCACGCTGTTTGCGTCTGTTCGGGCGTCGCTACACCGACAACCGACCTACAAGAGCAGTACACGTCGTAAAAGAAACGTGCTATTCTGTCGAATGGGCTTTTTTTAATGGCTGAGTCTCAGTTCCCGCTCCCAACGATACGATGGGGCATCATAGGTATCATTTACACTAGACAGCGTTCTTTATCACTTACTCACTACTTCAGGAGCTGGCGCAATCTCCGCTGCATTCGTAAAGGACATTACACTTCCACGGGAGCATGCGCAAGCAAGACATATCGTTAGTGCAATTGGCACATCTAGTTTGGAGAAAGCCAAATCGTTTGTTCAGGACAATATTCCTTCTGTGCCAACACCACACATCTACTCTTCTTACGAAGGGGTGCTCCAAGACGTTACTGTTGATGTTGTATACATCGGCACGCCACATGCGTTCCATAAAAAGAACTGCCTTGATGCGATTGCAGCAGGAAAGCATGTTCTCTGCGAGAAGGCATTTGCGATTACTGCTCGTGAAGCCGAAGAAGTATTCGCCGCAGCCACTGCCAAGAACGTTTACGTTATGGAAGCGATGTGGACACGCTTTCATCCACTTGTCCAAGACTTGCGTAAGGTCCTTTTCACCGACAAACTTATCGGCGACATACGCCGCACATTCTGCGACTTTGGCCAGGATCACAAGCTTGCTTCGCTCGGACCAGAGTCGAGGCTCAAGAATCTTGACCTAGGGGCTGGCAGTCTCTTGAACATCGGCATTTACTCGTTGACATGGGGTCTTCTCACGCTAGATGAAAGGATTGGGATGGAAGCGTCGCACACTGAGATCTTGGCCAACCAAAGCCTGGTCGATGGCGTAGACGTGGCCACTGCCATCTTACTTCGCTATCCAGCAACTGGGCGCCAAGGGATACTTACTTCAACATCGGAGTTCAAGAATGATGATGCTTTCTGTCGCATCGAAGGAACGGAGGGCTACGTTTTGCTAAGTGGACCGTACACTTCATCGCCAAGAAATTTCTCGGTGTGGCGCAACCGAAGCGCAAGCAATTCCAGTTTTGATGGATTACAACAGAGCGAACCCGTGTTCCAGAAGGGGTATGACGACGTCGGATTCGGGTTGTACCGCGAAGCTGATGCCGTCGCACTTGACCTCGCTGCTGGACGAAGGGAGAACAAGATCATGCCACACGCAGAGACGTTGCGCATTATGCGGATGCTGGATGAAATTAGACGACAGGGAGGCGCAAGCTTTCCCCAGGACGGCGAAAGCTCGAGTTAACCGTACATCATTGTGCCTGCTTGCCGAGTAATCAGCGAACCATATGATTTCGAAGTGGATTATTAGCAATGCAATACTAGCTGATACGCCTAGACGACCGTGGAAACATAAGTCGTTGTCTCCCCGTTGCAAAACCTTGTCGGCCTATTCGTCATCAGATGATTCCTTGGGTTGTTTATTTGAGGATGCTCTGATCGACCCGCTCTACTTTACCGGATGGGAGTCCTGATTGTCAAGTTTAGTGTTATGCGTACCGAGCCAAGTATCCGCTCATACAGGAACACCGACCAAAGGGGCGCAGCGACTTGGCACGTGGTACCCAAATGTAAGAACGAACAACTTTACTTCCTTTTTCGGTTTTGGACCCCGTCGTTTTGCGTCACGTCCGGTTCGGCGTCCAACCCGCCTGATGGCCTATTTACGAATACAATCTAGTCCCGATTGGTTCACCAGAGCCCATAAGAGCAGAGCACTCCCGCTTCGTGGCACCGCGTCTCGATAGCTGTGATACACGATGCGTTTGCTCACTCTTTTGTCTTTTGTGCCTGGCTTGCTACATCTGGGATCAGCAGCACCCAATCCGACAGGCTCCCTAAGTTTCGCATCTAACAAAGAACTGTATACCTTCGAATATTCGACACCAAACGCAAACGCCAAAAATTGGATCGGCATCTACCACGCTACCGGTGGTGGCCCTGATGATGAAATGCAAGTAACACCTTCTCTCAGATGGTCCTACGCACCCAATGCGAAGGGGTCGCTTACCATCAAACCTCCCGTTGGAGGCGGAAAATTCAAGGCCTACTTCCTTGCAGACGACGGATACAAGTGGATCGCAAAGCCCATCGAAGTGACTGCGAAGGAAACAAACACAGATGAGCTGAAGGTCATGACGTGGAACCTGTGGCATGGCGGGACCAAGGTGAACGGATACCACGACAAACAGGTCAAGTTCTTGACAGGGGCGGGTGTAGACGTGGTCGGGTTGCAAGAAGCGACCGGCGATCACGCGAAGCGTCTCGGAGAAGCCCTGGGCTGGAATTATCATCAGGACGGTGGAGACAACAGTGTTGGGATCATATCTCGACTACCAATCATCAAGAGACACGGCAAGATCGGCCGGGGAAGCGGTGTCCAGCTTGCACTCAAAGGCGACACGTCAAAGCCGTTCAACTTTTGGTCTGCGCATCTCGCAGCTTATCCGTACGGCCCGTACAGCTTCTGTTTCGAGAAAAAAAGTGCGTCAGATGTCACTGCAGATGAGAACGAGGCTGGCCGACCTAGCCAGATCAAAGAACTGATTGATGGAACGAAGTCGCAGCGCGAGTCTAACATCCCATTTTCCATAGTAGGCGACTTTAACGCTCCGTCACACCTCGACTGGACCTCAGCAAACAACGCAAACCACTGCGGTAAAAGCTTCGATTGGCCCACTTCTAAGATTCCTACCGACGCTGGTCTCATAGACTCGTTCCGCAAGGTGCACCCAGATCCAAAGGCTGTGAGCGGTGACAGTTGGTCTCCCATATACCCAAAGAACGCAGATGACTGGGCGAGTCAGCCAGAGCCGCAAGATCGAATCGATTTTATCTATGGGACTAGCAAGCTGGAGGTGAAGGGGTCTGAGGTCAGAGTTGTTGGTACGCCAAGCGCCTACCCGAATTACGAGAACAACGAGTGGACCAGCGATCATCGCTGTGTTATAACCACGTACAAGATGCCCTGAAGTATGTTTTCTCCAGACCCTAAGTCATGGTAGCCTGTTCGAAAGGTCCCTCCTGCAGCTCTAAGAATCGAAATATCACCACTAGTCGAATCTTGTGTCGCGCATGAGAGTTTTATTTATTTAAGGTGATATATAGTAGACGATTATCAATCGACAAAGGATTGGTCATGCGGCGCTGAGAGTCGCCGAGAATGGTAATACTAGTGAAGGGTGGGTGCGCGTGTCGCAAGTGCTGAGAAGCTCTAAGAAGCTCTAGAGTGACTAGTCTACATAGACTAGGACATAAAAGGAAAGTATGAGTTAGTTATACAGTGCTATAAGAAAGATTTTGTGGGATATATGAGACGGGGAGAGAGTGGGATGCTCAATCAGCTGTAGAGCGTATGAGATGAGGGAAAGCGTACGTCGCTCAACAATCAGTAGACGCAGGCCTCGCTCACAATGGCCTCAAAGCTCCGCTCCTTTCGTTCGCCCACCTGCCGTGGATCATTTGCCTTGCGCTCTTGCCCCAGAACGCAATAGGCAGCGCGATCATGCCACCGACAAGTTGCAGTACTGTAAGCTCAATGCCGACCATTAGGAAGCCATGCGCGTGAATCCAAGGCACGAGCCCAAAGCTGATGGAGAAGCTCAACAAGTAGCACCCCCCGGTGACGACTGCAAGCGCTGGAGCGGCCCATCGTGGAAAGGCCTCCGTCACCCACAGTGTGTTTGCAATAGAGAGTGAGACATACGAGAGGCCGTTAAGCCCATAGGCCACATAGTAAATCGAGTAGTGCCAGCCGTTGTGGACTGCAAGGCCATAGAAAAGTGTGCTGAGTGACCCCGTGATGACAGGAACAATGTAGCCGACGAGATAGTGCTCAGCCTCACGCACGCCTCGGTTGCGTTTCGATAGGAAGGTAAGAGCTTTCCCAAACAAATATCCAGCAAAGACATAAGCCAGAAGACCACCGGTGCCGGAGGAGAAGTTGACAACCGTAATCTTATACGAGGATAGATTGTATGGGGGCTCAGCCAGAATGATTGCGAAGGTGGCTCCAATGAACATCATACCGGCGAAATTGAAGGCAGATGCGATAAGTACCCAAAACACTAGAGGATTGATAGCACAGAAGAACATCTGTAGATAGCAGCGACCAAAGGCCTCCCATGATGCAGATGGAGAGCGAGCGAGACCGAAACGATGGAGTAGTCCACGCTTTTCAGCGTCAAAGCTGGGGAGGTCTCTGTAGATGTCGGATTCCGCCTCCAAGTCTTCATAGATGGTCAGCTTCTCGGTCGCACTCTGCATGATTATCATGCCATCAAAGGCTACCGTAGGTCGTTTGAAGTACGTCTCGTCATAACAGAAGAAGGCGAGAAGCAGTGCGATAACAGAGGGACAGATCCATCGGAGATAGAATAGATGCCAGTCCTTTCCGTCATCCGACATAATAGGGACGAGACCAAGACTTCCGGTGCCAAAAAAGCCTGCAATCGACCATAGGCTCGCGATTATGTGGGGTCGTCGGTCGATGAAGGTCAAATCCACGACCATCAAGAGGGCCTATGTATGTCAATTGAGTAGGGCAAGGCAATAGAGCCCATGGCGTACTGACCAGGCTTAGTGCAAGACCCTCGCTCAGTCCAAGCAGACACACGCATCCCAATAATTGGTAGAATGTTTGCGAGAACGCTGCCCCCAGGATAGCGAACAAGTCGATGAGCGCGGCAAGGAGAAAGACGAGACGCCGCCCTAGGGCGAGACTCAAGGGTACCCAGATGAAGCATCCGATTCCCATGAACAATGTAGGCGCCGTTGAAAGAGTCGCTGGGGACCAGGGTGTGGTCATCTGCCAGATCACGTCAGTCTCAGCTGTATCGACCAGGATACCTGGTTGTCGTGGAAAACTACCTCTTTGGTGAAGTCAGGTTTGATGCCACGCATCATTAAGCTCACCGCTTGCACAGCGGTGAGCGCAGTAGCAGAGTACCAGCCCACAGCTACCATGGCCGCACCAGTTTTCCATGGGCTCCAATTCAATGGGTCGTGCCGACTGTTTGAGGGTATTGGCAAGTCTAACGTCTTTCCCTCGCGAGAGATGAGAAAGACGCTGCCCGAAAGGTCGTATGATTCACGCTTCCTCTTTGTCGTGCTGAAGCTCAAGTCGGATTGCGCATCAGGGAGGGGCTCTGGGGAATGTGCCTCCTGCTCACAGGCATCCTCGGATAGTCGCACCGGTCGTGGCTTCCTGACAGGTTGAGGTTGGGGCTTCTCAAGCTCTGCCTTTTCATCAACATAGATCTCTATACGTTCAGGAATGTCGACGTCAGCAGAGCGATAGACAATGGAAGCGATGTCCATGTCGTCGAAGAACCAAGTAAACTATTAAACAAAGACAGCGGAGAAGAGTACAAAAAGAAACTGTGGGCCCGGAGCGGATTCTCTAGCTACCTTTTAATCCCTACGCTCCCCAGCCAAAGAAGACGCAATGCCCTGAGGTTCGTGCCCAGTTGGCGAGCGACCGAGCCCCGAAGAACGACCAAAACGCGTTTCGGAAAGTTAACGTTCGCCGTGGCCGCCGCAGCCCGAAATCATGAAACAGTTTCTTGCATTTTGGCTTCCGAAAAGACGTTGGAGAACAAGGGGGAGCCCACCGCAGAAGGGCCGGCAGCAGCATTGATAACTGAATCAGGACGCGCAGATACATCGCATTGCAAGGGTCGCAAAACCAACAAACGACCTGTTCCAGAATAGATTACCCCTGCCCCAAGATTTGACAATTCGCCTCACCATGTGATCGACTATAACCAATATCTGGGTGCTCACGGTACGGACCTGGTGTCCGGCGCGCTGTCATTGGGTGACAGCGGCAACCCGATCTCCCCGCAAACCTCGTGCGACCTGAAACGGGCGGGACCGTTGTCGGTAACTAGCGACACCTCCGACGGTTGAATTTCTAAACCTTGGAAGCCTCGACTTGTGGTGATTCGTGCTTTTGGTCACCCTTTTTGCATGCATGAAGCCGGTACATTCCAGTTGAGGCTCAAGCCTCTTCAGGTACGTACCTCCGGAGCTGTTGATGCGAATTCCGTCAGGTGCCAGATCAATGAGATAACGTCTTCTCCGCCTTGTGGATCAACCCGCCATGACGCAAAGCAGGAAATTAATATTCCCACGAAGCACATGAGCCTGCCCACGCTGTCCTCAGGCGTGGGCTTTGACACCCAAACGCCTAGTCCCAAAATTACCATGTATGCGATCGCCAAGGATAATCACATGCATTATCCCGCATTTCTACTGGCCTATCCGTTCTGCTGGCAGATACCAGCAAGCTTACAGAAGTCCATGCAGTGCAATGGTGCAGGAGCCTAACGAAGCTTCGAACAAGTGATAGAATCATGGGCATAGAGTTTTAAGGCCAAAGCAAAATGATCGGGGAACGTGTGTGGACGCATAATAGGCTGGTTGCGCTCAAGACACGCGCATACCGACCGTGACTGCTGTGCAGCTGGATACACTCTGAATCCCCATCACAGCAGACTAATACCAGCACGGAGGCCTCCGGCGCATCCGTCAACACCAGCCACCGGACCATTCCGTTGTCTCACTTCTTCCCAAGAACCATTGTCCCAGAACGATGCGAGCCTCCTCTTCCATTACATCGACCAGGTCCGGGCACTCCATGCACCAGAGATGTTTGCATGGCATGGATGTGCAGAGTGCCGGTTCCGCACCTTGTTGGGGAGCATTGGGCTTTCTACACTGGTGGCAGACCCAACTGGGCCGAGCTCTAGGCGGCCCCGACGGAGAGGAACTGCCGAGAGATACCGAGCCGAGACGTGGGCTGGATGCGTAATACTGAGGCTGCATAGGAGATCTTATGTTACTATAGGAAGAAAATGCGAGATAAGTAATGAAGTACCCACGATTCCGGATGTCCCGGTGCAACGAAGGAAAGCCACAGCGCATGAGAATGGCGGCGTTCCAGTTGGCCATCACATATACTAAGTTTAGAGATGCGCAAACATTCGCAGAGCTGTCGATTGTACTGGATTGAATGCTGCAATTAACAAGCAAACACTTGATGTGACACGCTCGCGGATAGTTAATTCTTCCGTCGGTCACTGATTATCGATCGAAAAGAGCTCACATATTAGCCTAGGCAGACCGTTGATACGCTGCATACGGGAGCTTCTAGTCTCATGACCATTACTCGAGGCCATTCCCATTGTGGCAGTCAAGCAACGTTGATCATCAGGTTGTGATGGGTGGCGTTTCGGAGGCAGCGGGAAGAAGCGCAGTGGCTTTTTTAGTTCACCCGAAAGAGTGAGTGCTGCTGCCCAAATGAAAAATCAAATTGAAAATGAGCAAGTTATCAGAATTTGACATGGACGGACGAGTAGATGCTTCGAGTATTCGGCTGTCCACACAAATTGCTCACATCTTTCGCTTCGCACGGATTTCACTTAGAGTGCGATGATACATACGCTGGACCCAATAAGATACGCGTGCGGGCTGCCCAATCATGATTTCCGGTTCACTGTGAAGCTTAAGGGAATGTCCATCCCAAAGTCGTCGAAGCTCTCATGAGACTGTTGTTGTTAGCCATGGGCCCATGGCTGTACTGACTCGCATTCATTTCATATGGAGCGCAAACGATGTGTGATCAACGATGATGCTGGACTTGCAGCTGAAAAATTCGAGGTCCGTGATCGCGCGTGCATAGGAGAAATGGTCCGGGCGTCTGCGGTTTCCACACGAGGGCCCGATACTATACGGACAATAGGGCCACAATACGTGGCTTCAAAGTTACTGGTCTTGGTACTCTCATCTTCTGACATGTGGATGTCCTCTTTCCGTCACGTTACGGACTTCAATGTGGAGGATCTTACCGCAACGGGCTCCCTGCTTGCTACCTGTGACGGCTACGCTCTCTTCTGGAACAAACTTCGTTATCTTCTCTGCTTCCATCGCACCGAGGTCAACACATTCAATCCTCCGGAGGTAGCTCCGGGAGCGATTGTCCCCTATGTCAGTTCCAAATTTGATAGTTTCGGTCCTCCTGTCATGTCTTCATGTTTGGCGGAGGAGGCATCTCCGATGTATCAGCAAGAACCGCAGTCATGCACGGCTTCGGAATTCGCCGCAACCCTGGTTCGCGCAACAGAACCACATCGCCACTGCAGATATCAGATCATCCCGACTAGTCAGCTTGGAAACTCTTGAGGTGTCAAATAAAACGTATGCACATGAGGTCTGGCTTCAAGATGCATAGCTCGCTGTGATTCTATCAAAGACCCACTTGGATCGAGCGCGCGTCGTTCGTTCCAATAATTCCCTATTACCACGTAGCCAGTGGTGGTTGCCAACGAAAAACGGTCAGCATGTGGAACATGGCTTGGCTGGAAGAAGGGAAAGTAAACCGGTTGTGATCTTCAGAACCATTTTGGCCCGTTTCTAGGAGAAGTCAGCGTCCAGTGTCGTGTAAATGTAGACGAACTGTTTACCACAGCTATGTATACTGATGGATCGCCAGCCGACCTTGCACAAGGTCTCGTACAGCATACTCACGCCAGACACTGCCCATGGTTCTAGAGCTGGTCACTTGTGATGAGATCATCCTGCTTAGGACTCCTGTCTCTATTCTGCGCCAGCTTACTTTGCCGTTCCTTTGAAGACTGCTGCTCGGCGCATTTGATGAGTCAACACTGCCGTCTCTTGTAGAAAAAGCCAGAACACTCTGCTAGGGTTGATAGCCATCGAAGTCGTTCAGAAACCAAAATCTTTCGCGCAGAAATATCCCCTTCGTGCTATCGATTCAGAATGAGGCGCCTGGATTGCTTTCCTTTATTTCTAATGTTTTGACCTTTGCAGATATGTACCAAGGCCGTCGATTGGTCATATCAGTGAGTTCTGTGCGCGGTACGGCTATGAGGCTGCCAGGAGGTAGACTGTAGTAAATTACTTCTCGTTTTGAGGACTTTTGCAAGCCCTCTCAGCCTCAGCGCTCAGCCTCAGTCTTCGTCTAACCTGAAAACGCAGTAGAGCCGCGATGTAACAAAGTGGGTGGACTCCACTGATAAACGAGTAATTCAATGTACACTGATAGTTTGCTGACACCTTGCTTGATGTGTTCCTCCTGTGTTCTGGTTCTACTATCGCCAGAACGTGCGCTGGACGCTACCCTTAGTAGCCTCAGCCATAAATTACTCTGCAGAAGTTCGGGACTTCTCGACAATTATTGGATATTTCATTAAACGATCTTCGAGAACACAAGACTGCAACTACACTACCTCCTACCTCCCCTCCTGCTCACCTCTTCCCGTCCACTGCAACCTGCGCACGCCTCCCCTGAGCGTCCTCTACACGCCTCCCACACAGATCTCTTTCCGGGCACGCAGTGCACCAGAATTTCCCACACCTTGAGACCCTGCATCCCAGGCTCGGCGCCATGCTGTGGTGGGTTGGCGTGCCTGCAAGAGCAGCAGCCCCATCATTTCGACCTACCCAAGGGTAAGGGTTGGTTGGATTTGCTACGCGGCGCAAGGCTGTCATTGTTGGACCCCGTTGGCTGCTTACTTTTTCGTGGGGTCTGTCTATGATGGGGCCAAGGGCTATATGTACAGGTTGTGTGGATGAGGTGTTGGTGGGGGCTTTATTGTGAAAGATGAACTAGGTGAAACATTCAGCGTTGTGGCGCGACGTTGATATTTGAAATCAGAGACTTCACGCAAGAGACAATAAGATGTGGTCTGTGTGGAACGAATGTTCGTTCTAAGATTTACACGCACGAGGCGTGAAATGATCTAGGATCCAGGGTATGTAAAGTATATACGACCGGCAGATCTAATTAGAGCCAGCCTCTGCGGCCAGCCACAACTACCTCCCCTTTGCACTTTCTTTCGGCTTCCAGTCGGTCGTGACACCTCTAGATAGTAACAGGCTCGATGAACTCGGCCTTTTCGATGATCGGCGCTGGCTTGGGGAGGTGCCTCTGGAAGAAAATCCAGCGCTTGATCCAGTACGGCACCATGACTTTGAGCTCGTACCCGATGTACGTCTTGGTCGGCACGGAGAACACCTGGTCGAGTTCCTCCAGGGTAAGCTGCTTCGTCTCGCGCACGAAGCAGAAAATCATGAACCACGCAATGAGATTGAGCCCGGCGTAGAAGCCAAATGCACCAGGGGGCGTCATAACGGTCTTCATACGGGGAAAAGTAAGGGAGAGAATTCCGGCGAAGGTATTGTTGATGCAGACGGCCCAAGCCATGCCCTGCTCACGCTGGATGGTGGGGAACACCTCGGCGGAATATTGGAAGGCCACAGGACCTTCGCCGAGAGAATAGCAAATCGTGAAGAGGTAGACAAAGAGGACGACCGGGCCGATCTGTGCGCCTTTGGAGGCGGTAGTTGGTGTCAGGAGGGAGAGACCGGCGGCGAGCAGGAAGAGGCACATAAGCGGGAAGGTGATCATGCAGAGGGTTCTGCGGCCCTTGGTGTCGATCAAGAAAAGTGTGGGAATTGTGAAGACCACCTGAACAGCTCCGTAGCCAAGAGAGGCGTACAGTGCCTGCGTCTTGTCGTAGCCGACGTTTTCGAAGATAGTGGAACTGTAGAAGGAGATGATGTTGATTCCACACATTTGCTGGGCAAGCATGACGGTGGATGCTCCGTAGTTGGCGCGCCTGATCCTAGGGACCCTGAAGCAGTCCCAGAGACGAGTGAAGTAGTTCGTTCCGGCAGCTAGTTTCTTCTCCTCTTCATAGATGACGAATGAGTAGTAGTAGTCCCTCGCTGCGATGATGGGATGCGCTCGGAGCCTGTTCATGGACCTAAAGGCCTTGGCGTAGTTTCCTTTTTTCATGAGCCATCGAGGCGATTCCGGGCAGAAAAAGATTCCAATGCCGAGAATGAAGGACGGAATAAACGCAGAGCCAAGCTGTAGACGCCAAGAGATCCGGCCTGTGTCCTTGACTATGACATTGGCGCAGAAACCCAAGAAGATACCTGAAGCCATTAGCACGAGCTTAGTTTGGCCAAGGGAAGCTTCTTACCAATGACGACCCACAACTGCCAGAACATCACGAGAGCGCCTCGAATGCGGGCGGGCGCCATTTCAGCGGAATAGATGGGTACAGTCGCATTCTTTGCACCGATGCCAATGCCCATGACGAAGCGAGCGGCGAAAAGCTCCTGCCATGTCCTTGCGAAAGCAGAGCCAATGGGAGTTGCCGTGAGACACAGAGCTGTTACAAAGATCTCACCTCGTCGACCGAGGTATTTGTTCAGAGGGTCGACAATGAAAGCACCGCTGAGTTCTTCAGTTAGCTGTACTGATGGTAAAGTCGCAGATGGGTGCACCTACATCAACCCAGCAGTCAAGAAAATGATGGCATTGATGATTCCGACGATCCATTCGTCTTTGCCTTTGCCCGAGATTCCGAATTCCTCGGGGAATGACAAATTGGCGCCGTTTGAACCTGTTTGATCCCAGCCTTGTGTCGCGGCACCGATGGCACACAAGCCAATCGAGTACCACAACATCTTCGGGCCGTGCCACTTGTGGTCACGCTCATAGATAAGCGCAGTGCGTTCGTCCTCATCGAGTTCGGCGAGTGACTCGAAATGCGTGGGATTGCGCGCAACGAGTGCAGCCCGACCAAAGAGCGATGCGTGCTCCGACATGCCATTCGTCTCAGCGAAAGCCCGCGCGTCGGCAACAGCAGCTTGCGGCGAGACACGCTATGGGCGACGCAGTCAGCATTAACACACTGAGCGACGCCATGACATGCTGGTGGGTGAGAGGTTCAGCGTACCTGCAGAGGGTTTTGGACGATGTTCAAGGCGACCGACGCCCGGCGACCGCCGGTGTCGTCTACGAGCTCCGTGTGCGGCTTCTCCGCCTTCTCGTGGAGTGCGCCATATTGCGGAGGCTCGCTGGGGTCGTGGATGGTGTCGATGTTCTTTTCGGCCATCTTGTCTCACGGTAGCGGGCACGAGAGATGAGAGTGGAACTGAGCAACGGGTCGATCGACACGAACAAAGCGGACAGGCAGGCAGATTAAATAAACCAACCCCAACCGTGTACGGGCAACCCATCGGGAGACGATTCTGGGGCAAGGCCAACCACCACAGGCGCGCTAGTTCCCCGTTCATGGAGTTGACCCACTGTTTATGCTGGTAGCTGATATACCCCATGCGGAGATAAACCGACGTAACCTGCAAACGTCTGGTGAAGATCCACATTTGACCGGAAAGCTGATCACGATTGGTCCCTTGTGCCTCTCTCCGGGGCAGAACCTGCCGATACTCACCACACCGCTGAAGCTCCACGTTCTCAACGCAGTCAGCGTGCTCACCATGGCGCGCTTAATTCCGACGTCACGACCGGGGATCTGGGGTCGCTCCAAGCAACGACGGCTGGGGCTTGGGCTTGTGTGCGATGCGCCAGCGGTAGCGCTCGGGATCTCCGCCTTCCACGCTCGATGCGGTTGGGCGGTCAGTCTCTGTTGCCTTGACTTGCAGGACCAGTGGCCCGGCCTTGCAGGTTGGATGTTGTATTTGAGCCGCCTCGGAGCCGGCAGCGCAAGGATGCACGCCGCTGACGCACACGCAGCAGAGCGACATGGCGAGATAGTGGTGAGAATTAGCCTGCTTCGGGCTAACGTGGGAGGGCCTGAGACAATCCCACAGGCTCACGTGCGTTAGCTGGCGGAGCCCGGACTGCGCGCGCCAATGGACGCGGCAGAAAATTTGGGGCCAAGCCACAAGTGTCCCGCGACCAAGCTTAAGAAATGTAACCCTTTCTCCATGATGCTTGCGCGTGCTTGCCCACATGATATCTCTTCCTCAACGCCGGCGCGTTACTAGGCGTGCTGTTGCCACTCCTGCTTTCAAACCAACGATCCGCCTCGAGACGACGTTGAGATCTAGGCCATGCAGTATCGTTCCCACACGGAGCCGCAAGCCCAAGGAATTCGTTAGTCCCTCACATCGATGAGGAGCAAGGATACATTGGCATGCCCGCCACATCATCTGGTATCATTGGAAACCCGTGCGGGTCCCCAAATCTCTGTGGATCTGACACTGGTGTCTGGTCTGGCCCAGTATAGCTTGGTAGTTGCAAAAACAGAGGTACCGTTTCTAATTGCCTTGGTGCGTTCTCGCTTGCCATGGGCTCAATAAAGACTTCCAATGGCCACGCTAGTTGTTCATGCCAGTTGCCCTTGAGACGATTGACTGTGGAGAGACCAGCGCGAACCGCCCAAGCCTTGACAAAAGGTTTACTGCTTCGAGACATGATCGCAGTCCAGTGGATCAGAATTAGCAACGCAGTGTCGTCACCACCCGCAACGAGGTCGAGAAACTCGGGAAAGACTCTTCTAGGCCACTCCTGGTACTGGTCCCATCTTATAGGTCGACCTTGACATTCGACGGCCCACTTCTCGAGCTCCATAAACGCTTGTCTATTGATTCTCCCCGGACCTGTTCCGTCGTTGCAACTGTTGATCTCCTGGAAAACGTTGAGCACGGCAAAAGATAACGAGTGCATGGCAGATCTGTCCAAGAGTCAATAGTTGCCAAAAAGATCCCGAGCTGGGAAAGTCGCATGCAACATGCAGCTCGCTGCGGCAAGAAATCCAAAGACGCACTGACAGCTTCATAAGCTATACGAATCGTTGGAAACGTACCTCATCTTCAGGTCAGGCAAAATCGGAACGGACGTGCGTGCTTGGATCAGCTTCCAAAACTCCGTGCGATGAAAGTACTCTCTTGCTGCTTCTTCAATCTGCAAGGTGTTGCGCAGAGCCTGAAGGGTCTCGATGATGTTGAAGTGCTCTTCATCGCAATTGATTTGACTCCCGAACTGGAAAATCAGCATAATGATAGCGAAAGCCAGGACTGCCATCCAATTGTCACCGTCGACGTAGTGTGTCGTTTCACGAAAAATTCGTGAGGCCAAGAGGTGGTGTTGGTAAGCGCTTGTTGACGGCCAACGCAACCCACTGAGGTTGTGATGCTTCATGTGTGCTATTGCTTGTACACAGTGTTGCAGATAAGGGTACTTCGGCGCCGCCTTTGCAATACTATCGGTCCATAGGACTGTCTCTGGAGCCGAAAACCAGGATCCGGCTCCAAGAAGACCATCGAGTAATTTGCGCGTCCTTGGACAGTACGGTGCATCGCTGTCTGTGGGGTTGGATTGAAAGTCAGGAAGAAAAGGAGGTGATGCATGAGTAGCCAACCCTGCAGAAGAGCTAACTGTGTCGTGGTATTCCAATTGAGGCCCAACAGCCCAGGAGTTTATTTCCGATGACCGTTCTGAGGGTGGTGGAGTAGTAGAACCATCGTCTACCGGAGGCGGATACTCGCAGATTTCGTTTCGGCGACTGCAGTTCGCGCAAGCAGGTTGCTGCATGCCACACTACACACAGTCAGCACCACGAATACCTTGGCCGCGTCACGCAAGGCTTCCAAACTCGGCAAGGCCGTGCCGTTCGGATGGTAACAAGGCTCCCGGAAGCCGACCCAGAGACGTAGATACCGGCAACGAATCATGTTGATACGGCTGGTCTTGCACCAATCAAGTCGTGACTTTCTGGTGGCAGGCGATGTTTCTGGTCGAATCGCGGTATGTCCTGCGTACCTATGGTAGCTGCGACGTTCTCGTACGTACCTTGACTCTCCTTCGTTTACATTGCATACATCCGTTCCGCGACTTATGGTGATAGCTTCGTAAGCCCTGTTTCTTTCGAGGCATGTCGGCGGGTGCTGGCGGTGTATTTCGCTAAGGCGTGGGCGCGGTGGACGCGGACCTCGCATGGACCCAGCAAACCAGCCAAGGTTTTCCCCGGACTGGCTGGTCACGACCTTTAAGGGGTGTGGCATACGGGAGGCATACTGTGCTATCATGTTTCCAAAATGCATAGAAATTCTCTAGGTTGAACGGTGTTGCATGGCCAAGCTGAGTAGGACCGACGATGTACCTTCCCGGCTGCGGGAAGCGTGTGGGAGCCAATCCTATACGGGCATGCTAAGCGAACACGAACAGGGTGCATACGAGCAACCCTGCTCTCTTATGACGCCGCACTCTGGTGTATCTTCTAACACTCACAATTTGCTTTCAAACATCGCGCATCGCCTCAGCTCAGCTTATAGGCAACCTCAAGCTATAGTCGATATCAGGCCCTTCGCGACACGCACCTCAACAGGTTAGCAGTCGCTGCCCAACGAATCTCAATCCTCAATCTCTCATTTTCCTGGTCGCGTGGAACACACAAAAGTCGTAGTCTTAAAATAGATCGACGCCTAGTATCCAACGCATAAATCTTTTAGACCCCACCTTGAGTGCTCGTTCACCTTGGACCTGCGTCGACACTGCTCTTGGCTAGACACATACGGGAAATCTCCGACGCAAGGCTTCTGGACTGTTGAAAGGTCTACCAATCAGCGAGACTGGTCCCCGACTCCCGACTCATTTCAAAACAGTTGTAGTCGGCGACTGTTGGATGCTTGTCACGACCTCTAGCGTACGCGACGTCTAGCGTACGCAGTACCACGAATCTTCCGGGCAAATGCTCGCTTTCGGATCTGCATCTGGTGTAGTGTACCCTATGTATGCCTCCAAACATCAAGCTCTCACGGTCGGCCCAACTTGAAGTAGCCAAAGTCGAAGAAAACGCGATATTTTCAGACCCCAAGACATGAATGCGCCCTTCCTACGACGAGGAATCGCTTCTTACCGTACGAGGTAGGTTTTGCGACTAGCCCTTGCCTTATTCCTGACGTTCATAGTGAAGCAGATGTACGAAGAAAGCGCAGGACCACGGCTTCTACCGGAATTACCTCACCAAAACAACCGCAACGCACTTTTGGAGCACTTCGGATCTATCGAACCGGCCACTGCAAAGCGGACCCATTGCCATACGTCTAGGCGTCTTAAGATTACTATCCTGTCGAGAAACGATTCTCGATCGTCAAGATAGCTGCAGGGTTGTTCGACTAAATTTTCAACTGTAGTCGACATGACAGCATAGACGGCAAATGCCGTTGAATTGCCAATAGTGGCCAGCCTCTTCGTGATTAGGCTGTCCTTGGCCAATGAGTGAATTCCACACGTGCAGCGCTTGCGGCTGTATTGCAATCGCCTCCTACCACGATCATCGGAGTGCGATCTCGGGCTGAAGCGTCCCCGCTCGCATAGCGGACATTCATCACCGTTGCATCACCCCCCTTTTTGATTTCTGCCGAGGTGAGTGCACGCTTATACTTCTTCTAGCACTCCACCGACCGTCGAGGGATTCGATCGCAGGATCCGAGTCGAACTGAGGTCCGCGCACCGTGGGCATGAATATGAATATCCTCGATCATGATACTATAGACGCGACCGTATACAACCTAAGTCTTTCTGCCTCTTTCCGGAGCATCGTACGACACGGGCCCATCTCGGCAGGGCGTAGTAAATCGCAACCACCAAAATTCCGGAATCCGGAGGTGGGTCACGCTGCATCATCCAATCTGTCTAAAGTGCATAGCAGCGTCTCTTACTCGTGCGATTCGAAGCTCGAAGAGACAGTGCGCTGTGTGACTGTGTGCCACGTTTTCCTCGTGGCCATAATATCTTCTGACACTAGTCACTCGCTTCCCCGCAAACTTCTCATTTAAATCCCTGAGGCCATCACTATATCCGCGCACCGAGGTTGGAGCTTGGCGGAACAACAAGAACGCTGGATTGGTTCATTAATCGTACAAAGAAGGGTTCCGGGCACCAAAGGTTGGACGCACATTCCTCATACGGCTACACAGCTTGCCCTGGTTGGTGGGTTACTGCACTTGGTTATCACCATCGTCAACGTTTGTCGGAACATCTTCATCTTGGCCCCGTCTCGGTCACATAGCCTGTTTAGAGAAAATCTGTATCAGACGTACGATACTGCCAAATGGAGGTTCTGGTGTATGTCAGTTCACTAGTGGGATACTGCCAATGGATGGAAATACCCCTCTCCACGGCCCGACGACACTGCGATCCGACGACGCTATCACGAGAGACATCGCGGACTTGCTTTGTACATGGCCGAGAGCAATATACGACGGAAGTTAATGCTCCAAACCTTCGCGAACAATGGGCACATAAAAGGCGGCGAGTTACCATTCAAATCGGCACGGTCAGACAGAACTAGTCGAGTTTCCCTACAACATGGCTCCTTCCCTGGCTCTCAAAGCCCTCGTGGCATTATGTTCGGCATCCACTGTTTCCGCTTTCGGCGTTGGTACACAGCAGACGGAGACGCATCCTAAGCTGCAGTGGAAGACGTGCACCGGAAAGGGAGGGACTAGCTGCTCCAATGTCAGTGGTGAGATCGTCGTCGACTCGAACTGGCGTTGGCTGCACACCACAAGTGGCACGACCAATTGCTACACTGGAAACAAATGGGACTCGTCCCTATGCTCGACCAACGCGGCATGTTCTTCGAACTGTGTTATGGACGGAGCCGACTACAGTGGTAAGCTGCTACAGTTGACGCAAGGTGTAGCGGTCTAGCTAAGCCGAGTCCACTAGGCACCTATGGAATTACCACTGGAACCGATGCACTGACTCTCAAATTCGTTACCAAGGGATCATACTCGACCAACATCGGATCGCGCACTTACCTGTTGCAGGACTCGAGCAATTATCAGATGTTCAAGCTTCCTGGAAATGAATTCACCTTTGACGTAGACCTATCGCAATTGCCCTGCGGTCTCAATGGTGCGCTCTACTTTGTGTCTATGCCCCAGAAGGGCCAAGGTACCCCGGGTGCGAAGTACGGCACCGGTGCGTATTCATCAGATTCTGGGTCTACCCAACGCTTGCTCACTACTCATAGGATACTGTGATGCTCAATGTGCGCGTGATTTGAAGTTTGTCGGCGGATCGGTACGTCCCGCCTTGGCTTTTCGTCGCAACACTGACTTGTAACAAGGCCAATGCTGAAGGCTGGGTTCCATCAACCAATGATGAGAACAGCGGTGTTGGCAAAAAGGGTGCTTGCTGGTAAACACTCCCTACCGATACCACAATCTTTTACTAACATGCCTACAGCGCCGAAATGGATGTCTGGGAGGCCAATTCCATCTCCACCGCCGTCACCCCGCACTCTTGCAGCCCGGAAGCCTACTCCGTCTGCACCGACACCGGCTGTGGAGGAACCTACTCGGCGGACCGCTATGCTGGTAACTGTGATGCGAATGGATGTGACTTCAACCCATACCGTGTGGGCGTCAAAGACTTCTACGGTCCGGGCAAGACGGTCAACACCAACGCCAAGTTCACTGTCGTCACGCAGTTTTTGGGCTCTGGCAGTACCATCTCAGAGATCAAGCGCTTCTACGTCCAGAACGGCAAGGTTATCCAGAATCCTCAGCCTACAGTCACCGGTTTGACTGGTAACTCGATCACGCAGGCGTGGTGCAATGCCGAGGAGAAGGCGTTTGCGGAGGACCGGTATCCGTTCAATGAGCATGGTAAGTTTCCGTTCCTATCAAGCCATGGTCCCTACCTCGAATGACTTTTACGTCGATACTGATTCCAGAACAGGTGGAATGGCCTCGATGGGACGCGCTGGCGGCGCCGGCATGGTCCTCGTCATGTCACTTTGGGACGATCACTACGCCAACATGCTGTGGCTCGACAGCAATTATCCGACGGACCAGCCTGCCACTAAGCCTGGAGTAGCACGCGGCACCTGCTCGACCTCGTCAGGGGTTCCTGCCGACGTGGAAAAGAACACCCCGAATGCTCAGGTGGTGTTCTCTGCGATCAAATTTGGGCCCATTGGCTCGACATTTGCGCAGCCTTCTGGGTCGTAGACGCACAGAGTAGAAGCATTGTGGAGGGTCATGGTCGCTCTTTTGGACGGGATTGGTCTATCGCTTGATAGTGAATACATTTTGGAACATGTGCTCCGACCCACGTGCTTCGTATCATCGTGCAGTGAACCAGCAGCAGAACTATGCTGGCAGGCTATACTATCAAGTGGGATTTTTGGTCCTCATCTCAGCGCGAGCCGCCCGAGGTCCCACTAAGAAATACAGGACTCAGTTCACTCGATCATGTAGAAGGCTTCTTGCCAACCTCGGTGCTGACACCCATGCTGGCTCATTTGATTGAGCAGTCATGCCAAGATTCTGCTTGCACTTTGATCCCAAGTCTACTTCCCATCAGCACCCCCTGTGTCGATTCTGATCATGCATCTACTCACCACCTGACCTGTTGGTCTTGCTTCAACAGCAGCAACAGCAACCACGCCTCCCATCTCTGCCGCCTCCGTTCCCTCCACCACCTTTCCCACCGCTCAAATTCGGATCCGTCGCAGCAGAGGAACCAGTCCCTTCGTCATTGACGGTGGAGAGTTTTGCTTTCCTAGCAGATTTGGAAACGAGCAAGGTAGATATGAATGCAATGATTAAGACCAGCTTGATGGTGGGAAGCACGATGACTAGTACGACTGCTGCTGTTCTCATTGTGTAGAGCAGATGAGAAATCTCGGGATGTTCTTTCGGCCTCCTGCAGGTACGGGCAGCGCTGTAGGAAGATGTGATTTGATGAGGCACGGTCGTTGTCGAGATTCGATTTGGAGCTTGGTACATATAACAACCTTACTTGAGAGGAGGATATCCTGCATGTGTTTTCCACGGATAGCATGGTTTGGTAGACACGTGGAGTCTGAGCTAGCTGTGGTATGCGAAGCGAAGGAACTGGGCATTATCTCTTGTACGACGTGTAGTCCAACCTTCTTCAGCCCTAACATCATCACTCTTCAAACCCGATTCGGGAACCCACAACACATTTCTCGTGGGTTTGTGGCGACTGCAGCTGAGTGTTTGTGTACATTCCACGATTTTGTGTTTCTCGCTTCATGTGAGCTATGTTGTCCCCACCAGGTGAGGTCGGGGCACCTGCCCATTTCGCATTTCCGCAGTGCGTGCCTTGTGCTATCTTGGTCCGGACACTGTGATCCTCAAGTGGAATTGTCAGCTTGCGATAACGTATAACGATATATATGTATGGGAAAGGTAGACGGGCAGTAGTTGGACAATGTCAAGAGCAAGGTCGTGGCCCCAAGCCTACAACCAATCACAGTACAGGCAATGCTGCTGACGCGTGGCCCAGTGTTTCGCAGTCGCAAGAGGGCCTAAAATGCCGTGATCGCACGGTCTCGAAAGTCGCTCAGCCTACCAACAGACTCCCGTCATTCGAGCCGAAGATGACAGCGCGGCCGAGTTGGGCAGCGTGTCGCATGAGCATGGGCTGATATGGTGGCGCTTTGCGCGACATGCCCACATATCCCGGCCAAACCACCCCACCACCATTAACAATCAGGAGGGGAAACATACATAATCGGAGCAGCTGCTTCCTATTGTTCGTTGAGTCACTTCTGGTTTCCAATCACATTATCGCTTGACTCCGCAAACAAGCCAGAAAGCTGCTTGCCCTCGATCTGCACAGCCTGTGAAGTCAACAGGGAGGAGCTCCTCCAGAGCCGCATCAACCGCCATCCAGGAACACTGCCTGGGAGCTCTGACTCGGCGCACTTCTCCGCTTGGTGCGTCATCACACAGCGCTGCGCGCCGTCGCATCTGCCGCCTAGCTTGGGCTCAGCCTTGTGAGTGCTGCGGGCCCCTGGTCGCACACTTTAAAGCACGCGCACCGCCGCGTAGGCAGCTGCGGCTTCCCTAATTCACATATCCCCGTGCCCTCACTCAAGCTCTCTTGCTTGCCTCCAAGACACTTGAACTGACACTTCGGGAGCAGCCGACTATCACTCCCCGCATTCACAACGCGTGCACCCCACTTTGTACATCAAGACAGCTGCCGCCCGTGGCCCCACATCAACCGTTCGAGCATCCGCATTTGTACTCGAAGCGAGACGGAACAGCATTAGCAACCAAACATCAATCACGACTCTTCCTGACAGAACTTGACCCTCGCATCCATCATGTTTGCTACACACGCCCTCAATCAGCTTCGACGCTACTCCACATCTCTACCTCGCGACCCGCACTACAGACTCAAGGCCACCCTCATGACCGGCTACCTGGTCTCGGCATTCACCCTACCTTTCGTCCCGCCGCTGCTGGAGTCGCGCAGGACGAAGGCTGACGGGACATATCTCACGAGGTAAGAAGTTCATGAACCTATAGCCTGCCATGATCCAACAGCGCTCACTCCCACCTAGGGAGAACGTATACTGCTCTGCGCACTACCACGGATGTGCGAGATGAACACAGTACGGCGCACGCATTACAAACGATAGTGGAAGCTGACAGTACTTGCAGACCACCGATTGAGTTCGTCGCTAGACCTCATTTCTAAGGTCCACCGCCAAAAGGAGCATTTTTATTACATATACCCCTGCATCACATCGGCATCCTGCTTTCTTTGGGTACTCACGGCGTTCATGTTGCATACGGGCGTTGACAAGGTCCGCCCGGCATTCCATAGGGTTGGGTTGTGTTTGGCCGTGCGGTCACGGCTCAGGAACAATCAACGCGTCACAGTTAGTGTTTCAATACAATCAAATCATTCACCACCGTCCGCTCCAGTGTAGTTGCGGCTTGGGGCATGGGTTTCACTGTGACGCGCAAGCGAGTTGTGCGATTCTCTGAAGACTATGACGGCCGGCGAAGTCTTCACTGTGTGAAGGGCGGGTCCCAGGTGGTCGTCTCCTGAAGGTCGCTTCGATGATTGCCCCGAGGTTGCTTGCGGTTGAAGATCGAGGTTGCTATCAAAGCCATGTAGGTGGTCTGAGCGGACGCGCGGCGGGGGTCCCGCGTCACCTGCTGGACGCGTCGCAAACCCCTCATTACTTTTAAAGCTCCTCAACGTGCGACCAGCCTACAAGACCCCGCGGTCACCGTCGCTGGATAGCACACTACCGCCCGCCATGGCAGCCACTGCTCATATTGATCGCACCAACCCACACAGCCTCTTCTACCTCCCCGACGAGCTCCTCGTCCAGCTCGTGTCTCACCTCGCCGGCGACGCGCAAACGCTATGCTCGCTTGCGCGCGTCAGCCGTTTCTTCCAAATCGAAGCCGAAAAGCACATCTACACAAAGATCGAACTCCTCTCCACCAACGATCTCCATGCCATCATCGAGGCCTTCACGCGACGGTTCGACCGCGTCGCTTCCGTGGAGACGCTCAAGATCTTGTACCGGTTCCACGGTGGCCTGGGCGCAACTGCCGATGAGCGCGCCGTGTTCAATGCCTGTGTCGGTGGCATGAAGGCGCTGCGGAGCTGGGAGATCGAAAGCCCGTACGACAACTACAAGTGGGATGAGGGCGGAGACGAGTGGGTTCTGAAGGACATGGAGAAGTTCCGGGCGCACTTGGAGACTGCTAGTCTGAAGGCGGCTGCAGGCAGTCTGACTGGGCCTGGCGACGTGGGGCTGGCCAAACTACAGAGGCGTATGTCCGCAGCGCCGGCAAGAAGAATCTTCGGTAGTGCATTGCTAACGCATCGCAGTTGTGATCCACACGCACGGCGTGAGCGACGACTTCTGGAACCTAGGCGAATTCCACTGCCTCTTCCGACACCCTAGCCTACGCTACCTTCACGTCTCCTGCCTCGCTCTGCCTCCGGACCTACCTAAACTCGAGCCGTACGCGAGAACGACTCCTCTCACCGACCTCGTCTTCGACGAATGCGAGCTCGAGCCGCGGAGCTTGGGCAGGATCCTCGCGACACCGAAGAAACTCAAGCACCTCACCTTGGGCGAGAATGTCTACAATATCAACGAGGGTAGAGGCGCGAACCCTAGGCTAACGCGCGCCCCGGAAGCCGCCCTTGCAGCGCTGAGCCATGTCGCTCATTCTCTCGAAACCCTCGTACACTACGATCCGGCATGGAGGATCAACATGAACTACCACAAGGCTCTTCCCATCCCCGGAGGTGGTATGCGAGACTTCCACAGCCTGAAGACACTCCGTGTCGACACGTGCTCATTCCTGCACCGCAGCATCGCTCTCTCGCATACACAAGCCCCACCCAACCTACACACTCTTCAGATCCGGAACCCGCGTCCTAGGGTCACTCGTTTTGGGCCCTTAGCTGCCTCTACCAACGACGACTTCTTCGAACACCTTCCACCGCACGACCCGTACACATACCTCGCCTCTCTGAAGACTCTGGATTTTGTGCAAGGCGCGACCTCCGAGATGCCCATGGCAAAGACACTGCATATCACCGAAGACGAGGCTCTTCGGGAGCGTCACAAGACCGGGTACAAACTGTTCAAGCATGGCATCAATCTCAAAGTCACGCTGGAGGCCACGTGGAGGGCTGCCTTGATACCGCCCTTCCTGCACGGCGAGCCACTGCCTGAGCTAATCTGCGTGTACGATGCACAGGAGATCGGCTTCAATCGCACCTGGGCTCCAGCACACGAAGCAGAGCTGAGGGCCCATGAGCTCGAATACGCGCGGGCCTCTGCGTGGTTGCGAGGCAAGGAGACACCGGAGGCTGAAGATTACGAAGATGGGAGGGTTATACCTGAGAAAGTCGAGGAGCAAACCGAATTCCCCGAAACGGACCAGCTCACGGATTCCGACATCATCTGGTGTCGAGGCAAAGTCGGACGCTCACTGAAGGCGCTGTGGGAACGTATGCAGAGCGCAGATCCGGACGAAGAGCCGCAGGCCTTCACGGTCACGATTGACTCAGATGAAGATGATGAATGGGACGATGCTTTTGACGATGACGAAGATCTGGCCGAGTGGATGGACGCGGACGAGGGCGACGTTGAATACGTGTTGGCCGAAGAGCTGATGGGACCTGATGACGGTCATGCGGATGAGATGTTTTGGGAGACGCAAGCGCAGGCTTTGCTTGCTGCTGCAGAGGCGGTTGCAGAGGAGGACGACTTCACCGAGCACGAGATGGACGATGATCTTGATTAGGCCATAACTCTGGGGCGGATGTATCCTGTAGCGAGTCTTCCTCGAGTCACAATCCTAATGACTTCTCGCCAGCGTAGACTGAATGGTGTGTCAAACGATCGACCCTGTAGATTTTATGATGCACGAGACATCTGGCCACTCCGGGGAAAGTTTGTGAGCGTGGTCCTCCTACGTCGAGTCGGATCTCGGCTAGGGAACGTCTTCCTCAAGGTAGAACCGCTAAAACGATCTCAGCCGTCGAAACAATAGCGCGGTAAGGCTAGGAAACAGCACCCGTTGTACGACTCGGACATCAACCAAGACATGTCCAGCTCCTTCTTTGCACCATAGCAAGGCCTCAACCCGACGACCCCGAACTGGAGAGCCTCCCTGTCAACCGTATCCTCTATATTATTTCCCGCTTCTTCGCGACAGTGTCGCATGAAATTTACCTCCACCGTAAAGCCATCTCATCACAAACTCCCGCCAAGCCGCCCGACAGTTTGAAACCAAATGAGTGTAGTTTCAAAACGCTGTCAAACGCGGGAACTAAGCGCCTCGCTTCGCCAGCGTCCGACGGCCCGCACTGATCCCACGAATGAGGATCCTGGGCCACCGCCTCACGCCTATGCGAAGACAGCAAGACTTCCCGATGTGTTATGCGCGTAGAGATCTACGAGGATACGAGCCCGCGCGTTCCGTCGAGAAGGAACGTCGGCCATGGGAGTGGGTGCGAAACATGCCAAGGTACACAGTGGTGAGATGGAGAGGGATGGTGTTGATGAGGGAAGGTGGGTCTGCACGCGATGTCTGTGTCGCATATAAGATATGCATGTCCTCGCAACATGGCTTTCTTCTCCAGCTCCAGCTCTTGAGTGCATCCATTCCATTCGTTCTTTTTCAAACTCACTCTTTTCTTCATTCGCTTGTTACATTCATTCCCTAAGTGCACAGGATGCCTTCTTTCACCACCTTCGTTGGCGCTGCGGCGCTCGCCCACATGGCGGCTGCCTACACGCAGGTCAACCTCAGGAGCGCGTACATGACCAAAAATATCGACCCTATTGTCTTCCCTGGATCTTACGACAAGTCGCATTTGCACTCCATCTTTGGGTCTGACGCACTTACCGCGTCCACGACAACGTCCGCCGAGCTTCAGAAGGGGTAAGTCACTCTTCACTGTACACGTATAGAATAATGACTAAAGAGATGTGCAGCTGCACCAACGCAGACAACCCCAATGACCTCAGCGCCTACTGGGTCCCCACGCCCCTCTTCACCACCGATGGTGGAAAAACCTACACTCCCCTGGGCATGTTCCGCTTCAGCGCATACTACAATCTCGGCGAGACCCCCGCCGAAGTGGCTATCCCGCAGGACCTGAAAATGGTCGCGGGCAAAGCCACCGCCACCACCGAAGCCGACATGGTCGCCAACGCGCAGAGCAGCTGGGGCTGCGAGGGCGAATCCATCCCCCTGGACAAGAACGGCTTCCCTAGCAGCACCTGCGCCACGCACATCCAGCAGCTCCTCTACTTCCCCAACTGCGTGAACGTAGACACGCTCGAGACGGCGTACAAGGACCGCCGTGGGGGCAGCTGTCCCTCCGGCATGAAGAGCATGCCACAGCTGCGGTTCAGCATCCGCTGGGACGCGCGGAAGAACCTGCCCAACGGATGGAGCGGCGAAGCCCCCATCAAGCTTGCCTGCGGCAATGCGTTTTGCTCGCACGGCGACTTTGTCAACGGCTGGACCGAGGAGGCGGCGCAGAACATGCTCGCTACCACGCAGGAGAAGATGCATTTCAGCGCGGTGACGGGCAGCTTGGGGACGAGCCAGATGAGCTGCACGCCCAAAGATGCGGAGCCTGACAAGGGCACCAGCGATTTTGCGGAGAGTGTGAGCTTGATGAGCAAGAGGAGTGTGCCGGAGTGGGGATGGGCTAGCAAGAGCCGTCTGAGCCGCGCGTAGAGGGCGGCTTGCAGGGGAAGATGGAGCCGATGAGGCTGTTCGCTGTACATATTATACTTCCCGTACTTGATGTACATTTCTAGTCGGAATTGACCGTCCATGTCTTCACGTGCTGGGCCTGTTCGTGTGATGCTTCGTCCTTTTGAGAACACGCCAGTGCTACGCAATGTGTCTGTCAGATGAGCGATAATGATCCACAACCCAAAGAGCTCGACAAGCTAGAGCAAAGTGAGACGGATCGAACAAATTTCATTGCCCAGAAGCCTCGTGTGGTGAGACTTGCGGCTAGGCTTGATCAATCTCAGAAGAGACTCTAGTTCTTTTCCGTGCACAGCCCATCCGCATTCTTGCAGTTGCACGACATAGCTCCAAACGGAGCGCAGCTTCTTCTCGTCAGCAAACCCCTACCTCTCATCTTTCTTGAGGGTCGTCGAACTCACTTGCTCACACACAAAGCATGTTCGGGTCCACTGCCGCATCCCAAAAGACAGATGTTACGCCATCTGGCGCAGCACTGCGTAGTGCTTGTCTCGGCGCGTGGGTCGAGGGGTGTTGAGGGCATGGCTGCGTCGGTGGAGGTTAAGATGGCTAGGGAGGTGAAGATGGTGAGCTTGATTTTGGAGAGGTGATCAAGGAATGACTTCTTGGAAGATGATTGTAAAGCGGAGTGAAGACTGTGGTTGTGTGATGGCAGGTGAGGAGCGACAAAGGCTCCTAATCATACGCCCAAATAAATGGAAATGCGTGCTGCCGTTCCAGCGGAATCTTGACGAAGCTGACAGGCTCGAAGTGCGGATGTGTGTCTGAGATGGAAAATTGAGTTGGGGTCCTTGTGGAGCAGACGTTGGAGCTTTGGGGAACGGCCGATTATAGCGCGCCATAAGTAAGATGCTTGCGTGCAGCGAAGGAGATCGAAGTAGGGGATGTGGACGAGGATCATTTCGATAAGCTCGTAGACTCCGGCTAGATTCATGCCGGCGCATTGAAGGACATCGGCGTGGACATATTGAGAAGTGGATTTATTGACGTCGTGGGATGAGTTGATGCCTTTGTTTGGGGACATTGTGGTATATTTGGAGTTAGTGGTAGAGAAGTTGCAGAGCTAGGAGTGCGCAAAGTGTATGCAGTGTGATGGACAATGCGGGCGTGATGGGGTTGCGCTATGAATCGAATATAGGTATGTACTCAAGAGTCGTTTTGAACTCAAGAATGAGGTATCGGTATTTGAACCCGGTCTGTCCAAGTGGCGCTCAGATACACACGTTACCGCCTTGAAAGCTATTTTTGGTTCCATTCTCTACGCATGGGTCTCTCGATCACCAATTCTTTGCATCTTCAATAAGAGTTAGAGCACGACACTTCAACTGGACTTGGGCACCGGAATGATGAAGCTTAGGAGTGGCAACGGGTTGGCCATGCACTGACTGAGTGTCGCTAGATGCACAATTCATACAATTTAGTTCTCCATTCAAGAGATGTGCACGTCTTCTAAACATCCTCAGGGCCAGCCAGGCCAAGTGCTTGCCGTCTCGTTGGCGCATCTGCCTTGAAGAACGGCTTCTCCGCCAACGCCGTGACACGCGTGCCGTGTCTCGGCTCGTTGCCCTCATAATCCCAGCTGGCATTGTGGATCGTAATTCTGTTGTCCCACAGCGCCGAAGTGCCCGGAGTCCATCTGAATCGTACCTGAATGTCGACGTTCTTCTCGTACACATCGTACAGGTAGTTTAGAATAACGTCACTCTCCGCCTTATCAAGTCCGACAATTCTGACAGTCATTGCTCGGTTGACCCACAGAGCTTTCCAGCCAGTCGCAGGGTGTACTCTGACTAGGGGATGGATGCGCTCGATGAACTTGGGTCCAGCTTCTGGGTGGTTGCGGTCGAGATAAGGGTGCGCGGACCTATACACAGCTTGCTTTCCGTCGATAATCTTGCGAAAGTCGGGCGACAACTTCTCATATGCAGCGTATCCTTGCACTCGTTTAGTTTATATTTGAGCATCTCAGTGGGATTTATACCTGAAGCCCAAAGGGTATCTCCGCCAACTTTTGGGATCGTGTCATTGTGGAGATGCGTCACACCCGCTGGCTGACGTTCATGTACGAGATCAGTATGCCATCTAGATGCACCACCGGTCTGTCTAAAACTCGCCGGGGATTCGGTCGCCTGTAGCGCAGGCCAGATAACAGTGGTTCCAGGAACGCCAGGTACCGAAGGAACCTGAGGCTAGTAGCTCATTAGCGGAAGAATCCTTAACTGAGATCTGAGCCCGTACGTGAACCTCAATTTCTCCGTACCACTCGCCGAGGGTCCTTTGTTGTTGTGGAGATATATCCTGGTCTCTGAAGAAGACGACACTCCTCTCAGCAATCAGCAAGCCCAGCTCATCTTTCTGCTGATCGGTAAGGTCTTTCAACTGAAGGCCGACAATCTCTGTGCCAATATGGGCAGTGAGGTGAATGACCTCCTTAGCAGCTGAGAGCAACGCCTTTTTCTCTGGATCGGCTCGCGAACCTGGGTCTACATGTTCCCTGTCGTAATCACGAATCTTGATCACATCGTCTAGAAATAGTGGCTTTGCTGGGCGGTACGGGTAGCCATTTGATAGATCGATTCCGGCCTTCTCGAGCCTCTTGCGCGCCGGTTCAGGCAGTCCCAAAGTATCTTTTTTTGGCTGGACTGTGTCTTTGATTTCCTCTGAAATTGGTAGTACGAGACCTGGAGCCATTATGATTCTGGTTGTAAAGCAATGTGATATCGGGTGACACCGTTTCTTTGAACAATTTGCTTGGACTACTGCCGCTCATATACGTGGGTAGTCATTTGTTGACGCGGTCCAACTCCGTACATTAGCTTGCGGGGTAGCTCCCGCACGACTCCAAACAGCTTCAAGCACATCATCGGCTAGGGTTATTGCGCACTCATTGATTTACAATCCTTATCTCTTCGGCCGAACTTTCAGTGCATATGCATACCTAGGTACTGAGTCCGCGTGGCATGAATGCTTATTGCCGAAAGTTGCCATCAGTACAGTGCATTGCGTTCGCAGCCATGCATGTCAAGTGGAGTCGTTCTCTAGGCAATCGGAACACATATTGGACGACATAGGCGCCATGGAGCTCACGCTAAAGATTGCCTTTGTCGCAATCAGTCAACACTGTTACACACAGATCTCCCAGGCGAGCCGGAGAAGTCCCGTTCCTGGTTAACATTTTTGGTAAAACGTTCTTGGGTTCCAAGCTGCTTTGCGACGGACGAAGACTTGGTGCCAGATAGACTCTCCTACAACGAAAGCATGTCTACATCACCTAAACGCGCCGTTGTAATAGGAGCTGGAATCAGCGGAGTCGTGTCTGCTGCACACTTGAGAAATGAGGGGCTGGATGTGACGGTGTACGAACGATCAAGTGCTGCAGGCGGAGTATGGTATGTGACAAGTTATATGTCTTTGCTAGTCTCTAACTTCATCTTTAGGCTCTATGATGAGCGGAGACCTCTCGAGCCCGCCTACCCTTCCGTTCTGCCATCCAAGGGAGAAGTCTACCCTGATGATCCAGTCTTAGAGCTCACCGAGACAGAGACACAAGCAGTACGGCACGCTCCACCAGGGTAAAATGACCTCCCATATTGTATTGAAGAGATACCTAACGATAGACGCTTGCACAGACCCTGCTACGTTGGTCTAAAGAACAACGTTGGTACACGCCTGCTCACCACAACTCTTAATTCATTTCCAGAGGGAACTGAAGACTACGTCAGTCATTCGGTTTTGAAAGATTACATTCAGGATACTGCAATCAAGACTGGAGTGGAGCGTATCACACACTATGGTACAGAAGTGAAGAACCTGTCCAAAGTCAATGGGAAGTGGAAAGTTGAAACTGTAGCCTTGGAACGTAACTCTACAGGAAACGTAGAGCGCAAGTCCACAACCTCGGTATGTAAGAATATCCACAGAGCTCTATTTACGCTGATTTTCCAGTAGAACTTTGACGTGGTTGTCGTGGCTTCAGGTCACTATCATGCGCCAAGGGTGCCCGACATCCCTGGCATTGGTGATGTGAAGCGACAGTTTCCGACAAGGATAACACATTCAAAAGGATATCGGACACCGGAGCGTTTTGCAAACAGGAACGTACTCTTGATCGGGGCTAGCGTATCATCCAGTGACATTGCTCGAGAACTTGGTCCGATTGCCAATTCCATTTATCAAAGCCACCGTGGTGGTGCTTTCGACCTCCCGGCCAGCATACTCCCCGAAAACGCCACTCGTATCGAAGAAGTTGTGGCTTTCGAACTTTCAAAAGAGAACGCGGAAGCAATTGACGAGAATGAACCACTTCCGGTGACGATCAAGCTCAAGTCCGGCCAGACGCTTTGCGGGATACACGACATCCTAGTCTGTACAGGCTACCATATTACCGTCCCGTTCCTCCCTGACCTGCACTCTGACAACACAGCTGCGGCCGATGCATCTCCCATCACACTTGTTACGGATGGGACACAGTTACACAATCTTCACAAAGACATCTTCTATATCCCGGATCCCAGTCTGGTTTTTGTCGGTGTCCCCTACTTCACAGCCACTTTCACACTCTTCGAGTTTCAGGCCATGGTCGCAGCTAAAGTTCTTGCTGGCAAAGTGAATTTACCGAGTGAGAAGGGCATGAGAGAAGAATATGAGAATCGAGTCGCACTCAAAGGTTACGGCAAGACATTTCACAGCTTGAGAGAAAAGGAAGTTGAATACGTCAATGAGCTTCTAGCTTTTGCCAATCCGCAGCTGGATACACAGCTACTTGGACATACCGAGGTCTGGCATGGAGCAAGAGCAGAGTTGGTCGCGAGAATGAAGGCCATGTTTGCTGGTGGCAACGAGTCTGCGAAAGAGTTGGGCGTGACGTGTGCGTAGAACAGCGTCGATACCATTTCGCGAGACAAAAACTCTGCCTCAGTGATCTCTGCGGAACTTCGTATCCAAAATCTCTCTTCTTGCTATTCCACTGTGTGTGAGCGGCTAGACTATTCGGACTCGGTCGTTGATCTACGCCTATCGCCGGGCACGCAATATGCATCAATGTTTACGCTACAACGTCTGACCCTCATTGGTCGGCACACCGCGCTGCACAACCACCCATTTTTGGACAGACCCCACAAAGTCGCGCCCCAGTCGTACGGTTCCTCCATAAGTCGTACTTGTACCCTGCAATGACGTTTTCTGAGTTCGGCCCGTCGCCATTCGCAGGGTCGCTAGTTTACCACGGCTCTATCGAGGGAGCACCCGCAGAGCGGGGAAGCCTGCTCAATCCCTCAGACTCTATAGCATTGAGTGATGCCGGCATATTCTTGCGTCACCGGTAGTCGGTGCCCAGCCCGGGAACAAGCCGTCGAAGCTTTGTGGTGGCGAGACCTTCCCCTTTAACGTGAGCCGCATTCGCCTAGATATGCTTGGTCGTCGCCATACGAACGTAAACTGGCGACAGCTGATAACAAGATGGGTCATACTCCGTTCCACCCAAGAACGCTGGACTCTCCCAATGAACTACCTCAAGTCATCGAGGCCTCAGAGGAGGTTAAGCAGCAACCGAGAAAATGGTACTACTATCTTTGGGATACGTTGGACAAGCCCAAGGAAGAGCGATGGTTCATGTTCAAGCTCGATGCTGCGCTCTTGACTTTCGCATCGCTAGGTACGGGACGAATCAACTCCTGAACGGCCAGCACTCAGAACTCATCTATCCAGGCTATTTTATCAAGTACCTTGATCAGACCAACATCAACAGCGCGTTCGTGTCGGGCATGAAAGAAGACTTGGGTCTTTACAAGAATCAGCTCAACTATATGCAGACATGCTGGACTGTCGGCTACGTTATTGGCGAGCTGCCTAGTAATATGATACTGACGCGATTTCGGCCTTCAAGATGGATCCCGTGCATGGAAATGATATGGGCCGTGCTGACGTTTTGTTTGGCTCGGGCCAATAACGCCACGACCATCTACGTATTACGATTTTTCATTGGTCTTGCAGAGAGCACGTTCTATCCTGGCATGCAGTACATCATTGGTAGGTTCATCAGCCATAACTTTACCAGCACACTCACGTGATTAGGCTCCTGGTACCGTAAGGAAGAGCTGGCCAAACGATCATGCATCTTCCATACATCGTCTGCATTAGGGACAATGTTCTCAGGGTATCTGATGGCAGCAGTGTACAAGCTCGGGGGTCGCGGCGGGATGGCAGGATGGCAATGGTTGTTCATCGTCGACGGCGTCATATCGCTGCCCATTGCCATCGCGGGCTTCTGGTTCATTCCGGACGTACCTGAGATAGCCAAGCCATGGTACCTCAGCGAGGAAGAAGTCAAGTTTGCGCAAAAGCGCATGCAGCTCGAAGGACGTCAAGAACGGAAGCCCTACACAAAGGCGAAGTTCAAGAAGATCTTGACATCGTGGCACATCTACGCGTTGACGCCCCTGTACGTTTTCTTCAACAACGGAGGTGTGAGTGCGGCGCCCGTATTCCAGCAGTACCTCAAGTCTTCAAAAGACCCGAAGTACACTGTCAGCCAGATCAACGTGTACCCGACAATCCAAAACGGTGTGCAAGTCGGGTCGACGCTGGCGATGGCTTGGATAAGTGACGGCGTATTGAAAGGGGCGCGATGGCCCATGATAGTCTTCGGTGGCTGTGTGAATATCATGACCGAGGTATCATTGGCGGTTTGGAACATTCCTACGAAGTGGAAGTGGGCATGCTTGTCACTAACCGGTGTGGCCGGTGGATTATCCGGGCTGTGTATGGCGTAAGTATTCCTTTGCTACACTGTGACGACAACGAACCTCCGAACTGACGGCAATTTACAGATGGGCACATGAAATCTGCACACACGACAATGAGGAGCGCGCAATTGTCATTGCTAGCATGAACGAGGTCGCGTATGTTCTGCAAGCATGGTTGCCGCTGATAGTGTGGCAGCAAGTTGACGCACCCGAATATCGCAAGGGCTACATCACCGTGAGCTGCTTGAGTTTCATGCTGATTGTTACTGCATTGACTATCAGGGTGCTTCATGCCAGAGAGGTGGCGCAGAGACAAGATGAAGAAGAGTCGGATGCAAGTTCTGCACAGCTGGGTAGGGAAGAGAGCACAGAAAAGTATGTAGATCTCAAAGCATGAGGCCGACGACAAGCAAGTGGGAAACACTACACTAGTGTAGACGACTTCTGAATGCTACAGGAACTAATTGCATACCACCTTTCAATTGTCGTCGGTGGGGGATGCAGACACCAGATTTACTGTGTGAAGCGGGGTAGGGATAGGTTCGGAAATGCGCTGTTAAACAAAGTCCTCAGCAGGCTTTGGCGTAATTACCTAGCTACGATGTGTGCGAGTGTCGGTGGTGTAGTCTTGCCTTCTTCAATGTTCTGGTATCACGGCATACAAGGCAACCTATATCGGCTCTCCAGAGCCAGAAACGGAATACAGCATCAGCTCGTAGTAGACACATCAAACATAGCCCAAGAGCACCTACTGCACAGTTTACGTGCTTAGCTCATGGGGCCAGTCATGTAAGCCATCCCAAAATACGGAAATATGTCCGTTGTCGGGGGATATGCTATCGTCTAGAGGTGGATTATCGTAGCAGCACTAAGGTTTGGCTGAGCTCAGGATCAGCTCCAAGGTATAGATACTACATACCAAGCTGCCAGATGTGCCTATGGTATCTTGGAGCCGACAATATTACAGATTGTGGCGCTCTACCTTCTCTATAGTCGGACATTTTTGAATGCATGGCGGCGGCCAATAATGCATGTCATGTCGACTGTAAGCCTTGCTCCTCATCGGGATCCCACAAAGCATTCAGCGCAGCTTCAATTAACGGTTCCATCTTGACGTTGTAATGCTGAGTGTGCCATTTCGTGGCATGTCTCTCGATAGTTGAGGTCCTATCGTCATCTTTCCCACTCAACATTTGGTTTGGTACTCCAGCGCCCCACAATAGCTCAATATGGAGGCCTGTCTCAATCCAGCAACCGCAAACTCGCACATCAGTCCCGCGGAGGAAGCGGAGATCGCACGCTTGAATGCCCAAGTCTGTAGCAAGGAAAACGGTATCAAGCGTCATCCAAACGTCTTCAGGCAGGCCGCACCTGATGAGGCAGCTCGTTCATTCGGAGAACAATCGTCACCTCGTCCGATGCTTCGCCCTGCGAAGCCATCTGGGTGTCTCTGTCGACCAGTTTCCTCCACTGCTCCTTCCGCATCTGGCTCTGGCTTGTTCGGAGCTGCAGCTCACCAGTTTGCAACGCAGCCTGCCACAGGTTTGCGGTTCGGTCACGTCCCAAAGCCACCTTCTGCAGGACTTCTTGGCAGTACCGGAAACCCCTCGACAGAGCGACGTTTTGGCAAACTAGGACAGCATTATTCCACCGACCCGCCCGTATCTGACGGCGGATTGTTCGACGGCGCAACACGCCAGTCTGATACGCAGCCTGCCAAGAGTTCACTGTTTGGCCACGCTGTAAAGCCTGCTTCTGGAAGAATTCTTGCCGGCACTTAGGAGCCTGCATCTCGGGGTTTGTTTGGTTCTGTTGCGCCTGGTCCCAATCCGTTCATCTCTGACGGTCCTTCAAAACCTGCACCAGGAGGTCGCTTTACGGGATTCGGCAGCACACCTCACCAAGGCGCGCGACCTGCTTCAGGTGGGCTTGTCGGCAGCCCTATGAAGCTTTCGCCAGGACATTTCTTTGCTCAACCCGCACCTGGCTCGAGCCGGAGAAAACAGGCGACAGATGGTTGGGAGGGTGTACCGTCTCTGTTCCGTTCTTCCCTTGCGGCTCAGATTCAGCAGCCAGTCAAGCCTTCTGCGACTGGTGGCTCGAGTATCGGTGCGACCATGCACCTAGCTCCATGGCTCATGAGCATTGCAATCACTGTCTCTCCAGGTTCCTCGCACGGTCCGGGTTGAGGATTACCTTATCGATGAGGACGACTTGTGAGGTCAGATCGGGAATGCCCTGCCAGGACGACACGAAACACATTGACTTTGCGAGGTCTGAGTAATCATGCCAAGGTCTTCAGTTGCATTGCGACGGATGCGTTGGACATAATCTCTTCTTTTTGCCCTGAATAAGAGGTCCCAGCGAACAGAACGTGGATCATTCGTGGCAGTATTAGTTCAGTGTCCGAGCAATGAAGATTCGAATAGGTTACGAAGAGGCTGCATCAACCGTGACGACAAAGAAGTCTGCTGTTCCCATGCATCTCTCATATGTGGTGCCAATCGACGGATGGCAGCGGGCCAATCGACGTCGAGATGTTCGGCATCTCGCTGACTAACAGCAATCTCTTGGCACCAAGCTCCGAGCATCATTCCAACGGCACGCCGCAGCGGCGACGCCCATTGCCTCTTCCCCACGCCCACAATGCTCGCCCGCACCCTCCGCGCCCGCAGCGCCGCGCGCGGCCTGTCCTTCTTCCGCGCGTACTCAACTCCCAACGACCCCGTCAAGCGCGACGTCCCGCAAACCGTGTCTGAGACCAATGCCACGCCCACCTCGTCCGAGGGCGCCTTCGACAAGGTCCTGCAAGAAAGCGTAGCCAAAGCGGAGCAATTGCGCACCACGCAGGCGCCCAACTACAAGGGCACATGGAGTACGAGCCAGCAGGCGCGGGCTGTGGCTATGCAGGGACCGCGGTTTGAGCAGACCATCATAGAGGACCAGGTACGCCAACTCGTGTGCTATCCGTCAATTGCGGTAGCATGGGGCTCTAGGGCCAATTTGTGGAGCAATTGACGCGGAAGCGCGCTGGAAAGCAGGGTATCAGTCCGCAGAAGCACTTCACTGACGAGAACACCAGCCGCGCCCGTACGCCGCTATCGACTTGATCCACAAGCAGCCCGTCCGCTGGACCCACGACCGCGTTGTCTCCTGCGACGGTGGAGGCGGTCCTCTTGGCCACCCCCGCATTTTCATCAACGTAGACAAGCCCCAGATCTGCGCCTGCACCTACTGCGGTCTGCCTTTCGTATGTGCACCCCAGAAACCACCGGTTTCCAAGCTGCTTGGCCATGCATCGGGCAATGCTAACGAGATGCAGGCTCACGAGCACCACCGCGCAACTCTCGAGGCCATCCCGGAATCGCAGCTCTCGTACCCGCTCGCACCCAAGGGCGACCCCGCCGAGGTGGACGCGTCGCAGAGGATCACAAACGAGCCGCTTGGACAGCGGTAAGCGGGACCTGACGTCTGGCGTGTGTACATATGTAGTAGCAAGAGAGGAAACATTCTGCACTTGGTTCAAGAACATACTTGTTTGCACAGTGCCATGTACAGGTGAACGTCTACGAGGGCGACGCATCGAGCGGTAACCGCGAGTGCGCTTCGATGTGACTCGGCTTCTCCCTCCGTTCTGTATGGTAAAATTGTTTGCTTTGAGAACTATCCTCCGGCGGGCAATTCCTCAACTATAAAAAAACATGGCTCATCTTATACTAGGAGAACGCGTTCCCCAAGCCCAGTCAACTCGAGGTGCGTTGAGTGAAGGGGCTACGCATGTCTGCAGCAGTGATACCGGCAACAATGACAAGGACCTCGATCACAGATAAGCAATCGTTACCCCAGCCCCGAGTCTGTGTGTATCTATGGTTCGATTTCATGTTTGATCCAAACTGGCTAACGTTGGGCATTTCTCACCTTGTGGAGCAACATCGGAGACTCTCCACATCCCAACCAGGAAGCATGATCAATGCTTTCATTAGGGGTCTATATTCCTTGGGTAATGTACTGTACTGTATGGGTCTATTAAATAACTACAACGACTCCGTCAAGGAGGAAGGAAATGGCTGGTATCATAGTCCTCCGCTTACATCCTCCGCCGTGGCGCTGCTCTTCGCGTCGCCGCCGAGCTCGCAGCCCTCGGTGTCACACGGTCTATCCGTGAGGCCTGCTCTAGCTGATGGCTCGCATCCGAGCTGCCCGCGCTCACCGAGCTCTGGCCAGCAAGAGTCGCCAAGGGACTGCGACTCGTGCCGGTCGTACACCCCAGCCATGCATAAGTGCTGGCGTTCTTTTCGCCAAAGGGGGATTCCGTCCCTCTTTCTCCTCAAAACCACGCCCTGCTCACCGGATTGGCCGCGCGCGTATGCCCGAGTCGAATGGGTTCCGAGACCGGCGATGCAGCACCCCTCGCACCGCTCTCAATATGCGTTTCTGTACTCGGCCAAGCATGCTGTGGTGCTCGCCCCATCGAACCCCCTACACCACTCTCACAATTCGTCTCTGTAACCATTGACCCTACACCTGGAGATGCCGGAGCCGGAGAGGACGGCAGTGACCTGGGATCCACCTGTCCCCTTGCATGTGCCGACCCCTGCCGCGCATCCATCTCATACGCGTCCAACTCGCCCTTCTCGACGCGGCTCAGCGGCCGCGAGTCCGTCTTGAACCACAGCATGCTCCGCCGGTCCGTGCTCACCGTATGCGCGTCGCCGCCGGGCAAAGAACGGAAGTGCTCGGTGTCCCGCGTGCTGTTCTTTCCGGTTGTGCCGATGGAGGAGAAGCTGAGGTGGAGTTTTGCGAGGAGGGGGCGGAGGACGGGAGCGGAGGCGCAGATCTTTGAGTGTGTTAGTGACAGGTCCATCATGGATTTATGGTTGGGAGGCTTACCACGCCCAGGTCGATCTCGATGGCAGCGGCGATCCACAGCGGATACGCATACCACGTGGTGTCGTACTGGACAACCAGACTCTCGTAGATGTAGTACGTCCGTACGCTGCCGGCGGCTGTAACGAAGAAGCCCAGACTGAAGAGTACGATGACAGCGAAGCGCTGCCTGCGAGGCATTTTGAGCTGTCCATTCACACTTAGCTTCCATTCTCCTCAGAGCTTCTAGCCACAAAGCTCGGGCACTCACCGACATAACCATCGGAATGGGCGTCACCGTACACGCAAAGTCCGCGATCACGTTGATGATCCCCGCGATCAGCGTCGCAGTCCCCTCGTTCAGACACTTCCCTTCCGGCGCGCCGTACGTCCAGTACATGCTCACCGGCGTGCACAGAAACACGATGAGAAACACAAACGTGACGAAGATGCAAATCGTGTACACGACGTTGGCGTGCACGACCCAGACGTAGAAGCCCTTGCTCGTGTCCTTGAGCAGCCGGTAGTAGAAGCAGAACAGCGAGAGCCGGGTGAAAGTCGCTGCGGCGGTGAAGAGCAGCTTTGCTGCCATTGCGATTTGCAGCGTGGGTTTGAGCTTGGTCAGAGGAATGTCGTAGACGTGTCTGTCCCAGCCATAGTGTTGGTTCGCGAGGAGGACCGCAGCAGTGAGGCCGCCAGCGAAGATCTGGAGTTGAGCGTTAGGGTGACTTGAGACAGATGATGTCGAATAAGGGGCGAGCTTACTAGTGCGAGGAATATAAACACATCGTCCAGTCCGAACCATACCTTGACGCATAATCGTGTGTACAGACGCGCCGCGACCAGCATCACCGTGAAAGAGATTAGGACAACGTTGACGATAACGAGTGTGTTACCTCGTGTGACCGGGTCAGTGTAGTTTGGGGCCGGCCATGACAACAGAACCTCAGGCGGCGGGAGGCGCATGTTCACAGCGGTGTCGGCGGTGTAGCATGTGGTTGAGGAGGCGGAGGGTCGAGCAGATCAGAGCGAGCAATTCAGGCGCGCAAGTCGATCCTTGGTATGCGCAGAAGCAGGGTCAACCAGGCCAGCTGTATGACGAAGCGGACAGGACGGTCCGGACGCGGTGTTGACAGTCTCGCTCGTCCAGAAAAAGGGAGATTCTGAGAGTCGCACCGTTAGGCACAGTTGCCGCATATGTATCGCGCCATTGTGTGCACCGTTGAAGCTACGAGCACACCACCACGTTGCAAGTATCCGCCCAAGAAGGAACAATGATGCCTGTTGCGGCCCGGTCCCTGAGTCGGGGAGGCTGTCTAGGTACAAACGGCGGGCGGGCTAACGCGTCCGTCGAAACCTAGTGAGGGCATGCCCAAGGCGCGTCGCACCACCGCAGCAGTCATATTATGGCAGTGATCAGATTCGGTGTGTGCCATGCTTGTCAAACGCGTGGGAGATGTTCATAGAATGACTGAAAACGATACGCAGCGGGACGTTTGTCGTCCGATGGTTACAACACGGCTTGTAGCGATACCTAGCGCCCGGCGTGCAGCTCGGAGGCTTCGGCAATCGCAGATCATCCAGGGTTTGTGATCTGGTTGAGAAATGGGCTGGCCCGCCGCCAGTCCCCTCTTTCGTGCCTCCAGCAGAGAGACACAATCTTACGGCTCCAAGAACGATCATTGTGAAGAGCGCTACTGCTTCGTCTTAGATAGCTTCATGCCCAATGGGGAAGCCGCGGCAAAGTTCCTCTGTTCATTTGTACACTTGTTTGCAAGTGTCGTGGAGCTATTGGTTCAAACCACAGAGGTGGGGAAGGGTTGCTACTATCAACGGGCTACCTACCCAATCTGGCCTTCCATACTTCAGCAGCTTTCGGGCTTTGTCATGTTTCCTCCCCCTTCGCTCTCGCATGGGAGTGGCCGTGCCTAGAGCAAGTCTCCGCGGAACGGCGCATCATAGCTTCGCCGCATCTTCCATATATTCTTCGAGATTGCGCACAGGCTTTGCGCCCGTGCTTGCGAACAGACCAGCTTTGAAAGCGCGGACGTCAGTTATGACAACCGGCTGCTTCGCATCTGTCTCCTGAATGTCCATCTTCTCAGCTAGCTTTACTTCGCCTACGCCGCTCTCTGCAAGGCCCAACGCTGCAGCTGCCTCATCAACAATTCTAGCGACTTCCTCCTGACCCAACTTTAGATCCTCTGCAAGATGCGCAGATATGGCGGCAGGGAGTTTCGCTGACTCGTTGACATCATTCAAGCGCGCTTGCAGCTTGTCGGTGTCGATTGGTGTCTTTTCCTCGCCGGCAATCGTTTGCAAAACTGCGAGAGCTTGCGTCTTCTTCTCGTCTAGGGTGGGCTCCTTTGGCTTGGCCTGGGCAGTCAAATGTACGGAAAGTTTGGCGCGGTGTGGAGACGATGGCGAGATATGGTGCCCATAGAAGGTCATCATGTCGTCTTTGGTGAGGGTAGAGACTTGAGCGGCATCGGTTTCGGCTGCAGAAGGTCAGTTTGTGCACTTGCATAGAAGAATCTCACATCCAACATTACCGTGTCAGCCACGAGTCGTTAGGGACGAGCACTTACATTGTAGGAAATCATACGTATTCCTAAACATATGATTCCAAAACCTGTTGCCTTCTTGCCCAAGGTTCTTCAACGTCTCCAAACGCTTGGAAATGACAGCACTCTTGTGCTTCTCAAACTCCTCGTCGCTCATGTCCTTCAAGGTGGTCTCGAACTTGGTGAGGAAGTGATCGATTCGGCCCTCGAGATAACCACAGTCTCGCTCGCTCTGGATCAAGATGCGGAAACCAGCGTACGTAATGCCAGCAGTGGAACCACTGAACACAACATAGCCGAGCTGTTCGATGGTGCGCAGCTGGTTAAAAGCCGGCTCGTCGAGCATCTGCGCAAGGAGGAATTGCTTCGCACGAAGATCATCATCCATCCGGTTACCCAGGTAGAGCGTGTACTCGATGCAGTGGTTGACGTTGGCGGGGTCCTTGAGCGGCCGCGAGTAGATGAAATTGCTGCCTTCCGGGAGGATCAGGCTTCTTTCGATCGGCCATTGGCTCGGAGGGAGCTTCTTCGGCTTTATGGTCTTCTCGACTAGGTCGGTGAGCTGGAGTGCATCTTCCTTGTAGAGATTGCCGTGGGATAGAATTTCAATGTGGCATTGTGAGAGAACCTGTGGGAAAAATTGTTGCACTTCCTGTGCGGTAATGCTGTCCAGCTCCTGGGCTAGCTCATCGTTCATGAAGGCGCTATCAACTCGGAACCAACGAGAGTACGTGCCGACCTGGTGAAATGGCTGGCCGAAGTGCCAGTTGCGGAAGCTACGGCTTGTCTTGTCCTTCACTATCTTAAAACGGTCCTCTTTAATTTCAAGATCCCGAATCTGCAAAAGAACCTTTTCAAGCAAGACGTGCAACTTATCGTTGTAGCCAGATACGGACACAGACAAGCCACTCGCGTGGGTACTGAAGCCGTACACCAGGCCAGAAATGTCTGCGTCATAGGAGTACTCGACAAGTGCATCGTCTACCAAGCTTGCGTACAGCGAAGACAGTACGGCTGTCCTTGGTGTAACATAAGTCATCGGAGTGCGCAAGTGGATATGGACATTGGCCTTGGGCACCCAAAACTGGTCGTCTTTCTTCCACCACGCCCGCACAGCATCGTCGTTGCGAATGAGCTTGGGCTGTTTCGCAGGCTTCTCAACCTCCTTCTTGTCGACGTCCAGACGGTTGGGAATGAATTCGTTCTTGTGCGGGAAGTGTAGCTCCTCCGGCCGCGTCTTGTTCTCAAACGCTTCCTTGACTTCGTCTATGAAATCCTGAGGGATCTTCTCGGCCTTGTATTCGGTGCCGTACCATTTTTCCTTCTCTGGCCAGTCGCCGGGGAACTCCTGACTGACAATTGTCATTCTGAAATTGTCGGGGCGTAAATATTCCATTGCCTCGCTGATGCGCTGCGCATCGAATTTCTTGATGACTGAAGGTCCGCTCAGAATCTCTTTGCGGTCGTAAGGCTTTTGCATGACAGACGCAAGTGCACTAGTCGTCCTGCTCGGCGGACTCTTCTGCTTGAAGCGGAAGCCAACTTCGCTGATTTTAATCTGCTCGTCGACAATCCATTCTTGTGGCGGCAAATCGCGGACCATGGCAATATATTGAAAGATAATTTTGACAATCTCCTTGTAGTGCTGTAAGCCATCCTCGGTCAGCTTGACACTGATATTGAAGATACCACTACCAGGGCACAGAGATGAGCCTCCAGCACCCAACCCATTTGCCCATCCTTTAGCCTTGATGTAAGCTAGAATACTGCCGGGACCTTCGTGACCGATGAGATGGCTAAGATAGCGTGACGGGTGCGACTCATAGTACTCTTCCTCATCACGATACAAGAACGAAAGTTCTAGCGACCTCGACTCATATACCGGCTTCGCAAATGTTTGGATAAGCAGCTCTTTGTCCGTATACACCGACACATCGTCCCAGCGCTTTCTCGGAAGATCTTTATTGGGCACCTTAGAAAAGACCTCTTCGACCCATTCTTCCAGAGTGTCGAGGTTTTCTCGACCCAAGACCACAAGTTTCATCCGGTTCGCTGAGTAGTGCGTGGCATGGAACTTCATGAACTCATCCCGGATTTGTACACCTCGTGCAATCGGATCATCGTGTAGCGTTTTCCAGCTGCCGGTAGAGAAGTGGTTGTAAGGGTGTTTCGGGTTCGAGAGATTCTTGTTCAGCTGGTGTAACCTCCAGGTGTCACTCTGGAGATTCTTCTTGTTCTCTGAATCGACAGCCTTGATCTCGCGGTCCAGTGTATCCTCCAGAAACAGAGGGCATATGAAAAACTGGCCAAAGCGATCGAGGGCACCCCAGAGAGGCGACTGCTCCTTGTTTGTCGGTAGCTGCTCCTGTGTCGCGCTAGGCGTCACGTTACTGCTGCTCGACGGCGTAGACTGGGACGCCGCAAGCTCAAAGTAGTAGTTGGTGGAGGTGGATGCGGTGTATGCGTTTGAGTGGCCCGAGTACGACGTCAGGTATTTGTTGTAGTTGTTCTCTTCTGGGTACTGTTGGTCGTGGTTAGCACTTGCGCAACTGAGACATTGTACGACTGCGCGTGAGACACCACGCGCTCTAGCAGCCATGCAAACAAGTCTGACCGTCTGCGTGACCACGTACCTTCTCTGTACCCATGAACAGCAGGTGCTCCACAGCGTGCGCTATACCTGGCATGTCCTCTGCATCGCTGAAGCTCCCGACGTTGACGTCCATGGCCGCGCTAGCCTTGTCCGTAGTGGCATCGTGTATCAGCAAAACCTCGAGCTGGTTCGACAGTGTGATGATGCGGTACGAGCGATCGTCGACCTCGGCGCGCTCCAGATCCTCTATCCGCGGTCGTGCAACGCTCCGTCCCAATGGCTCGGCCATGCTGACAAGCTGTGTTTCTCGGCAAGGCAGAGTAGCAAAGAGCCTCGTGGTGGGTTTGCGGAGCGCGGGGCTAGGCTGCCGCGGCGGGGGTTTATATACGCGGCGTCGGTGAGATGGAGTAGCGGCCCCTGCGTAGCCTGAGGCTGGTTTCAAGGGCGAGAGTGCAGAGTACCCGGCAGCTGGTGACGCCCGATGCGCTGGTCTTGGGGTGACAGTACCACTGAACTGTGGTCGCGATGCAATTCCCAAAAGCTTGGTGCGCGTGGGTGCGGGCATCCAATCCACGAAGGTGCTCGCGGGGCGATCGAGGCGAAGGAAGGACAGAAGACTACCCAAGACTTAGTCGTTTGACAGGCTGAAATTTCCAAGCCAGGCGTCGATGGCTGTAGACACTCGACAAACGCGCAGCTTTGGAGGGGGCTGGGCAAGGGCGGACCTGGGGAATTCGTAATGAGGCTCAAATGTATGATGAGCCGCCGGTTCGGTTCCGATTCATCATCTCGGCATGCATAAACACCGGGGCGCTTGCGGGCATTCTACCCGAACATATAAAGGCCCGAACGTCGACTAATCCTCCGATCGATGTACTACGCTGATCGCCATCATGGTGTCGAAACATTTCGAGGCAGGCTATCCCAACACGACAGGGTTCCGGAAGGTAGTCAAAGCGACTATCATGGTAAAGAAAAAGGGAGGCATGTCCGACGAAGACTTTATACAGGTTGCTCGCTCCGGGGAAATGCAGAGTAATTGGATGAATGACGCTTCCAGTACTACAACAACCACCATGCACAGCGAGCGGTGCCTATATTGCAGCGACATGGCATCATTAGCTACAGTCTTGTGGGACGCCGTCGCAATGGTTTCCGAGCCGGGCTAATGTCGTCAGACTTACCACCTGGGGCGCGACAGAAAGATGATACAGGATATCATGCACAACCAAGCACAGCTACTAGACTACGACGCCATTTGCACATTCGTGTTTCCCGATTACCTGGCTCTGGCCAAGTTCATGTATGACAAGGATGGTGCCGCCATGAGCGGGGATCATGACAATTTCATGGACGAAAGTCAGATGCGCATGATGGTGGGAGACGAATACATGTTGATAGAGAATGGAGAGAAGGTTGTGTCGTGAGGCATCAGTAGAAATAATATCCTACACCTCCAATGGGTATCATTAATTGACCAAAACTCTCTGCTTATGGAAGAATGCTGAGCGCGCTCAATATCGAAAGCGGCCACGGCCGCGCCCTTGACTACCACGCATCCCAGGAGGACCGGACGATCTGCGACCGGGGTTTGGACAATCGGCCTTTGTGTGACCAAGCTTTCCGCAACCAAAACATTCTACCTTGCTCATGTCGCGGCCCCCGCTCGGTCGACCACCAGACAACGATGTTAGACCTGCAAGATCCATGTCCTCGTCTATGGGTGCAGCGGATCGTCGTACGGGAGTCACCGCGGCCGCCTTCTGTGCATTTCGCGCATGGCGTTGCTTGGCTGCGACCTGCCGCTTGGTCTCTTTGATAAGCTCTACTGCCGGATCGTCGGAATCGAGTTCTCCAGACGACGCTGAGCCACTTTCTGAGCCTGAGCCTGATCCTGATCCTGATTCCTCAGCTTGATCGCTATCTGGTTTCACCTGCGAGTCATCAGCAAAGAACCTAATACTGACTTACAGTTCCACGTCAAAAGGTTGGGACACCGTAATGGACATCCTGGAACCACAAAGGCCAAAAACACTCTCCGGGCTCTTGACGTAGTACTGCGAAGAATGCCTACGCACCGCCTTCTTCTTCTTTACCCCGCCTCCAAATTTCATCCTAATGGGCTTATCCTCCTCTTCCTCATCAGAATCGCCGTCCGCATCAATGACCGCGAAGCCTGCTTGTCGAACCTGCATCATGGGCGGTCTCTTGCCCGCATGTGGATCCTCGTAGTTCAACACCCATTTCGTCTCACCAGTATGCGCGTATGCGCGCGCAAGAGCTTCCTCGCGCTTCTTCTCTTCTGCCGCGAGGGCTGATTGCATGATTTCGTGATCTGACGGCGCGCCCGGAGTGCTAGCTGCCGAGCTGCCGTTGGACATACGCATTCTCTTCTGGGGAGGGCCGTCGGGCGTCGACGGCTCCGATTTCACTGACTTGGCGGCAGAACGCTGCATAAACTGGGTAAGATGTTAGCAAAAGGCAAAAAAAAACTTCGGGAAGAAACGCGCACCTTCATTGTCATGAGCCTGCTAGACATCGTTTTGGGGGTATTTGACGCCATTTTGAGCGAATGAAAGTAATGAACAATGCTAGACGGTTAGTGAGGGGTGGGCTGCTGTCGACAAGTGTCGCGCAACGATTGTTGTGTGGATAGTACACAGATGCGACTACCTTGAGAAAGGTCACGCACGGACCTGATGCCAAGAAATGCGGAGTTTCGCGGCGGTCCTGACAGGGCTGAACGGTCTCTACGCGGTCACGAATCTGTCCGTCTCTCTGTCGCATAGCACCGCCGGGCATTCTGGTTTTCTTCACTGGCTAGAAAGTAGTGATCTTGGTCATGCGCGACCAGCATGTGATTTGTGAGCTGATCCGGACTGCAGGTGATTGACCATCTCATCGCCGCTTGACCTCGAACCCTACTTAGCGAGTCTTTGGATACAGCCGGTCTTGTCTTTTGACATGTATTAGGAATTTCCCGCGATGATCCTGCGATACAAACGCTGAGTGAGACATGTTTACCGTTTTCCTTTTCCAGCGGATCAATTGATAAGCCGATACCGATGGAAGAACGTCATCTTGAGGATGGCAACTAATAAGTAGCACTAAACGTCCATCAGCCTCAACTCTTACAATCAAGACTTCGGCCCACGGCGAGAGATGCTTCGGACAAGCTTTCTCCGGGCCATTCGCCCTCAAAATGCCTTCATACGCGCCCCAAAACAACGAGGCTTCGCGACCGAGCCACCACCACCACCACCAAACATCCAGGCGCGCATTGAGCGCGTCAATCGCCGACTACCCAGATTTCTCCACAAATACACCAAAGCGCTTGGCTCAGCGCCCGTCTCTCACATCACCGCCTTCCTCGTTCTCCACGAGCTTACTGCCATTGTGCCTCTCTTCGGTCTCGCAGCAACATTTCATTACACACATTGGCTGCCACCATGGTTCACAGAAGGCGCATGGGCGTTAGAGGGCGTCGAGCGCTTTGGAAAATACTTTAAGAGAAAGGGTTGGGTTAGGGGCGACGAAGCCAGGGAGGCAGAATTCGAGGTGGAGATGCGCACAAGGGACCACGCCTGGCACATCGGAGAGGGCGGCGTGAGGTTGATTGTGGAATTTGCAACGGCATACACCATCACAAAGATCCTGCTGCCAGTGAGAATATTGGCGAGTGTTTGGGCGACTCCGTGGTTTGCGAGAAGGACCATGGTGCCGTTGCTAGCCAAGTGCAAGGGACTCTTTCGAAAAGGAAAGGCTTCGGAGGCGGGTGCGATACCTAAGAGTGGTGGAAAGGGGCCTGGGTCGTAACACCTCCCAATTTCGATGTACTGCTCAGAGTTGCCACTGCACGAGCAAGTTTGCAAGCCGTATGTACAACATGTAGGGACAGCGATGCCCAAGTCTCTGTGACTAGTTCATATACCCGTGCATTGGCTTATGTTATAGTCAGCGTATCCTTGTCGTAACCATGCACCGATAAACCTTAGCAAGGGCAGTTGTCTATCATTCACCTTCATCATTTGACAGGTTGCGGACTCTACGCGAGTCTGCTGCAGGTGGTCGAGGTCAATTGTCCTTCTACACGCCATAATCATTCGGTCTGTCGCTCGATCTGGGTCTCTGGGTCTCTCCGTCTCTCCGCTTCCACCGCTCTCCACGCACGGAATCCCACTACAACTCCATTATCGACCAAATCTAGTACCATGTGTTTCGGCAACGGCACCAAACACAAGCTTCACATCCGCGAGAAGTCCAGGGACGAGTATCGCGGCACGAGATATGACCCAGCCCACTCGTACTACCCGTCGCATTACTATGTTCGGCCTCCCATCGGTCCATACACGGGCGGCCATCAGCACCACGCGCTCCAGCACCGGCAACACCATCACGGGCCCTTCGGTCACAACCATCGTCACTTTTACGCCCTCCCCTCACGCCACGCTCTCGTGCCTGCCGGAATCAACTATGGGCCCCACAGGTATCACGCCGGGGGTAGAGCTCTGATGCCGAGCTCAGCTGCGATAGTGAGTTGCACTTTCCTTGCCCTCTTCCGTTTGTCACGCAGCCCACCGCCCGCTCTGTCATCGGGCAGGAGTCACCTGTGTGTGATACTGGAGAGCTTGGACCGCGGCATTGGGCCATTGCTGCCTGATTGCCAACGTTTTCGTGCCTTCACCTTGCCTCTCTTTCCCCCGCCCGCGACTTCTACATCAGTTTGTCTCTCGCGCCCTCACTCCCATTTTTCCTTTCCCACACCGAACGAATTCTCCAATCTATCCATCGAACACAAAAAACCGCGCCCTTAATCATCGCATCACATCGCGTAAGATGGACAACCTTGGCCAGCCCAAGCCGCGCCACCAGTATGTCCTTTACCCTCAGGCCGGCCGCCGCGGAATCCTAGTGCATCATGGCCAGTACCAAAACGGCGCGCCGTACGTTGGCAGTGCCAGCGGTATGGGCATGGGTTACGGCATGATGGGCTATGGCGGCATGGGTGTGGGCTATCCTGGGGTAAATGCTCACATCTCACCTCTCTACTATGGCCCAAATGTCTCCCGCAGTACATATAGCAACTACGCTGGCTTCATGGGCGGCTACACGGGCCTGAGCTACGGAGTCTCTGCTTATCCCACTTATTCTTTCTCTTACCCTTACATTTCCCCGTACGCCTTTGGATACGGGTGTGGTATGTATGCTAACTACTATCACCCGTATCAGAGGACCTACTACGGCATGAACCCCGTCATGGCTGGCGGCGCCTACTCGTACTCTTACCCCGGCTCGACAACCATCATCCCGCCATCAACAACAACATACACGACTGTCACGAACTCTGCAGTCCCTGTCCCTGTAGCCACCTCAACCACAAAAAGCACGGCCCGGGTGCGTCCGCACTTCCAATCTCCGCCGGCGGTTGCCGTTTCTCGCGATGAGGTCCAGTACGAGAATCGTCGTGTTGCCATGGAGCGCGGCTCTTACGATCCCAAGCCTATCAAGCCTGCCAGCGCACGCCCGGATGACCCATTCTGGTGCATGGAGCGTACCGGCGAGTGGCACCTGCGTACCTACTACCAGATCGAAAATGAGTGCTACCCTGGCCGCTGGCTCATGGACGCCGAGCACGGTTTCCTCGTCTTCCACCGACAGTGACGGAGGCCTGTAAGAGAGGGGTCAATCGGCAAGACTTTACATGGGTGGACGGGTGGTAAAGTGACAGCGGTCCTGTCCTACTGTGAATTGAGCCCACTCGCCCACAGAGGGATTCAGGGGACACGTAGGCATGTTTTCTCATTCAGAAACACGAGATCCTCGATCTACCTGACACGCAATGGTAGTCTTCACATTCTGCGGACATACCCTTTAATTTCGGTCTGGGTTTCTTAGCGTTACTTGAGAATGATGGCATTTATCGGCGTTGGTGGATTTCATGTCTTGACAGTTCCTTATAAGTCTTTCGGCGTGGTTTCAGGGCCGAATGTTTTTTGACTGATGCGGTTTTTGGATCCGCATGAATGGACGCCATGACGACGGCCACGACAATCGATAGACCCAGGATATCTTGAATTATCACATTCCATTCCAGTCACGACTCTTGCCATGCGCAACATCATTTCCCTTTGAGAGCTCCCTGGTCGACTTCATCGTATGCTCCCTAGCTTTTTCGGCCATCGCTTGGATTGTCATCGTGCAGCGCCCTTTCAACACGCTCATTATCGCCAATACTGTACACGATCTCCTACGTCATCCACCCTTCACATCTTCTCTCCCTGAATCGTAGCCACCACTTTCCTGCTATGCCTACTCGCCCTGAACTCCAGATACCAAATCCCCTGCCACGTGCCCGTATTCAGCCTGCCGTCCGTAATCGGAATCGTCACACTCGCGCCCACCAACGCGCTCTTCACATGCGCAGGCATATCATCCGGGCCCTCCGCATCGTGGCGGTACAGCCCGCCCTTCCTGTCCTCGGGCACAATGCGGTCCAGCGCGTCGCTCATGTCGGCGCGGACATCCTCGTCCCAATTCTCGTTGAGAGAGAGCGCGCAGGACGTGTGCTGGATGAAGAGGTGGAGGAGGCCGGTCTTGTAGGATTTGAGCTCGGGCAGCTCGCGCACGATGGTGTCGGTGACGAGGTAGGAGCCGCGCGATTTGGAGGGGAGGGTGAGGGTTTTTTGGAACCTGGGAGATGGCAGTTAGCTTTGCGGGGCGCAGCTTGCTTTGGGCTGGGAGGCTGGGTAGCTAGTCTAGCTCGCAAGAGAGAGGGGAAGCGTACCACGACATTGTGGTCGGCGGCGCGCAGATGTTCGGCGCGGAGCACCAGACGGGCGGCGATTGGGGTGGTGGCGGGGGGAAGATGTAGTTGTAGGGAGACCAGGTGAGCTTGACGAAGAGGCTGGGGAAGAGTGCGAGGAAGAAGCCGCAGAGGATGAGGAAGGTGGTGCAGTGGCTTATGGTGTGTTGTGTTTGGGGCGGCATTGGGTGGTGGGCGGAACAATTATCGCGCTGCGGTTCGCGGGTGATGTCACCTTGCGCGCAGGTGGGGCAGGGTTGTGATAGTTTGGCGAGGCGCGACGGAGTGTCGAGATGTGCACGAACTTCACAGTCATAGGAACCTCATTAGATGATAAGTTCTACATGGGCCCGCGTAAAGTATCTGGTACGCCGGGGCCAGTTCGACTGACTTGGAGCGAAGTCTCTCCGAATACAAGTGGAATGCGTCCTTGCATGGTCCACACTTGCGTAGCAGAGAATCATACACCTCACAACGCCGAGCTCTTGACGATCAGAGAGCCTTTCTTAACCCCTCATGCTTTACGACCCATCCTCTATCCTTCGGCACACCCGGTGCATCGCCCTTCGAACCAGCCCACCCTCCAACTACATAAGCAACCGCATACAAGAACCCAGCATTACCCGGCATGAACGGCGCTGGAGTGCCCCCATCCCCACCCCGAATAGCAAACCCGGCGTCGTCAAACTTCCAGTAGTCATATGCGGTAAGGTGGTACATCGCCCTCTCCGGATTGCCTATCCTCGCGCTGTTGATGGCCAGGACGGGACGTCCCCATCCGCGGATCTTGTCATCTGTCCACACCTGCGCAACCTTATCTGCGGTGGCCAGAGCGATCTTCGGATCAACCGCAGGCGTGTCGGGTAACATGCCTTGGAGCATTATGAGGCTGCGTGGGTCCCCAGTGAGTTTTGTGTCGTTCCACCACGAGCTGTTTAGGCCGTCGTAGACGGCATAGAGACCGCCTGCCTGTGGCGGAGGGGCGAGGTTTGCGGCGACATGCGTCCACTTCTCGGGAATACGCTGGCCGAGCTTGCGCTTCCAATCCCTTGCGGCGTCGAGACCATAACGCCAATATGCAATCTCATATGCGAGGTTGCGCGTAGAGTTTGGGGGTGTGTTCTCCGTCACACCGTATGAAGGAGGACCAAGATCGTATTTCCCCGTGCTGGCGTTCAGACCCGCGTACGATGCCATGTAATTAGCCGTCTCGGTGACCACCTGGTCCCAACGTTCCAAGGTCTTCCGTGTCGGAGACGCTTGGTATGCAAGCTGTGCGAGATACATAGGGTGAGGCTGTTGCCAAAGTAGTACGCCATTTATGTCACCCGGAGAATTGATTCCGTAGATGGGGTCTGTCATCTTTGGCCATCTAGCGCCTTCCCAGCCCATGGATTTGGCTCGGGCGAGCGAGGATGGGAGCAGTCTCTCGTAGAGTCCAGGGAATATGTTGTCAAAGTATTTCTGTTTGCCCCATGTTGCCCAGTGCGCGTTGTGCCAGATAACCATTTCCATGTGAAATTTGCCTGGACAGAGTGTAAGTTCAAGTCAATCCCCCACCAACCGTTTTTCACATACCGTACCAACCGTTGTTCATCAGCCCACTCTCCTGGGGCGACTGGTCCTTCGCAGCGCTGTTCACTCGAACGTGATACTGAGAAGTAATAATCCTGCGTTGCAGCTCCGTTGCATTGGGGTTCGAAGACGCAGTCAAATCGACAAAACCTCCCTCTTGCCAATACCTATTCCACTCAAGTTTGTTCCGTTTCTGAATGGTGGAGGGTAGAGGTGGCGTGCGCTGGTCCGGCGAGAAATGTGCTGTGAAAGAGATGCTTGAGGACTTCTTTGAAGGCTTTAGGGTGTACCGATGCGCAGTAGTAGAGTTCGAGCCTTCAGGCTCATTACGTGTGAGGTTCAGAGCTGAATTTGCTGGCCATCTCAAGTTGGCAAAGTATGATGTTTCCTGCAATTGATGCTTGATGCTTGCGGTGCCTGCCTCATGGTTTTTGGTCGCAACAGTGGTTGTGTGATTCAGAGGGAAGTCGTAGACACCTGCGAAAACCTTTGAATTGTGAGTACGACAGATGTTTCGGAAGATATCGTATTGCTCACCTCGTATTTGTAAGTCGTCGTATGAATAGGCGGATACGGGAAATCCAATTCTATCCCTAAATCTTGGCTTTCAAGTATACTAGACTCTATCTTGAACGCTACGGCGTCTTCATCGAAATCCCCTTGGGTAGAAATCTTCACGTCTTTTCCATCAACTTGGAACGTCGACGTAATAACGCCATTCCAAAGATCTAGAACCTGCTTAGGTTGCGTGATTTGAGACGGAGAGATTTTAACGCCTTTGTAGGTGAGCCCTATGCGTCCTAGGTTTATACGATTCGGGTTGCCAATCAGCCATTGAGTTGCTTGCTTGAGACTGGGGTCCGGCAAGTCGTAGTAGACTTGGCGACCGTATGTCTCCCGTGCGACACCATGGTAGTCGGATGGTAAATCACTATGCACCGACTGGTCAGTCTACGTCTCAGATTGGGCGATGCAGAGATATTGCCGCACCCATTTGATGGAAGTGAATCATTGTGCCAAGCCCAACTTGACAATGTGTTGAAGGGGAGAAGGGTCTTGTTTTGAGTCAGGCCAATACGTAGTTATGGTCAAGAATAGCTCTCACCTGCATGCCAGTGTTGTCCACATTGAAAGCGAAGTTTCCATTCCCTATCTGGAGCGGAGTCGTATCGTTATCGATCAGGTTGGTACGGAGAATGTTGAAACTTGATACAACATGTTTCCTGCCAATCATCAGTCACATTCATTGGTGTGGAGTCATCAACAATACCGGTCGATCTGCGCAGTGACAAGATTCGGTACCAGCAAACATCCCGCAGCAACTTGATTCACTCGCATCTTGATTTTGGACTCCAAGGACGAAGAATCTGTCTCAGCTCGCGACGACAGAACATTCGAAGAACCTTGTCGTACATGTAAGTAGTCTTAGCTCGACAAAATGCACGTGAGTGTGGTAAGGATCAGATCCGGGGTAAATGCGACCGAATGCAACCAACCCCTCATCGCTTAAGGTCGATCGCAGCGCTGCAGGCCTAGGTCCGAACTAACGACTCAGCTGTAAACATATTTTTCCGTCTTGATTTTCGGAGAGTCGAGCCTCACGCAAGGTCTACTTCGCGACCGCGTCTTCGTAGGATGACCTGGATGCAGTCGACTTTCAGGCCGCCCATCTGTTCAGCATCCTTGACAGCCCACACGTCCTCGATATCCCTCAGGACTCGTTTCAGGCTAGGGAATTTTCTTGACTCATACATCGCTTGAAATCGCAAGCGGACGAACTTTCGTTGCGTAGCATCAATGGCTTCGCAGCCCGCGGTGAAAAGAGGCCAGACATGGGACGAAGCGAGTGGTGAGTCTACCGGGACTTGCCCAATGTAGGCAAGGCATTCTTGGACGTGTTTGAGTGTTGTAGGATTCGGGGACCCCATGTCTAGCCAGACACGGTAAAGGTAGATGAACGCAGCGTGGCGGTAGGCTTCCGCAGTGAAGCCGATGTCTGGGATTACGGTGTCGAGATTAGAGGTCAGGTTCATCAGTGTTTGCTGGAGCTCGGCACCTAGATTGAAGTTATTGCCTTGGAGATCCGAGGTCTGCGAAAGTAGCCTTTCTGCTTTTGCGGCTTCATGAAATGTGCTGATGCGTGCGACCACTTGCAATATCTTCGCTATGCTGCTCATCTTAGCAGATCCTTCAATAGCGGTGAATTCCGCGCCGTGCGCATCAAGGGGCGAAGAACCCCTTGAGACTGAGGAGAGTATGTCATGGTACGCATAAAGGCTGTTCAGGAAGTCCGCGCTCAACGAGTTCATGTTGCCGGACCGTGCTCTTCTTCGCGAGATCATGGCTTTTGCTCCGGTGAGATGGTTTGCCGCGTGCGCCTCTTCTTCATCGCCAAAGAGTCGCGCAGATATCTGCATCATCATGACAGTGGCTAATGTAGGATCTGAGTCAGCCTCGTTTGGGTCCTGGATGGCTTCCTGTAATAGGTGAATAGCTTCGTGTTGATGCCTGTACGCCTCAAATCGGAGTGTTGTATCGCCAGACACTAGGCCAAAGTGAGCTGCGGCCATAGACAATACGGTTGACTGTAATGCACCCCGCGTGTAAGTCATGGATGCAAGATGGATCTGGAAGGAGCTCGCCCCTCCATCTTTCGGAGCGGCTGATATAAGTGGTGCCAGTTGCTCGAGCCAGTAATGCAGAAGCCGCTGGTTTGTGCGAGATAGATCTGGGTAGACTGATGGGTTCATCGTAGGACTCAATGTCGACTCGGAATGATCGTATGAGGATGCACCACTTGCTGGGGTAGGTGCAGAGAAAACACTGAAAACCAAAAGAGGACTTGTAGCGGAAGCAGGGCTGTCGACAGATACCATACCGACGGATTGGCTTCGCTTCGCAAAACGTTTGCGTGGAACGACGGCAGCGGAAGTCGCGATCCTCCATTTCAATTTGACTCCGTAGCCTTTGCACTCTTTTTTCAATCTCGTGCATCTTCCGCAGCTTGGCTTCTGTTCGTCGCATTTATAGCCCGCCTCCCGGCATGTCCAGCACCCAGTTCGTGATCTCGTGTGGCCAGCCATTGTTGGGAAGTGTCAACCTCGGGAAGCGATCACTATCAGCAGGTCCATCATTTGGTCATCGTCGCTATATCTTTCCATGAGAGAATAACGCGGAGGGAAGCTTCTCATCCACTTCGCAAAAGGGTGGAGGTTGCAAGTCAAAGAGTGCTCTTGTGGAGAAGCCTCGAAACGAGGGTCTAAAAGCGGTAAGTGGGCCTCGCCACACGACCTCGTGCGGAATTGGGGCCGATGGATCTAGAACATCACACAAGTCTTGAGGAAGGACAGTGAGCACATTTATATCGGAGCATCTTTTGGTAGGTGAGCATAAGACGAGTACTGAATGTGCATGAATGATCATGATCTATGGAAGTGCAAAACAACCGTCATGAGTTACCCACACCTTTCTCCACCACAAACTTTATTAGTCACTCGCTGTACACAAAATGCTCTTTTACAACTTTCCAACTCACGATAGCTCTTGTATTTCCAGTACTAAGATATCTGCAGCGCCGCCTCCGTCGAGTTCTCTCCAGCTGTTTTCTTTTGCCGCCGAATATCCTCAAACTTGTATACACATTGCATCACGCCTGCCTTCGGGTCCACGATGCACATGAACTGTGTCTGGTCGAAGATCATTGATGCTGCCATTGTAGACTGCCCGTCTGGCGGCAGGCTGAGCCATTTGCGCGGACGCTTCATGCTCGGCGCCTCAACCTTGGTGTCTGCATTCCAACGATGATTAAGTTGGAAAAGCCAGATAGACCATCTGCACCTTAGATAGCCCCTTAGTTCGTACTTGCGCATGGAATTGCAGGCGGCTTTCTCCTCTTCTGTGCACAGCCTCATGGTTTGGCTTTGGCGCCTACTTGATCAAAGTGGATACGATGGTCTTCTTGCAACGCCTTTGTACAGCCGTTTTGGTCTTCGACAATCGAGACGTGGGTGGACTTTGAGGCTGCTTTGAATTTGGTGCCTTATCCGTTTCATGCGGCTTTGAGTTTAGCACTAGGTCAGCTATCTGAGCACCGGGGTTTCCGTCCGAGTATTGTTCTAGTCGAAGCTGCTGTTTACTGAGGTCATCGGAGTTACCGACAGTAATGGACATCTCGCTCTCGAAAATGTTGACGGACACATACTTCTTTCAGAGAACAACTGTGCGTGAATCGTTGCAGAACACGAGATAGGCACGTGTTGTAGGTATGGTGGAAAAGGCGTGTGTGATTTCTTCGACGGTGTCTCCAGGATGCTGGTGTAGAGTCAATGTCTTGTCCCGGTCAGTTGAGTCATTCTTCGATGGGTTTTGCTTCGATACAGCAGACTCGGATTGAGGTAACAGACATCGGCGCAGATGTGAGCCGATAAGAGGGCGCCGACCAAGGAGAATGCGAAGCAAGTGGCCGATGAAGTTTTTGCAAGCCTTGGCCTTGGATTCGCCGATGATAAGTACGGCTGTGCAAGGAAAGCCTCGATCCTTTTCTAACGCCAGTGAGAATGCCAGTCAACCCTACATAGGATACTGCTCGTGCAATTTTTTCTCCTTGGGGCGATTCCTTGTACTCGTACTGCACAACAAGACTTTTGAGCTCTGATCCGGAGATGTCTGTCGTGCGGAAGTGCATCATCGTCTGATCACTCGAGTGCGGCTCGCGTACGAGAATGCCGCCGCTGGTGCAGTGTGGGATCGCGTCGAAAAAGATGTTGAAGGCGATTAGAAGATACTTTGACAGACCTGACGCAGTCTAGATGCCGCATACTTCCTTGGATACCTCCTTGATGATCATGTAATAGAACAAGGCCCTGACCAATAGGTGTGCTGGTCTTCGCGGTATCCGTAGTCGAGCTAAGCCTTGATCCACCCAAGCAGGGAACGCTAGCAATTGAGGCTTAGAAGCCGTTACAACATGATCATATCGGCGCTCCAGTAGCAAAGGGAGGTCGATGGAGAACACAAGGTACAATCGCCCGGTAGTGGACAATGTCCGGTGCGCCGGCTACCTGCCGCTTGTGTTTGAGCCGCCCGTCGCGTTGCCTTGCATCTTGTTTCTCAGCATGGGTGGTCTTACTTGGTCTGGGGTTCTCAGATTGATGCATTGTACTGGCCATTGTAGCTGGAATCTTGGTTGAGATGTCCTGTCCTTGTCAAGATTTCGAAGCAAGGCCTTTCAAAGATTTGAGGCAGGATTTAAGCAGCGTGTGCAGTGTGACCAAACACCGGAACCTCTATTACAACCCTGATCAGCCATTGTAGAACCTGAATTCCTCTTTTAACATCATTCGTCAACCCTTGAAAGTAAGGGCCAGTGAAATTACTAGTGAGGGCTGCTAGTGTGCATTCAGAGTAGTCAGAGGTTCCACATGACTTCGCTTGTATTGACATGGTAGGCATGATTTGTAACAATGGCACATCTACAATACCTTCGCACATCGGTTCGGACTGTAGTGTTGTTTCTTCTCATGGTAGGTAATTTGCTGCAAATCAGTACCTTGCACCAATAGGGGCCTGCAATTAATATTTTCGGAGGTAAGGCGTAGGACTTACACTGGAGAGTTCCGAACCGACATCCCTCTATCCTGTAGAGGGCTGTCAATCGCTAGATGTAATGTATTGGTAAACATGGTCTGGACGATATCTCGTGAGAGGTGCCAACATGTTGAATGGAGCACATAGACGTGAGTGGAAACACATTGAGTAGCAATCATTTCAGGAAATACGTACCAAAAGCATGAGATGAGTCGTTGCGTGTTGGTGTTGGTGGGAAGGGTTTGGCTGACTAAGGCGCTTCCTTCCCCGGATTCCCCACCTCGAAGGCCTCGGTCCATCAGGAGCTTACCGGGAATTGCTTAACCGTCCTTCGCGCCGCTTCTACCATGTCGACGTCGACCTTGTATATAGCTTCAATGTACCCCGTTGCACCGATTCACGCTCTATTCCACCTACATCCAAGCTAGCATTCCCTAGTGAACAGCAGAGACCATGGCAGACCAACCACCACCGCTCACAGGTATCCGCGTGCTTGAGTTCGCCGGCTTGGCACCAGGTACAGAGCATGGCCCTTTCATACCGCCCCAAAACTCGCTGATACGAAGATTGTAGGCCCCTTCGCAGGCATGCTCCTCGCCGACTACGGCGCTACCGTCCTCCGCCTCGACCGTCCCTCCCCCACACCTCATCCCACCTCCGACCAACTCACGCGCCGCAAGACCTCCATCGCCGTAAACCTCAAGTCGCCCTCCGCAATCGCCCTCGTCAAGAAACTCCTTACAAACGTCGACGTCGTGATTGACCCCTTCCGGCCTGGTGTCCTAGAGAAACTCGGACTGTCTCCCCAAGATGTCATGCTCAAAATCAACCCACGGCTTATCGTGGGCAGGATGACAGGCTTCCGGAGAGATGGGAAGTACAGCATGATGGCTGGGCACGACATCAACTATATTGCTGTGAGCGGGGTGTTGAGCTTGTTCGGGAGGAAGGGGGAGAAGCCGTATCCGCCTGGGAATGTAGTTGGCGATTTTGCGGGGGGAGGCGCGATGTGCTTTCTAGGGATTTTATTGGCACTACTGGCGAGGGAGAGGAGTGGCAATGGTCAGGTGGTCGAGGCGAACATGGTGGATGGGAGCGCTGTGCTGGCGACGATGCCGCGGTTGGGACTCAAGACGGAGGTATGGAGGAGGGAACGAGGAACTAATATGCTGGATGGCGGGGCACCATATTACGACACGTACGAGACCAAAGATGGGAAGTACATGGCTGTGTGAGTCTGGCCTTGGTATTGTCCATTTCGACACTAATTAATTTAGTGGTGCGATCGAACCGCAGTTTTACGCTGCGCTGCTCCAGGGTCTTGGTCTCCAGCCGTCCGACTTGCCAGGCGATCGCGACAACAGGGCGGACTGGGCGAAGCTTAAAGAGTTCTTCACTGGGGTTTTCAAGAAGAAGACGCGCTCAGAGTGGGAAGCGATCTTTGACGGCACCGACGCGTGCTGCACGCCGGTCATTACAAACGCAGAGCTGGAAGCGCAAGGCTTCGACCAGAGACCCGCAGTTACACTCAGATCAACGCCTGGTTATGCTATACAAGAAGGAGCTTCAGGTCGAGCGGCAGCAGTGGGGCAAGGCGTAGGTATCGAGGGCAGCGGTTGGGACGAGAAGGGTCTGGTGCCCGGAGCTGGCGGCGAAGAGACACTCAGGCGATGGCTGGGCTGGGCGAAGGGTCGGCAATACGACATGGAAAGTGGAGGACTCGTCCTGAAGGACTCGGCAAAACTGTAGAACTGTAATTGGAACGGCATGCTCAGCCATTGTCGTTTGTACAAATATTGATACACCCAGAGTATACACATGCCTACGGACCCCGCCTCTTTCTCGCCTTGGGCTTTGCAGACTTCTTGCCTGCATTGCGCAACTTCTTGGCCTCCTCGTTACGCTTCTTACGTGCCTGCGACTTGCGCCATGCCGCCCATCGGTCTCCCGGTACGAACTCTTTGACCTGCACGTTGGCCCTCTCAGCAACCCGCCCGATGTCGTAGTTCGCGTGGCGGTACGCATAACCCTTGCCCACGGTCAATGTCGTCGGGGTGCGCGCCGTGGCGGTGACGCTCGTCTCGCTGCCGGTCGCATCGCCCACCTGCAGATCGGCAACTACAGTCTGTCCCTCCTTCTCCGCCGGCTGCGAATCCTTCTGGACTGCTACGAAGCCAAGCCTTCTCCGTCGAGCGGCGTTCTGTGGGTAGGGAAGTTTGTCCGTCTTCTCGAGCGCAACGCCAATGTACTGGCGCTTCGGGTGCAGCGACGGGTCCTTGTAGTAGCGCACGTAGCCCGACTCGGTGGCGAAGATGCAGTGGTCGCGTCCGAACTTGCAGTTCTCGCCCGGGAACCAGGCCGTGCCGCGCTGGCGGAAGATGATGTTCCCTGGTATCACGTATTCACCTGCAAGCCGTCCGTTAGCCCTCGACCCTGTCCAGAATGCCATTGTGTTTCCAAATCGTACCTCCAGCCTTCTTCGCGCCCAAGCGCTTTCCCGGTCCATCTTTTGCGCCGTTGGCCCGTCCTTGGGCCTGATGCGTAGCATGTCGTACAAAGGAGAGGGTAGGTGCCGGGGCATGGCCAAGGGCAGCGGAGCCATTGGCGTGGCGGAGGACGTCGAGGACGCGCGAAGACGGGATCAGAGGCGACTTTGCGGCGGCGCGGACGGGCGCAAATATCCGAGGGAGCAGCATGGCTGCTGTGATGGGTGTCGTCGGCTGGTGTAGCTTCCCTCGAGAATTGTAAAGATGCTCGCGCCAAGACATGCATTTTGGGACTAGCGTGGCTCCATCCGTGGTGCCTTCCTCCGCCCTGGGACAAACATCACCCAGGCCTCCTGCGCGAAAGTAAGCCTACCCTGGCGATATGCGAGGTACACGGCGTTCATTAAATGGCATGGAATGGGTTCGCGCATGCACTCTTCACTGCGATCGAACGCAACAGCTTGCGCACGGAAGCCACTGGGCATTCGCTTGCCGATGGGTATGTATTCCAAATCACTGCCAACAGGCCCCATGAACGCCTAAACGCCTCTTCAACCCAGCATAAGCGCCAGACAATGCCAAAATCACTAAGAGCTAGAATAATGATGGGATGCGAACATCAGCCGTCGCTGTGTGCTGACCACCTTGTCAAGCATGGCGTCCATGGAGACTGTGATACCAGACACATCGTAGATCCAAGGACCGTAGCCGCGCCCGGCAACCTGGTGATTAATCCCAAGGCCGCTCCAGTATTATAGGATGAATAACTCCAAATCCATCCTTCTGGTGTACTTTTGAGGTCCCGAACAGGGGTAAGCATTTGCTATATGCGTGAGTGGCTGTACTTTGCGATTCGCTCGTTATCCCGGAAATCGTCTCGGAAGGGAAGATGTGCTTGATCAGGAGCGGCCGGTCGATTTGGAAAACATTTCTAGCTTCATTTGTCGATAAGCCTCGAAAACTGCTTCCCTTCGAGCTACTTCGTCATCGGTGAGGGTACGTGGTCCTGGACTTCGACTAGGAATGGAAGACGTCCAGGAAGCAATTGTTGATGCTTGATCAGGTGACAAGTAGGGATGTGAGGGCAGTGTGGATCGCGTCGGGGCTGAACCGCGAGAAGATACAGAACCAGCTGATGAGAGCAGATCCGAACAACCAGAAGTCATGGTCAGATTTCGTAGAGGCGCAGTGCTGGGCAGACGAGGAGTTCAGCAGCAAGCGAAACTGTGCGGATGCCCACGACTATATTTGAAGCCTACGTCCCATGTCTCTCGACGTTACGAAGCGATTACTGTTTTCGAGAACACACCAAGATAGCCTCTCCGATTTCATATCGCGCGTGTCGGATTCGCGACTGCTCGAACATAATTTCTCCTCAGTTCAAACAATGAGAATCCCACATATGCAGGGATGGCCAATGAGACACAGGGTCACCAGGGCCATGAGGCCAAGCAATGATTCATCTGACAAATCCCGGGTTAAACAAATGCAACTCATCCCACCCCAGTGTGAAACGCGGCGGCGGATTTGCGCCTTGCGGTAAGTATTTCAAATAGTAGATTTCGGCAAACCGCGCTAACGCACCCCGGCCAGCAGTAGCTTCGACGTCAACGCCCCATATCGCATGCTCGTCAGGCGATGTGAACAGTCTTAGTTGCGAAACAATACCGCGCGGTAATTTATTTCAGGGAGACCCCGGAAATCATGTAGTAGATGGCAGGCTCATCGTCACCAAGTTTATCGTCATGACAGACATATCGGCTAATCATACCGAATGATCCTACGAGATGCTCGTACGAAATATGACTACAATAATCCACATACCGCTCCTTGAGAAAAAAACAAAACCGGAATAACCTTGAAGCCATCTGATTCCGAGCGGGCAAATACGTTCCAAGTCTTCCCCATGTCTCAGTTCGATACCAAGGCCGTCCTCGCATACCCTCGCATCACAACACCTCGACACATGCAGCGGCTTGCGGAAGAGGCTGATCTGCCCGTTTATCGTGTGCTGTCCACGCTCGCAATACGCGAAACATTGTGCCCTTTTTTCTTGTCAAGGATGATATTTGGAATCAATGGCTGACTATTCTGGTTGCTTGCAGGGCAAGGAACAATAAAAGACAGCGCAGCGGTTACAAGAGTTCATTTTGGAGTTCATTGACGCGACTCGTGTTGACGAGGAAGAGTGCTGGACAAGGATAGATGAGCATGTGTCGCTTCTAGCTTATAATATTTTGAACTGCCAGTTCTTCTTTGCCGGAGGGCTCCTAAACTCTTAAGGACCCCCAAAGTGGATGGACGAAATTGCGAAGTGCAAAGCGTACATACATATGGCTGTGGTTCCTCTCACAATGTGTAACAATAGAAACTGGTCGTTAAAAGATTTTCGGCATAGACTATCATTCTTATATTCCTGTAACCGTATGGTACAGTGAGTGCCTACAGGATCAAGTGTGCTGCAGAAGACAGTTATTCTCGGGTCAGCCTCTGTGTTCGGAAGTGATCGAGCCTTTACCACCGCTTTTCATAACGATTGGAAATTCCGATTGACCGAACCCGGATGATGGCACATACGCTGAGGTACGTAATTACTCAAATTCACAACGTTCGATGACTAGACATATTTGACACGACTAGGCGAGGACATCTGGAACCATGCGCGTCCGCCATCTCATGTGCATCATCATGGGTGCACGGGACGGAGCAACGGAAATTTTGTTCTTTCTGGACGACATCGGTCCTTATACTCACGGGGACGCTCGTGACATCCGTGTGATTGCCCCACTAGACAGCCACGGTTGTCACGCTTGGCTCACCACTCAGACTTGCAGCATTATGCCAATACGATCCACCGATTCAGAACTTGGGCATGCAAATAGCCTGGAAATCGTTTCCACTGATTCTAACGTGGATCATCGAACATACTAGAAGCTTCACATGCTGTGTATCATAATTCGACCTCAATCGAATGCATGACTCAGTCTACAGTTGCGGGTGCACTCCAGAATAGTTCATCGGCGCATGATACCAGAGTGTCTTGTTCCTGCCGCATCTGGGCCATTACTTCCCCACATCCTGAACGCCGCCTAGGTGACAACCGGCTCCACCGGTTCTGAGCTCGTTATGGCCGACACCACAACCAGTATACTACAACAAAGAAAGGCGGCATGTACACAGAGGAATTCGGCGTCGCAAGTTGCGAAGAGTACTGGCTGTTCTTTCTCTCATTACGATTTCGATTCATATACCTGTGCCGTCGAATATGCACGAGAATCCGAGTTGGCTTATTGTATCCCAGAAAGCGGCCGCAGAAATAGGATACGAAGCGTTGATTCCGGCGGTCGTGCTGACAGCTCTCGCTCTTATCACAGTGGCATTGCGATGGTATTCAAGGGCGAAGCTTTCGGGCACCTATGGCGTCGAGGATGTGGTTGTTACGCTTGCTCTAGTATACTAACGTGTAAAGCTTGTTCACATCCACCACCGCTAACAACGTCAGGTCTTCTCGATAGCCTTCACGGGAATCGTGGGTGGAGGTGCGTTGCCAGCTTTCCAGGTATTCAGAATTACGCAACACATCGCTCACACTGCGTCTCTAGAGTTCGAGATCGATCTCCAAAGTAAGAGCGACGAAGTCAAAGCCTCGCTGCTTAGCACCATGATGAAAGCATGTCAGCCTTTGCTTGTTCTCGATTTATTCCACTTACGCCCAATCAGATCATGTTTGCCGGGTCCATCTTCTACCACACGGCCGTAAATCTAGTCCGCTTCTCTATCCTCTTCCAATACCACCGGCTCTTCCAGCACCTGCCGCCCTTCCGGCTCTGCATATACGTTATTGGCGTCGCTACACTGGGCGCAATGGCATGGGGCGTCTTCGGCGTCGTATTCCTCTGCAGTCCCGTACGGAAGTACTGGCATGGTGGCGTGCCAGGAAAGTGCATGGATGCGCAGGACCACTTCTGGAGCTGCTCATTGATGGGGATCGTGTTGGAGTGCATCCTTTGGGTCATGCCTATGCCAGTATTGGGTAGGCTAAGGTTGCAGTCACGGCAAAATGGGGGACTCTTGGTGCCGTTTGGATTGGGCCTCTTGTGAGTGTGCCGTCCATGTAATGTGTTTGGGGTGAATTGGCTGACGCAGGGCAGTGTTTGCATCGTTTCGGTACTTCGTATCGTCCATGTGCACGGCGCCGCTGAGAAGGGGAACGTGAGCAGTAAGTTTGCGCCTCGACTCCAGAGTCGACTTGCACCACACTTCATGCAAGTTCTCCACTTACAGTCCAACAGAATCGGGAAGCTATGCCGCCATATGGTCAACGGCGGAGATCAACGTTGCCATCATCTGCTCGTCTCTCATTGTCATGAAGCCTCTCCTTGCACGGGCCGTCTCTGGTATGGGCACAGAAACAAAGGTCTCGGCGCAGCAAGATGGTAGCGCCATTCGCAGAGTGATGAGCATCGCGACATGGGAGGAGTCGTTCGCTAGTACAGAGGACCCGGGAGAGGCACGGTATGAGGCTTGCATATGGACGGATAGCAGTGACAGTGCCATCGAGGGCCGGGTGGGTCCAGTGAAGGGCGGCGTGTGACTGGGTTGCTGATATGTGATCTTGTAGTGGCTGGGTCCGCGATGCACATGGCCCTTCGAGGTCGTTTTTGTCCACATTCTCGTAGAGTCGGGGGAAAACGCTTTTGCTACAGCTACTGTTTTCGCATGTCGGCAATCGGGACTATCCCTATCATAAGACCCTCATTAGCAGTGCCGTCTGAAGAGGATTGGGTGGTGCGCTCAAGTGCATGTGCCCTTGCGTGGACGTGAATGGCAACTATACCGTACAGTATCACTCATATAGCACCTCAAGTCGCTTCCGGACGAGCTCTTAGACGCCCGACTCGCCAAATCCTCAGCGCACATCAGTCTTCACGTTCCCACGAGAGGTTGCGACAAGCTTGAGCGTGGCGCAGAAACTGCCCCGTGCGCTTTGGTGGAGCTCCAGCCGGCGTCATTCTGCTGCACTTGGCCTGCACCTCGCCCGTCGAGCTTCCTCGCCTACCCACCGCCGTTGCATGCTTGGTTTACGGCCACGTCTCCGACCCCGACCTTCACTGCTAGATCTTGTGCGCAAGACGAACTCTCAAGAACAGCTGCCACTCCGCCCCAGCACCTCCCACGAGACAGGCACCCACCCCAAGCTCGTTCCGCTTCCCACGAGCCCGGTGCTCCTGCCGCAGGACAACGAAGCCGACGACGTCGAGACCCCACCACCGCATTCGCCTGTCGACGTAGCGAAGGCAGACGATCGGACCCACAAGATGCCTCCCGTAAGTGATTGGCGTGGAGGGGCTGCGCGATGGGCACTGGCTGACGACGGCGGGGGTGTAGAAACAGCAGAAGAAGACCGACGATGACGAGCAGGCGGGTACGTGGCGACCAATCCTATGTCTTGACTGTTGAGCCACAATGCTAATTATCTCATGCAGGAACCGTCTACTCCATCTCTGGGTACGTCCCTGCAGCGCCTCCGCGCACATGGTACTGATGTCTGTAGACCCGTCATCGTGGCCGCGAACATGATTGGATGTGCTATGTACGAGCTCGTAGGTTGCATCCCAGCTCAGGGAATATTCAGACATTGATGCTGTATGCAGGTCCGCGTAGGTCACGACAGCCTCGTTGGTGAGGTCATTCGGATCGAGGCCGACAAAGCCACCGTTCAGGTCTACGAGGAGACTGGTATGTGCTGGATCCTTGAGCCAGAACAGCGACTGACCGCAACGCAGCTGGTGTAACGGTCGGCGACCCCGTCGTGAGGACCGGCAAGCCCCTCTCCGTCGAGCTCGGCCCGGGCCTCATGGAGACCATCTACGACGGTATCCAGCGTCCGCTCAAGAGCATTGCCGATGCCGCGAACAGCATCTACATTCCCCGTGGTATCGACATCCCCGCTCTCGACCGCACCAAGAAGTGGGACTTCACTCCCGGCAAATACAAAGTCGGCGACCACATCACCGGTGGTGATGTTTTTGGTACAGTTGTTGAGAACAGCTTGCTCAACGACCACAAGATTATGCTGCCTCCCCGCGCCAAGGGAACCATTACCCGTCTCTCAGACAAGGGCAGCTACACCGTGGACGAGAAGATCCTCGAGCTTGAATTTAACGGCGTCAAGACCGAATACAGCATGATGCACCAGTGGCCCGTCCGTGTGCCGCGCCCCAGTTCCGAAAAGCTTTCGTCCGACCAGCCTCTCATTGTCGGCCAGCGTGTGCTCGACGCCCTATTCCCCAGTGTCCAGGGTGGTACTGTGTGCATTCCCGGTGCTTTCGGATGTGGCAAGACTGTCATTAGTCAATCTCTATCCAAGTTCTCCAACTCCGACATCATTGTCTACGTTGGTTGCGGAGGTAAGTTGTGTCAGCTGCACAGTTCTAGGATCAAAGTCTGAGTGTGACCGACCTGCGTATTGCCTACCCTAGTGTAACTCTTGGTACTCAGACTTTGGACCTGGCGCCGCATCGTTTCCTTGTGCGCGAGACTGACGTTAACAGAGCGCGGAAACGAGATGGCTGAGGTGCTGATGGATTTTCCTGAGCTAACCATCGAGGTCAACGGCAAGAAAGAGCCTATCATGAAGCGTACTACCCTCATCGCCAACACTTCCAATATGCCTGTGGCCGCTCGTGAAGCGTCCATCTACACTGGTAGTACGTACCACCCCGATGCGAAGGTGTTATGTCTCAGGCATATATACCTCATAACTTACCCTGTCTGAATTTATACTGACTTTGAACGCGCGCTTATAGTTACTGTCGCCGAATACTGTAAGTAAGCACGGGGTACAAGGTGGTTGTTTGTGCTATCGCCAAAAGTCTGAGACTCTTAGACTTTGGTGTCAAGCTGAAGCTATACCACCTATCTTCGACCCGATTCCCCACATATAAGAGCACTTCACTGACTTTGTACCCCAACCTTTAGTCAGAGACCAAGGAAAGGACGTTGCTATGATGGCTGACTCATCTTCGCGATGGGCTGAGGCTCTTCGTGAAATTTCGGGCCGTCTCGGAGAAATGCCTGCTGACCAAGGTTTCCCTGCCTACTTGGGTGCCAAGCTGGCTTCTTTCTACGAGCGTGCTGGTCGCGTCACTTCGCTCGGTAGCCCTGAGCGCCACGGCAGTGTCAGTATCGTCGGTGCCGTCAGCCCTCCGGGTGGCGATTTCTCGGATCCCGTCACTACGAGTACGCTCAATATTGTACAAGTCTTCTGGGGTCTCGACAAGAAGCTCGCTCAGAGAAAACATTTCCCCTCGGTCAACACTGGTCTCAGTTACAGCAAGTACACGACGCCGCTCGACAAATACTACGCGAAGAACAACCCAGACTTCCCGCGTCTGCGCGACCGCATCAAGGAGCTTTTGACGACCTCGGAGGATCTCGACCAGGTCGTGCAACTTGTTGGTAAATCTGCGCTGGGTGACGGAGACAAGATCACTCTGGACGTTGCGACATTGCTCAAGGAAGACTTCCTCCAGCAGAACGGATACTCGGACTACGACCAGTTCTGCCCGCTGTGGAAGACTGAATGGATGATGAAGAACATGATGGCATTCCACGACGAGGCACAGAAGGCGGTTTCACAGGGCCATGCTTGGGCCAAGATCCGCGAGAGCACATCAGACGTGCAGAGCGAGCTGCGCAGCATGAAGTTCGAGGTGCCCAGCGAAGGCGAGGAGAAGATCACGAAGAAGGTACGTTGCGCAAGCATTTACGTCTCGTTTGACTCGCTAACTGTGCTCTAGTACGAGGATCTGCTGCAGCGGATGACGGAGAAGTTCGCGTCGGTTGCAGATGAGTAAGGGTTTGTGTATTGCATAGCGTATTTTCTGGAACGGTGGATATAGATTGAGCTCTGTACATGAACAAATGTTGATGCCTATTTCGGCTGACGACGCTCGCACATGAACGGCCCTTGTGACGTACAAGGGGGCGTCCAGTGCTGTTCTTACGCCTGCGTCTTTGAATTCTCGCATGCCTCGCGATTGACGTGACAACGCTGTGAAAGTCGCACAAAAAGTACATGTATGTGAAGCTTGCTCAAGGCGTGCAACCTGTGGAGGTGGAGCCCCGGGCCGCAAACCAGCCAGTGAACGTGCAGACGGTGGAGAGTGACGACGGGGTCGCTGCGCCACAGTGGCGCCGCCGCGTATCCTTGTCTGGCACTGGCAGCTACGACACACTCGACACGCAAAGCGCGGGCGTGTGCACCCTTAATCACCAAACCACCCCGAGTCCTCCCACGCTGCCATATAAAGCTCAGCGCGCTCGCAGAGTCCCCGCTGCCCACTCGTATTTCGAGGCTTCACCACGAACAACACGTCGCCGGCATGTCGGTCAACCCAACTGCGTACGTTCCCCCCATGGTGGAGCTTGAGTAGACCCCCAGGACATCCAGGACCTGCAGCTAACCAGTGCTTCGCAGCATCAACGTCAACGACCCGACTCTGATTACGCTTGTGAACAAGCTTCAGGATGTCTTCACCACCGTAGGGGTACGTCGCACCTCCAAGGTCCCCCCAGCGCAACCCCGCCGCCGCGATAACGAGCGCGCCAAGCTGATGCCTGTCGCAGGTCCAAAACCCCATAGATTTGCCCCAGATTGCCGTCGTAGGATCGCAGTCGAGCGGAAAGAGTTCGGTGCTGGAGAACATTGTCGGTCGTGACTTGTGAGTTGCAGGACATCCAGCGCACTAGGCTGCACAAGTTGGGCAGCATGCTGATCGCGGCCACAGTCTTCCTCGGGGAACCGGTATCGTCACGCGAAGACCGCTCATTCTACAGCTCATCAATCGCCAATCGTCGAAACAGGCAAATGGCGTCAAGGAAGAGATCAAGACGTCGGATGCAGAATCCAACGTGGACGAGTGGGGCGAGTTCCTCCACATCCCTGGTCAGAAGTTCCACGACTTCAACAAGATACGAGACGAGATTGTGCGCGAGACCGAGTCCAAGACGGGTCGCAATGCTGGTATCTCTCCCGCGCCCATCAACCTGAGGATATACTCGCCAAACGTTCTCACGCTCACGCTCGTCGATTTACCGGGTCTCACAAAGGTGCCCGTTGGTGACCAGCCGCGCGATATTGAGCGCCAGATCCGCGAAATGGTGTTGAAGCAGATCAGCAAGCCCAACGCCATTATACTTGCTGTCACGGCAGCGAACACGGATTTGGCCAATTCGGACGGTCTGAAGCTGGCGCGAGAAGTGGACCCTGAGGGTCAGCGAACAATCGGTGTGCTCACAAAGGTCGACTTGATGGATGAAGGAACCGACGTCGTGGACATCTTGGCTGGGCGCATCATTCCCCTGCGGTTGGGCTACGTACCTGTCGTAAACCGAGGGCAAAGGGATATCGAAAATAAAAAGGCGATTTCATCTGCCCTGGAGCACGAGCGGCAGTTCTTCGAGAACCACAGGGCGTACAAGAACAAGGCCGCCTACTGCGGTACACCGTATCTGGCGCGCAAGCTCAACTTGGTAGGCATCTGAATGGCTATCTGACACCACGAGACAAAGCTAACCAAGACCAGATCCTCATGATGCACATTAAGCAAACACTCCCCGATATCAAAGCGCGTATCTCCTCCTCTCTCCAGAAATATTCCGCCGAACTCGCGTCACTGGGCGATTCGCTACTGGGGAACAACTCGAACATCGTCCTGAACATGATCACGGAGTTCAGCAACGAGTACCGCGGCGTTCTCGATGGCAACAACCAAGAGCTATCAGCGTCCGAGCTTTCCGGTGGCGCTCGTATCTCCTTCGTCTACCACGAACTGTACGCCAACGGTGTGAAAGCTGTGGATCCTTTCGACCAGGTCAAGGATGTTGATATCCGCACTGTGCTCTACAACTCGTCCGGTTCTTCACCTGCGCTTTTCGTTGGCACTACCGCTTTTGAGCTTATCGTGAAGCAGCAGATCAAGCGTTTGGAAGATCCCTCGTTGAAGTGTGTCAGCCTGGTCTACGATGAATTGATCCGCATCCTCGGCCAGCTTCTTAACAAGCCAACCTTCAGGCGGTACCCAGGCCTCAAGGAGAAGCTTCATCAGGTTGTCGTCATGTTCTTTAAGAAGGCCATGGATCCCACAAACAAGCTCGTCAGGGATCTCGTCGCCATGGAGTCGTGCTACATCAACACTGGTCACCCAGACTTCATCAATGGATCTCGCGCGATGGCAATCATACACGAGCGACATAACGCAAGCAAGCCTCAACAGGTCGACCCTAAGACAGGGAAGCCTTTGCCTCCGGCAGTGCCGCCGCGGGCGTCAAGCCCAAGCTTGGGCCTAGATGGTGGCGAAGGTGGTGGTTTCTTCGGCAGCTTCTTCGCTAGCAAGAACAAGAAGAAGATGGCAGCTATGGAGCCACCGCCATCAACGCTCAAGGCGAGCGGTACGCTGAGCGAGAAGGAAGTGCAGGAGGTCGAGGTTATCAGTACGTTCTCCGCGCGTTTTATTCTAAACCCATCTACTAACATGTGACAGAACTTCTCATTACCTCGTACTTCAACATCGTCCGCCGCACCATGATCGACATGGTGCCCAAAGCCATCATGCTTAACCTCGTTTCGTGGACAAAAGAGGAGATGCAGCGCGAGCTGCTCGAGAACATGTACAAGACGGAGGAGCTCGATGATTTGCTGAAGGAGTCTGAGTACACTGTTAGGCGGCGCAAGGAGTGCCAGCAGATGGTGGAGTCGTTGGGCAAGGCAAGCGAGATCGTTAACCAGGTGCAATAGAGGTACGCAGATTCGGAAGTGTCTGCACCTGGAATGCGTAATGCTTAAGTCGGCTTTGTGGAGAGTGAGCATATACAGCAGCTGTGTGGTGTCGTTTGGTGGTTTGGGACCAATGGGGGATGGGTCGTCGTGTGCGTACTGCGTGCAGAGCATAGATGGATAAGACGAGCGGTTCGGCAGGCATGCTGAGATAGATATACCAATTCTTGTCATTTATGCATGTCATGCTTCCTGGACTGGTAATTCGCGGGACGTTACTATGACCATGTACTATATCGCTTCGTGTCTGGTGGGTTGGAGAAAAAACCATATGCTGGACTCGACGCATGAGCATTCGAAATACGTTGACCGCAGCGTCACTGGGAGAACCTAGGGCAAGCGTCTGCAGCGTATGTTCTCAAAGACTGTATACATACTGCAGGTTCCTGTAGCGGTACACATTCTTAAGACTTCGCCACTTGAACGGGTATTGTGGAATATATTCCGCCCGCATAACATGCCCAACAACGGCTGCAAGCTTCAACCTCCACAGGCTCCGGCTTTCGCGAATAGCGTGCGCAAAGGCAGGCGAAATTACAGTGCAGCGACCCAAAGCGCGATGATATCAAGAACACGTCTGTCAATTGAAATGTACCGATCCTATGACACCGCCCGCGCAACCGATAAAATGCGCGGCCAGCTCTAATGGAGCGGTTATCGTCCCTCTCCGCATTGCTGAATCGCAACCGCCCAATGTATAGACTCTAGTAGCTCAGTACAAAACGTAAAGAGATGGCGAGATAGGCGGTTGAACTGTCTGATGAATGCGTTGAAGGAGGGGAGAAAGCACTGTCGCGAAATTTTTAAGGAACGGCGAGAAAGTGAGGCTAGCCTGTTCGGACGTAGTTCCAGATATGGGCTTGGCGACTGTCTCTACAAACTCCGCATCGTGACCTGGCTGAACACGATAGCTTGGCTTAAAAATCCGCTGGCGTATGCTGGAGAATGAGGCTGATTTCCATTGATTATGATAGCCTTACAAAGTATCTACACTCGCCGCCAAGATCGTGGGAGCCACTGTTCTCGGCGGAGGGGAGTAACATTTGAATTAGTCAGTCATGAACCTTCCACACGGCACACCTCCAGCCTCGTCCTACCGCGGTTCATTACCAACCCTCCTCCGTAGCACTCGATTGAATATGCTGCACGTATTTGCCCCTTCCTCTTCCTCTCCCCGTGCCTTAGCAGCATGCTTGGGGCGGTGACGTCTCGGGAACGCGGGATGCTCTCTTCCGGGCCACACTTGCTTAACTTTGTGGATAGTCGCCACGGATCGACCGAGAGGTTTAGGTCCCTGAGGCGAACAGTACTAGTATATCAGTGTCGCAACATGCTGGAGCGTGAAACGAAGTCACTTGGTGTAAGAAGAGAACTACTATAATCATCATCATGGACCGTTCCGCAAAGCCCATCTTCAACTTTGTCAACCTCTCGCATCCCGATGAGCTCAAAGATGAGCAAACCCAGCTTCGCATCCGCCGCCTGGCCATGAGCGAAGTCGGCCGCGCACGACGCAAGCCAAAGACTAAACGCGGAAAGACCGAGATCGTGCTCAAGTTCCGTGAACCAGCGGAAAGCTCTGCTTCAATCGGCCATTTAGGCGCAGGAGACGTCGACCCGTTTGCGCTGTATCCCATCGATCTGGATGAGAAGTCGCGTGCACTCGTGGCGTCCAGTAAGTTCTGACATGCAGCGGTCGCGTAGATTAACAGACAGCAATATCCCGGCCACGCGTGCTGACGTATCCTAGTCTTTCGTGCAAACAGCGCGCATTCTCGACAGCTGAGGGGTGCATGGTGGCCCGTTGGGCTGAGCGGTGTTGCGACTTTCTACAATGTCCTCGCGAATGCGCGGCTGTTCCAGCTCAAGGAGTTGACGGGCGCATTTGTGCAGAAGAGCGACTCGCTAAGCCTGTCTATGCAGAGTCATGCTATTCGTGCGATGAGGGAGCGGATGCAGGATGCGAAGCACCATGCGAGCGATGAGACGATCGGGGCGGTGGGGTCTTTCATGTGTCATTATGTAAGTGGCTATGCTGTTAGGACTTCAGTACTTATTGTGGATAGTACGTGTTGGGCAACTTTGTAGGGTGGGATCACCATCGTGACGCCATTGCGAGGATGGTTGGGATGAGAGGAGGTGTTGACAACATCACCGATGAGTCACTCCGCATCACTATCTCATGGTGAGTTTTCTGTGCATATTCGCGCCAGCTCGAAAACCTTGATTGACGTTCTCTGCAGGGCAGATCTTGTTGGCTCTTTCTCTCAAGACATCCCTTCCATCGTGGCACTACCCGAGCGATGGCAAGCCAGCTCCCGTTCTCCACCAGGATCTCCTCGCCCGCTCAACAATATATCATTACAATGGAAGCAACGCTTCCCAGCTCTCATGGATTGGGTCACCATTTTCGATGATATTGATCAGCTCATCATGCTCGATCGCGGCTTCACAGAGAAGGACAAGCATCTTGCAGAAACAACAGGCTGTTGGATGGAACCCACCATGGTCCGACTTCTCGCCATCAGGCCTCTGAATAACGGTAGCGACGCTGGACATGTCATGGAGGAAGTTTGTCGGTTTGGGACAATGCTTTTCCTGGCACCCATCTGGCGTTGGCTGGGGGCAAGCCCCGTGTGGACTTTCACACTCACACGGAGTCTCATTTCTGTACTTCACGGCTATATGATCGACTGGGGCGAGCTCAAACCGCTGCTGGTGTGGACCGTCTATTTCGCCGCACTCGAGACGCGCGACACGCAAGAGCGGAGTCAATTCGCCTTCATGCTTGCTGTCTTGATGAGTGGAATGAGAGTACGAGAATGGGATGAGCTGATCCAGGTGGTCAAAAGTGTATTATGGGTGGATCGCATATTTTCAAGCAGCGACGAGAGTATCCGCGATGAGGTAGTGAGCATTCTACGCTTGCCAGGAACAGGAGACGTGACTCCGGTGCTGGAGGAGATTGAGGGCGACGAGGCTTAGCCGCTTTAGATAAGAGGATAACCCTTGCACATGCATGATTCGTTCACACAGTAAGCGTGACTGCATTACATCACGCACCCTGGAACCGGCGCACCAACCCACAAATGCGGCACAGCTAATGTATAGTCACTCCACCCGTATCCTACACACAAACGCATGAATAATCACACATTCCGTGGTGAAGCTACTGCAACGTATTCGTAAGCCGGCGCTCCGCTGCCTTGCACCTTGGTCGCAGCCTTGTTTGCAGGCCTGCGGGTTCCCAGGTAGGGAAAGTCTTTTCTAGCTCTCCGCATCGTCTATGGTGCTGGTCGGAACCTTGTAATTAACCCGCTGATGGGTAAGCATCGTCATAAATGGTATGGTCGCTCACGCCGCAGCGCCAAAGAGAAGAGCGGACCAAGTATAAAGCCAGCCTACTCACCATCTTGATAAATCCTGAAATATTCAGCGTTATCTCTCAAGCTCACAGGATCAACCTAAATCTCAAGTGCTCTTCATTGCTTGTGTTTGCATCGCGTTCTCGCCATGGCTGGACAAACCCCTGATCCCGATTACTTCGTCAAGGCACAGCAATTCACCGCGAAAACATACCGCGATGTGTATCCTGCCATCGATCCTACCAGCTCCTCCCTGTCTCAAGCTGGGAAAGTTGTGATCATTACGGGCGCAAGCCAAGGGTTGGGTGCAAAAGTAAGCCGGAGCATATTCTACCGAATGTGCTGTATCGCTTAGGCTGACTTTCGTCTAGGGGTTTGTACAAGCATTCGCAGCAACGGGACCCAAAGCGCTCGTGCTTGTAGCCAGGAACGCAAAGAAACTCGAAGAGGTCGCCGCCAGTGTCAACGAAAAGTTTCCCAATGTCGAGACCTTGATTGTCTCCACAGACGTGGCAGACCCGGAGAGTGTAGCAGCGCTCTTCGAAAAGGTCAAGAGCAAGTACGGTCACGCCGACGTGCTGGTAAACAACGCCGCGGTGTTCAACAGCCTTTCGTCGGTCAAGGATGAGGATCACAAGGTCTGGTGGGGCGACATGGTACGTCAAATCACGACTCGCAAAGGCCGATCTAACACTCACCTCAGACCGTCAACATCTACGGGACCTTCCTCGTAACCCAAGGCTTCCTCAAACTGCTCCCTGAGTCCGCCCCTGCCAAAATCATCACACTTACCACCGGCGCCGCCTACCAAGTCTTCCCCAACCTCTCCAGCTACGGCCTCTCCAAACTAGTCGTGTTCGAGCTTATGGACTACGTCAGGGCCGAGAACCCGAACGTGACGGCGGTTGCGGTGCATCCCGGCATTGTGCCTACTGACATGCTCAAGGACGCCTTTGCGCCGTTCGCTCACGATACGCCGCAGCTGGTGGGCGGACTGGCGACGTGGATTGCTGGCTGGGAGGGCGCAGATCGTGCCTTCTTGAGTGGCAGGTATTTGAGTGCAAACTGGGATGTGGAGGAGTTGGTGAAGAGGAAGGAGGAGATTGTAGAGCAGAATTTGTTGAAGATGGACTTGACTGGAAAGTTTGGCGAGGAACAGTTCAAGTAGGAGTTGTTGTTGATAGCTAATTATTGACAACATAAAGCTTCTGGGGATTGCTCTGTTTGGCCGTCTCAGTTTACTTCCACAGCGTCGCTCGCAGGTAGCTTTCCTGTGCCAATGTTCATACCTGTACCTGTCGTTGGAGTCAAGGGTTCTGCATCGCCAAGTCTTGCGGCTGCGAATCCTGCGCCTCCAGGAGGAGTGTAGCCTGCTTCTAGCAGACGGTCATACGAGCCCTGACGGAGACATGTTGATTCTCTGGTGGTCAATTGCAGCTAGCCCAGAATGGAGGAGTATCCGAAACACAGACGTAGATCTCCACGCCGACAGCCTGAAAAGCCATTCCAAGCCATAATGCTATTCCAAAAGGCGCACCGAGCGCGACCACAAATTCATCTATCCTACGAGAAGTCATACTCGCACGGACTTTTGTCCAATAGTGCTTCCACTGAATTACAATGCACCTACGGCTAGTACTCAAGCATTCCTTTGGCAGATTCCAGCATGATCTCAACGTGCTCGCAGAAACGAGGCTTGAAGTAGTTGCCTTGTCTGCTGACGATCTGTGCTGCAATGAACAGAATAATAGGAGATGCAATTGGTGTTCCCAGCTGCGATGGAAAGATTACGTCTGAAGTGAAGACGTGACCTACCAGGATCCACGCCCTCAGTATCCAAGCACAGTGCTGGTCAATCTGCAGCTTCTTGAAGTTTCACCCCGCAAGCCCTAGCTCAATTGACACGACGAGCGCTAGGAAACCTGCTCCCGTCTGGACGTTCAATTGACCACCTTCCACATGCGTTGCAGTCATCAACGCTCCTATTATAGCCGCGAGTACCAGCAGTATCATAACGTAGTCATTAACGGGATGGATCAAGATCCCCTTGACGGACAATAAAGACAAAGCGGAAACACACGAGGGTGCCCGCTGGAAAGACGCCTAGCATATGCATGCGGATACCGACCTCTGAATGCAGCGATATCCGGTACTAAAGCATTCGCCGGGAAGTGTACTACTAGGCCCGCCGCCGCGCATCTTGCCTTTGGAGTCGAAGAACTGGAGGCGTGCGAGCGAGCACCACAGAAATGCGCCCGCAAATATAGAAACCATCGACTCTGCAGGAGAGTTCCTGGTCTCAATGGTTAGAAGGGCGGGATTTCCACAATGCGAAGTTGTAGCCTTTTGCAACATCAAGATGATGATAGACCTTCCGTGCTGCGACGACAACGCGATTTGCAGCAGGAGACAAGCTTGGAGCCGTATTGGACTTGTCCGAACGTGACTTATAGTATTGAGGAGGCCGGCTGCAATACTGTGTATGAGTTCGAGCAGTCTGGCATCATGGAGACCCATTCCTCTATCATCTTATCGCATGCGGTGAAGCACCTTGTCAATTCGATACTAGGCAGCCATGGGCATCTCGAATTCTCAACCTAATGCTTCGCATGGTTTACAGAGGTTGCTCCGACGGTACTCGAGGTCGGATAGGCAAGTAATTGGTGCGCATATAGATCCGCAATCGTTAGACGGCCAAGAAAATCGGTGAATGCGATGGTTTAGTGAGTCGTGGAGAGTCCACGGGTGTGGCTCCTTTGGGCATGACCGGAACCTTTCGCTGACGCAGAAAGAGTCCTGTAGAAGGCAATTTGAGGCTTTGATTCACGAAATCGCCTTGATAAAGTAGTGAGGAAAGAAATCGACCGCGTTGAGTTGAAGTAATAGTGTGCATTTAGATGCCACATGTGCACTAGTGGGGTTTAGTCATAGCGTCACCTTAGACGGCTAGTGTGGGGATGGAGGCTTACTGACCACCATACATGCACCACCACCTTTCGTGCATCGCGAATCGAGCCTGTAGCTGCTTCGAACATGGTTGGCAGGGCAGGTCGGTCTAAGGGGTGTTTTGATTGCCGTCGGAGGAAGAAGGGGGTAGGTCAAGACTTCGAAGCGGATCCTACATTGGGTCTAGGCATCAGCCGGCGTCTACTCACAGCTAACGAATATCCAGTGCGATCTATCACGGCCACATTGTGACCAATGTATCAAGAGAAAAACTCGATGCACGGGTTACGATGACACCCTGGATGTAGTAGTTTATACCCCCCCAGCTTCCAAATTCATCTACACTCCACCGGCTTCCAAATCACATGCCAGCTTGGAAAGTACCGCTATGCAGATTAAGTATATCGACACTTTCTGGGAGCTTCTGTTACCCACCATGTCCAGAGCATCGCGATCTCCCAATGGAGGTTGGACTCAAGTCATCCGGGACCATTATACGGCTGATGGGCCTTTCAAGAACGCAATGCTTGCGTTGACGCTTTCACGTGTTGGTCAATATAGCGGCAACGCCGATGTCGCAAGATCAGGAGCTATCCATTACACCAACTGCCTCCGGGAAGTTGCTCGTAAGATTGATATACAGAGGGGTGCTTGCAATGATGAACTTCTTGCTGTGTGTATGATCCTGGGTCTTTACGAGGTCATGTGTAGCCCAACAGCGCAGGGAATTAATTGGCAACATCACATATCAGGGGTTGGAATCCTGATGCAGCTTCGTGGGCCTCATGAATTTACCTACGGGATTAGTCATGCTCTTTTCGTCGGTGCGCGCATGGACGTAGTAGGTCTTTTCAAACAAATACCTTGGTGGCCCTTTACTAAAAATGTCCAGATTTTCGGTGCACTTATATCTCGCAAAGCAACATTCCTCGACTCTCACGAATGGACGACCGTACCATGGAGCACTCCTAAGTCCATTTATGACAAGGTGGTCGATCTTTGTGCTCAAGTACCTCGCGTTCTGGAAATGCTTGACCAGCTGCACATAGCAAGACCTCAACCGGCAGCCAATTCAGAGTCGCTGCTGAAGGCTTGCTGGAGGCTCGACAACGAACTCCAAGACTGGTATCGCGAGTTCGTCGCAACCTGCAATGACCTACGCCACATCCATCCGAATCGTTACGCGAGCCGGGCTCCAGACTTCGATCAGCCACTGACTGCAGAGACCGAGATCAACTATGAACATGCGCAGGCACTTTCTGTATATTGGATAGCATGCAGTTTCGTTCATACAATCCTCCGCCTTTTGTGGCAAGCTTGCGACAATCCCGTGTATCTCCTACCGCATCGCATTGATCCGCTTCGGTATGCGAGCCTCATCTCTAAGTCACTGCCTTATTTCTCTGCACCCAGTGCAGGTGAAGGCTCCATGTTATATTACGCCATGAGTATAGGCACTGCGCTTCACTGCTTTTCTGTGTCGAACCAACTCTGCTCGCCAGATGCTTATCGCATAACGAATGGTTTCTATGGTTTAGAGGATCCAACCGGAATCGGAGTCCGAGTAGGACTGTTTTTGAGGACGCTGGCGGCGGCCAGTGTGAAGCCTCATGGCAAATTAGACAAAGCAACTAGGGATGATATAGCGGAGTTCGGAAAAAGATGGTGGGGCGGCGGGAGGGAGAAAGTCACCTTGAGGCCGCGAACGCCGGTAGGGAAAGCAGATAAGATGTGATAACAACAACTTTACTCTACGACCGGCCTTTTCAAGGAGCGGATTGCCATGATTCTGGTATGGAAAGCGAAGACGCATCATAATATCGTCAAGCAGGTACCGACACGCAGTATGGCCACTAGCTTTGTGTCATTAGAGGCTGCAGAAAGAGAACGTAATAGATAAATATATCAGCAACGCCAACCCTATGTACATACTATTCCTAGCACGTCGCCTCGACTCACAGAAAGATTCACGACTACAAGAGCGTTCAGCATCATCTTAGCCGCACGGACGCTCTCTACTCCGCCACCACGCCGACCTTACTCTTCGTACATACTACCTTTGCCAAGGCCTGGATGCTTCCTTGAGCCAACAACTCCAAAACCTGCAAGTTTGCCTCAAACATTCTCGTGATGAAGTTGCGCACTTCGATTGCTGTCAGTGAGTCAAGCGGATAATTACTCAGCGGTCGAGTAACATCCAATTCCTCCTTCTCCATACCAACGACCTCGGCAATCTTCTCTAAAAGCCCATTGCAGACAACCTCCTCAGCTTCGGCGCGAGAGGCCGACGCTGCTGTCTTGAACGCGGCACCCCAGGAGATAGTAACCGGGCCATTGGAAGACATGGCAGCAGCTTCAGCTTCAGCAACGGACAACAAGCGCTTGAACTTTGCATCGGTAGACCAGAAGGGACGCATGGTGGCCGTGATGCGCATGCCAGTGATGGCGTGGTGGTTGCAGGTACTCGCCATTTTGCCGGTGATAGCTGCGCTGATAAGTGCAAGCACTTCGGCCTCGCAAATGGTGTCGCTGCCCAGATTGCGCGCAACTTCCGCAGCCTTTTCGGCATCTTCAGCGAGATAACCGGCATCGGAGACGGCTGTCAGGTCGATAGACGCTGCTGGCTGACCGCGGAATGCACGATACTGGGTAAGACCGTTGAGGAACGTATTTGCGGCCGCATAAGCTGCTTGACCTCTGTTACCTACAGCACCTGCAGCCGAAGAGATGACGATGAAGAAGTCAAGCGGTGATGACGCAAGTGCGTGGTGGAAGTTCCATGCGCCCTTGACCTTCGATTCGATAACGGTGGTATATTGCTCGAAGGTCATCTTTTCGAACAAGACATCCTGGTATATGATCAGTTACAGTCGATTTGGCGGAAAGGATGGTAACTCACGCGCAGAACCATAGCACCGTGGATGATACCTCGGACAGGTGGCAGACCTTCTAGACCCGAGGTCATCAAAGCGTCAACATCCGAGCGATCAGCCACGTTACAGCGCCGGACCACAATATTGGCGCCTGAGGCATTGAGGGCATCGACTTGCTCTTTCGCCTTGCCTTGAACGGCACCACTCCGCGAAAGAAGAACGATATTGCGTGCGCCTTTGGATACCATCCATCTGGCCATGCTACGGCCAAGGCCACCAGTACCACCAATCAAAACATATGTGGCATCGGCATGAAGGATATTCGCTTCTTCCTCAAGACGTGGCACCTGTGACCTGAGTTAGCATGCATGGAAATAAGCCGAAGAAAACACAACGACTTACCAGTACCGCTTCATCCTCACGTGGAACTATAACAGCTTTTCCATGTAGCTCGGCCGAGTGCAGTGCTTGTAGCACAGGCGTAGTCTCCAATATACCATAAGAGACGACGGGATGTATAGGCAACACCTTACCGAACCGCAGAAGCTTAGCAACATCGCTCAACACCCGCTTCAGCTTCTGTGGTCGATCCTGCGCAAGCGCGAATACATCAACACATACAATCGTCGCACTCTTTTCGAAAGCTACATGGGCAAGGTCTTTGCATCCGACGTGAACGAAACGGCCGAACTTGGCCATGCATCGCCATGTCGCGCGGAGAACTTCGACCTCCGACATATCATTGAGGATAACATCCACTCCGAGTCCCTTCGTCGCGTCGAGCAAGAAGTCGGCAAATGAGTCGCTGCCAGCAAAGTAGATGTTGTTGTTGGGAATGTTGTACAGCTGGATCAGAGTGGCCTTCTCCTCGGAGTTCCTCACTGTGGCGAACACCTCTGCGCCGAGCATTTGTGCCACAGAAACAGCGGCTTGTCCCACAGCGGATGCGGCGTGGTGAACTAGAACAGACTCGCCTTCGGAGAGCGAAGCGGTGTCAACCAGGCTGTGGTACGCAGTGCAGTATGCGAGCGGGATCGTTGCCGCCTCTTGGAACGACAGATGATCCGGAAGTTTGACGAGAAACCGGTCGTGGGCACGGGCAACAGTAGACAGTGACCCGTTGGGAGTGATGGCCGCGACACGATCACCAACGCTGACCGAGGAGATACTGGATCCTGCGCGGATTACCACACCGCTGCACTCCATGCCAAGATCGTCGCCGGGAAGGTGGCCCATGGCTGTTTCGGCATCTCGTACGTTGATGCCTACTGCCTTGACCTGGATCTCTACTTCATCATCAGGTAATGGAGCCTGCGCTCTGTGGTCATCTTCGAAGTGCACTGTGTCTAGCGCGCCAGGTGTAGCAATGAACGTTCGCAACGGCCGCTCAGTGTCCGTGAAGTGAGCAGGGGCAGTTGCAGAAGGCTGCACTTGCTGATGAACATATTCGTTCATGTCTGCATCGTTGATTATGCGAGGAGTGAGTAGCAAGCCGCCCCGTTCCATGAACTCGGTCTCCTCAACTTGACGATTGACGCCCAACGATGCTTGGAACACCTTCGATATCGTGCGGACCATGTCTGACTGAGATAACATTGTCTCACCATCCAAGTCCAATGTGATGAAATCCATGAGAGTGCCCTCGGAACGAAGAGTGCGGCTAAACCCGGCAATCATGTTCGCGTCTGGATTCTTAGCGTTCTGGTAGGCGCCTCTGACGACCCAGAGTATGCCTTGTACAGAGGTGAGAAGCTTCTGTAGCGCCTCGAAGTTCTGTTGATCCAATGTCGATAGAACGGTTTGGTCAACCTCGGTGAGGAAGATGCAGATCTTTTTAGTACCATCGACTTGACCCAAGACACCCGTACCGGGCGCTGAACCTGTTACAGTAGCTAGATTTGAAGCCAATTCGCCGACTAGGCTGCGCTGCAGGTCGGTTTCTCCGTGAATAATGACAATTTCAGCATCGAACTGAGCCGGGGTTTCTTCCTTCTGCTCTGCAAAGGCTGGCTCCCACGTCTGCTTGTAGCAGAGCTCTCGAGCGCCGTCAGCCTCGGTGTTAGCATCCTTCTCTAGAATAGGCGCTGTAGTTAGATCTTCGATGGTGATGACAGGCTCGTCCGCATCAATTGTCGCCATGGCGAACATAGAGAGCTTGTTCGATTTGACGTTGCTGAGAATTTCACGAGGCTCACAGAATGCCTGTAATCTCCCTCTATTGCTCTGAAGTGTTGTGGACGCTGTCCCTGACACTGTGACCTTACCAATAGACGAGGGCAGGTGGATGTTGTCTAAGAGACCATTGGTGGAGTTCAGAACCGGCCAGTATGAGGAGATCAGCTGTTCCAATACTGTTGGATGAATAATGTAGTCCGACTCGTAGTGATTTGGCATATCGGTAACAGTGTCAGCTTGCACCAGCTCAGACACAGATCCGCTCTTGGATGCTCGACAATCAGTGAGCCCTTGGAAAGTGTTTCCATAGGATACTCCAATCGCTGACATGCGTTCGTAGAGCGCGTCAGTTGCCACGACGTCTTTAGCGGCTTCCGCAATGCTCAATAACTTGGACCTCAACTTTTGTCTTCGAACATCGACCAGTCGGTTATTGTGAAGGTCATGGGCTTCTACCCGCTTGGTCTTCACAAACCCTGTGCAGTGCTGAGTCCAGCCTTTCGCGGTTGCCCATGATGATATAAAGAACTTAGCTCGCAGTCCTGGGCCCGTTGCGCTTCCTGACTGAGGTCGCAGTGTTATGGTCATCTCCAGGTCATCTTCTGACAATACGATAGGTGTGGCGACATGCAAGTCGCAGACTTCCAAGACGTCAAACTCGATGCTGTCCCAGGACGCCTTCTGCGCCGCAGCCTCCAAGGCCATAGACACAAAACCGGATATCGGGAAGATAGTCAACCCTTGAATTTGGTGATGGCGTAGCCAAGGGAGCTCGTCCAAGCGCACGATATTCCTCCAGGTGGGCTCGGTGTGATTCGAGTACATAGCCAATGCGCCTATAATGTCCGAACGTCGGTCGTTCTGGAATTTATGGATTTCTGTGAACCTAGATTGATGGTAATACTGTGATTGGTGGTTCCATGGATATCGTGGTATGTCAGTGAGCACAGCCGGCGGCTTCGCCATCGTCTTTGGGAAGTTGATCGCACCCATTTCAAGCGCAGCTCCTTTGATCCACAAAGTCCCGGCAAGTGCAAGAGCGGTCTCGAGAGCACTCTTCTTGCGTGCTAAGGCTGATGCATACGCAATCTTGCTCGCGGAGGGTCCAACCTATAAATTTAGTATCTAGTAATCACATGTATTGAGTATGCAGGATACTTACGGCCTTGAGAATTTGTTTGATTGGGCCCGCAAGCGCTGAATGAGGCCCAAGTTCTAACAAAAAATTGACGCCAGTTTGATGGCTATCAGTCGGCTGACACATGCTTTGTACCGCTTCATCGAAACGCACAGGACAGGTCAAGTTTTGTACCCAGTATGTTGCATCAAGTTCTGTAGAATTAGCCAGGCGACCGAGTAACGACGAGTAGAACAGCGTATTCGAGTCCTTAGGCGGCTTGACAAAGCGCAGCGACTCGGTGTAATCCTTCGCTACCAGGTTCATATGATGCGAATGATAAGCAGTGTCAACTTGCAGCTTTCGCGCAAACATTCCTGGATGAACCTAGTAGCGAACACAAGAGTTAGTGTCTCTTACGCAGAAGAAGTCATCCACGGGGAACTTACTTCTTCGATAATTCGTTGAAGCTCAAGAATAGCATCTGTGTCGCCCGATACTGTGACACTGGAAGGACTGTTGATGCAAGCAATCTTGGCCTCACCCGCCGAGCTCGGGATGCGCTCAAGCAGTGGAGCAATGTCTGCTTGCCCAGCACCAACGGCCATCATGCTCCCATCTAGAGTAGGAAACTTCTCCTTCAAAATCGGAATGAGGCGTCCTCTATGATACGCCACAGTCATCGCGTCATCGAAGTCGATGATCCCTGCGGCATAAGCAGCGCCAATCTCTCCGCTAGAGTGGCCTGCAACGGCTGTGGCGTTTATATCCCACGTTCTCAATAAGTCAACCAGCGCCAACTGTACCGCAGTACAGGAAGGCTGGCTCAGATGGGCGCTGTTAATCTTAGTGTCTATCTCGTCCTTGGAGAGCTCCTCGAGCAGCGAGAAAGAAGCCCCAATCGACAGCAAGTGTTTGTCGGCTCGGTCGATTGCTGCTGCGTAAACAGGGTAGCGCTCATAAAGTTCGCGGCCCATGGCCCACCATTGTGCTCCTGTAGGAGTAACATGGTCAGTGGACAGCACTCACAATGCGACGAGAATGTATCTGCTTACCCTGACCCGTGAAAATGAAACCTAAACGAAGCGGCTCCAAGTCTTGTTTCACTGGACGGACTTTGCCGCTCGAGAGTGTTTCCACGAGATCGACAGAGCTTGACGCAGTCACAGCTATACGCCACGGAAGGTGGGTCTTGCGCTGCCCCAAGGTATATGCCAAGTCGCTCAACAAGTCGATCTGGAAGACTTCGGGGCGCTGTTCAAGATATATTCCATAATTCTTCATCACTTGTTCAGCCGTGACTTTGTCGTTCCCACTCAACAAGAACAACCTGTCGAATACCTGCGTGTCGATCTCCTCTTTCATGGTCTTTCTCTCGAGCGGACCTTTGGTCAAAACAACATGAGCATTAGTACCACCAAAGCCAAAGCCATTGACACTCGCCCAGCGCTTGCCGATTGGCCAAGGTCGTTGATTGGTCGGCACTTTCAGCCCCCATTCGTCGAACGGGATTTTCTCATTGGGCTGTTCGAAGTCGTAGTTTGGCAGAATGAAACCACGTTCGAGCATGAGAGCTGTTTTGATGACGCCCGCAATGCCAGCGGCCGCTTCCAAGTGCCCAATATTTGACTTCACCGAGCCGATGAACAGTGGTTTTCGTTTCGTGCGACCCTCCCCAAAAACGGCACGTAGCGCGCCGACTTCGATCGGATCACCAACTCTTGTTCCGGTGCCGTGGGCCTCAACGTATCCCGTATCTGCAGGATCCATGCCGCCATTCTTGTAGACGGATCGTATCAGCGATTCTGAGAACCGTCAGCTTAGATCTACCATGCGTCACACTCTCATACCTTGTGCAGAACCATTCGGCATGGTGATACCTGGAGTTCTTCCATCCTGGTTTATACCGCTGCCAGTGATCACAGCTCGGATTGGGTCGTTGTCTTTTAGTGCCTGTTCTAGCGTCTTGAGGACTATGACGCCACATCCCTCGCCGCGGCCATAGCCGGTGCCTCTTTGATCGAAGGCGAAGGACCTACCGGCTTCACCAAAGAGCCTATAGCTAAGATAAGTAACTATACTGGCGGCATCATTTGAAGAGGTACCTTGACATGGAATACGAGATCCAGAACTCAGGTAACATGTTGAGATGAACCCCTCCCACAATGGCAGAGCTTGACTCGCCATTTCGCACACTTTGGCAGGCCACATGTAATGCCACCATACTGCTAGAGCAGGCAGTGTCTACCGTGAATGACGGTCCTCTCAGATCAAAAAAATGTGAGATACGATTCGACTGCATGGCGAACGCGCACCCTAAAGAGGTCAGCAGCTGTTTCAAAGGACACAATTAAGCGTACTGACCTGTTGCCTGATGCATTGGGATCGTCTCTGGATCTCTAAAAAGATCCGCCTCGTATTCAGAGAACGTGCCGCCAACGAAGCAGCCAACATCTTGGCCTACAATACTGTGCTTGGGTATACCAGCGCTCTCGAGAGCCTCAAACGTGCACTCCAGAAGGAGTCTTTGCTGTGGATCTAGACTGGTGGCCTCCTGAGCTGTGAAGCTGAAGAATGGAGCGTCGAAGGATTTAAGGTCTGCCTGTAGAAAATTGCCACCGTGTGCGTTTGTTGTACCGCTCTTTCCAGGATTTGGATGAACAAAACGGTTGCTATCGAAGCGGCCTTTGGGAATTTCAGAGAAGCCGGTTCGGGCACGTGCGCACAGCTCCCAGAACTCATCAGGTGTCGACACGTTACCAGGGAAGCGACACGCCATGCCAACGATGGCAACTGGCTGGTGTTGCAGTTCGATGTGACTCTTGGTGTATCCTTCGGTGTAGCCATCCGTGTATCCATTTGTATATGCAGTCTCGTAAGGAACCGCCGGTGCAGTTTCCAACGTCAATTGGGGAGCCTGCGGATTTCGGCCGTCCGATGGCGGGATACCATTCTGGGGAGTTTCGTGATGACCATTTGCAGCTCCATTAGAGCGGCCGTTGGCCAGCCCTACAATTGATGATTCGTGTTGGTCGCCGTTTGCATGCCCATTGACTTCTCCATCCGAGAGACTCCCCCTCTCAGATGTAGGGGTAAGAGCGTACGGCGCCATGACCCGCTGCGATGAGGGTAGCGCCTGTAAAAGTAAGTCATATGTTTCGAAACAGTATGCCTCTGCATTGAAAGCTTGGTACTCACTGGTTAAGAACTTGGCTTTGAACACTGCACAAACGAATCGACAAGCTCAGTCTTCTACATCTAGACTTACAGCCCTGAAAGACGATCGCCTGGTTGCGAAGAAAGAACAAGATCTGGTATGCTCCTTAGTAGCGCTGGTGTCACTGCACTCTGAACTTATTTTCGGGACGTCTACGTCGCAAGCCGGACCATGAGCTTGTGATTCCGGGATTAGCCGGTTGGGGTGCGCGTCATTGGCATGCATTCTTCAACTTCTACCCCAAAATTCATGTGTGGGGGTCATATGGATGATTGAGATAGAGCCCAAAGCACACTGGTATCGGAAACGATTCTCCTTCTCCCCGCAGTGAAATTGGAGAAGCCGGTGGTCGTCATGCTGATCATCTACTCGCAACTGCTGCAAAGTGCATGTCCTACCGATTCTAGATGCCGCCGCAGCGCATCGCAAGAGGCGATATGAGGGTCAAGCTCTAGAACTAAACAAACCGGGTGGACGCTACAGGAACAGGCAAGGAGCCCGGTTTCGACCCCAATGGGTAACCCCAGCAGGGCGATCTATCACTGGAATTGTTCGGGGTAGCGGATCGACGTTGCATACGGACGCGCTGGATGAAAATGTTGGGTGGATATGAGAGAATATGGATCCCTAGATAAGAAAGATTGCAACATTGGACGACGCGACGTCAAGTGTGACCCAGGCTCCTTTCCTGCCTCAGGTACCCCTGCCTAGCGTCTCTTTAGGTAATCGATCCAGACTTGGCAAGATCTGCATCCGCGGCTGCACGTAACTTCACCCAACCAGACGAGTATCTCGACGTGCTTGTGTGGCACAAGCATTGACAGGGGGCTATAGCACGTCGTTCGGCTGAAATCCTCCGGCGCGTGGCTTAACGGCCACTTGCCGCCTATTCTCTCCGGCCAGCACAATGTTTATTACCCTGTGAACGGGTTTCCCCTTCGGCACTTTGCGCTCGTGATCATGGACGGACATACACCCAACCTATTGGATTTCCGCTGCATTTCTTCACCCCTGCGCCGATGCTATCCTTTCTCAATCATTGCACCCCGCCCTGTAAATGCCTTCCGTCGAACCTAATTGCTACTCCGACCTCTCCCTTGCACCGCCAAGGCCCATGTCAGTGTTTCAATTGCGTACCTACGGCATGCGCGGGCCTCCTGTACCGGGGCGCGCCACGTTTGAGAGAGAGAATCTTTGAACTCTGAGCTCATCTCTTCTCCAAGTTTCCAGCGATTCAGTATCCCAGAACCAAGCATTTTCGCACCTGAGTTTGTTCTTGCACTATGCGACTCTTGTGTTTGCCCGGCGCCTATGGCAGCATCGAGGTAGGGCAAGCCTGAGTCATTTTCGAATGCTTCTAAGATTGATTGACATCTCCTAGAAATTCAAAGTCCAACTTGCACCTCTGGTTAAGGAGCTACAAGATGACAAGACTGCCGAGTTCCATTTCATCCAAGGACCATACGAGGTAGCACCGCCAGAAGGCTACGAGGAATTCTTCGGAGGGCCACCGTACTTCCGCTTCATTGTGCCTGAGGGCGAAGAGGCCGAGAAGGTGGACGTTATCGAGCGCATCAGAGACTTCCCACAGCTAGAGACTCCGGAGATGACAATGCGCGAGCTTATGACTTATGGTGTGGCGAGAACCGACAAGAGTGCTGCGAATACTCTCCAGTACTTGTACGATCTCATGGAGAAGGAGGGTCCGTTCGATGGGATAGTGGGCTACTCCGAGGGCGCAACGATTGCTGGTACACTTCTGTTGCACGAGCAGCTCATGCAAGAAAACCATGGTAGGATGCCCATGTTCAAGTTCGCATTGTTCTTTGGCGGTTGGCCCCCTATGAAACCAACCTTGGATGGCATTGTACTCGCTGACGAGAGCGATTTGATGATTGACATTCCGACATGCCACATCAGTAAGTCCCACTCCCGTTGTCTCCATCAATGGAAGCGAAGCTCATCATGCTATGTTACACAGTTGGCTCGCTCGATCCTTATCTGCACGGAAATATGGCTCTGTATAATGTGTGTGATCCTGATTCTGCATACATATTTGATCACGCCAAGGGACACACACTTCCGCGTGATAAACACATGGTGAAAGAACTGGGAGATATTGTGAGGCGGATGATCGATGAGGCCAACGGTGGTGTTTCGCCGGTGTGATTGCAATGTAGATATCGAGTGATAGACTTCACGTGCGCTTTCGAAGAACCACCCATGTTTTATTACAAGGAATGTGGTTCAAGGGATGTTTGTGTTACAGTGCCCGAGCTTCAGCGTGCAGCGGGTACGCCATCTGTTTCTGCCATTCTTCTGTGCATCTTCCATCTCGACCCGATTTCATATGCTTATGCGCCGGGTAAAACGAGTATCATCTCGGTCCATCATCTGGGGATAGAGGCCTGCGTCGGCGCAATCTACCATATCGAGCGAAGTCCACAGGGGTCTCTATCAGTCTCATCCGTTGGCCAGCACACTTGCAAGTGTTCGATCCTAGAGATACACTCACTCGCAGACTAACAATGTCGCAGCCCAGTGGCAGCAAGGCGGCTGAGGCCCCGACGATGTCCACCTTTCGTGCAAGATGGTCGCTGTGGTGTGTCTCCTTCAGGAAGAATGCTAAACTTATCATTGTAAGTCGACGGGAGATGTAGATGTTCAGCCTGGTATTGACTGGTTACAGAGAGTCCTCTCGTATGCGTCACGCAAGGACAAGTTCTTTCTTGGCGCATCAGTTGTTGCGTCCGTTTTAGCTGGGGGTACGTGAACCTAAGGTACAAGTTCTGGATAACTATCGTTCGAATTATTCGAATGTTAGTTAAATGAACAGTAGCTGTCTTCCTTTCCGTCCTTACAAAATTATTTACTAAATTGGACCTTTCAATAAAAAATAGGCACCCTTCCGCTTATGAACATCATATTCGGTGAGTTATCCGATTGTTGACACTAAGTATCCACGAAGTTGTATCATTCATTTCGGTAACACGTGACCGAATACGTTCAAACATCGCGGATGAACACTCTGACACGCGCCAGCGCAACTCGTCAAAACGTTTACATCGTTTGGGGCGACACCCACCGAAGATGGCTCACGTCAGTTCATGCGTTCAATCAACCAATATGTGTGAGTACGCCTGTATATGACACGACGCTCGTCTCTCGGCACCACATGGATCGTTGCCTGCGGTAATTACTACGAATCGACCAAACGCTGACGTGCATAAAGACTTTACACTGTATACTTGTTCTTTGCAAGACTGGTGCTGGCGTACATCGCAATGGTACGTACTCAGGGCTTCTCGTTCAGATGATCCTATTACAACAGCGCATAAACTGCTCCCCTTATGATCCACAGTTACGCTCGTTATGTGGAGTCGATGAGCTGCTTGCATCTTTATACTAACCATGGTAAGCTCGGATTCCGCATGTGCAGCCTCCGGCTATCAGCAGCAATACGTCTGTCCTACATGGAGGCTCTGTTTCAGCAGCCCATCTCTGTTCTTGACGCGCTTCCCCCTGGCCAGACTGCTGCAATCATCACCATCACCGCCAATGTCCTTCAGAATGGTATCTCAGAGCGTCTAGCCACTTTTATCCAAGCTATTTCCGTAATCGTCACAGCTTCGATCATCGCGTGTTACTACAGCTGGAGCCTCACTTTGGTTACTAGCTCAGGTCTCGCTGTCATCACATTCTGTTATGCATTCATGACCCCGATTGTTGTCAAGAAATACCAGCAGATTCAAGACGTTGAGAAAGAAGCTTCCGGGGTTGCTAATGATGCATTTCTCTCGGTCAGAATGGTCGCCGCCTGCGGTGCCGAAGGAAAGGTCGTGGAGAGCTATAACCGCCTTGTGGAGAAAGCCGCTGCTCATGGACACAAAATGTCTCCGATCGCGGCGTGGCAGCACTCGCCTGTTTTCTTCTGCATCTTCGCCACTTTCGCGTTGTGCTTCTGGTTCGCGGTCAAGCTCTACTTGGGTTTTCACTTCTCCAATGTGAAGACACTCGTCATCGTGTTGATGTCAGTAATGACTATCCTTTCTCACATCACCGCGATTGCTGTTCCATTAATGGCTGCGTCACACGCTCTAAACGCAGCGGCTATCTTCTTTGCTGTCATAGATGCACCGAAGCCCAAGACTGGCGGGAAGACCCATCCAGAAGTCAAAATGGATGATGGTATTGTGCTTGAGAAGGTCAACTTTGCGTACCCGACCAGACCAGATGTCAAAGTCCTTAATGGGCTCGATTTGAAGATACCATATGGAAAGACCACGGCTATTGTAGGTCCATCGGGCTCAGGTAAAAGCACAGTGGTTGGTCTACTTCAGCGATGGTACCAGCTAGACGGAGACATGTCCACGAACCCTTTGGTAGGTTACCACGGATTCTTCGCGCACTTATACGTAGCTGATATGCAAAGACACTATACTTCCGCAATGGAAGTATCAAAACCGAAGGCCTGAACATCCATGACATCGAGCTTACATGGTGGAGGTCACAGATTGGGCTCGTCCAGCAGGATCCTTTCCTTTTCAACGACACCATACTCAAGAATCTCGAACTTGGGCTAGTGGGCACTGAATGGGAGCATGTAGAGACAAAGGAGAAGCGGCGACTGATCGAGCAGGCATGCATAGAAGCGTATGCACATGATTTCATCACTGCGCTACCCGAGGTAAGTACAATTAACGGATACCCCATGCTTTCAGTACTGAAATTTCAAGGGTTATGAAACCCAAGTGGGAGACAACGGCATCAAGCTTAGTGGCGGCCAACGACAAAGAATAGCCATTGCACGGAGCATCGTCAAGAACCCGAAGATATTAATATTTGATGAAGCCACCAGCGCACTGGACGTGGCAAGTGAACGTATCGTTCAGGAAGCTCTGGACAAGGTGGCGCATAATCGGACTACAATCGTTATCGCGCATCGTCTGTCGACAATTCAAAGAGCGGACAACATTGTTGTTCTGGCGAAGGGAAAGGTCATTCAACAAGGGGACCACAACACCCTCCTTGCAGACAAGGGCGGCGCATATTGGAAGCTTGTACATGCGCAACAGCTCGTGCAAGAAACGAAGACAAATCCAAGCCTTCCAGCTTGGGAAAGATTTCTTTCTGAGAAACGATTGTCTGTCCGCACTAGCATTGTCTCCGAGATGGAGATGTTGACACCTATGGAACTATTAATGTTCTCCACGGAGGATAATACTACCAAAGGCAACAATGATAGTTTCTTTCGGAGCTTCGGAACACTGATGATGGAACAAAAGAACAACCTGGGATGGTACTTAGTGATGCTCCTGACGGCAGCCGGTGCTGGTTGTGAGTACTCCATCTTGCCCACTGGAAATGAGACTAACTAGGTATCACAGCCAGCTATGCCATACAATCGTATCTGTTTGCACGATTGATTACCTCTTTTGGTTTCTGGGGAGATTACCTTCGCAGATCCACCAACTTCCTTTGCTTGATGCTCTTTATTGTAGCCATTGGGGTCGGTCTTTGCTATTTCATTCTCGGCTGGGTATCCAACATGGTATCCACGGTAAGTCCGGAAAACAAAGGGTAAGGCCACCACTAATGGACTTGCAGGAAACTAAGTCGCTATATCGCAAGGAGTACTTCCGCAATATCATTGCGAAACCAATCTGCTTCTTCGACAAGGAGGAAAACTCAGCTGGTACCCTTACAGCAAGGTTGGCAACTGACCCCACCCAGCTGCAGCAACTTCTAGGCATGAATATGGCCATGGTGTTCATCTCAATCTTCAACGTCATAGGGTGCACGTCAATCTCGATATATTTCGGTTGGAAGTTTGCGCTGGTTATCATCGCAGGGTCCATGCCAATCATACTTGGGAGTGGCTACTACCGAGTTCGCCACGAGGTCAAGTTTGAGTCTCGAAACAACGAAGTCTTCGCCGAAAGCGCGAAGTTTGCGACAGAAGCTATTCGTGCCATCCGTACAGTTGCCGCTCTCACTCTAGAAAAGACCATCTGCTCAAGGTATGAAGCCCTGTTGAACGATCACATCAAGAAGTCGTTTACCGAAGCACGCTTTTCGATGATCCTGTTCGCTGCTAGCGATAGCCTGGTCTTGCTGTGCATGGCCTTCGCGCTATGGTACGGTGGGACGCTACTGTCCACGTTTGAGTACCACCCTTTCAACTTCTTCGTCATTTACTACGCTATATTACAGGTAGGTGATTATCCTGTCATATGTCTACTGTTGCTGAAAGCTTACAGGGCAGTATGGCAGCTGGCCAGTGGCTCAGCTTTGGCCCGAGTAAGCAACCTTCATCTCGATTGCCGCGCCGGCTTCTGACATCCCGTAGATATTGCACAAGTAACTGCGGCAGCTACGAGGATCCACAGCATGAGAACCGGAGCACCTCATCCCCACTCCAGAGCCTCCACACGCCCCACACGACCAGATACAGCTGTTTCCAGCCGTTATATGATCCCACTTACGACAATACAAAAGGGAGCCGATATCTCTTTTCGAGACGTCTGGTTCACCTACCCAACTCGACCCAATCCGGTCTTGAAAGGACTCAACTTCACCATCCGTCATGGCCAATTCGCTGCTTTTGTCGGACCTTCTGGCTCTGGAAAGACAACTATCGTCTCTCTGCTCGAGCGCTTTTACGAAGCTCAATGTGGAAGCATACTGTACAACTCGGACGATATTAGGTTTATCTCTCTACGAAGGCATCGTGAGCAGTTGTCTCTCGTAGCGCAGGAGGCATCACTATTCCGGGGAACAGTTCGCTCAAACATCCTTCTAGGTGTCGATGAGCGAAAAGTCACAGATGATATGCTTCACAGTGCCTGTCGCGACGCAGGCATCCACGATTTCATCGCATCGCTTCCACAAGGTTATGAGACCGACGTGGGTACCAGTGGTGTTGCCCTTAGCGGAGGACAGAAACAACGCTTGTCAATTGCTCGTGCACTGATCCGAGATCCAAGCGTTCTGCTCCTCGACGAAGCAACGAGCAGCTTGGACTCAGAAACTGAGAGAGAAGTACAAGAAGTCTTTGAGAGAACCGCAAGTGGAAGAACGATGGTAGTTGTTGCACATCGGCTTGCGACTGTGCAGAGGGCCGACGTGATATTTGTCATGCAAGACGGCAGGATAGTAGAGCGCGGAGATCATCAGAGCCTACTCGCTGCTCGAGGATGGTACTGGCAGATGGTAAGTCTTCAATCACTTGAGCTATTTTCACCGTACTCATATTATCGCAGTGTCAAGCCCAGGCTACGCTTTGAACTACTTCATTTTCATTGGTTCAAGTATTGTATTGCCTTTGCGTTCGTCTGAAAGAGCCTCGCAGCGATTGTTTGCCAAGAATATCTGGAACGCTGTCACATGTAACGAATTCTTGGAATGCTACCCCTGCTTTGGAACCTCGTTGTAAGGGATCAAGAAACGCATATCCTTCCCCAGATCCGGGAAATATGGTCCCTTGTCCCCCTTCTGGTCGAAATGAAGCATCGCCAGTTCTCGCGGCTTGAATACCCCGACGACCGATAACGTACGAAGGTACTTATTGATGTAACGCGGCTCTTCGGTAAAATGCAAGTCCCGTTATCGACTGCCTCCAATTCACCCCACATTTCGCAGGGGCCCCACTGGGGAACCCCAATTAGCCAATCCTTACCGCAATTTTGGTATAAACCCCCCCGTCAAATTCTTTGATTTCCGCCAATTTAGCAGTTCATCAATTAGGTCTAGGCCATGTTTGTTCCCTGGAGCTCGACGCGTCGCGTCTCGTCTGTGCCATCGTGCTTCCACAACCTTCCCGACTCCCCTATCCGATATGTACGAATTACCCAGCACAATACTGCCAGTCGATACGCTTCGTGTGATGACTTGGGGAGGATATCCAAACTTCACCTTATCGCACATTATTAACCTTACTTTTAGCCTACGCCATTCAGATTGCGCACGTATATCAATACTCCTTAACAGCTTCATCTGTCACCTCTCTGTCACAAAATTTCCTGGTCTTCGGATACCATGTGGGCCCCGCTGACGAGGCAGCTCCCAGCGCTGCTCACGCTCGTTGTACCTCTCGCGCAACTGCCGCTCTCTTCAGCGGCCCCGAACTGTCCACTGATCGGTCCAGAGTTTCCAGCACCCTACAACCTTGAATCACATCCAATTTGGAAGGCGGCTGTTCAAAACATCACCAATGTCTTCCAGTACATCGACGACACCAATCTCACTGGAGTAGACCTGTTTTCCTATTCATTGCAGATATTCTCAACAAACCCAGGGTCTCCTATTCTTTGGGAGAGACATCGGACGGCGAAGGATTTACCGACCAACACTACTGGTGTGAAGAAGGTAGATGGTAACACTGTGTATCGCCTGGGCAGTGTAACAAAAGTGTTCACCGTGCTCACATTCTTGGCTGAGGCTGGTGATGTTTACTGGAACACCCCCATCACCAAGTTCATACCCGAGCTAGCCAAGTTTGAAGGTCGCTCGAGCCAGCCAGACTTTGATCCAGTTAGAGAGACTGATTGGGACGACATTACCATTGGATCCTTAGCCAGCCAGGTGTCTGGTCTTGGACGTGATTGTAGGCTATCCTCTTACTGATCGCGTCATAAACTGGGTCGTACTGACCTTTACATAGATGGAGTCCTTGGAGAGATTACAGAGACAGAAGATGCGCCGCCAGCATGGCAAGTTGGGCTTCCAGAGCTCTCCAATTCATCACTACCGCCATGCGGAGCATGGCCTCTTTGCACAAGAGAACGTAAGAGCTCCCTCTTAGTTGTTCCTCAGCTAAAATGATGAATACTAACAATTGCAGAATTCTTCAAAGGTCTGGATATCATGTACCCGTCCTACGCACCATGGCAGACTCCAACGTACTCCAACGTAGCTTACCAGCTTTTGGCTTACGCACTGGAAAGAATAACGGGAAAGAACTTCACGGACAGTCTCAACGACCGTATCATCAAGCCTCTGGGCCTCAATCGTACCTTCTACGACACGCCACCGGACAAGTACGGAGTCATTCCAGGAACAGTGAAGGATACCTACTGGGCTGTCAGTCTTGGTCAGGCTTCACCGTAAGTTGAGCTTCAGCTACTGCCGGCGCAGAAAACTAATCCTCCACAGTGGTGGTAATATGTATGCGTCCGCATCCGATCTGTCCAAGCTTGGTCGTGCTATACTGTCTTCAAAGCTAATCAAGCCCGCCTTGACTCGTCGCTGGCTCAATCCTGTCACCTTTGCCTCTGATTTCCTCGCATCTGTCAGCAGTCCATGGGGAGTTCGCCGGATTCAACTCGACAGGATCAGTCAGCCTCATCGAACATTGACTGTCTACACCAAAGCTGGCACATTCAAGCGATATACGGCTTTCATCACTCTTCTCAAGGACTACAACTTGGGGTTCACCATCATGATGGCGGGCAACCCACCTCTGAGCAATTTCTACGGTGCAGATCTTCTTGGACAGAGTCTCATTCCTGCATACGATGCCGTGGCAAGAGATGAAGCAGACAGAACGTTCAGCGGCACCTACGTGCAGCGCGGTGGTGTCAATGGTACACGGAACTCAAGCATCAGCATATCCACATCAGCCAGCAAGCCTGGCCTCGGTATCTCAAGATGGATCTCTAACGGAACGGACATGCTTAGCATGGCGCTGGTGCTCCAATCAGGAATGCCTGCAAACCAGCTCAGGAACCCCGAAGCACGCCTGTACTACACTCTGCTTGACAGCAAGACGGCCAATGGCACGCGTCAATCGTTCAAAGCTGTATTTGAGGATACAGGAGGCCCGGCAGTTGGACAGCAACTTTGGAGCACCGACTGCGGAGCATGGGTTGGCGTCACTGGTGTCACTTATGGCAGTATGCCGTTGGATGAGTTCATCTTTGAGCGAGATGCGAGTGGTAACGTGATCAGTGTGGAGAATCTGGCATTACGAGCCAAGTATTGGAAAGTCAACCAAGAGGCTACCGGGCCTTCTGGAGGTTGGGCATGGGATGGAGGGAGGTGGAAGGTAGCGAGGAGGTAAAAGGTTGGATGATTTTTGTTCTGTATATGTTTCTTGGCTCTTCGCCTGTACATACAACAAGTCATTCTTTCGATGTGTTTCGACTTTACCTATCGACTTTCTGGATAGTAGTCTGGTCATTGCTGTTATCGCTCCACGCAGTTGCCATGTGATGCTATATTGCCACAGCCTCTACGACCCATCCTGCGTGATCAGGCTACCCGGTATTCCGCTTGATCGTCCGCAGTGGTTCGCTTCGATTTCCACATGTTCATCGGGCTCATGAATCCCGAAGGCCCGTTCGAAAGCGGAGTGTGTTCGCTGTGGGTATTCAGGCCGGGAGGTGTGCTGCGATACCAGGATATCACGGTCAAGCCAAAGGCGTATTTGGCAATAATACGACAATCAAAAAGCCATCCATGGTTTAGTGGCAGCATTGTTTCGATAGTTTTCCGCTGATAAGGCATTTATGGCATCTCGATGGCTTTCGCTGCCTTGACTTGCACTTAGTCGCGCCACTTTGCTCTTTGGTACCGATAACTGCATTTGCTTCTAGCACGACGAAAGAAGAGATCAGTCGTCTGGCTCAGATGATGTTATCAAATCCCCGCAGTCCTTGAAGACTGAGAATTTTAGGTAAAAGACATCTCTACTAGCTCCTCTTTTGGCCGTAGCGGCCGGATGCGTATAATTACGGCTTATGTGCGCGGGCTGGCGACCACCGTGAAATCCAGCTACACAGTTCTGCAAAATTAGTCTCATAAGCTCAGCAGCTGTATCAGGTAGAAGTACGTGGCTTCGTTTCTGAGAGAGATTGTATCAACTTCAAACATTTCAACCTCTGTAAGCTACTTGCAACCCATCTGAACTTCGCAATTACGAAATACACGTCGTAAAAGCAACCTAGGATTCAGGAGGTTGGCCTCGCACCTTTTTTTTTTTTTTTTTTTTGCTGGCATTTCTCGAACGGGCTCACCGGTATATTGAAGTCTTGGATGGTTTTGGGAAAGGCTGACGGTGAGCTGGGGCTTCTGAGGGTTATATAAAAGCTCAGGAGGTGCATCCGCAAATTCCTCATTCCCTACCATGCACAATCTCTACAACCAATCCTTGTTTACTCGATCTATATCTCCATCCCTCACAATGCGGTTACCACTGAGCACCACCCTCACCGCTATCTTTCAAACAAACCATCAGCGGCGATTGACCTGCCGAGCCAGCAACCAACAGCTACTTCATCAATCACGCGTCTGTCACCGTTTCCAGCATCACTGCAACTAAAAGCACTGTTATAGGCATGAAACACATGCTTACCCTCAAAATGTCCGACAAGTATATGATCATGTACATGGGGCATGCACAGGGTGGAAGAGATGACAAAGGATTCCAGGATGGTGCAGAGTTCGCCCGGGACAAGAACAACCATCCAGTTTTGGTAGAGTTAGTTGAGCAACAGGTATCTCAGTTCCCTTTCGTAAATCATATTTTAATTTGTCGGTGTTATAAGAAGCTACTTATTTGGTGCTTGGCAGCGTTTACCGCGAAAGTTCGTTCCTGGCCCGTCGAACACGTTCAGCCACTTTGGTCTGATCGTCGACGATTTGGCTGCTGCTCAACACCGCTTTGACAGCCCCGGTGTTGACATTATCAAATGTGCTGGCGGGTTTAATTTCTCTCCAGAGACGCGCAGTCCTGTTCTTGCCGCCGCGTGGGCGTTCGACGATCTCGTTTCCGAACAGACGCAGGCTGCATCCAAGGCGGTCTTGCCAGCGCTGATGACGATTGAATTCAAGAACTTTGGTATTGTCGCTAATCCCGATAGTAGTCTGTTTGAGGCACAGCAGTTTGTTTCTGATGCGCTCTAACTGAACATATCCCGAGTGTCTTGTTGGCAAATAGTCACATCTAGACTACGATCAGATGGTAATGAGTTTGGATATATCAAGCGATATCTCATGTGTAGATAGCAATTAGAGATAACATCTTCTTTAGCTACTTAGTAGAGATCTCTGCCAATGTAGCTAACCATTATCATGTCTGTTATCACACAATGCATTCCGACTTTGTAGCTGAGATAATTTGTCTTCATAACCGGCCAGGGATCCAAACGTTCCCGCGGTCTTTCCCAGCAACGGTCAACCTAGAGCGATTACCCATGGCAACAAAATGCCAGGCCCGATAACCATTTCTGATGCTCCTGGCCGTCTTATCATTGCAAACCCAGCTGACAAGGTGATCATCGACCCTGGTACCACGCCCGGACCTGACGACGGTCCAGTTGTAATCTTAGGCAAAACTGTCAGCGCAGCACCCACAGGCATCGTCGTAGTCAATCCCACAGCCACGAGGACCCCTCTCAACTGCTAGGCCAGGCGGAGTCTTCATCACAGCGAGCGATTCAACGGTCGTAGCAGCAGGCCCCTCGGATATCCTCGTAGTACCCGGGACAAAATTGCGACCTAGGGACGCTCCTGTTACAGTCGATGGCACGACTGTCAGCGTCGAACTCAGCGGCGTCGTACTCGTAGGTCCCGATGACATCAGTGGCACGGTGGCTCTGTCGACGGGAGGCCCAGGAAGGAGTTCAGTGACGGGTAGATTGGCCCATGGAAATGTGCTCACTGCGACGAGCGCGGATGGACATTTCGTGAGCATTGGTGTAATATTGACTTCAGGAGGTCCAGCTCAGACACTGTCTGGTGCCCAAGCGGTGAGTCTAGAGCCATTAGGTACCGTTGTGGAGACTGGGACAGCAGCGAACACTGCGGTGTTTGTGAATCCGACTTCGACAGATGCGGATAGTGCTGGTGGAACTGGAAAACCTGGAGCAACTAGCGGTTTCGAATTCAAGTAGGAATACGTAGTGTTGGGGATGTTGACTATAGCTGTGATGATAACAATGTGCCATAGGTAATGTGAGAAAACTTTGTGCGCTATGTTTGGTCTATGATAAACTGACAAAGATGTAATGTACGGATGACTTAATTGCGCGTACAACTTCTCTTCTCTTTGCTTCCTGACTAGAGCGACCTCTCAATTTCGGCCAGTTCAGCCATTACCTTCTTCACGTTGTCTTTCACTGCGTCCCCAACAGGCAGATACGGCCTCCTCGGCAGGAGTTTCTCCTCCGCGCCCTGAATACCTGCATCCACGGCGCTAAACTGACTGACCGCATATTTCGTGCTCGCAATTCCTGCCTTTACAGGACTTTCCGCTAATGCCGCCTTCTTGTGCAGCTTCAGCGCCTCTTCCACCTTTCCTGCAACATACAGATCGTACACCCTCTTGATTGTCTTCGGAAAGACATTGGAGAACGCCGCGACACACCCCTGACTACCAACCGCGAGCCCCCCAATCAAGAAATCAGACTGTCCTCCAAACGTTGTGAACTCCTCTGGCGACAGCTCAGCCGTAAGTCTGGTAATCTTGGCCACACTTCCGCACGTGAGTTTTACGCCTACGACCTTCCCAGGATTCCTCTTTGCGATCCCTGCAATCGTCACGCTATCCAAATCCACGCCGTTGCACTGCCCTGGGAAATTGTAAATTACAATAGGCAGATCGGTGCCCTGCGCGACCTCGTCGAAGAAAGCATTGACTACCTCTTTGCTGGTAGCACCGCCATAATAACTCGCAGGGAGAAGAAGACCAAAGTCTGCGCCCGCAGCCTTAGCGTCCTGTGCATACTCTAGGGTCTGGATGGTCGAGTAACCCGAGATGCCCACGATAAGTGGGTACGAGGGGCCGACTGCGGAGCGAGCGGCCTTGACTAGGGAGATGCGTTCTTCGCGGGTGAGGAGGAAGGCTTCGGCGTTGGAGCCGAGAATAACGAGACCGGTGACGTGTTTGGAGAGATAGTTGAAGTACTGTTTCTGGGCTTCGAGGTCGATGCTTCCTGTTGTAGGGTCGAAGAAGGTTACAGCCGGGGTCCAGACCCCTGCTTGAGGAATTTTGATGGCCATGTTGAGTGGTTTAAGTGTAGCAGTGTCCTTCAGGAGCGTGATTGAAGAAGCAGTTGCGGCGAATCTGGAAGTCAAAGGAGCGTATTGGATAAAGCGAGTGTGAAATGCTGCATGTTGTTGGTGTTGGGAAAGCTGCCCCTCCACCCCACCTTCCTGTGATGTTGTATTGGCGGATATTGACGGAACGTCTACCGTAGCGTGTCTATCTGGCGGCAGTGGTTCCGAAATACGTATCGTAAAACATGCCTGCGCATGGTATAGCCTTGTAAGTTCAGCAATGTAGAAAACCCAGGCTGGACAGCGTCACAAATAGCACAGTTTGAGGAGGTGACGATATGATATTGAAAGTTCCTCGAATTTATATCGTATAGGAGAAACAAATTTGGGCTTCAAGAGAAGGTCAGTCTTGTAAGCAGCGCGCCCCAAGCCTCTATATGCCCAGGTATGAGCGCGCAAGGCATCGGTATGCAAATCGTACAAGAGCCCAGCAAACGTAATCGTACAAGAAATGCAAAGACCGATGCTGGGTAGCACCGCGATAGGCGATCGAGTGGGGACAAATGTCTACTTTTTGGTACGGGGTCGTTCAGGCTGAGGTATCTAAAGTTACTGTACGAAATTGGTCCAGTCCAAAGGTGAAGATGAGGCGACAAACGACGGTGCATTGAACGCCACGCATAAGGTCAATAACTCGTCAGTGAGGTAGGTATTGTAACACGACGCACACTTGACATTGCGGTGCCCAAACACTCGATGAAGCAACGGAGAGAAACGGTGCAGGCCAGGATGAAAAGCAAGCAAAAAGCTCGCGCCGAGCACCAGCCGTTCTGGACTGGCAGGCAATCTACCAATAAGTAGTCAGTAAGACCAGGGCTCAGGGTTGCCGGCCTTTAGACCCTGAGAGAGTCTTGCGCTAGCACCACACCGCTCATGAGCCGAAAGGAGCAGTAGGGAGCATATTCGGGACAGGAGCCACCCCTGCAGGAGCAGAGAATGATGCAGCCTCGTCTTCGTCGTCGCTGTCATTTGGGTTAGCATGGTCATCGACTTGGGAGAACGCTGACGGGCGGCCCTCAAACAACGAGTCGATTGTGTGTTCCGGGTCGGCGTGCGGCGTTGACTCTGTGATCTCCTGAATCTCTTGTCGAAGGTCGAGCGCCTCTGGGGCTTCCTCAACAGCATCTTCACGGCCTGCCAGCTGAATCTCAACCTGTTCAATCTGCTGCGTGACGACGACAGGCTGTTCATCATCGAGCTCGGTGTCGCTGGCAGCTTCATGTGCCGCGTGTAGCGCGTCCGATTCGGCTGCGAGATCATCCTGATCCTGGGCCGCATATGGTTGGTCGTCGTCATCGTCATTGTCGTCGTCGGTGTCGTCGCCAACGACTTCCTCGACAACCTCTTCGATCACAAGGATGGGCTCATCTTCGTCCTCGGGCTGAACGCTGGCTTCCTCTTCAGCATCGAGGTCGCCAGTGTCGCCGTTGGTGGGAGCTGCTTCTGCGTCTTCTGTATCTTGCTCACCCTCCATTACAACGTTGTCATCAACTTTGTCGTCTTCCACCGGTGCCTCCTCAGTCGGTTCCTCGGCGGGTGCAGCCTCGGGATCAATCAGTTGCTGCAGGTAATCGATCATGGCATCTACAAATCTGTCCGGCACGTCGATTGTAGTGTACCCTCTCTTCTTGCGAGGCTTCGGGGTGGATTTGACAACGCGTGCGTCCTTCGCCTTGTGCTCGGCTGGCATTGTGGGAGTCTTCTTCGTAGGGGTCGCAGCTGCATTCTTCGGGGGGCGACCCAAGCGCTTCTTCTGCGGAGGAGCTTCTTTGGGCGCGGACTTCTTCGCCTTGGTCGCTGCCTTTTGTTTGGGAGCTACTGCGGTGGCGGGGGTCTTCTTCGTCTGCTTCGGTGCGCGAGTGCGGGAAATACGGGGGCTGGAGCGCACGCCGACTGCAGGAGGGGACGGCTTCTTCGAGGCGCGCTTGCTGACGCGCGCAGGTCCAGCGACGCGGCTGAGGTCTCGAGCAGATGCGGATGGGCGACCGCGGCGCTTGAGGGTCGCAGGAGCTTCGGTGGCAGCGGGTGCTGCTTTGGGCGGGCGACCGGCGCGCCTCTTCGGAGCGGGAGCTTCTTCGACGCCAGGCTCGGGGACTGGCTCAGCAGCCTTGCGACCGCGGCCGCGACCCTTCTTGGGCTGCTCGGTAGCAGGCTCTTCCGCGGGAGCGGCCTCTTCCTCGACCTTTGCGCGAGCAGGCCGGCCACGCTTCTTTGGCGTCGGATCAGGTGCTGCAGGCACGGCAGCCGGCGCGCCGCGGCCGCGCTTCACAGGACTATCTTTTGCAAGTGCGGCAGATGCGGCGGCCTTCGCAGTGCGACCGGAGCTGCGGGCGGGGGTTGCGGCCGAGGCTTTGGCGGCCTTGCGGGGAGCCATTGAGAGCGGTCGATCGAGAAATGGAGGTGCGTGGGTACCTGGCTGCAGGAGAAGAGGGCGCAGTGTGTGCGCGAGCGTGCGATCGCAAAAAGTGAGGGTGGTGGAGAGCCAGCTGACGATGGTTTGTGAAATTGGTGTGACGCGTCGCGCAAGTGCAGAGCTGGAAGCTGGAACGCGCGCTAGTCCACGCGCCGTCGCCAGCCTTCCCGCTATCGATAGGCTCGCACCTATTGTGTCTTTTTGCACACAATTGCACACGCTCAGGCTTTCCTTGCCCCAGTGGAGACATCGGTACAAGGCTGAAAGCAGTGCTTAGTACGGATAGAGCTCTTGTTAGTCTGGCCCTTTGCCATGCTAAATCATGAGGTCGCCCGCAGTTCTCCTGAGCTCTCCCCAGACGAAAATGAGCATACTTGATGCCCACGTCGCTCTCGACGATGAGGTTATGGTGAAGGAACACTGTGAGGACCGAACGATAGCAACCGTGCACGCAACCCATGTCGGAATTGCCTCGGTCCATCGCTGCAATAGTCTCCTCAACGATAGCCCGATGCCCGAACAGACGACCTACGTAACCCGTCTTGTGGGTCCCTAGCGCTTGACGGCCAATCTCTGGACTTCATGCGACACTGTCACGACTCGACACTCTTCCTGCAAGGCCCGACTGACACATGCCCAAAGAAGGCAATGGCAGCATCAGAGCATCGTCACCGAGGTCAATTCGGAGCCCTGGAGCGCATTCTGAGCATCGAACACTAGCTGAGAGAGATTGCACATGTTGAAACCGGCCATACCTGGCCGGAGACACTACCCCGGATTTTGGAAGGCGACATGCAGGCACCCCACCTAAGCCAAGTTGCTACTTTACTCCGCCCCTACAACGTGTTATTGATCACCTGCTAGCCTCCCGTAGATGAAGCTTAGGTTGAATGTAAACATAATGGGGTTTATCCGCTAATCACAGCGGCCGGAAGAAATGACAAGCCGAAAGAACCGGGAATGTGATTGACAGGAGTCAGGCACAGCATGTGTATATTAACGCGAGATCCCTCTACATGGCCAAAGGCTTGAGGCATAGCAATGGGTTTTTTTTCTCGGACCGTGGCCGTTGCCGCCTCGCTGCTCTCCCTCGCAAGCGCTGTTTCCATCTCTTCAACGAAAACCTTCAACATCAGTAACGATGTGGAGGGCTCGGTTCACTTGAATGCCCTTGCGTTTCAACAAAGTCCTTTGACGACTTTCGGCGACTATCAATACGTAGCGTTCTACAAGACTGCATCCGGCTATGGGAAGCACTACGTTAATCTCGGTCGGAGGCGCATCGCACCATCGCTCGGCGATTGGCAATCGTTTGCTTTTACCGACTATGTCCAGCAAACGCTCGACGAACACAATACGATCAGCATGGGCATCAGTGGGGACGGCAAGATTCATTTGAGTTTTGACCACCATGATGTGCCGCTCAACTACCGCGTCTCTACATCTGGTATCGCCAAAACCGTACCATCTGACTGGAGCATGAACACATTCGGTGGCTCAGTCCAGCACAGCCTACCCGGATCTACAGGACCATGGACACCTCTCACCTACCCGCGCTTCGAGCGTCTTGCGAATGGCGATATGCTCATGGAATTTCGCATTGGGCAAAGTGGATCCGGCGACTCATACATCCACCGCTACTCCGCATCCTCCGGTTCTTGGAGCGCAGTTGGGAAATACTTGCAAGGGCAAGACAACAACGCCTACATCAACGGGCTCACTTCCTCGGGTGGAAAATTATTCGCGAGCTGGACTGTCCGTGAGACGCCCGACGCAAGTACCAACCACGACTTCTACTTTGCGTTTTCAGAAGACGATGGCCAGACCTGGAAAGCCACAAGCGGCAGCTCAGTCACGAAACCCATCACGCCGTCAACCGCGGGAATCAAGATCTTCACCATCGCACAGAACACGCAGATCATGAATCAAGAGGCGCAAACCGCCGATGACAAGGGAAGGTTCCACGCGCTGATGCGTGATAACACGTCCGGCACAGCACGCTTCTACCACTACTTGCGATCAACAACCGGGACCTTCACCAAGACCGCGATCAACGCTCCCGGCCTTTCCAACCCTCCCTACCTTGCCTATCGAGGCAAGCTCGCTGCCAAGGGTGACAGTCTCATCGCGATCCTGCCGGATGCGCCAAAAAACACCACGACCCTGTACGGTGCCACTGCGGGTGGAAACTACCAGGACTGGAAGCTTCTAGCTACCATCCAGAACACGGCGGGCGAGCCAGGAGTCGATGAAGAGCGACTGCAGCAGAGCAATGTGTTGAGCGTGTTCATAAGGCAGGGAGGACCTTTTGGTGACCGGAAGATCCAGGTGTGGGACTACGACGTGCAGTGGTAGGCAAGCGGGGTTATTCGTACATTGTCGTTATCAGATGCCACTCATAGCAACAACTCTAGCTCACGAGTTCAGTCGGTTGCGTGGAAGAAGGCTTGTTGCTCCATTATCTAATGACACCGGTTTGCAAGTTGAACGTCTCTTGTATGATGTACTCTACGCCATGCGGAAACACTGTCGGGGTATCATGTCGTATATCATCATTGCTCATGAATTCATTATCTTGCAGCATGCTTCCTTTGCCGTGGGCCTCATACACCGAATGCGTGGAAACACAGTCGTCGAGTTACGGTCCCTCGCGCCATAAAATCACACTTTATCCTTCTGGCTGCAAAAATTGCACCGACGATAGTCCATATCTGCCTTTCCTGATGCCATGTACCACATAGTACGAGACTGTCACTCAGTACGGAGCGGGATTAGAAAATTTCTTGTGCACCCTCCAGCGCTCCTTTTGGCATACCGCGCTGCAGGACCTTCTAGCCTTGCACTTTACACACTGCAACAGCGCGGAGCCATCCTGTTAAGCCGTGGCGCCGCAGCCTCCACAAGCATTCGGCTTGGCATGCTGTGCATGAAGCTCCTTAATGACCATGGAAGTGGAAGAATCTCCTATGCCGGTGTTGACGAGGTCACCTGGACCGATGACGTTCATGCCGACGAAGCCAAGGTAATTTGGCTTGTAATCCTCCTCGTTCATCGAATTGGCAGTCTCGAGAAGACCCTTGGACTCGAAATTATATGGGACGCCGTTGGTGAAGCTACTTGGTCCCGAAGAGAGCTTTGTGTATCTGCTTCAGAGCGCCGTACCTCAACACGACAACAGGCGGCGATAGCGAGTGTTCATTGGAGTGTGCAGTGATTTATTGCGTGTTTCTAGATTTTGGGAGACAGCGGTTCAGGTACAACGCGTCGTGTGACGCTATATTAGAATGGGAACTCGCGATGACGCGCTATCACGTGCCGCGCTGGACGGAGCCAATCTATAAGCGTTCGGCTCTACCATGGCGCTGGCTCACAGTGTGTTTCGTGCCGCTCTTCATATATAAGATTCGAGTCCATGGACCCTCTTCAACCTCTTCAGGAGCGATTAGGGGACCATTTTATGTTGTAGAGTCGTTAGTGTTGTACCCAAACATTCACGTCAGTCGCCATCGTACATCTTGAAGCAATCTCCTGAACGAAAAACAATCCATGCTCACCATAGTCTCCTAAGCGATTTGTCTAATGTGATTTCTTCTAGGTTCCACAGCACCACTGCTGAGCCTGTCGCATGTGCGAGTAGACGAGACGAGCGGAGCTCTCTCACCTATCAAAAAGGACTTGGCTTGCTTGCGAACGACACGTTAACAAATCAAAGAAGCACATTCTCTAGTCTAAATCGTTGAGCAGTGAGTATCGTGGGCCATCGTCTAATGGGTATTGTTGGCCAGACCACGATTACGCGAGTTGGGACGCTTGGTGGGGCTGGTTTTCTCCGCTCGGATTTGCGGGTCGATTGCGACTTCTCCGCTCCACGAGCAGGGGTGCTGCGCTTCGACCTTGGAGGATAGTTGCGGGCGGCGACTTCTCCTGAACTCCAAGTGCCACACCTCGGGGGCGTTATGGCGATGCAAGACCACTCATTACTCCAAGCAGCACTGTATCTGAGTGGCGCGGTCAGTTCGCTAAGTAATGCCACCTCGATCGGCTAAACTAACAGCTCCAGTATCTCGCCTTCAGTGTCTGTCGGGCGATTTACAACGTCTATTTTCATCCGCTAGCCAAAATACCTGGGCCCAAATTACGTGCTGCGTTCTATTTTCCTCACAACTTCGAGCTTGTTGCCGGTGATGTTGTCCACAACTGGCACAAGCTGCACGAACAGTATGGCGAAGTTGTTCGTATTTCTCCGTCGTGGATTTCGTTCACCAACCCGGACGCATGGCGAGGTATGAAGGGTTTCGAAGGGGTTTTTAGGCCTGTTTCTTATGCATCAGCTGATGTTTTCAGATATTTACGCCCATCCCTCCATCCCTAAAGACCCTGTCGTGTACAACACCTACGAAGGCAGAAACCGTCCGGCAAACATCATATGTAGGTATTACCAATAAGGAACAACGTATCAGAGCTAACATCACAATTGTTAGCTTCGAACGACGCAGACCATGCCCGTATACGTCGCTGTATGAACCATGCCTTCTCCGATCAAGCCCTCCGTGGCCAAGAACCTATCATCAGCTCCTATATTACGCTGCTTGTCTCTAAGCTACAGGCTAAGTCAAGAAATGACTCGCCTATAGATATTATGCGCTACGTCAATTACGCCACCTTTGACATTCTTGGAGACCTTTGTTTTGGGGAGTCTTTCAACGCATTGGAGTCAGAGGAATACAGCGAATGGATGGCCAATCTTTTCAAAGGCGTCAAACTTGTACCATTCGTCAGATTATTCAAGCAGTACCCGATTATTGGTGTACCATTCTGGATTTTGACTAAGATATTTCCGCAGATACTGGCCGCAAGGACCAAGCATGACAACTACACTATAGAAAAGACGGCCAAGAGGATAGAAAAATTTACGGACAGGAAGGATTTCATGAGGTATGAGTGTTTCTCCTCTAACTGACACACGTGCGCTTACACTTTCAGCTATATTTTGAAACATAATGATGAGAAAGGCATGACCAGAGACGAGATCATGCGTACGTCAGGAGTCCTCATCGTGGCCGGCAGCGAAACCTCGGCCACCCTCCTCAGTGGAGCGATCTACTACCTCCTCTCAAATCCGACCTGGCTTGAGAAAGTTAGAGAGGAGCTCGATGGCGCATTTAAGAAAGAAGAAGAGATGACTTTCGCGTCGCTAGGCCAGCTGAAAGTGCTGAATGCCGTGCTCACCGAAACCTTTCGCATGTACCCTCCGGTGCCGGTCATTTTACCTCGAGCAACCGTAGACAAAGGTGCAATAGTGTGTGGGACATTCATTCCGAAAGGCTGTACCCTAGGCGTCACGTCGTATGCAGCTTCTCGCTCGTCGCACAATTTCAAACACCCAGACATCTTTGCGCCACAGAGGCATCTCGGCGACCCAGAGTTCAAGCATGATAAGCGATCTGTTATACAGCCGTTCTCCGTAGGACCTAGAAACTGCATCGGCCAGGTAAGGATTGTGCGGCTGACTACAGATGTAACGCTGACGTCCATAGACCATGGCGTGGCTTGAGCTGCGAGCTATCCTTGCTAGAGTATTGTGGAATTTCGATATAGAGCTTGTGGACAAATCGCACAAATGGGATCAGCATAAGGTTTTTGTTCTGTGGGACAAGCCGGCGCTTATGGTCAGGCTAAAGATGAGGAAGCACGAGTAATTTAGAATGGTTGGGCGTTCAAATCGTGACTCCGAGGACAATGAGGAGAGCAGCAATGTATGCGACAAGATGCGAAGAGCACTAAATAAAATTGGGAAGTTGGTACTGCCTCTGCGCAAGCACCCGTCAAACTACCACGAGCCTTGGAGCTCCCGAGTTCTTGGCGTTGGCTCGCGTGGTGGTTGAAAATGTGTGAGCCTTGGAGGCTTTGGCTGTCGCGGGGGGCATGGCATGATGACTTGCGCTGGGTCACCGGTAAGTGTAACATAGCGTAATTAGGGGAAGGAAGGAAAGATAGACAACACGTTCGAAATTCATTCGGGCTTCCTTCTTGCACAGCTCGTTCGTTCCATTTGGGTGCAGTGCTTCAGTGTGCAAGTATACGTGGTGAAACGATACTCTCCCTGAGCCACGGCTGACATATACAGGGGGTATGTCCCAAAGAACGTACGAGTAAGGCAGCGTGAGTGATTCCAGCCCGGTCAAAGTCTTCGAGATGTGCTTCTCAAAGCGGCTCCTACTAGATGCAGCTCGCGTTTCACTTGGTATTCACTGACGCAAGCAGTGCATGACATGCTTACTCCGAGTGATCTGGAGTCAGCAAGACACATCTGCAGATGGCTACGCGACTACAAATTGAAAAGGGCTTTCGCATCATTGGTGTCAGCGTCACGTACCCAGTTGCAGAAGGCGCGACTTTCCAAAATACTGAGGAAGGCGGGCGTCTGTGGTTGGAGCACGGACCTGGCGAGAAATTCGATCGGGAGATGACCAAGCGCGTCAAGGAAGCCGCTGGGAGGAAGCAGGCTGAAGTGTCGACGCAACGGTAGAGCTCGCCGAGGAACTGGACAAGATGGAGGCTGAGGAGCTAGACGATGTCCCCATATAAGAACAAATCAACCGAGGATATCGGACGGATGGTAGTCTGCTCAAACCAGGTCGAATGAGGATGTCGTGATGGGTGATGGGCCGGCCTTTTCCGAAGCGTCAATGTTTACTGGTTTCTGCGGCCGGATGAGGTCTGGACAAAGGGAAGAACCGACTCGATGCACTCTCCCGATCGGCTTCTAATGGTCTATGCTGAAAGAGTACGACGGGGGTAGTTCAGCCACGAGCAGTCTTGGCATACAGTGTAAACGCTGGAAACGCTGTACACGTACGAACTATGAGCGAATCGGCCCTTTTTCCAAACACAGCTATCTCACAGAAAGAATCAACAAGAATTGGCGATGATTGTAATTTTGGCCACAGGTCTGTCTGCTATCTCATAGCGGACTGTTATTCGTAATCGTGCTGAAATACAAGCAGATTCAACAGTTCCGTCTTGTTATAAAGTTCAAGTCGAGGGAAAGAGTGCCGAGCGAATCGTTCTAGAATTAGGGTAGGTTCTCACCTGAGCCGCGAACAACGTTTCTAGCGACCGCACATCGGCCCACTATAATCCTTGGCAGAGCCGCAACTCTATACCTGCTACAGCATAGTGTGGGCGCTACGATCGAAAAATGTCCTGTCACTTGCGAATTTGTTTACGGAACGTAATTGAATCCCAAAAATCGTCCGCGTGAGGAAAATGCGGGGTGTCTCGTGGAGGACGGAAGCGAGACAGTGCCGCAGAGAATCAGACACATAGAAACTGTGTTAGCGGCCCAGTTACCCCAGAGTGCTCTAACAATGGGTCCTTCGCCTCGATGCGTGTTATCTAGGTTGTGGAGAACCCATGTCGCGTTTCTGGTGGCGTTGAGATAGTCCAGATAAGATGCACAGGACCAAGCCGCATTTCGAGCAGTACCAAGCCGCAACTAAGGTATGATAACCTTTACGAGCGGGATCCCGAGCTGGCTATAAAGGCCTGCATCCCTCCGCATGGGTGTCGTAAGAAGACCTTGAGAGAATCCAACACTCACCTTCATATCCCTTTTCCTTCTACTTGGACCTCTGGTCCTGGATTCCATCGTCATGGGTCATCAAGATGAGCCTAAGACCGACATTTCCCAAACCGTAAGCCGCCCCGAGGCTGAACTGGGTGACGTTTCCAACTACAAGGTCCAAGAAGCTCTCGACCCTGGCTCTCTCCACACCCATCGTGGTCTTCGACCTCGTCATGTCCAACTTGCCGCTATTGCAGGTGGAATCGGTGTTGGTCTCTTCGTTGGAATCGGCAAAGTCCTGGTCAACGCCGGTCCTCTCTCTCTGCTCCTTGGCTACCTGATATACGGAATTGGCTTCATCTGGCCGTGCAACTTGTGCACTGCCGAGATGGTGACATGGCTACCCATTCGCGGCAGTGTGTTCGGTTTGGCCTCGCGATATGTTGATCCAGCGCTTGGGTTCGCCCTTGGATGGACGTACTTCTACGCTGGAGCGATGTTCGTGTGTACCGAGGTCAGCGCTGTAGCAACAGTGGTGCAATTCTGGGACGTCAATGTTTCGCCAGCTGTTTGGGTGGCAATGGTCCTCATTCTTTGCACGTTCTTCAACCTCGTAGCTGTCAAGTAAGTAAATCCCACGAGTGGCCCCCGAAACATCTCTAACAAGTTCCCACAGATGGTACGGCGAGTCCGAATTCGTCATGTCGATCACGAAAGTCTTGCTCCTCGTTGGCCTTGTCCTCTTCACCTTTATCACAATGGTCGGCGGTAACCCCAAGCACGATGCATACGGATTCCGCGCATGGACGGGCGGAAACGCAATGCATCCGTATTATGCCGATGGCGCTACTGGACGATTGCTTGGTATTGCGATCTCAATTCGATTCGCCGTCTTCACACTCGCTGGACCCGATTTCATCAGTTTATCTGCTGGAGAGATACAGAACCCTCGACGTACGATTCCGCGCCTCGCTCAGCTCATCTTCTACCGCTTGGTCGGTTTCTACATCATCGGCAGTTTCGCTGTTGGTATCATCTGCTCGTCGCGCGATTCCAATCTCATCCTTGCTATCAAAGGAGGCAAACCTGGTGCTGCCGCTTCCCCTTGGGTTATCGGGATCCGTAACACTGGTGTCACCGGTGGTCTCCCTGGTCTTATCAACACCCTGATCTTGGTCTCCGCCATCTCATGCGGTAATGCATTCGTGTACCAGACCAGTCGGACGCTGTACTCGTTGGCCCAGGAAGGACAGGCGCCAAAAATATTTCTGACATGCTCCAAGAGCGGAATTCCCTACTACTGCGTCCTAGCTGTCACATCAATTGGATGCATTACGTTCCTAGTCGCAGACAACTCCGCGATAACGGTGTTTGGATGGTTCGTTGACCTGGCGACTTCCGGTCTTATCGTCAACTTCGTTGCATTCTTCTGGGTTTATCTTGGCTGGTACCGCGCCCTAAAAGCCCAGAAATTCGATCGCAAGAACCTGCCGTACTACTGCAACTTTGCCCCGTACACCGCTTGGTTTGGACTGATCTTCGGTTGCCTCATTATCCTGTTCCTGGGCTTTGATTCGTTCGCACCGTTCTCGATCCAGTCATTCATCACGACGTATTTTGGCATCGCGTGGGCCGCCTTCATGTTCACTTTATGGAAGATTGTCAAGAAGACAAAGTTTGCCGATCCAGCGACCGTAGACATCTACCATGGAAAGGCGGAAGTCGATGCTGAATGCGCTATTTGGGAGAATGGAGGGTTGGAGGAGAATGAGAAACAGCGTCTGTCCGAAATGAGCGTGGTGCGGAGAACTTGGGAGAAAATCTGGTAGATTTGTTGGGGAAGCTACCTTACCCAGTAACACTGTAATATCCATACCGAGAGGTGCTGTTATACCCAGGGAGAAACTGGCGGTCCAGAAGGTCTGCAGGTTATCCCGCGCCAATTCCGTGCTTTGTTCCAGTAGTGTGTCAATGGCAACGTGTAAAATGTTTTGAATATCGGTATCGACAGATACAAGTGACAGGAAGATGACGCGCGAGGTAGAGGCTGCGACTGTGGAAGGAGTAACCGATTAGTCATCGGTATCTGTCCAGAGTGGCGGCTACGCCATTGCGCCATCATGCCTACCGTTGTGACCCTGAAATGAAAACCATTGAAGCGCCCTGTCAGACAATTTCGTTGAACAGACGAATTTGGAAATGGACCACAAGCACAGGGCACGGCTTAGCGGTGCGGGCCGATGCCCTACGCTCGGGAGTCCACCAACACGTGCCCATGAGGCGTAGTAAACTCTTAATTCGACTAGCAAACATGCTTTTGAGGGCGTTGACAGCCGGAAAGCAGAATCGGCGACTATCGTACGAAACGCTGGACAAAGAGACATCGCTCCACGTCATGGCCCGTGATCACCTTTGGCACAGGCATAGAGATGACACGAGCAACGTTCACGTAATCAAACAGTGTAGAAATGATTAATATCTGGAAAGGATTTCATGATCCTTCAGCGGAACCGTCACGCGTCTATGCTCCCAAGTAGCGCAGTCGCAACGTGTGACTTTCGGGACAGACTCAGGCTGCATGCAGTGCGAAACTACGATACGAAGTCTCGTAAGCAGCGCTTTTACGATCCTAGTTGCACAAGACAACAGCGGGGGTTCTGGAATGCGAAATTTATCAGAGCCTCGTCAAAAGGTCGCACAAGCGCATGCAGCAGCCGCTCATTGCTCTCTCCTGTACCACTCAAAGATCTCTCAAATGCCGAAAAAGGCAAATACTTCCAGCAAGACCTTGTCTCACACAAGATACGCACAGTTTTACACGTTGAATGGCTCTCCCAGAACCGTTCCCACAGAGCGGCAGTGCGGCCGACCATACCAGAGTCCCTCCAACACCGCAGATCCTTTCACGTGCGTGACATGAACTGGTCTGGATCGATTGCAAGAGGCTAAGAGCCTAGCATGCTCGCGTACATGCGTCGAGAACAAAGAGAAACGTGCAGCTGTACCTAGTCCGGGTATAACAATGTTCAAATGTCTGTCACTGCGCGGAAACGGCGTTCGGAGATGAGATTGAGATCGCCCTGTACGCGCATCATGTTCGCCCAGACCAAACGGCGTCGACTTTGACGCTGAACCAAGTCCGGCGACAGAATGATAGTACGGTATGGTCTACAGCACCAGCAAATGAACCCTCCATGGCGCGCGTCTACCGCCGGTCGTTCGCAATACGGCATGAGTAGAAGCAGGCCCCCGCTTCCTTTTGTTCCGTTTCGTTTCCCTCTCATCTCGACTCGATCGCTGGTGCATCCATGATCCCATCCCGCCAATCTGCCCCCTCGCGTGCATGTTTCGCCATTGTCCGTCCGTGATTTGCCTGCCCCACACCCTCCCGTTTCAAACCCTCGCGGCCCGCAACCTGTCAATCCGCGAACCCACGCGTGCTATTTGACATTCGGCAGGACTCCGAGACAGTCGCTGCCGCCGCGAGATGAAAGCTTACCTGGACCTTGCCGCTGGGAGGATGACGTGCCTGAAGCCGAGATGAGAGGCGTGCGCGCATGCAGCGAGGCCGCATTTGGCAGGAACGCCTCCTGAACCGTGCGTGAGCGTAGTCAGGCACCAACGTTGTTAGGCGCAGGGGTAACGCGGGAGAAGAGGGGAGCATTTTGTGGGCATCATGTGGGCATCAGGTGGGCTGCAGCAATTATCTATTAGAATTTACGACGTAGTGTTAAGTTAATGTATCCGATGCGAGCCGATAGGCACACCATACCCCCAAAGATGATGCGCATGAAGGTGCAATGTCCCGAAACTTCCATAATGATCCCCAATCATGTTGTCCACAATATGCAAAGACAGAATGCGAGAACGCTAAGTAAAGAGTGATTTAGAAAAATGAGAATGGTATTTGTCTAGTTAAAGAAGATGCGATACGGAAAGATTCGTGGCGGAGTCTAGTAGTTGTACTTGTAGCACAGGGGTGAGTTCAGGGTGTTCATGATGTCCCTGACCTTCATGTTGGGCTTCAGGCCGTTGAGGAAGATGTCCGTGTCGAGGGTAAGGGCCTGGTTGTTGGGGCCAGTGCCGTCGATGTAGCCGGTGCGGGAAGAGTCGTCGTTTTGCCAGATGCGGAAGTGGCGGTCGACCATACCGTGGTGCAGCCAGAAGACTGGGTCACCGGGGGAGGCATATACGTCGCGCATGACGCCACCGATTCCATTGTGGCCGTAGGCGTGGGCGCCCTGCTCAGCGCACTTGGCGAAGTCCTGGTAGTCCTTCAACGCCCTGCAACCGTTGACGATGTTGGAGTTGGTGTTGGCGGTGTCGGCGGCATTGCCGTTACGGGCAAGGCAGTGGTACTGGTTGAACTGGGCCGTGCTGGGACCAACGTTCAGGGCAAGGTTGGCGAATTGCTGTGGCAGGTCAGACATAGGCTCTTCAAGAAATGGTAGGGCGTGCACTTACGCCATCGGTAACGCAGTTTCCGCCGAGGTTGATGGCTCCGAGCCATTTGCTAGAGAAGATGGACGACTGCGAAAAGCGGCCGGCAAACTTGGTCTCGTCGAACCAGGGAAGAGAGTCGGTAAAGCCGCACTCATCCCTCAGCACCTGCTCGAACGCCCACAGGAAAGCACGGTGCCACACGATGAACTTGCGGTTGTTGTGCACGTTGTCGGTAACGGTCTGGTGGACCTGGACGAAGTCCTCGTAGCGGTTCTTGGAGCCAGGGTAGTTGCCGGCAGAGGGCTTGCCGAGCAGGCACTTGACACCGTTCACAAAGTTTTGCTTGGTGGTGTCGGAGCTGTCGTGCCACTCAGTACGGGTCCTGGTGGTGCTGCAAGTGGCGGCGGCGGCGAAGGTGCTGAATTCGGCCTCGGGTCCAGGTCCGTCGGTCTGGTTGGCGACCATCTCGGTGATGTCGGCGAGGGAGAGGGTGTGGATCTCGTGGGTGTTGAAGATGTTGACGTCGAGCTTGGGGGCTCCCGTGGGGATGGGCAGCACGGGGACGGAGAGCACCGCGGCGGACGCGCCGGCCGCGAGGCCGAGGAGGGAGAACTTGGTCATTGTGGTGGAAGAGGTCCTTGGGGTCCTGAGAGCGAAATGTTGCAAGGCGTATTAAAAATTACCAACTGAATGGGTTCCTGGCTTGGTAAACGAATGGCTGCTCTGCAAGGACTTGCAAGGGCGTTGGACAACGAGTGCAAACGGAAACGGATGGGAACAGGCAAATCTTATATCCATCCCAATCTCCTTTGGACGCTGCAATACGACGCTGGGCCATGCCAGCTCGCCAGACCATTCCCGTCCTGGGCCCCTGGTCGCGCGCGGGTCCCAGGCGCTAGCAGCGCTGTGCATGGATCCGGCTTAGATCAGCAGCCTTCGATATTGGCGCCAGCGCGCCACGGGCCTTTGGCCAGCGCCCGCCGCGCAGCGCTTGCCTGAGTGCGGCCAACAGGACCCTGCAGCCCGTGCCCCCCAGCTTGCAGCGACCTGCGCCCTGAAAGCCCGGCGTGCGTGGCTGCCCTGGGATACAGGTTGCCGGTGCGCCTCCCCTGGGCCACCAGCCCGTTCAGAGCGCCGCACCTCCACATCCTGTGCCGTCTGTAATTGCAGGCCATGCACTGCCCCCCTCGCCGGCTCCCACCTCTCCACTGCTTCTCGAAGCAGCAGTCCTGAGGAGCGCCACGGAAATAATCGCCCTCCGCCAGCACGTGCGTCGCCGCCGGTGACCTGAGACCTGACCTGACCTGGCGAGCGCCTCGCGAGATGCAATTTCACTACACGACCGCGCAGAAGCCACAGTCGACCGGACAGGCCAGAGACACGCAAGCGCTGTCGTCCTTCCAACTCAAGCGCACGCTGTGCCGATCCGACCATCGCCGATGGCCCTGTGCTCCGCCCAAGAAGGCGTGCAGTAGGCCTCGCTGCCGCTCAGTCACATTCTCAGTTGCTCGCATCTTGCCTCCACGCTTACCGTCCCGTTCGCCCAAGCGAGCGCGACAGCAGAGTGTTCTCCTGTGTATGCTGACCACAGCTGCCTCTCCCACAAGGCGGCCAATGACAGCGCACTACACCCAAACAAGCTTTGCGCCCGGCACTTCCAAAAATACCAGCTACTATCGACATCAGCTCTCCCCTAGTCCCCCGAGCATCCTTGGATCGACAGATGCAACCTCAGACCAAACTATACGCCATGCCGTGGGTGGCCAGTAACGAGTGCCACGTCGAAGGATCCAATAAACATTGCCTAATACGGACGGCTGTCGGCCTTGTAGTCTTGCTGGCGTACATCGTGAAGGCACAAAGTGCGGGGTTGGTCTTGTTCTGGGTGACGTCGACATGCCGCTTCGTGGAAGATGCGGCAATGGAAAGGCTGCAGACGTCGTGGCATTGATGTAAGTAGGTCATGCGGTTTGCCTCGATGTTGGAGCGGTGAGTATCTGGCGATGCAGCCCATTGTGCGCAAGATGGTTTTGTCAGCCCAGAGCGCAGTCAGCGGACCCAACAAGGCATCTGTGGAACGGCATTTGGTAACCTCAGGGTCGGTTGTCGACCGGGAAGAAGCAACACTGCTGGTGGTGCGTCGTCTGCTCCTGTGCGGGATGCGCACATTAATCGTAACTCGGTGTCGTAGCACGATCGCCCAGCTGCCCCAACGTTTTCGGACCGTTATCTCGACCACCAATTCAATCAGCAAGGACCGCGTCATCAGCCAATAGACCTGTGTGTGGACCAAACGCTCCTTGATTTCGTGCAGACCGGGTTGTGTTGCCGAGTAGCCGCAGCAGCCGAGGAGAAGCTTCGCTGCTTTGTCTGCCGGGTACTAGATGCTGGCCTGGGAACACATCAACGACTGCGCAGAGCGGGGCTGATGTTGTAGCACCCGGGATGTCGGTCAGCCGCCGCGAGCCACAGCTACACCGGGTGGCGTTGAAAGATGCATCGCAAATGCAGGGAAAGACGCACAACATGCCGACGTCACAAGACAACTGGCAGCCCGCTGGTGAGAGCGATGGACGACTGGAGGGGAGCTGGGGAATAAACCTTTGGGTAGAGTGCAACGAATGCGCCGACTGACTATATAGGATCGGTTGAGCACGTTTGAGTGAGTTAGGTCTCCACAGCATGTAAGCGCCCAACCTCGCAATAGCACTGTGGGATTCTGCGAGGAAGGCGCGAGGCTGCTACCCACCAGGTCAGAAGAAGGTGCGAAGGGTCTACATCCTAGGATGGAGGAAGGCGTGAGGGACGACAACACACCAACGCAACACGCAGCACCCCGAGCATATCCTACCTCCACCTCTTCGTACATTGTCACGCGCTCTTTGGGACTCTTGGTGTATTCCACACTTCGTGAGCGGGGAGCCAGTCCAAACGCGTATTCGAACGCCTCTTCGTCGTCCTCTTGGGCAGCGATGCCAAGGTGAGACTGCATTGAACTTATGTTCAGGAGCGGCAGACACATCGCCTACAGCCATCACGAAAAGCATCTCAATCAGCGATGATTGAGCTGGACGCCGTCGACTCACACTGAACGCCCCTTTCACACTCCGCCGCCCCATCCGACTCCACTCAACCTACTGTAACCGTATTGACAAAACCCGCACAAACGACCTACCGCAGCCACAACCACAACTACGAACCCCGCTTCATACCAAGCCCAGAGCAGCCACACCCGCACTCGAACATGCCAACTTATCTGCCCTCGACAACACGGGTGTCTGAGACACCGCCCAAGCCCGTTGTCGCACAGCACATGCGCGCGCCGCGTACCACAAGGCTGGGGCGCACGCGCACATGCACGACATCACATGAGATCGGCGCCGCTCCAACGCCTCCGACCGCCGCTTTGGACCCTCGGGATCGTCGTGACATAAGCGCCTCTCCGTGCGACACAGCCGATGCGGTCTGGAAAGCGAGGTGGTGCAGAGAGAATGCGAGGGCGTGGCACGGGGATGAATATGTTGAAGTTACGCTTGGCTAGGACAGTGGTGTGTGGGCGCGAGTGTGTGAGCGATATGACTGATTAGGAGGCTTGCGAGCGGACAGTGCAGGGAAAAGCTGCAGGCCTGATGCCTGGTGTCTGATGTCTGATGTCTGATGTGATGAAAACTGATGAGATGGATTCCTGCTCCGTAACAATGCCGAGGACGCAAGCCATGAGTGAGCGCAAGAACGCTATGAGCTCCAAATAACGCCGGTAGCTGAACCGCATGATCGCAAAGAAATATGAACGTCTTGATGACGCGAACGGGAAGTAGATCAAGAGGGGGTCGAAAGAGGATCAGAACATAACCACCGTGTATCCAACACCCGGGCTACTTTTATCCAAACAAACCCACGACGCCGCATCAATCATCATAGTCTGCGACCGCCACGCTGTCCGTGTCGCTGATATGGACATGGTGGGGGTGAATAGCCTCTTGCACGGCGTCCTTGACGATGTTCTCGACCTTCACTTTGTCCACGTGTTCATTAGGAACCCAGAACAATTGCAGCGCACCGACGACGGCACATCCAGCCAAGAAGAACCACGCTGCTGCACTGCCTCCCGCAGAGTACACTACTCCAACGAGCGGACTTGAGACGGTTCGTGCAAGACAGCATGCTGACATAGCTGCGCCGTTGACACGGCCCAATACGAGTGGCGAGGGCGTTGCGTTCTTGAGTAGGATGAGGGCGCATGGGAAGACGAGGATGCCGAAAAGCCCCTGCAGGAAGAGCGAAAGGTAGACACCCGGCGAGACGAGCTTTTGCGGGAGGGCGCTGATGAATGGGACGATGATGTAGGTTGTTGGGTACAGGACAATCATGCTGACAAACGTGTTCCAGACGCCTACTTTCTCCACGAAGAACGGGAAGATGACGCCCTGTGTGAACAAAGCGATGAGACCGTTGACCGCAAGGAAGGTGCCCACGTCGTGAAGATCGAGACCCAAGCCGCCAGTGAAGTCGATGCCGTCCTTCGCGGATTTATCAAGGAGATAGACGGGTAAGTTGGTGATGTAGGCCATTTGGTGGAAAGCAATGATGGTCAAGGCGAGCGTAAGCATGACGACTGTGTAGTTGAAGGTCTTCTTAGCCCCTGTGGAGTCAGGACGTGAGATCGCCGCTGGCAGGATCTCATGGTGCGCGAGTCTGATGCTGTGCATAGTTCCGAAAGAGTCCCGGCGGATATCGAATCGTTGGTCGATGGCTGATGGCATACCATCTTCCAGGAAAGATGGCTTCTTGCGGATTTGACGTAGACCGTCAACGATGGACATGGAACGGTTACGGAAGCTGCTGCTTGAAAATGCGCGCGACCGAGAGGCACGCGAGAGCGAGCTGCGATCACGGGGTCGTCCAGCATCGCGAGGCAGCGTCGAATGGACGTTTGAGAGCAAAGGAGCTCGCTCATTAATAGTGGGGTCAAGGATAGCCGCGTGAGTTGTCTCTTCTTCAATCTCTTCCTGCATGGGGAGTGTCTCTTCCAGGAAGAACATACCCTGGATGATGGCCAGCACGATTCCAAGGGCCGCTACAAGGTTAGGCAGCAGATACGGGTACCTACCGAAAATGCCATCCTCAGAGAAGGTTCCTGGGTAGAACTTCGCAGGCTGCGCAAGGAAGCCACCCATAGCGGATCCAATGATACCACCAAGAGTCCAGACAAAAGGTTGCGTCGCATATGCCTTTGCTGGTCACCGTTAGCCCCAGTTTAATGCCGCGTCGATCTTGATACTCACGCTCGTGCGCAGGGTTCTTGACCATTTCCTGCACCATGGTCTGCATGATGGCAACGTTTCCGTTCAACGCGCCGCCAACAAAGCGCGCCAGCAGAGCAACCCAGTACGTCTTCGCAAAGCCAAAGGCAAGACTGCTCAGTGCAACGCCCGCCAAGCCAATCAGCGCGACGGGCTTTCTACCGTAAACATCGGAAATAGCGCCCCAACCCAGCGCAGTAATAGCTTCTGCGACAGCGTAGGCCGAGAGCAATAGTCCCGAGTAGAAAGAAGCATCCTTCTCATGGATTCCCAATTCCTTTACCATGACGTACGAGTACGCCAGGATGGAGTTGAACGCAAGGGGCTCGGAGAATCGGCATATTCCTGTGATCCACCTATCAGCTTCAAGCTGCACGGGTGGCGCTCAAATCTGGATGTACGTACCGACGATGACAAGTTGCTTCCAAGGGAAGGGCTCATCTTTCGGATTCACAGGCATTGTAGATTGGATATTGCAATTGAGGGGGCGTCGAGGCAAGAGACCGCAGTCAGGGTTTTTGAAGAAGGTGATAGCGAGCTTCACTAGCGCCCACGCACGTACCCCTCCAGCCCCGCCTGACTCCAACTTCGCTTCCCTCGCCGCGGGTACATGTCGGTACGGCGCGCGTTGACCCAGGCGCGCTGGGCATTCATCGCGTCAACGCAGTAGTTGCATGGTCTTGCGGAAATTTCCATCACTTCGACTGAATCTTTGCCGTTCTCTGCACCTGCTCGTACAGCGACAGACCGCGACCAGCCTTGCCCTCGGCCACGGCGCAGATTGGAGGCATGCGAGACAGGTGCACGAAGCTGCAGTCAGTTGCATAGCGGCTCGCGCTCCCTCATCATGACGTAGGGCGCATTTCTGACAGGCCCGTCAAGCACGCCGACGCTCACCACGTGCTCGCGTATCTCATGCTTGGGACCGCGACGGTATCGCGAACGGTACGCCTGATCAAGTACCTCCCGCCTTCCTGCTTGATCATTGACGATATCATATGGCGTTGGTGGTGGTGATAGCAACATTCCTCGTGTTCTCCCCGGAGCAGTGGGGCCCCGCGCTACCAGCGTCACGGCTGCAGCTGCACTCGCACTCGCAGTGCTCACCGCCTATTTGTCGGCTTGGTATGGCGCCATGGGTTGAGGCAATTCCGGTAGATCGTCGGAGTTTCCTACATGGGTAGTTTCTCCACCTCCATCTTCAAACACTCTCAAGCTAAAGTGTCGGAATCACCGGCTGGCGCACCACCTGAAGGCAGGTCAGAGTCTTGATGCTAACAATTGCCTGCAATATCGCTGCATTTCTCCGGGATATACGATGCAAGCCGCAAGACAGGACAAGCCAAAGTTCGGCTCCATGCTTCATGAGCGCGACCTGTACTAAGAGGCCTGCAACTAGTATACCCCACGCGGCTGCAAGCCATCCAGCTTGAAGTAGCCTGGTTGCAGCACCTGAAACACGCCCGTCGGATCATACATCTGCGCGACAGCCTTCAATCTCGCAAGGCTCTCTGACCCGTAACTCGCAACCACGTCCTGGAACTGGCTCGCGTAGTTCATGTAGATGTACTCTATAGACAGCCCCCTCTTCTTCCCCTCCTCAACCGTCCTCTCAATGGTCTTCCTGCTGGCCTCAAGTACCCGCTCATCGTCTGCCTCATCCGCCCACATCGTGGCCGTGGACAGCAAAAGCAGAGGCCCGTCGTCTGCCGAGAGGCCGAGTGCGTTCCCTCCGTTCTTAGCGAAGTTGCGCAACATGGGGAGTGTGACGACTTGTAGCGTCAGAGCGGGCACTACCGCGGCGGCATCAGCGATCGCCAAAACCTCTTCAAAGAACACGTCCTTGGTAAAAGCTGTAAAGTCACGATCGAGCTTGAAAGTGACCGACCAGTAGGTTTCACGCAAGCCGTTGGGGTTGACCGTGTTAATCTGCAGGGTCGCATTTGCAAGCGTGCGGATCATAGTGCCGTCTTCTATAGCCGGGATAGCGAGGTATTCGGAGAATATGGAAGCGTTGGCGATTGGCTTGGAGTATTCAAGCTCGGACGAAGCTATTCTGGTGTTTTGCACGTATGCGAAGGACAGGATCTGGGCTGCGGCAACATCCTGGGGTGAGTTGGTGCCCAGGTTGTAAAAGGCATCCATGACAGCCTCGAATTGCTCTTCAACATGCAACCGGGCGCCTCCCCATATCAGACCCTGCGATATGGTCTCAAGCACGAACTTGGTCACGATGCCGAAGTTGTTACCGCCTCCTCGTAGACTCCAGTATAAATCGGCATGGCTGCTCGGCGATGCAGTGACGAGGGCTCCCGTCGCCGTGACAACCTCGAAAGAAGCCACGTTGTCGCATGCCCATCCATATTCATTCGAGAAAAAAGATATGCCTCCACCCAGGGTCAATCCTCCTACGCCGATGGCAGAAACACGGCCTCCAATGACGGCTAGGTCCTCGGGTTCAAGAGTGTGGTATACATCGTACCACGTATTTCCAGGCTCAATGCTCGCGGTTGACTTATCCTCTGACAACTCTATACTCTTCATATCTTTGAAGGAGACTGTTATGCCGCCCTGGATACTACTGGCGCCTGCAAATGCTGCATGGCCGCCACTCTTAATTGCGAAGGGACACCTTGTGAGTCGAGCAATCAGCACAAGAATAGACACGTCCCGGGCGACGGCAGGGCTGAAGATGCAGTGTGGGTCCACAGAGGCTTGTTGTCCAGACCAGTATGACTGGGTGAAAGCCTCGTAGGTGGACGTGTTCGGAGTGGAGACCTTGCCGCCGAAAAGGTGGTGGAGAGATGAGCACTAGTACTCAACGTCAGCCGTGCCGATCAAGTCATCCAACTCATTGTCTTAGTCCTGTAATGCTTCTTATATCGCGAAGGGACATGGATTTGACCACATAGAGAGAGCCATGAGTGCTTACAGCAGGTTCGCATGCGCTTGCTCCTGAGTCAAGCGAATACTGCGACAGCGCTGGGATGCTGGACACGTCAACACCATTGGCGAGGAGGGCCTGCGTAATGTCGAAGTCCAGTGGTTCGAACGCTGCCTGAGTCAACGTATCGACGCATCCTACAACGGCAAGGAACCATGTACCCCGCATTGTAGCAGCCAGGTCGGATGGACGCGACAACGCTGAACTCGTCCAGTGACCAATCTAGAGTGAAATCGCAACCAAACCGCCCGAATATTGGTCCAATGTAGCTAGGAAAAGCTTCGAGCCGCCCATGAGGTTTTTTCGCCACTATGTAGTGGCTGCTTACGCTCTGTCACACAGCACCTTCCCGAAATGATACCATGTATGCGGGGATACATCATCGTATACATATGCATGACAATGGAAGCGAGCACGCCGACATACCGATCTTATGGTGATGGATATCTCAAAACCAAGTATGGAAGAGGAATGATTTTGCTGGTGATTGTCAAACCAAGCGTGAGTTTTGTACATTGTGTCGATGCAACGGCCCTTGCGCTGATGCTAAACACACTACTCTTACAGCCAAATGTCTATATCCAACAAGCTATTGTACAGCAGCCCCTGCCGCTTTACTCTTCTGCTTCATCCGCATCCTCTTCGCAAGCTTGAATCGCAGTCTTGACATAGCCGGCATAGCCTTCGGGATCTGCGCTCGCAAGTTCTTCGCCCCCTCTCTTCCTCAGTCTCTCGGCAGCATCCTCGCCCTTTTGAAGCAGCTCGCGCAACCGGCGCTGCACACGCTCTGCGTCTTCGGCCATGGGCATGTCAGCATCTAGAACGGTGCGAGCGGTGCTGAGCGAATTCCAGATGGGAATGAGCGTGCACAGGTCGTTGTGTAGCGCAGCAAGTGCGCGCATCTGCTTATGTCCTTTGCTGAAATCGGCTTCGGTCTTTGTGGTGGAGGCTTCTATCCTCTCCATGTCGGCCTGGACGTGTTAGCACAGTAGCAACCGAGGGAAAAGGGAGTCGCCTACGGCTAAGAAGTTTTGCTGCTTCAAGGCGTTCATCAAGCGCGAAGCATAGCGCTTGACCTTGGCGGCGTCGGCCTCGTGGCGGTATGCAAGCTCGGCAGCCATTTCCAGGGGCACGGCAACGACAGTGGGGTGGGTGCGGTAGTCTTGCTGGTTGCCGGCGGGATGGCCCAGATGCTCTTCGTTTTCCATGAGCTCGACGATCTGCTCGGCCATGCTGAGCGCCTTCCTGAGGTCCTCCTTCTCCCAGCCGGCCTGCCACGCCTTGTCGCGCACGCTGCGCAGCACCGCGACGATCAGCTCGAAGTTGCGCAGCCGCAGTCCCGTCGCCTTGGCCCGCTGGGCCAGCTTCAGGATCAGGTGCTGCATGCCGGCCCTGTTCAGGAGCCGCACGGCCATGGTCTGCTGGTCTGGGCGCAGACGCAGGCCGGCGTTGTGGTAGCCTTCGAGGGCGCGGACGACATTCTCCCAGTCGTCGGGCGTCTTGCTCGCCTTGAGGATGCTGCGGAGGTGCACGCGGTAGGCGGGCATGTCCTTGTTGCGGTCGAGGTGCTCGAGGGGCAGCGTGACGTCGCCGAGGGTGATGTCGATGGGCTCCTGCTCGAGCCTGGTGCGGTTCTCGGGCTTGTACACGAGCCGCTCCTGCTCGGGCGTGAGGTGGTGCGGCAGGAGCACCCGCGCGTTCAGCGTGGCCAGCAGCTGCGACAGCTCCGGCGACGATGCTTCGAGGAACACGGGCAGCGCGCCGCGGTGCAGGGCGGCGCTGCGCGAGAAGGCGCGGTGCGGGCCATTGGCGAGAAAGGCGACGTGGGTGCTGTCCAGGAGCGCCGCGCGGCAGCTCCGCCGTATCGAATGCATTGTGTCGTGACGGATGGCTTCTATGCCACGCACCGGCCGCCCACAACCTGGGCCGCCAAAACTTTCGGCCAACGCGCCAAGCCTGCACCCCCGAAGCGCCGACCCGTGGACATCGCCCGCTCACGTGGCCTGCCTGTTCATCACGACTGCATCGGCTGTGCTGCCGCGAGCCTGCTGCCGCCTCCCCGCCGAGCGACGGTGCCACCGCCATGGACAACACCGAGGCCACCGCGTACCTCTCCCAGTTCATCGGCCAGCCCCTGCGCATCCACACCTCGGATGGCCGCGTCTTCGGCGGACAGATGAAATGTACCGACAAGGTAGGCCTTCCTCCCACTGCTGGCTGCTCTTCATGGCCCATCAGGGCATCATGCACGCATCGTCGCGGTGAAATTCTACTGTGTCTGCAACCATGCCTGATCCCATCGTAGGACCGCAACATCATTCTCGCCCTCACCTATGAGTACCGCGCACCATCTGCAGATGTGATCCGCAAAGCTGTCCAAGAGTCGGGCAACCCCTCGGCCCCTGTCAACTGGAACAGTCGCTATGTTGGTCTGGTCGTCATTCCTGGTACCCACGTGACGAAGATCGAATTTGAGGACAGCACCCTTTCGGGCCAGCCCGGTCGAGTCGTGGTTTGAGCGGGTGCCTCAACAAGACCGTTTCTCACAATGATTGCACCAAAGCTTCAAACCCGTGGACAGCTGCCCTGCCATCCAGCAGTCGGTGGGAACGATGAGACCTGCCGTGCCGCCCCTCATATACCGCCTCGTGAGCAGCCATGAGTTGCAATGTTCGATATAGTCCGACTCCTGGTCTATTCGCGGCATTGGTTTTCGCGAGCATCATTCCTACCGTATCTAGGTGAGTGCGATCCACAGTAAAGCAATCGCTCGACTATGGCACCAGGACTAACGCTCAACAGACTGTACCATGATCTGGGGCCACACGGGGAAGAGAGCCCACGACGAGGCTGCCATTGTTCCTATAATTGACAATCTCGAGTGAATTTGCTGCATATCGTCCCGTCGCCCACTCTGTGAACCGCGTGGTGCCGATCCACAATCGGCTGTCATTCACTCTCCTTATATTGTGCCACATCGCACAATAGATTTGTCTCTGACCGCAGCCTCCGATAGCACTACTAATAGAGCAGCACCTTCTGCCTGATCCATTGACTCTTGTGTACTCTCACACCGTCACAACACTTCGCAAACCCTCTCCATCCTTGTGCACTAGAAGTCCACAAATTTTCGTCAGACCTGTCGATTCTTCCCCAAAACGGATCATCACACATTTATCGACCTAAGCTAAGATGGCTTGAGTCAAGACAGTGATTCGCACCAAGGCTCAAGTTGCAACGACATGTAAACCCTCTTCGAGCGGTCCTTCTGCAGATAGCGCGCACTCTCCATATATCCAGACGGTCATCACCAAGGCTACCAAGCGACGTCGCCAGAAGACACATCCGAAGGTTTTAGGACCTCTCGACACCCACTGCGGCAGCCGTCTCAACACCCTATCTCCCCTTCTGGCCCTACCCTTCGAGATCCGTCGCATCATCTGGCGTCACGCTCTTACCAGCCCTAATAAATATCTTCTATACGCTACCAAATCTTTGACACTGGACCTCTCGCCGATCCGAGCAGCATTATCCGCAACCTGCCATCAGATCGCATTGGAGACGACGGACATGCTCCTGAAGCTGAACAAGATATGCTTGGATGTGCAGGGATTGCTTAGGTGTCGGCGGAGGTTGCTGGCGATGGAAGGAGAGGTGGAGTGGAAGTTTGTGAGCAATCGCACGATGAAGTTGTTTGGGCTCAAAGAGCAGCGGAATTTGAGGGAGGGGGACAGCGTGGAGGCAGATGCAGAAGGCACGCTTGTCGATTAAGCTCAAATTATGTATACCGAGCCATTTTTGAATTCTGTAATCTGCCTCTGGAAGACCAGGACGCTAGACGTCCCTACACAAATACCACCATAACGTAACTACATCTGGTTAGTGTCGACCCTGCCTATGACTCCACTTCCCCACACCTCACATCTCCAATCCCCAATCTGTCTCTCTGCGTCGCCCAAACACTCACTCAAGGCCAATTGTTTGTTTTATTGCTCAATTGAACAGTAATATCACATTCAGCATCAATGCAGCGCGTTCTTGATGGCAAGAACATCCTCATCACCGGAGCCTCCTCAGGCATCGGTCGCAGCACCGCCATCGAATTCGCACGCACATGTCCCAACAACCTGAAATTGATCCTCACAGCCCGCCGCCTTGACCGTCTGCATGAGCTCAAGAATCGCATACAGAATGAAGCTGGTCATGGAGTCAAGGTGTGTGTCAAAGAGTTGGATGTTAGCAAGAAGGAGCAGATCGATTCCTTCTTTGAGAATCTAGATGAGGAGTTCAAAGATGTAGATGTTTTAGTCAACAACGCGTAAGTGGATCGCCTGCAAAAGAAAGCCGTACTAAGAGTAATGATGCAGGGGTTTCATGTCCGGTGTAGAACGCCCACCCGATGTACCATCTGATGTTATCACGAGTGTATATGCAACCAATGTCATGGGTGTCATACACATGACGCAGGCTGTGCTTCAGATCTTCAAGAAGCGACCTGATGGCGGAAAGGGAGATATAATCATGTTGGGAAGTATGGCGGGAAGAGAACCGTATGCTGGAGGCTCTGTGAGTTCTCTCGATTGGGTGCAGTGGACAATCATAAGAACTGATTGGCGACAATGTAGATTTACTGCTCTACCAAAGCGGCAGTCCGGTCGTTCACAGAGTCGCTGCGCAAAGAGCTGATAGCCACGCGGATTCGTGTCATGACAGTGGATCCAGGACAAGTGCTTACTGTAGGCCTTTTGCCCTTACGTGGGATCACAGCACTGAGAAGCTGCAGGAGTTTAACGACATCCGGCATCGATTTGACAAGGAGAAAGCGGATGCAGTCTACGCGTAAGCCAAACGACCCTTTTCCTAGTGCGGTATTAACCTACCATAGTGGTTGCGATCCGCTGACGCCGGAGGACATTGCTGAAGTCATTGTGTTTGCGGCCGGGAGGCGAGAGAATGTCGTTGTCGCCGATACCTTACTATACCCTTCGCACCAGGTAGGTGACCTAGTTGAGATTGAGAGGAGTCTAGCTGATAGCTTGCCAGGCGGGCGCATTAGATATTCATCGGCGCCAATAGAGACCCCTCGAAGCGCTGCGCGAGAAGTACTCTGTGTATCGTGGTGTCTTATCGGCTCATGTGATAGTCTAAGGGGTCATGGAGAAATCAAGTGGGTGGCAAGTTGTCGAACGGTTTTTAGACATGAGTGTACCAGAGGGGTGTCACTCTCAAGTAATTTGGCAACATGACCTGTGATGCATCTTGTGAAGGCTTGTGTGAATAAGGATGATAATGGCCAACAATTAATTTACATTATAGACGGGCTATAAGTCCAAGCTGTCATCGCTTATAATCTTAATTTCTCCTAAACAGATTGCATTACATCGATTCTCCAGCCATGGCTAGCACGCGCGGAACAGCCGGCCACCTCATCGGCATCGCAATCGCGATCATGTACACCCTCGCCGGACAAGCCCATTTCACAGACCGGCTCACGCCCGGACTCGCGGCCCAGGTCTGGCTTGCCAGCCTATCTATTCGCAGGGGTTAGGCTAACTATCCTGGTGTTGGTAGGTACAGGAGATGACACCGCGCTCGCATCGCGCAATACTGGTTCCTCAACCTTCCGTACCCACAGGTATTACCTCATTGCATACTTATATAACAAAGAGTACATGATAGGTGCTGTTCAAACAAGTTTTCGACGCTTTCGATCTCCTTGCTGCAGCGGCGTTGTGGCGGTCGAGCACGAGGCGAGTCGGTTTGAGGATGGCAATTGTAGGGTTCTCCGGTGGCTTGTATGGTCAGTGGTATACTAGCGGAGAGATGACACAGGTTGGTGCGTTCTTTGGACTGGCGATCTTGGGTTCGGTGTTGCTGTAGACTCGTGAGCGTCTCAGTAGCGTATATGTTCAACACCAGCTTCATGCAAGTACCGATATAGTTTTGGGGCCAGATATTAGATCTCGGCGGGTCTTTGGATTGGCCCGCCGAATTTTTTTTGTTTTCGATCTCGACCCTTGATGTCTCGCAACTTATGTGATCAAGTATGGCTTGGTTCCATCCTGTCTCGTAACCCTGGTCTTAGAAGCTGAGGATGAAATATATGGGCTGGAACGTGAGGAAAGGGTCGTCCTCGAGCTTCATGTGCTCAATGCTCCGTGCAAACCAATGTTCCGGCTCTCCAAAAGAAGCCCTGAGCTTGCGAACTCGCTCCCGTCGCTTTTCCAGTCAAGCTAGCATGCTCTGTATATACCAATCTTTCATTCTAGCCCAAAGAGTGCCATTCCTAGACCCTACATTGAGCACTTGCTCCATGGTGTGGCCAGCCTCGCCGACACAAACAGCGTACATGTGACTACATGTCCACCACCAGTATTCCTCGAGTCCGATCCTTGGGTATCTACCGTAGTCGTCGTGAGTAGCAGCATCGTATTTCCGTGGCAAGGACTCAGGTAGCATCTCCAGGGTGTCCGAGTCATGCCTCATGCCATCGTGAGGCGACATATTAGCATTGCATTTCTCGCACACACTGAAGATGGCGCGTAAATTCAACACGCCGTAATAAAATCCTGTCTTTACTCCGCAGTGAATACAAATGCACCGGCGAGCGGTGGTCTGGCCTATCGTTGTGCGCCGCAGCGCATGCTCGACACAATCATCTTGAGACTTCGAGTGCGCGACCAAGTATACCAAGGCAGGTATCCTGAGTCTGCGTCTTTTGGCACATCTCACAGATACACGTGCTCTCCATAATTTTCAGCGTGTCCAACCCATGCATCTTGTTTGACATTTGTTTCAATCGGCAATCCTCGCTCTGTTCGGTAATTAGACTCTCTGGCTAGCAGACGGTCGCGACAGTTACACCGTAGACGGCTGATATATGATTTAAAAGTAAGAGACCCTTTATATATATTATTGTAGATAAGAAGAGGATATCGCGCCAGTGTGCAAAGTTAAGGATGACACGGATGGGTTCTGGTTGTTTAGTAAGCAAGTGCAGCTTCACATAGCAGACTGCATGTGCGGGACGCGAGCTATTGGACATGCGGATTTTGAGATGCATTGAAATATGTACAGGGGAATTGTGGAAGGATCAAAGCTATAGACAGGGATGCCGACGGGCTTCTACAACACACATGCTTCCATACATATGCTCTTCTTTACACTTTGCTTCTGTACAAGGATCAGCTTTGCAATGAAAAAGATCAATGTCTGGGTCAAACTCACCCTGCATCCGTAGCCGCTCACACACTGGGTCTAACCTTCTCATCCAAGTCTACCGCACTGCTCACTCTGCAAGCAACAACATCAGTGCCCTCCACTTGCGGCGCAGACCCAGTGTGCAACGGCGTCGACTATTCCCTCTACCGCTTGACCAATACGAAGTAAGTGCACTTAAGTGGACTTCAATGCCAATATTTTCTTGGCTGCATGTTCACCGACAGTGACAATGTATGAAGTCGGGTTCGTGGTGATATGTCTGCATAAGTCAGTACGTAGTCTAGACTAGATGATGGGAATCAACGGCTTACCCAGGGAAGATAGAAGCATCGACAACATGGATGTTGTCCGTACCGTATACTTGTAGGTTTGTATCAACGACGGAAGTTCCACCCTTGAGGCCACTGTCGGTGCCAACCTTGGCGGTACCGATCCAGTGGTTTGCACGACGAGCAGAAGGAGTCTTGGGAAGGCTGGCGACGTAATCTTCAATCGAGACACCGGGTGCAGGAACCTCCCAAGTGATTGATGGTAGCTTGGAAATGGCCTTCTGCATACTCTTCAAACTGGCGATGACGGCGTCGGTATCGGCCTGTTGGGAGAGGTAGGGAGGCTTGCTGACAGTCATGCTAAGAGCGCCGTTAATGGAGGCAACGCCACGCGAGGTCGAACCACGGCCGAGGTAGTTGGAGATAGTCATGGAGTAGTTGTCACCTTCCTTGGGACCCTCAACACGAGCAGTCCACTGGAATTGGCGATCCTTACCATCGGAACCCTTGATGACCTCCCAGGCAAGAGGGCCGATGTTAGGTGCGGACTGAGCAAGGATACCAGCACGGCTCTCCAGGTACAGCTTCTTGTCAGCCGCGATAGGGTCGGTCCAGGCTTGGTAGAAGTCGTAGAAAGAGACATTAGAGTGTTGCACGACGAGATCAGTGTTGACATGATCGTTCAAGTTTTGTCCAACGGGAAGATTGATCCACTGGGAAGAGTTGATGAACGAAGGGCCATCCTGTACACTGTTCTTGACCACGTTAAGCTGGTCAGTTGGACCAATACCGCTTCGGAAGAGAAGCTTAGAGGACCCGAAAGTACCAGCAGATAGGATGACACGCCCGCCGGGGTTGAGCTTGACAGTACCACAGTAGCCGCTCTCGAGCTCTACGCCGGTCGCCTTGCTGCCAGTACGAACAACACGCCTGACAGCGGTGTTGGTAAGCAGCTTGAAGTTGGATCTCTGGAGAGCGGTGACGAGGTAAGTTCCCAAGGGTCCTTGCCTCTGGCCACCTTCGTACATGAACGGCGAGTGCGAAAAGACACGGTTCTTCTGGTCGGGAACACTATTGGCAGTAACCTGCTTCCAGCCATCCGCGGCGAAGGCCGTAGCAAGCACGTTGAAGCCTTCCTGCTTGTAGCGCTTGCCATCTGACGAAGGAGTATCCGTGCCCGGGATGCGCTTGAATACAGCATCCACAGAAGACTTGATGTCAGCCGACTTCCAGCCCGCGGGGAAGTTGGTGTCCCAGTCGATCGCAACAGGCTTCCACCAAAGAGCAGCGTTGACAGCAGTTCCCCCACCGAGGACGCATCCGGCCATCTGATCAGTGTCCGTGCATGCAATACCGGCAGAGTCGACCCAGATCTGGTTGCAAAGACCGGGAACGTCAAATCGAGTCAGCTGGTAGTCCTTGAGCCAGTCAGGCTTCATGGTTCCACCGAAGCGGGCCAGAGATGGCGGGCCCTTCTCGATGAGGAGAACCTTCTTGCCAGCCTCGGAAAGTCTGTCGGCAACCGGGATACCTCCAGCGCCAGCGCCCACAACAATGTAGTCATATGCTTCAGTTGGAGCGGGCTTACCAGCGCAGCTTGTCGGGCCAGCAGGAGCCGAGGATGTAGGAGACGAGGTGGCAGTGGGTGTGGTAGTGGGCGTGCCTGTGGGAGTGCCGCCTGGTATCCAACTGGAGTATTTGGCGTTTCTAGCGTCTGCAACTGAGATACCGAAAATACCCTGCCCATTGTTGTGCTGAACCCATGGGTTGGAGGGAAGAGCCTTGTGCTGGGCCCATCCGATGACTTGGACCTCATCGGGAATCTGTGAGCCAGTTGCACCCTTCTGATCCCAGACCCAGCACCATTCACATCGGTAGATCACCTCAAAGCTGTCAGCGCTAACGGTGTGCGCAATTTGTGTAATCGTAGCGTTGCCGGTGTAGTCTTCGGGGGCGGAGTATCCTCTATAGCCTTTTAGCGCTCAGATTCAGACAAGGAACCCGTGTGACACTTACCCTGCCCAGACAAATTGAGTCTTCACGTTGGTACCATCGGGCGAGGCGACAAGTAAGAGAGAGTTGGCCATGCCGCCTGCGTGACTTATACCACTCCATCCTGCCCCGCTCGGTGTAGAGCCTTTCTGTTGCTAGTCAGAGGGATCCTCGCGATCCGCTCAACTGGAAGACTCACGATATAACCGATGTATTCAGCATTGCCTGAGCCGGTCGCAGGAAGAGCGTAACCCCACTCCAGGCCGCCACTAGTCTCAGCGGTGGAGATGGTCTGACGGAAGAAAGTAATTCCAGTGCCAGCATGTGTGAATGAGTCCTGGGCAAAAGCCGCCGGGATGGCTGCGTTTGTCAGTCGCAGTTCAGCCTTCAGATCGAGCGGCGCGTCGACTTACAAAGAGCGGACAGCAGCGAAGCTGCTTTGAAAGCGGTGAAACCCTTCATCTTGAAGTATTGGCGCCGCGAAAGCAGTACAGGCTGGGCGGGATACCAAGGGGAGCAGAGCAGTCAATGGCCACTGGCCGGACCCATGCCGTCCCACGTCCTCCGTTATATACATTTTGCTTTACCCCGGACTCGAAAAGCGCCTTGGGTGTGGAGTACATCTCACGCGCCACGACGGGTCGTGACAGCCCTCGCGGAGGCTCGCTGCACCTCTCCAGGAACCAGGATCGCCGTTACCCCATACCCCAGCCAGGCTATTCCAAAGTAAAGGGCCGGCTGAGGAAACAGCACGCTGCGATTCGCTGGAACATCACATGGCACTCCGGATGGGGAGGGTAAGAAATATGCAATCTGCGCTAGAATAGACGAGGAACGAAATAGATTGAGATTGATTGATGAAGGACGGGACACAGGCCTAGTTGCCGGCATGCCCTGATGCTTCACGTCGCTTGCATGCCCCTGCGAGGCTTAGTGCCGCACACCCCCGCCAGGAGCGGCGATCCAACGCGAACGGTGGTAGGCGGAACTTCTCTCGAGCACCACAACACCTCAAATCCTCCTCGAATTTCTCGCGATGCTCGCCGATAGCATATGCAGCTGCCAATCCATCGTCAAGCTTCTGGCCTTACTTCAGGGCCCGCAGGTCCCGCAGGTCCCGCGTGGCGTCGCCTCCAAATGAATGCTATCCCCTTGTCAATAGTAGACTTCTTCCGCTTTTAAACGCTGAGGATTGAACATCGCCCTCCGCCAATGGGCGGCGACCGATTAGATTGAGACAGGGCGGGCACTGTCAATTCTCAAATCCTGCTGGTGGTCTTGGTAATTTTCATATCCTCTCACGCCAGCAATCTCCCGGAACAGCTCCCTCTACCCACCGGCATTTTGCGTCGAGGTCCACTTCCGGGCGCTCAGCTTAAGCGCTTGTCCCTCATCAAGGCGATGACTACGGACTTGACGCATCCTTTAGATGCCGAAGCTTCCATGACTTTCTGGCGCAGTCACCTTGCACGTGGGACTATGTGCCGTCTGGGTTACTTCCCACGAACCGTCCATTTGGTCTACCAAACCATTGAACGAGCACTCATCAATCCTTCCCGTTGGAGAGCATTAGAAACAAGTACCGATATCGGTGGAATATATCTGATCGTTGCATCACTTCAAGCTCGAGATTGATGCTCGAGATCCTAAGAGTTGTTCGCCCCTGAGAACGAGATGTTGCGAGAGCAACTTTGTCACTCCCAAAAGCCCGACTTGAAGTATTAGATTGCCACGTGCACATGTTCCTCTAGGGCTACAACGCACACCACCTCCGCATAGCTGCATGTCCACGGAGTGGCGCAATGACACACAGACACCATTCCCGTCCATACACGGAAACATCTCCTCACCCCTGCACTCCGCTCGGAATTGAACTGGACTTTCCATGGAAGGGAAACGCAAAACCAACGCAACAGCCATGCTTCGGTCGAGGTTGATCCGCCCATGAAGACCAATCATCAATGTCACTTCCAACGATGGGCTCGGCAACGCAAGGTGGGTGCCCGAGCAACGCAATGCACAAGGGTTCTGACATGCATGAATCCTCCGAAGACTACTCTACTCTAAGGCATTATCTAGTCATGTGAGCACTCATATGGAATATCGCCACGGTGGATCTCGCTAAGTCAAGACAGTTGAACACCTGCAAGTGAGTTTCGGCGGAATGGTACCATCTTTGGTCAGTATAGTCGGGAGCGATGCCGCAGATCCTATCAGTCCAGCCCATCCAGGACTCAAGATGGTCCACCTCAAAATCCGATGATCGCTTGAAGACAAAAGCAATTGGCCTCAAGTGTACATTCCACAGGGCTCAGAGTGGATTGCCAAACACAAGTTAACTTGCAAGTTTAAGGGATACAAGGATGGTCGCGATAAGAGTGGGGCATGATGGGGCTGTAAAGAAAAAAAGGCCAAATTGAATTCCGTCCATGACCTTGCGCCCCAAGCGGCCAGCAAAGATTGGTGTCTCGAATCATGCAGTACCTTGCCGTACGCGACTTTTGAAGGAATTTGTCATGGCTCTTCAACAGTGGAGCTACCGCGCCCTTCCAAGTTGAGAATCTCTTTACATAGCGCCCCAAGCTGCCGTTTCCTTCGTCTGTTAATGAGCTGTGCTCAATTCAATGTATTTGAAGAGCAAGCACAAGCCCATCCAACGTTAACCTCCGAGGAGCTTAGACAGGCCGACATCGAGTTTCAGCTGTTTTGGCTTCAGCAAAAATCATCCACAAATTTCGACCTAGGTCATTCACTTGCCAGGGGGCAGACTTTGGGTTGTTGTACAAGTACCCGAACGAGACAACTGTGGCGCCATGGGGACTTATTGCCTCCATCTTGCGTCTCAGCTGCAGCCACACTAACTGCGTAGACCATGAACACCACACGTTTCTCACATCTCAGACAAGTATTCGTGCTATGAAGCAAACCTTACGCTCAAGGAGTTACTTTCGTACCCGCCCCACAAACCAGTCACGTGCAAACACCGCGCCGCGCTTGTGCATCGTCTGCAAGGCGGCTTCTTAGCTCCCGGGCCCAGTCCCCGCCCGCAATCAACATTGCACCTCCACAATTCACGCTGCGCTTCGATCCACAACATCGTACTCTCGCTCCCTTTACCCGAACCAGATTACACTTGCGCCGCAATCTCAGAACACACGCACAGTCGATCTCGGCACAATGCATGACGAACGTGAGTCTCAGATCTCAGTCCCAGTCTCCGCGTTGCGCTTGCCCGCAAGATGCCTTGCACACGGCTTCGCTGCCTTGCGTGGGCCGCCACTACTGTGCATGCACGGCCATGTGGACTATTGAACATCCACGGTCCAGTGCTCAGCGTGAAGTCGTGCCCGTCTCGTGAAAGAGATGCGCGCAGCACGTGCGATGCGTCGCGCTCGTTTCCGCGAAACGCCTATCCCGCTTTGCAAGTCGCCCACGCCATTGACCCATGCTGACAATACCATAGATCCCCATCCCCTTCTCGCTCAAGTCCCTCTGACCGTCTCTCCTTTCGTTTCTCTCCCGACCGCAACCCCTCTCCCCTACACCTACAAGCAACTCCCGTCCACGCTTCCCCCAAGTGTTCTCTCCTCAAACGCCACTTCCGACCCCACGCAACCACAATCGCAGTCCCAGCCTCAACAGCCGCCCGCCTACGTCGTGTCCAGCTCCGGTACAACTGCGACCCCCGATCAGATTCTCAGTTCCTGCCTCGCGCTCCAATCACATCTGCAGAGCCTCGAGAACGAGGCGCGGAGTACGCTAAGGGCATGGGAAGATAAGCGCAAGGCAGAAGACTTGGCGGAGAAGAGGAGAGTCGCACCTGGGTGGTTGGATGGCGACGTGAAGCTTTTGAGGCCGGAGAATGTCGGTGGTGAGGACGCAGAAATGGGCGAGGCAAGCGCAATGGGCCAGAGTCAGGCACAACAGAGTCCACATCAACGGAGGACAAGTGTGGGGATCAAGGCCCTCGTGGAGCGGCGGGATGGCCTGCCGGACCCTAGTGAAGGGGAAGAACTGGACAGAGCGTTCGGAGGCATGGGCTTGAAGTAGTCCCGCACGCAATGCGCAATGTGACCCGGTGGAACATTTTTGAGATGTACTGTCACTGCACAAAGAAGTGTTCGTCCAGCGGGAACCATGAATAATTAATCTACCAGTCCGGTGACCCACGCTAGTGTAGCTATCTGCCGAACCTCTACTTCTTCTGGAGCAACTAACACTCCAGTCGGAAGGCACAATACACGATGCATCGGCCTTCTTCGTGCGGTACCAAGCCAATATATCCATACTACCCTTTCCGATTCCTCCAAGCCAACAACCACATCGATTACAAACATATGAAAGATAACAAAAGGGGAATCACGAAATGCAAAGTAATTAGGCTCGTGCCACAAACCAGCTGAAGCCCACACTCCCACGACGCCTTGGAGATACGCTTAACGACGGCCGTGCGAGCGGTTGCCCATGGTGCTCTGCAGCGATTCGACTTCGGCCTCTAGGTTCTTGATCATGGCGTGGCTGGCCTCGAGGTCTTTGTTGAGGCGGTCGCGCTCCGAAATAAGCTTCTGTTCCCATTGCCTGAATCGCTGCTCCTCGACCTTGACCTGCTCCGTGAAACGCTTGCGGAGCGCCTCTTCCTCCTCCTTGAACTTGGGGTTGTCGAGCTTCCGTGGGCGAGCCTCGCCGAATTTGCGTGTCTCCATCTGCTGCGCGCGGTAGGCCTCGTAGTGGTTCTCTTCGGTCGTGTGGATGAGGTCGAGCATGTGAGTTCGGATAAGGATAGCACGGAGCTTCTTGAAGTCGCAGTGCTCCTCGTTCTCCACCTCGGCGACACCCCAAGCATACTGTCGGCCCTTGACAGTGCGGCCATCGTTGGTTTGAACATCCTTCTCGGACCCGATGACGGAGAAAGGCATAGCGTTGATCAGGCCCTGGGCGTGTGCCATGGCGGCCTGGTCATCGTCCTCGAGCTGGGGCTGGTAGAACTTGATGCCCTGTGCCTCAAGAACGGCGCGCACCTGATCGCGATTAGTAGCTGTACAACTCTGTGTAGCGTGCAACGTACCCTAGACTTGAATTTGGCCAGATCAGAGGGGCTCAAAGTGTCCGCCTTGGCGACCACAGGGATAAGATTGACACGTGTGCAGAGCTTCTTCATCACCTCAATGTCGAGTGGCTTGAGAGTGTGGCCGGTAGGCCGGATGAAGTACAGGCAGGCGTGCACGCGGAGATCGATCTTATCGCTGCGCTTCGGCTGCTGCTCCTGCAACATGAACGACTCATGCTGGTCGTCGAGGAACTCAATGATGGGTTGCCAGGAGTCGCGGTTGTTGACGTAGTCGCCGAAGCCAGGGGTGTCGATGACGGTCAGACGGACTGCGCGTGTCAGTAAGTAGGACCTTGGGGTGAATTCGGCAGCATATACCCTTGAAGAATTTCTCCTCGAGTTCTGCCTTTGTGATCTCAATCTCGACCGTCTTGTCCATTTGCTTCATGTGGCGGCGCTTGTGGTCGGCATAGTTCTTGATGGTGGTGGAGAAGAGCGTGTTGATGAAGGTCGTCTTTCCGAGGCCAGACTCGCCGGCAACCTGGGCCTGTCAGCATGTCTCGCGGCTTTTGAGAGTGTGACGGGCGCGTACCATGATGGTGAAGTTGGCACCGCGCTTGGCGACAATCTTGTGCCTGTCTCATGTTAGGCTGGTAGGGGTCTTCTGTTTGGTGAGGGCGTACCTCTGGTTGGGCAACTGCGATACACGTCAGTACACGGCTCGTGAAGCTGCTGCGGGGTGTGCACTTACGTTGGCAATGCCAATTGGGGACGCTGAGTCGGCCATTGTGCTGTGAAGGGGGCGTCTGGAGCGTTGGGAGAGGGGGCGTCTGGTGCAGCGGCGTGTTAGCGGAGGCAGCTCCAGCTTGGGGCAGCAGCAGAGCGCGAGCTTACAGGCGGAAAGGTGCACAGCGAAGGGAGAATGGTTTCCTGGAAACGTGCAGCTGCGGGTGCGGGGGGAAGCAGGCTGGCCGGGTTCCTCTGGCGGTGGTTTGGAGAGCGTGGTGTTGCTGCTGCTGGATAATTTGGCGTCCCCTTTCCAGCACGCCCTCTCTCGGCAAGCGCTGGCACCGAACGGGGAAGGCGCGCTAGTAGATCCAGCGGCGCGCCGGGGGACTTCACTAGCGGTCCGAGCTCCATCTCAAAAAAAAGTTCACGGCGCATGCGTCTCCGCCGCCGCAGTGCGATAGCGACGACGCGCCACGGACATCCTACACAATGAAGACGGATTTTCAGGTGGGCACTGCGGCCCGCTCAAGTGAGGCCTGGGCTAATTGCCGCGACAGTTCTCCAATCTGCTGGGCACCGTCTACAGCAGAGGCAACCTGGTATTCACCCCAGATGGCACGTGCCTGCTCTCGCCTGTGGGCAACCGTGTGAGCGTCTTCGATCTAGTCAAGTATGCCTCGCAGACCGATGGGGAAGCAACAAGCAGCTGATTGCGCAACAGCTCGACATCCTACACCCTTCCCTTCGCACATCGCAAAAACATCGCTCGACTCGCCCTCAACCCGAAGGGCAATATCCTCCTCACAGTAGATCTCGACGGCCATGCGATCCTTACCAACGTACCTCGCCGAATCGTCCTCTACCATTTTTCTCTCCGTGGCGAAGCCACTGCGCTCGTCTTTGCTCCCGATGGGAGACACTTCGCAGTTGGAATAGGAAGAAATATCGAAATATGGAGGACGCCGTCAACGCCGGACGTTGCAGATGGCGACCTCGAGTTCGCGCCCTTCGTGCGAGACCGCATATTCACAGGGCACCACGACACCGTGACGACGATTGAATGGTCCAGAGACTCGCGCTTTCTGCTGAGCGCATCCAGAGACATAACCACCCGGATATGGAGCATCGAAGCGGAAGACGGGTTCAGACCCACTACGCTCTCGGCGCATAAGCAGGCTGTCGTGGGCGCTTGGTTCAGTGCAGATCAAGAAACAATCTACACAGTCAGCAAAGATGGCGCGCTTTTCGTGTGGAAGTACATGCTGCGCTATGACGCACCAGAAGGTGCGGATGAAGAGGATGACAAGTATTTGGCGTGGGGTATCGCCGAGCGTTTCTACTTCCACCAGAACAATGCCCATGTCACTTGCGCGAGCTTCCACCCGGAAACAAAATTGCTGGTAACTGGCTTTTCGCATGGGCTCTTCTTCATTCACGAGCTCCCAACGTTCAGCGAGATACAAAACCTAAGGTAGGTACCGACAACATTAGCTGCAGCCTACTCTGCTAATCTGCCTCTAGCATTTCACAGAATGACATTGATTATGTCGCAATAAACAAGACAGGAGAGTGGCTCGCCTTTGGCGCCTCAAAACTGGGGCAGCTGCTGGTCTGGGAGTGGCAGTCTGAGTCGTATATCTTGAAACAACAAGCTCACCATGACGTGATGAACACCATCGCCTACTCACCGGAGGGCCAGCGCATCATCACTGCTGCTGATGACGGCAAGATCAAAGTCTGGGACGTCAACTCAGGATTCTGCGTGGTTACCTTCACAGAGCACATTGGTGCGGTCACAGGATGCGAATTCGCAAAGAGGGGAAACGTATTATTCACCGCAAGTCTGGACGGATCTGTTAGAGCTTGGGATCTTATAAGATATCGCAACTTCCGAACATTCACGGCGCCTTCCAAAATCCAGTTCACGTCGTTAGCGGTCGATCCTAGTGGCGAAGTCGTATGCGCAGGGTCCCTTGATTCGTTCGATATTCATATTTGGTCTGTCCAGACTGGACAGCTGTTGGATCGATTGGCCGGTCACGAAGGCCCTGTCATGTCCCTAGCATTCTCACCAGACGGGAGCACACTGGTGAGCGGCAGCTGGGACCGGACAGTGCGCTTGTGGAACATTTTCGCTCGATCACAAACGAGCGAGCCCTTGCAGCTTATGGCCGACGTCACGTCCGTCGCTGTACGGCCGGATAACAAACAAATTGCTGTCACTACATTGGATGGTCAACTGACCTTTTGGTTAGTATCGGAAGCTTCGCAACAATCAGGTGTGGATGCGCGACGCGACGTCTCTGGTGGTCGCAAGATGACAGATCGACGAACTGCTGCAAATGTTGCTGGAACGAAAGCTTTCGACACGGTAAGATACAGTGCCGACGGAACATGTGTGCTTGCCGGCGGCAAGAGCAAGTACATCTGCCTATACGATGTCCAATCTGGTGTTCTTATAAAAAAGTTCACTGTCTCTGTCAACTTGTCGCTCGACGGAACGCAGGAGTTCTTAAACAGCAAATTGCTCACTGAAGCTGGTCCCCAGGGCCTGTTGGATGAGCAGGGTGAAGAGTCAGATCTCGAGAATCGACGAGATTCCACCCTTCCTGGTGCACAACGTGGCGCAGGCGCCAGGAGAACACGAGCAGCAGTACGTGTGCCAGCTGTAGCATTCTCGCCAACCGGTAGAGCGTTCTGCGCCGCCTCGACCGAAGGTCTCCTCATCTACTCGTTGGACACGACATTCCAATTCGATCCCTTTGACCTCGATATCACCGTCACGCCCGGAACGACTCTCTCAACTCTTACGCAAAAGGAATACTTAAAAGCGCTCGTTATGGCGTTCCGGCTCAACGAGCGCAATCTCATCCGCCGCGTGTTTGAGGCGACACCGACTACAGACATAGCGCTTGTAGTCAAGGACCTGCCAAAGGTGTATCTTGGACGTCTAGTTCGCTTCGTCGCGCTCCAAGCCGACGAATCGCCACACCTCGAATTCAATCTAATGTGGATCGAGGCTCTATTGAGCAAGCACGGTCGATGGATGAAGGAGAACCGAGCGGGTATGGAGGCAGAACTGCGAAGTGTTGAGAAGGCGGTACGCCGGATACAAACAGAGTTGGCTCGGTTGGCTGATGAGAACATCTATCGCATTGAGTACTTGCTTGCGCAACCTATTGAAAAGAAGGAACAAACCTTACAATTGGACTTCAGTGTCAAAGAGGTAGAAGATGGCATAGACGAAGTCATGGATGACGGCTCGGATGACGAAGGCGACTGGATGGGCTTCGACTGAGATACCAGATACCAAGATACCCTACACAAATGCAACGCTCACCACGAGCAAACACCGATCAGCACCTGCTGCGAAATGCATTATTGTTCGTGATTGAACGCAGGATAGTAGTCGATATATGCCTTCAAGGGGTTGGCTCCCTTTTCCCATTTTTCTTTCATCTCTAGGTCCGATGGCAATAATGGCGACTACCACACACCTCGTCCAACTGTATGACGACTCGTGTCTACCGGCTGTCAGGCTGTTTTGACAGTATCCTTGACTCCGACATGCCACTTCTACGATCCCATGTTTCTCTTCTTACACCTTGGCGAAAAGCTTGCGCACGTATCTGCGGCAGTTGCGACCGACATTCCAACGGCAGCACAGACTTTTCATCGGATGAGAGTCGAACGGCCTGCCTCAAAAGGTATATCGCATTCTGGAATCGTCAGTGCCAAGCTTTGCGGCGCTGATCAAGCAGTATTTGTGCCATGAGCCGCTACTTAGCTTCGTTGGTGCTAGCGGATGCTAGCGAGCCCTACTGCGAAACGCGAAGCAATGCCTCCGAAACCTTCCTTGCGGCACTACACATTGGAAAACCGACAACTCGAAGCGAAAACAGCGCGGGCCAATCTGTCAAACAGTGCATGGCGTGATGCCCATCATTGCTGTGGCTTGGCAGGGAGGCGCACAGAAACACAGAGCATGAGGCTCCGCGACAAGCTGCCGCACTACAGGGGGATTAGGGCCGTAGAAACACATGCATTGGTGGCTTATTTCCATGTTTGTCACGCGATGCGTGCCGCTGGCTCTTACGCACCCCTACTGTGAACAGCAGCTGAGGCATGGAGTGGAGTTCGCAGGCACCTACACCCAGTACACCACCATCTAGTGGCATCGTACAGTGGGCCCATATGGGACATTGAAGTGTGGAAGGAGCCAGTATGCGTCGGTTGGCGCCCGAGGCCTACGCAGCTAGGCCACGGCAGGCCAGTCAGGCTACAATATAAGGTGTCTGGCGGTCCGCTGTGGGAGAATCATCCACTGATCACTGTTCACTTCTGGGATACTGGAGATCCATTCTTTCTAGTCTTTCTTTTATTTCCAATCCTCTTCGATTCGATTCGTCGCGCTGTGCGCTTTTACACTTAACTCAGAATGCGTTACCAGACCTCTATCCTGGCGCTAGCCGCTGTCTTCTCCTCCGTTCAGGCTCATGGAACCATCGAGTCAGCCATTGGCGAGTCCGGTGAGAGCAAGGGGTTCAAAGTCGACGACTCCCTTGCTCGTAACTGTACTGGCATCAGCCCGTGCCAGCAGGACACCACTATCATCAGAGACAGCGAGATCACGCAGAACATTGTCAACTCTTGCGGCCGAACAGAGATCGATGGCAACATCGACGTTGGGGGTGAGACCGAGAAGGCCATCGCAGCCAAAAAAGTGACGACTGTCAAGAAGGGCTCGCAGCTCGCTGTCACCATCCACCAAGTCAATGCCGATGGCGCCGGCCCTTACGAGTGCGATCTCGACGTGACCAGCAACGCAGCGACCAGCTTCGTCAAGCTTCAAGTCACCAACAACGTTCCCGGCGTAAACGGCCTCTCTCAAGCCGAGGCCACCAACTTCACTATCAACGTGCAGATGCCTGATGACTTCAACTGCGTTGGCGCCTCCACAGGTAACATCTGCACTGTTCGATGCCGCAACACTGCTGTCGCCGGCCCCTTTGGTGGCTGCTTCCCGGTTCAGCAAACCGATGGAACAGGCCGCGCCAATAACCAAACTGCTGGTTGTAAGTCCAAACAATGTCCCCATGTGCAACATCGCATGAGCACAATGACTCATTTGTTACCCCAGCCATCACCACCGCCCAGACCCTTGATGGCATCAACAAGCAGATTGCCCAGAACAAGAAGGATCTCCCTGTTGCCATTGCCGCTATCGCTGCCGCTGGCGCGGTTGCCGGCAATGCTGATGCTAGCCGTGTCTCCGGTGCGTTGCTTCCCTCCGCTACGTCGTTCTGAAAAGATCTTCGCTAACTATCAAACCAGCTCTCGTCCCTGCTGCGAGCCAGACTGCTGCCGCCGGTGCGGGTACTGGAAACGCCGCGAATGGCAACACTGGCAACGCCAACACTGGAAACGGGAAAAACGGCAATGGGAACGGCCGTAACCGGGGCAATGGCAATGGTAACGCCGCCAACGCTGCGAATGGTAATGCTGCGAATGGCAATGGTAACGCCGCCAACGCTGCGAATGGCAATGCTGCGAATGGCAACGGTCAAGCGGCGACTGGCAACGGCCGCAACAGGAACAACAACAGACGCGATAGGAGCCGCAAGTTCCTTTCTCGCTTCATCAACCCCAATGCCATGGCTTAAATGCCAAGGTCCATCGCTACACTGAATCATCCTTCATAATTGTAACAATCATCGAGGATACAAAGATAAAGCGATATTCTCCAGGTGGTCTAATTGCGAAGATCAGTGAGCGAGATAGAAGCTATGTGGGCCTGTTGTGCATAGGGTAGAGACTGGGACTGCATAATGAGTTTTTTTGTATTGTATATACCACTCCATTTTAATTTGCCGATACGCAGGATTGGGTAAAAAGATTGACTCAACTTGCTCATTGGACTATGGAAGTGACATGCAAAACTGCCTTCCTCGCGACGGGGAATAACCTGAGACGAAAGAATATTTGTGGCTATTGTGAGGCGACGAGACTCAAAAAGATAACTGAGGCAAATTCCGCCCACTTGAGGACAATTCAAGACACTTGCTAATACCAAACCAACCTCATGTGCCCCGTGGACGTATATCCCTCATACGTAAACCTCGCCATGAGGTTTCGACTAAATTGAATACATGGTATCTAAGCGCCTGGTCCAGGAATTGCAGCCGCGCTTATGCGCTCCAGCAAGTGCAAACTTGTGCCTAGAACCATCGAGCTCTGACAATTTGGGAGACTGCCTACAATCTCGAATGCTTGCAGCGCCTGAATTTACTGGTGTGTTTCCGTTTGCGCCTCATAATTGACTGGGTAAAGTACAATAATCGTAGTACTGTGAAAGCTTTGCAGCTCAATTGTATACCCATGGGTCCAAGGCAATTGCGTTGAAGAGGATCCGAAGATGGGCTTCCGAGAACGAGGGCCAGCAGGCGCGCTAGCTGCTCTTAGTCTCCCGGTACCCTAAGTTACCCCACCCATCCCAGCCTTCCTCCGACGACATCGTGCTTTGTCAACATCATCGCATGACCTGTGACACACGATTTCTTACAACGCCGCTTGCTGTAGCCTGGCAACATTTCATATCCTGACTTCGTGCCTCTTGCAGGCCAAATGGCAGCCAATTGCCCCGCGATAAGCCGATCGTCCTGGGAGACATTGTTTAACGCGACAGAAATACTCCATCAGCGATGGGAAGATAGCCCTGAAGACAATCGGAAGAGGCTAGAGCTCTGCTGGGGCTATAATGATTGTGGAGATTGCCATCGCAGCAAAGGCCATTGCGGATGGTGTGCAATCGTGAGTCTAACCTCGCTCGTTCCACCTCTCCGCCTTTGTCTGCTCTCCACGATTACCATTGCTCCGTGATCTAGCCCTCGTCCTCACTGCGAGCACTCGTCATACGGCTTCTAACCTGTATCAGTCAAACACATGTCTACCGCTACCCATGGATCCCTTGTCTCGTGCTTTCCCTCTCCTCTCTCCGATCCGGTACAAATTCATATGCGCAACTGGTCCCGAGCGCTTCGAATTACGTACCAGCGGTCTCGGATGCCAAGTCTCCACCATCACTTTTCTAACGTCCGTCGTCACCATCTTCTGCACACTGTTCGGTGTTCTGGTCATCTATCTTCTTTTTCGCACAGCTGAGAGGATCAGCTTCACCCTGAAAGCGAGGAAAGGTGGCTGGGTGGTTTATGCTGATGGTAGGGAGGATATTTGGGTCAGGAAGAGCGAAGGCTTGGGGAGGTGGTGGAGACAAGTCATTGGACGACCCAAAGAACATGAAGTTCTCGAAGTCGATGGAGGGACACGGGGAAGAAGTTGGAGGGCCTGGATGAGAAGGTCGAGGGACCGCGAAGGCAGAAATGCAATTAGCGAGAACCGTCCGTTACTTGGTTGAAAGCCCTTCTTGTGGTCCCGGCCCTGCTCCCCCGAACAACGTTCAATAAGAGAAAATTGAAGGTTCATTGCGTATCGTACGGTGCCTGTTGCTCCGGTCACCGCTGGCTTTTTCTCGCTTAGCCAACTTCGCCTGCTGTGCTCAAATATCCGTCTCCTCCGCGATGTGAATCGAACCTGCACCCACTTTGGACACATACTTCGCTGAGAGCGAGCTTTACGTCCTGGACTCTCCATTTCAGCCTGGCTTGGTCCTGGCTTACCACGATGGCTACCCAGAAATTCGGGTACAACCGTCCCCACCATACCAACCTCCCACCTCCGTCCGAGAAGAGCTCCAGTCGGCACACCTCGCAAATATCTATCTGACCGACCACTACAAGCCATGACCGATATGTAGAAGGCACCTGAATTTTGGGTTGGACCTGCGGGTTGGACTGGGGTCTGCGATCTGCGCAACGATTACTTGCGCTACCCCATCGATGGAAGGCTTGGTATTCCTCATCTGTCAATACCAATGTCCAAGACAACGGGGGATACCTATACCCTGAGGCCGCGGTACCGATTCTGCGAGATCTGCGACTACAGCGTTCCCGTTCACGAATGGCGGGAGCATAATAAATCGGAGGACCACTATGCAAACGAGAAAGAGGCGCTCCGAAACTATGAAATCAAGCTATCCGGTGATGCAGTGCCCACCGTAAACGGCAGCTTGGAGGCAAAGATTTTCTTCTGCGACCGCCATGAACATTGCGGAGCACAGCCATGTTGTACTTGCGAGCAATCCCGGAAAATTCTCACGACCAGTTACTCGCCTCGGCCCAAACAGGCTTGTGAACTGTCCCAGGATACTTCTATGGCCGATTGTCTACCTGGGCTCGAAGAATTAGTGTGGATGATGGAACAATTCAATACAACTGGGGGCAACAAGGGTCGGGCCGACACAACCTGGGCCTCTTGTGATTGCGGTATTGCAGTGCTCAGAGATGCGCTAGTTGCAAGCCACCATCAGTGCTTACCAAAGGCGCACAAGATAGCCGTGATCCAGAAACAACTTCACTGGCGCCATCATTTCTCGCAATCGAAGGGCTCACTCCCCAACCATCTCAAGTGTACTGCACCATCTGCGAACGCCGGGTCGAGGATTGGCGAGCGCACGTCGACGGAGGTCTTCACCGCAGGAACGATATCCTGAAGAGGGATCGAGAAGTGGAAGAGGAAAAATCAGAACGGCACCTAACATTCCTGTGGTGTGTTGGGGTGCGCCGGCGAATGCACTTATTGCGACACTTCAAAAGGCCTGACTCAGCATGGCTTTGTCTACGACGCGCCCACGCCCGCCACCGCGGAGCTAGATGCGAAACAGCGGGAGGATATACGCGGTGACTTGTAGAAATCTGATAATGAAGCGGGGAATGGCCAGACCATCCGAAGCTCTCGGGTGGACTCATCTTGTGGCGAATCCCAGCGTTTCCCAAAACCCAAGGCGGTTCACAAGACTACCGGTCCGTACGCCTCCAAGAACAGCCTTTCGAGCGAAGACATGTCCGAATACCGAATTCGGGGTAAAAGCGTATTTCCTTCTGACTCGAGTCACTTGTCAGGCAATAGGCTTACCCAGTCTCCTGTCCGCCATGATCTTGTCGTAACGTATTGGATCACCGTTGAGTCTGGAGAGCGGAATATCCACAGTCCCGTCGAGCCTGAGCAGGTTGCTGGATCTGAGAAGGACATCATCAATGCGGCATGAAGAAGATCTGGTCGTGGGTTCAAGGCTTGAAGATCGAGGATAGGGCCTGCCTGTAGGATGCATTCGATCTAGCGTGGTCAATGCATAGCGATATAGCGGAGATAGCGGAGCCAGCAGATCATGATCAAGGCCACAGTGGCTTCTGGGACGCGGATGAGCATGCGAGCAAGGCTAGCTCTGCCGCTTCCACCGAGAACACCATGAGGACCAAGAAGATAGGCCAGGGCTGAGACCCCACCGGTTGGAAGGATGAAAAGTGTGAGCCTAATGTTACTTCGGCCGCACCTTCGCGCGATCAGGGCGAGGACGAGCACTTGGAGAACCCTCCCAACAATGCCAACACTCGCGACTCCACCGAGCAACCCTCCAAGAAGACTACCAATACCAACAATGCCAAGAAGAAGGATTCCGACAACACCGGTTGGAACCACATCGGAATTGATACTGGCGGTGGTTGGGCTACATGCACAGGCAACGCCTGGGGCGCCGTGGGTGGTTGGAGAGCCTGAAACGCTTTGCCTCCACGGGTTGCTCTCTTCCTACCTTTCATGACTCAAAGAATACTCACTTCAGACATGTTGATCACGATCATTGAAGCGACTGGCCAGTTAGCAGGTGTCTGCGAGTTTAGTATATTCACAACCAACAGCATCTACGATAGCCCGCCTTTCACTGCGGTAGCATAATTGTGCGGTGGATGATTGAGTCTCCTCAGACTGCCGTACTCTAAAAGCAAGCACAGGTTTGCGACATGGTTAGCTTACTATGGTTTGTCTTACATGGGGTTCCTGTGTTTTATGACTGGACGCTATAACGCCTGTCTCTGGATAGCAGTATATGTGCACCAGTACAGTCTGGCATTGCGGCATACCCAAATAGTCATTGCCTATGAATCAAAACGTAAGAGTTCATTCAAATCTCATGTCCTTGTGATAACCGAAGGTGCAAGCTGCGGATGTATGCTCATCACGACGCGATTGTGGTTGGAGGGTAATTCCATCACGTGTGATTGATTGGATGAAGAAAACAGAGAAATTGTTTCTAGATGTTTTGCGGAAAAGACGAAACGAATCATTTATCATTTCTAGGAGGGCACGGCACGCGGGTCCAAGCCCTCATCCACCTCCTCACTCCACTCACCTCCGAACCAACTTTCTGATTCAACTCTCCTAATCTTTCGCCTCCTCATCCCTAAAACCGCCAAATTCCACATCCCTCTGCCATTTTCACCTCGCACAGTGCTATTTCACATCTCTAACGAGTTACACCGTCAGATAACAACGTTCCTATTGTGGGTCTCAAGCACGACGTGGAGACATAAGGCTCCCACAATTATAAAGACGAAGACGGCAAAGATGACGCCGACGATGTCGGATTCTAAATGGCCCATTTTTGTTGTTCGCGGGGTTTGGTCGTGTACTTGATTGCGGTGTTTGTGTTCTCGGGTTCAATCCTCGGAGAGACTTGTTAGACCTCGAGGCAGGGTGAGTCGTGTTAGTGTCTAAGTTGGAGAGCAAAGTGGCGTGCGGCTGGGGTTTAAGTATGTGCTAAATGAAGAATAGCCATGGCACGTCTTTGTGATACATGTTTGAGGATTGCCGTGATGATCATAGTACATCTTTGGTGTGCAGTCATCTGGCATGCGTACACAACTTTGGGTTGCTGCAACGGAAACAGGTTCATGTGCTGTGGGCTCCCATCTCCAAGGTCAGCGATCATGAGAGCATACGTACAACTCAGTGACATTTGAATTCGCACAAACGATGATGTTATTTGCAACGTCTGTAGATCAGTGGTACAGGCCACTCGCACCGCATAGCACAAGTTCCATGCCTTATGCCTACGCCTCATCAAGCCTCCCAGTTCCTTCCTGACAGGGTCGACTGCGAGCTGAATATCAAAACGTACATTCATCTCGGACCAGCATGCTAATCATTCAGCCTGCATACACAGGTTAGTCCTGCCATCACTGTCATGCCATTAATCCACCAGTTCCTCACGACGCTGGCACATTGCATAGACCTTTTCGTCTAGATCGATGTTGCCGACATACATTTTGTGCCAGCTGCGCGCGAATGACGCGAGGCTTTGACGTGATGATACAGAGATATGAGGAATTGCTGCGATGGGACTTGCCTCAGGATCGTCTACGAGGTATAGCTGATGGCGCTGGAAGCGGGAATAGATATTGAGCGTGAAGTGATAACCGGTGAGTGCACAGGGCTGGTACAGAGAAGTATTTTTGACGGAATGATTGGTGTTCTGGGAGGATCCGTCACCCCTTAACGTCATCTTCGATCTTCAAGTCCCCTACCTGGACCGCCTCGGCGCCATCCTCGATCCCCACAAGGCCTATGAGCACCTCATCATCAATGACATGCATCATGTCTTGCTTCTTCTCCGGCTGCTGGCCCTGCGCGCCCTTGAGTACCGCTTTGCCCTTGCCACCCAACTCGCCGTTCCACCTCTTCGGATTCTTCTTTTCTTGCTTGGCATGCTCTTCGCTCCGGAAGTGATAGCCCCTGGCTCTTGGACCCTGGCCAGTCTTCTCGGGCAGCTGCGGCTCGTAATAGGCCTCGAAAGCGGCAACGTGTGCGTCGAAGGTGCCAGCGTCAATGGAGCTGCGGATGGAAGTGAAGAAGGATTCGACGACGGCGTGGTTGTGCACCTGGATGAGGAACCAGCCGAGCATCTCCTTGGCGGAGAGGAGGTGTTGGACGTAGGCGCGGTGGTGCTTGGTGCACGCATAGCATCGGCAACCGTTGGACAAGGGCGCTAGGGCGAGGGCGTGCTCGGCGTGCCACATGTCGATGCCCAGCGTCTGTCTGCCGGAGCCGTTGACCTTATCAGGGGGCGGGAAGGTGAAGTCGAGGGCGATGCCGGCGTCAGTGGCGGACGAGATGAAGGGCACCGTCAGCAGGTCCATGCCGAGGCTGACCTGGCGGAGCAGCTCATGCGGGCTGGCGGGGACGTGCAAGGACAGGCGCGGGAGGTGGTGCAGGGCGTCGGGCAGGTCGTCGAGCAGGAAGGCGTCGTAGATGGCCACGCCGCTGATGCTGTCGGCCATGTCGTCGAGCAGGTGCTCGAGGTACCACGACTGCAGGTCGCGCTCGATGGGCAGGATGGGCGCGAAGATGGCGAAGCGCGGCTCACCCGGGGCCATGGCGGTGCGCGTAGCCACGAGATGGCGCAGCCACGCCTCGGTGCGGTCGCTCATCTTGTCCTTGCGCTTGATGCCGATGGTCGCCTGCCCAAACGGAATGTCGGCCATGCCCACGACCACGTCCGGCTGCAGCTTGCGCGCTGCCGCCGCGTAGTACTCGGAGCTCACCGACTTGTAGCCCACCGACGTCAGCAGGCTGATGGCCGTGGACGTGTGCGCGGCGGGCGTGGGGACAGGCGGCGTGCGGCGCGCCCCCAGCACCAGCGGCGTGTCGTGCGGGAGCGCTGCGAACCTGCGCAGCGGCTCGGGGACATTGTACTCGAATATCGGCGGCGTCTTCTCCGGGTGCTTCTCTACGACTGGGCCGTGTCAGCGCACGCACTGCGAGCCGGGGCAGCTGCAACCAACAGTCCTCCAAGGCAACGTACACCCCGTTGCTGCCGGCGTATCTGCAAAAGTTGTCCGGCGACATGTGCGGGATCACACCGCGCGACGTGTTGCCCAGGAATGCCGGCGTCAATATGGGCTTCCTGCCGCCCAGTGTCAAGCGACCCAGACGCGGGGCGAGCGCGCCTGTTGTCTTCAAGAGCGCAAAGTCGAGCATTTCCGGTGGGAGCTGCGAAACGTCTGGCATTGGCGTGCCCGGAGACATGGCGCCTACTGCACCGAGGCCAATGGAATGATGCTTAAACCGCACGCCGGTGCTTCTCGCGATTTCGCAATGCTCCCAGAGCGAAGATGTGGGATCGGACGTGGGGCCCTTCGCGATGCCGACCGAGCATCTCTTTTTTACATCACGTGACCGCGCGTCACCCGCGGACTCATAGACCCTGAGAACATCACTCGAGCGACGCTATGCCTCATCGAGAAAAGCATCCAGAAAGCACGATAAGCTGCAGCCTCTCCCCATGTGACTCGAGTGCAACGGTACGCGCGAGCGTAACGAACAAGACATGCTCAAGTATGAGGTCGTATCTAAAAGAGAACCAGCCCCGCCCACCATAATCATCACCTACCGTGGTATCGGGACAACATGCACACCTTCCCTGGCACCTAGTCAATGGCTTCCAACCGCGGAGTCCTTGCTGACCAGACTGCGTGCCACAGCAAGCAGGAGCTTGCGACCTTCCCCTTGGATCCGGCAAAGATCAGACAACACCCCGCACTCAACCCATGCTCGCCATACCACCCTGCCAGACGTTCATATCTAGCCGGCCATCCCTCATTCCTGTTACCCCGCTGGCTTTGCCTTTGGCTGCCGTTGTACAGCGAGTTGGGTTTTGGGCGCGCACGTCGGCCACAGCGTCTTCAACTATGGCGGCAACATCCACTTCGAAAAGGAAAAATGATGCCATGTACGTCATTACAAAGCATGTCAGGTGGACCAAATCTAATGGCTTGCAGCGAGAAGGAGCAATCACAGCATATTGAAGAGGTTGCAGTACCCAAGACGCACGGAAGCTACACTCACGTTGATGAAACCATCGCAAGAAAGGTAGCTGCTAATGTAGATGATTTCATGGTACATACAATTACCATTGCGCTTGTCAACATTTTGCTACCTTTCTGTATAGACACTCGTCGCCGAAGCAGATGCTGCAAATCAGCGCGAACGTGGAATGCCTCTTACAACGGCCTTTAGGGTGTACCCTAAAGCGATCGCTTGGTCCATGGTTCTATCCTCGTGTCTCATTATGGAGGGATATGACACTTCGGTAGTGGGATCATGTAACTAAGGTCAAGAGCCACGAAACGTCACACCTGATGACTTTTGCGACAGATGCAGCATACCCAGCCTTCATGAACAGGTTCGGTACCATCGCCAAAGATGGCACGCACCAGATACCGCCGGATTGGCAGAACGGCATCAGCGGCGCACGAAATGCCGGCGAGATCATTGGGCTTCAGGTAAAGCGCCTTTGTAGTAAGCCATGAATTGATCTCACCGAGTAACACAGTTCGCTGGTTTCCTCTCCGATCGCTTCGGGTATCGTTGGACGCTAATATTCGGCCTCGTCGTTCTAACCGGCCTGATATTCATTCCTTTTTATGCTCATACTCTTACTACTTTTCTCGTTGGTAACCTCCTCATGGGTATACCGTGGGGAGTATTTCAGACCATGACGACAGCTTACGCCGCAGAAGTCTGCCCCGTTCCATTGCGGCACTATCTGACTTGCTTTGTCAATCTCTGCTGGATCATCGGTCAATTCATCAAGGCGGGTGTCCTGGTAGGTTTTGTCGACAGGAGGGATGAGTGGGGCTACAAAATACCGTTTGCGTTACAGTGGATCTGGCCCATTCCAATCACAATTGGAACGTATCTTGCCCCAGAAAGTCCTTGGTGGTGCATACGGAGTGGGAGAAAGGCTGAGGCTGAGTTGTCGCTGAAGCGCTTGGCCCGAAGTTCAGACTTCTCCCAGAGAGACGTCGATGCGACTTTAGCCCGTAAGTCACGATCCTACCACCACGTCACTGGTGCTGACTAGGATTGAGTCATGCTGTACACCGATGAGATGGAGAAGCAAGTCCAATCTGGCACCCGCTACCGTGATTGCTTCAAAGGCGTGAATCTACGTCGCACCGAGATCGTGTGCATGATATGGCTCGCGCAAACCATGTCTGGCACCGCGCTCAGTGGTCTCTCGGCGTTCTTCTACGAGCAAGCCGGAATATCTGACAGTAATGCATTCAAGCTGAGTTGGGGACAGAGTGCCCTCGGAGCGGTAGGCACCATTGCAAGTTGGTTTGTACTGGACAAAGTCGGCAGGAAAACATTGATGTTCAGCGGGATGTGTGTAATATTCGTACTGCTCATGTAAGTCCTTCACCATTCTCAACTCTTCTTACACAGACTTAAAACAGTACGAACCAGGATCACGGGCTGCATGGGCATCCCCAAAGAGCAGACCACGGCCACTTCTTGGGCAGCGGGTACAATGGTTCTACTCATCTCTGCCACGGCAGATTTCTCCATCGGCCCAATCGTGTACACTATTGTGTCAGAAATCCCATCAACCCGCCTTCGCGCCAAGTCCATCATCCTCGCACGTAACACGTATAACGCGATCAACGTCGCCTTTGTCAACATCATTTCTTTTCGTCAACTGAGTCCACTGGCATGGGATTGGGGCGCCAAGGCGGCCTTCTTCTGGGCGGGCACGAACATGTTATTCACTGCTTGGATTTGGTTTCGTTTACGTAAGAACACCTTCACTAGAAGAAATCAACGCTGACAATAACGGAGCCGAAACGAAAGGGAGAACATTCGCAGAGCTAGATATCCTCTTCACAAACAAAATACCCGCGAGGAAATTTGCGAAGACCAAGATTGAGACGCTAGGAGAGGGGACAGAAAATGCGCACATGGAACAAGCCGAGCGTATTAGACATCCATGATGACTGATTTTTTTTTTCCTTTCCTCAAGTGCTAGTCCGATGCACAATATATGGCTTGCTCAAAAGGTAGAGCAGTGAAAGTTTTGTCTGAGGTGAACCGATTTAATCCATGTGACTGTTCTCGACACACAATCGTCAAGTACAATGGGTATCTATTAGAAGAGGTGTAAACGGCCGATCTCATTATCAGAGACCTACACCGCAGTGAAAGACAGATATAGTTCGAGGCGTCATGAAGGTAGTAGGGCGAGAAGCCGCCTTTCATGCTGTGAGGTGCGCTGTTCAACTGCTAGTTGAGAAGTACTCGAAAGAGACCCACGACGGGCAGAGGAGGGGACCCGGGGTGAAAGATCAGCGAAGGCGGGCCTAAGCTGTACAGCTGGAAGGGCGCAGGAAATTCTTCCCGATATGTGCGCTCTCAGGTCGGGTTTGGTGGACACGTTTTTGACCTCACCTGCTCCTTCTGTTGTAGGATCTTCCTGATTTACATCTTCAGAGGGGTAACATCCTTGTTCAACCTAGGGAATGAGTAAAGACGGTGCCTTTATTCTTATGCAGGCTGTATACGGTCTTTTTGATCCACGAGGCGTCCTCATGACCGTGGCTCAGATCAATCAAATGTTCCTTCAGCCTCCTCCAGCTCATGAAGATGCCGTTGTAATCAAACGCGTTTGTATTAGTGACATTGCAACCATGCCGCGCGAACACTTGCATTAGAGCGAATGAAGCTCGCGTCGGTTAGTTCGGGCGCAAAATCGGGTCAGGCTTTAGGGATCCACAGGTCCTGGGGTCTCGAAGCAACAAGGTTCTCTGCACCCATGTCGCTGCAGGAGTTTTGAACAGGGTCTTTGCGTTTGTGCGATTGCTCTCTAGCGTTTGTAAACCTTCTAGTCGTTTTTCTGCGTTTGTCGCGTTTCTTCTTGTTTTCGGTATGCTTGTTGTACCTCGAGCCTATTCGATGATGGGTACAAGGACCTACACAACTGAGCAAGGTGGAGAGGTGAGAAGCAACAGCTATAGACTCATGAAATCACCGTGAATGGAGGGATATGAAGCGAATGATGGCAGATAATCCAAGGTGTTTGCTCGCTCGACAGTATAGCTTATTGGCTCAGAGTGAAAACTGAGAGGGGACACCTGGCACATCTGTCCAGATATCGGGAGAGTTGCTTTCAAAATGTTCGAGAAAATATCACGCACATTGTTGCCTTGGCCTCAATTTACTCGAACAGAACGTGCTCGAATTGAGAGGAGAAGGCGCTGACGTTATTCAAGAAATTGTCTTCCTGGTCCTCGAGCGTGGTCCAAGACAGATTTTCAGCTTCGGCCCGTGCAGCGCGGAGCACATCTCCCGGGATTGTAGCAACTTTCTCAAGACTTGTTTGAGTATTTCAGCAAAATGCCGCCACTAGTCTGAACATTGCTATGTAATAATCGTGTATCCTAGACGAATCGTGTTCAGTTCAGATTGGAAGAGTAGTGGTGAGTGGTACAAAGGTCCACCTGCATCATAATAGCGTCTATGAATTCACCACGAGGCCATCGTTCGATCTGAGCTACGGTGAACGTTCGAAAGGATCGCGTAAGGAAACGAGGTTGTTGAAGATATACCGTGCATTGTAGCGGTCTGTATGCTTTATTGGTCGGTTGACTCGGGTGCACATGTTAAAAACTACATCCTTGCAGCAATACATATGTAGATTCATCAAATCTGGAGGCTGCGGGCATAGCCTCACTGAAATTAAAGGGCTTGGATATGACTGCGATATGGGCGAGAAGCGAAACGTTACGAGTTCGCGCACTCGCTTCGCCGGCGGAGAAAGAAGGGGACGCTGACCAGGGTGTGCGCGTTCACATTGTTAGTGATGAGAGAGGAACAGCGTAACCGGGTCCCCGCAGTCTTGGTAGCACCACCGCAGTGCGTATTTCTCCAGCCTCAACAAGTCTTCCCTGCTTATAGAAAAAAAGAATTGCTTCCGACCCCGTGAGCAGCACGTTTTGACCAATAGGCAATTTGCAGCATTGGAATCATCACACCATGATGCCCGGCAACCACTGAAGTAACATAGGTATGCTACCTATCCACCCAGCTTGGGGACAAAATACATCGCTGTCTCAGTCGACCGTCATATCAAAGTCACTGTTTGACACACTCCTTAATCCTAAGCTTTAAACGTCTTGATTTTTTTTACAAGTTGAAGTCCTTGTCCGGATTCGTGCCATTGACGTGGTTCGGATTTACCTTGTCTGGCCTGAAATGCGTATACCACATGTCCGCCTCTGGTAACTGCTTAACATCCTTGGGTTTCTCTAGAACCATACAGTTAGCACGTGCGTACATAGGATATCCTCTCGCCGGGAACTCCTACTCATCTTGACGTATTTTACTGGGTCCACCTGGTGTTCCTTCCGCCACTGCGTCAGTGCATCGAAATCTGCAACGCATTGCTTGTTGATGCTCATGTCAGGGAAGGGAATTGCTTCCTCGTTGACCCAATGCATTGTAATAAGGTTGAGGTTACCGCTGCACTGGATTGTCTGCATCAACATGTCGATACAGTGATCCATGTGGATCTCAAACATGACTTTAGGGTCTTGAGCGTGCGGGAATTGCATTCTTGCGTTAGGGTAATATTCCGGATAGACGAGTTTGCGCAACATGTTTAAGCAGTGCAGCTGATGGTATATGTCGAACGTAGAGGCATAAGCATCATCGCCAAGACCGTAAATCTCGTCCTATACTGGTCAGTGCATGTAGATGATGAAATAACGTGATGGACGTACTTCAAGCTTAGTGGCTGTCGTAGGGTCTTTCCCCATCCCGCGAATCTGATCTGCTGTAATGGCAAATACTCGGGTTATCTCCCACTCATTCCACACAGCGTCCTTCTCTGGGTTCGGGGGACCACGCGCCACCGAGGGATGATGGTTGGGATACAATGTCCCGTTCACTGTCTTCACCTCCAGTGGGAGATCGATCGCATCGAGTAGAGGGGCTGTTCAAATCAGGACCCAATTTATGGCATCATTGTGGAGAGCCTTACAATATGAATGAAACTGCCGTAGTATTGGGTTGTGGGTGTGATGCGCAACCCACGACGAGGTGTACAATGATAACGTTGCTAGGAACCACACCGCATTGCATACGGAGAGGATCGTGACTGACCTTGGGGAGAATCCACAACGGCCATCCCTTCGCTTGCGCTTTTTCTCACCCAGGAACGTTGTGCGTTCGTGCACCAAGTCGTCACTGTAAGGCAACATGTTCTTGTAAGTGAAATATATGCACGAGCCTGTGCAGGTCCACCAGGAAGGACGGAAAGCAAACGTGGACCTCCGACAAGGATTCAATACGCCTTCGTGATATCGTCTGTAACTTGACGCGTGAATTCGTAACGATTTCGCGGAGAGAAGAATCCCCCGCTGTCTTCACAATCGAGCGACACTACCTGTCAGGCAGGACCGTAAGCCAATCTGACTGCAACCATGATGAGCGGGTAGTTACAAGCTAGTGAGGCAATGCTCACTTCGTACGAGTGATATCTGCGATTCTTCCAGCGTGGTATCACGACCAGCTGAAAGTAGATGGCATAGATACTATGATGGATCCTTCGAGGTAGCAATTGACCACTCCGCTGCAAGCACTTGAAGCGGGTTTCCTAGCTGGCTAGAAAGATTACACTAAGCAGGGGCAACATTCACTGGCGTAGGATTCAAGGGAGCCCGTATATGCTTGGCATTCACCCCACCTTCCTCATCAGGCAGGTAATCATGCTGAGTGATGTCGATTATCGTGTTCAGCCGTGCTTGTGAGTACGTACTTCTGGAGTCAGATGACTGCACCGTTTAGACAACATGGCATTTTGACCGGAAGGTTATAGCTTCACAACATTTCGAAAGCTGCGCAACCCTTCTGTGGCAAAGCTTCAGGGCTTCGCACAGTTCATTCATCGTTGATAGACCTGTCTTTACTTGTCCGCTCTACGAAAGTCTTTAATTGTTCCGAAACGACCAATCAAATGGAAATTTTCCCAGCCTTACGGCCGCATGTGGTCCTTCGTTGCTTTAACCCCGAGAGCTTGTTCTGCATCAAGTCCGTCCATATCTTGCATACACTATATAACTTGGCACAGCAGCAACCTGATCACTGTTACTACATCTAAAGGGATACCTGGGTACTGAGCATGCATTGGCTTGTCGCGACTTGCCCAAGCAATACCAACAAAGCCCCTTGATCCATCAACGCCCACCTTCCGAATCGGGGCCCAAGTTCTCTTCATATCTCGCACGATTGCATTTACTATCTCGAGCAATGGTCCTAGAACCTCTACCGAGCACTTGGCAGCTTCACAGTAGGTGTCCTCGGAGTATAAAGCAGACATGTTGTTGTCGGATATGGCTTCTTCTGACAACTCTGACAAGCTCACTTCCAACGCACCTTATCTTCATCATGAAGGTCTCTACTCTGGCTCTCCTTGCTTCCGTCGCTGCGGCCGCTCCGCTTCCCGTGAGTCCAAGCTGCTTGAACAACCTCATTTCTACTTACATGACTGATTGCTCCCTTAGAAAGATGGTGCTACTGTAGAAGCGACCTCTTACGCGCCTTTGAGGTACACGGGTGGACTCAAGAGAGCCGCTGCGCCCGAGGCGGACCCTAAGGCGGCAGCTACTTACGCCCCTCTGTATTACACTGGGGGTTTGAAGAAAAAGGATGCTGAAGCTGAGGCGGACCCTAAGGC